TACTCCAAGGGAAGGACATTATGGCATTCTCTCTGCCACACCAATTTCCACATACAGAAACTGACCAGAATGGCAGCTGAATCTTACTTTAGCACTGGTGACTGATGGGACATCTTCCTCCACCACATCAGAGGACAAGCTAACTTTACAGGGCAGGCCATGTGGCACACACAGCACTGTCCTCCAATACTTTGCTGTCAGTCCCTAGCATCCTATGCATGTTACTGAATTCAGTGGGACTTACTGCCACATAAACATGCATCATATTATAGCCTTACTTTGCTGGTTTGGGTGGGATGGCTATGGCCCCTGCAGCCAGTGCATATTCTGTTCATACTGTATTCTGTTATATAGCTATCTACACACTCAACCAGCTGTGCCAAATACATTTAGATTTTAACAGTTACTGTTGTTCAGTGGAACAGTGCCCTATGCAGAGATTCCATGTGACTGAAAGTCTCAGGGAACTTGGAGGACTAACAGCAATGTCATTTACCTGGAAGATACGCTTTGTAAAACTCTGGACTTGGGGGGAAATAAGTGGGCAGTGGCAGCCTGAAGGCGCACAAGAACTGCCAGGTTTGCAATGTGATTCCCAAGAAGCCTAATACTCCAAAGCAAGCACCCATCCTTGGGCAGACATACAACTAAATTTGGCTTGGCAAGCCCTTTCCCTGTTCCACCGTTCCATTATGCGAATGAGACATGACACAGTTAATGGCTCTGAGTCAGCCTTGCTCCCTCCTAGCTGAGTTCTGGTTTTTGTTACTTTCCGTCCCCTCCCCAGCTGTCACAGGCTTGTGAAGCCGGATCGGGGGCGTGTTGTCAGGGAGCCTCCTGGCTGGGTGTGATGGTTACACCTGGGAGGGATGCCAACACCACCACGGTTCAGTTCAAAACAGGAACCCAGGCAAAGCACCTTCTGGCTTAGTAATTACATGCTGTGCTCCTAACACATGCTCCACACTGGGTGTGTTCTCCTCCAGCTACACATGCGCCAAAGCTCTCCAAAGCCTTCCCTCATTCCCAGCCCTCCTACGTATTCCCAGGCATACACAGCAGCCCTGACCTAGAAGTCTCCTTCCTAATGGGGGAAGGACCACAGCTCAGTGGTGAAGCATCTCCTTTGCAAGTGGAAGATGCCAGGTTCAATCCTCTGCCCCCAAACCCAGAGAGTCACTTCTAGTCAGTGTAAAAAAGGTAAAGGTAAAGGACCCCTGGACAGTTAAGTCCAGTCAAAGGTGACTATGGGGTTGCGGTGAGGGAGCCAGCGTTTGTTCACAGAGCTTTCCGGGTCATGTGGCCAGCATGACTAAACCACTTCTGATGCAATGGAACACCATGATGGAAGCAGAGCACACAAAAACACTGTTTACCTTCCCGCCACAGCGGTATCTATTTATCTACTTGCACTGGCCTGCAAGCCAACTCAAGTCAGCTCACCCTGTCACGGGGATTCGAACCACTAACCTTCTGATTGGCAAGCCCAAGTGGCTCAGTAGACTGATGGGTGGACTCAGTATAAGGCAGCTTCATATATTCCTGTTCCTAACCCGCACTGCCCAAAATACAATCTTAGACCGTTATTCTGTTGAACTTGCTCCCATCATATCAGCTCACTCCTGACCAATGGTGTCCTTTCCCAACAATGTATCTGCAGACTAACACATGTACACAAAAACATGTAGTCAGGGATAGCCAATGTGGTGCCATACAGATGTTGTTGGACTCCAACTCTCATCTGCCAATGGTCAGGGATGGTAGGATGATCAGCCCCAGGCACCATGGTCAGTGGTCACTGGGCTACCCTTGATACAGCTCTCAATATAAGTTCTGTCTTAATATTTTGGTCACCAATGAACCTGTGGCTCTCCAGATGTTGTTGCTCCCAAAACCACTGACCACTGACAATGCTGGCTCAGGCTGATGGGAGTTGGAGTCTATCATGTGCTCTTTCTTTCCATTCCCACTCCCTTTTGTGTCTTGTCTATTCTTTATATGCCTAAGAACAAGACTCATTTCTCTCTCTTAATTCATGTAAGCCACTTTGGGAAACAATAATTGTTTGAAAAGTGGTATAGAAGTATTTTAACAATACTTTTATGGGGATTTGAAAGGAGCATGGCTGAGGGTGGAGTATAAGCCCCATCTCCATTAACATGATGCATTAATATTAGATCACAGTTGGACAAACTACAGATCTGCTCTGATTTTTTTTTTTTTACTAGATCCCTAAGATCCACTAACCAGAACCAGATATGAAATGGGGGTTCATGGGGTGGAGCTAATAACCCAGGAGCTATAGACTGCATTTTACATATCAGAATCTACACTTACTACAAAATACAGATCAGTAATTCTAACAGCCTAACTTAGGGGGAGCTTTTTTTCATATCTGTTTTTAAATAACTGTTAAAGAGAAACACTTGCTGATCTACCGTTAAGTCATCCATTTTCCAGTAGAGCCCAATCTACTTTCTGCCTTTGCACTAGAGCAAGGTCTGTGTTCAATTGCTTGCTTGGCCTACTGATTAATCTAGCCCAGCTGCTCTACCTGTGGGTCCTTTAAATACTTCCATGCAAAGTCATGGAAAGCTGCCAGTGTGGTGCCTGCAGTTCCACCTATGGTGCCTATGACAGGTCTCAATAAACCCTCCAAAACTCACAGTACACAAGAGAATGTTTGCCCTTCCTGGTCAATTCCTGTTTGCACTGTCTCATTGAACACTCTCCCATAAACATGCCCATATTTCACTGGGTGCCAGGATTGGACATCCACCCTTCTTTCCATTCTGACCAGGGGAGGGGTGCAAAGAGCTGCTCTCCATGAGCAAGTGCTGGGCCTTTTCCCATCGCTGTGGGTAGCTGCTGTTGCAAGGCAGGGTCCTATCTACCTGCTCATTAGATGTGGCAGCCATTTTGTGATGTGCCACACACCTTAAGGCAGTCATTTTATGTTGAGCCACCACCGCCCCTCCAAGGCAGCCATTTATTGACAGGCACCCATGGCACTTTCTCATAATTCCAAATGCTCCCACTGGCCCCCTGTTTTGAACTGTCTTATAAAAAACAAAAAGAAAACCAGCATTGATTGGGTCTCCTATTCCTTTCGGTTGTCTTAATTGTACTGTTTTATAGGACAGGCTCTTCCACGTGTTTAGAGATATTTATGACTTTGGTAAATGTTACAAACACACTCTCCTGGGACCAACTACACCTTATTTCAGAAAATGAATATGTCTAGGACTGCCATATGTCCGGAATTTCCCGGACATAGCTGGGATTTGACCCTTGCAAACATTGTCTGGGCGGAAATCACTTTAAGGTCCAGATTTTCACTTTTTTAAATATGGCAACCCTATCATAGAAAGGCATACAGAAAGAAGAACAGTGTTTCCTTTGTCTCCAATTGTTGAGTATTGTGCTTTCGTCATTGAGGTTTTTCCAGCAGCAATACCTAGCAGCCAGGTGAAAAAGAGGACAGATTTTTAATTATTGTATAGAAGAGAAAGCTTCAGCAGGTATGGTTGGAATGACAACCTGCGTCTGCAGATATGCCTTCCTCTACACAATTATTAAATGTGCAGGGACCTTGTTGTTTTTACACCTGGCTACCTTGGGTGCATCATAGAATTGTTGAGTTGAAGGGACACCAAGGGTCATGTAGTCCAACCCCCTGCAACAAATCTCTCATCCCACAATTACAAACATAATTGGGTTGGGGGAATAGCAACCACTTTGTAAATCTAGGTGGCTTTTTTAGGCCTAGCATGCCAGGGCAAGAGGGCATACCCCTTTTGCTTGAGCACAGAAATACCCACTTTGTCTCCCTCACATATTTTTGTTACGCCTTACACATTTCTGTTACTATTTATGTGTAACATAAATTCCTTCATAATCTCAGCACTTGATTAGTGTAATGTGATCTACATAGGGTTGTCCCAGTCACAGCTGGTGCAGTATGTAGCAGCCCATCGCTTAATGGACAGGGTTCTGGGAGCACAGTAGATCACCAGTAGCAATCTGTAGCCTGCATTCTCCAACATCCTAAGCAAGCATGGGTCCAATATTGCTTTAAAGTAGCTTCCTTCCTCAGTTCCATCCATGCACCAGCCTATCCTACAGGTGAAGATGAATGAAAGCAAGGAGTATTATGTGCACTGTTGTTGTGTTGTTGTTTAGTCATTTAGTCGTGTCCGACTCTTTGTGACCCCATAGACCAGAGCACGCCAGGCACTCCTGTCTTCCACTGCCTCCCGCAGTTTGGTCAAACAAACTACCAAGCCTTAAATGGGCTAGCAACATGACTAAAATAATAAATCAAGGTTAAGTCAGATGGTTCTGGGAAAAGCAGTCTCAGACTCAGGGTTGCTTAGAGGTCACAAAATTGCACTGTTTGACAGCAGTGGGGGACTGGGGAAGAAGGCTAGAAAGCAGTAGTTTTGGTGGAGAGAGAAAACAAATCAAAGAAATAAAATAACGCATCAGACAATTTTTGTACCATATAATATAACCACAAGCCTTAGGAGAGTTGGCTTTATGAAAAACTGAATCTAGATACTTAGACAATGTTTTTGTTTGTTTGTTTACTGTCTGAGCAATTAGAATAATAGAATTGTTGAGCTCCAAAGGACCCAAAGAGTCATCTAGTCCCGCCCCCTGAAATACAGACAAGAACTGAACTTACTTGGCCACAAATCATCAGTGACATAGTAAATTGATGCCACCCTTAGGTTATCTGTTAACAAAGTTGTTTCCAGCTCAATAATTACACAGTACTTGCCTCACCATGGGGCTAAACACACAGAACATTAAGATAATTATTGTAGCCATGGCATATCATAAATAGCATTCTTTAAAATATAAAATATTATAATTACACATGTGGAAAATATAGGCATAGCTCTGTATTGTTTAGGGTTTGCGTTTTAAAGATTACAAGCAGTACGAAGACTCCAGAAATCCAATGAAAACTCCCAGAATACTGGTGGTTTTATTTGCTCTTCTGCAGTAACAAGTGGAATTTTCAATAAAATTGTGCAATATTTCCTATTGTGGGTTACAGGCAATATTCTCTCAGAGCAGGGTATTCTGCTACACTGCACCACCACCACCTCACCACTTTCCATTTCCTGACATTCATGACTACTGAGCATGCTCAGTCCTTATTTGGCTGGTTTTTGTTTTTGTTTTTTTGGGTTTTTTTGGCAGGGGGAGACAGTTGATAGCTTTTGGTTGTTGCTGATTTTTTTTTATGGTTTTGTACTTCTGTAAATTTCAGGGTTCTTCTGAGCATGGTGAAACACTCTCTTGTTTTGCCATGACTCCATATTGACTCTAGTCCTGTAGACACTGATTTCACTGTTTGAGAGAGTGAAGATTTCAGTTTTCATTGCAGAAATGACAGAGAAAACAATACTATGTATTATATTTTTCTAGAATTACTCTTGGTGGGGAGGGCATTAATTGTTTGGTTTGGTTTTCTTTTTACATTTATCTTGTAGGGGATCCTAATTCAGCTAAACCAACTTGATCTCTAAAGCATCACATCTCCATTTGAAACACACAGTTTTTTTTCAGCTGGAACTTGCCGAAACTCAGTTCCGGCACCTCTCAGGCAGGCTCCATTGCCGTTATAAAAGAACAAGGGAGGCGTTCATGGTGAATTCCGGAACCTCTTTTTCTAGAAAAATAGCACTGCAACACACATATGGGCATACAGACTTTCCCCTGAAAATCTATGTGAAAATGCTGGCCTAATTTTATTTCCTTTTAGGTTTTTTTGCTCTGGTTCCTCATACAGGTTTAGAACTGTTTTAGCTTTTTTTTAAAATAAACGATCACCATCCCCCAAGGCAGGGGCTAGGATTTAAACTGTCTCCTTTGATTACTGAGCATCACCACCAGTACCCTTAGCAGCTGAATATTAAGCAGAAAAGGTGGGAATTTTGTACTAACAACAGCCAGAGGTGCACGTAGGTTCCCTTGTGCCCTTGGCATGAGCTGTACCGGCACCCTGGGTCCCTTGGCATCTCTGAAGCTGCAAGAGACCATGGACCAAAAACTCATAAAGTTTGCTTTTCATAGCTTTTCGGTTCCGCCAGTGCCTTCCTGCCTTCCTGTGGGGTCGTGTAGTCAGGCGGACTCCTAGTCACTCTAAGCCAGAGTGGAGAGGTGCTATTTTTGTGACCACCAAGGCCTGCGCCCTGACAACAACAGAGCAAAACATACGGAATCAAAAAGAAGAATAAATTTGCTGGATATAGGGGTGTGGCTAATAATAGCTCCGCCCACCTGATTGTCAACCTCAAATTCCACATTCTCGAATGGGCATTCCTTGCCATTAAGGTGCCATTAAGGCAGTGACGTGGATGTCAGTTGAATTGGCTACATGGAGCTGGATGCAAACCAGGAGGGAACAAAGTCCTTGCCGGGGATCGGGTAAAGAGTTGTTCCATCTCTCTAAACAGCTAAATGTTGACTCAGTCCCACCTCCGCCTAAGAAGACCAGCTATTATTATGTTTGTAACCTCACCCTCAAAGACTTTCAGGGCAGCTCCAATGGAGTTTCCCCAGGTCAACCTCACAGTAACCTTGCAATTTAGATTAGGAAAGGAGATTTGGATGGGGGGAGAGCTGGGTTCAAAGCTCTGCTGCAACAGGAAGCTCACTGGGTGAACATGGAGAACTGGGCCAAAACTAGTGAAATGAATTCCAATAGGGACTAATGAAAGATTCTGCACTTTGGCAGGAATAACCAGCTGCACAAATATAAAAGGAGAGACATCTGGATTGCCAGTAGTGCAAATGAGTAGAGTCTTTGTAGATCACAAGCTCAATATGTGATGCAGCGGCAAAAAAAGTGAATACTATTATAGGCTATATCAACAAGGTATAGTGTCTAGATCACGGGAACTAATAGTACTGCTTTGTTCTGCCTTGGTCAGACCACACCTGGAATACTGTGTCTATTTCTGGGTGCCACAATTTAAGAAGGATATTGACAAGCTGGAATGTGTGTGGAGGAGGGCAACCAAGAAGATCAGGGGTCTGGAAACCAAGCCTTATGTGGAACAGTTGAGGGAGTTGGGTATGTTTAGCCTGGAAAAGAGGCAACTGAGAGGAGATATGATATCCATCTGCAAATATCTCAAGGGTTGTCACATGGGGGATGGAGAAAGCTTGTTTTCTCCTGCTCTGGAGGGTAGGACTCAACCAATGGATTCAAGTTACAAGAAAGGAGATTCTGACTAAGCATCAGGAACAACTTTCTGCCAGTAAGAGCTGTTAAGACAGTGGAACGGACTCCCTCGGGAGGTTGTGGACTCTCCTTCCTTGGAGGTTTTTAAACAGAGGTTGATGGCCATCTGTCACGGATGCTTTAGATGAGATTCCTGCATTGCAGGGGATTGGACTAGATGACCTTCAGGTCTCTTCCAACTCTACAATTATACGATTCACAACCTCCACTAACTAATAAAAGGATTTGTCTTTGCAGGGTGGATGAGGACACAGAAAAGGAGCATGCCTGGCACCCAACCCACCTGCAGCTGACTGTCCTGCGTGCCTGCTCTCTACGCTCCAAGGGCGCCACTGGCACCAGCAACCCCTATGTTGTGATTCAGCTACAAAAGCAGAAGTTCAGGACCTCTGTAGCACTACACAGCCTAAGTCCCGAATGGCATGAAGAGTGTACATTGCAGCTGCCCAGTGTGCTGGATGACTCAGAAGAGAATGGCCTCATCCTTACCGTCATGCACCAGTCCTTGCATCATTTCAACCAGTTCCTCGGCCGAGTATGCTTGCCTCTTGCCCAACTTTTTCAGGACAAAACGAAGAGAAGAAATGAGTGAGCATCACCCGACAGCCCTGCATCTATCTCGCGAAGTCAAGCTAGGGATAACCAACACAGTGTCCTCCAGATGCAATTTCCATCATCCACAGCCAGTTTGGCCAGCGGTCAAGATTGATGGCAGTTGTAGTCTAGAGGACACTGTGCTGGTTAACCCAGAGTTCACATTTTTGAGCCATGGGGTGGCATCAGGCAAGAAGTGTAGGAAGATATAGTTTGGAGGTGATGGTCCTTAAGAAAATGGTTAGCGCCATATGCACCAAAAATGTGGCAAAGCCTTTTAAGAGGTGCATCGTTGCACAGCTGAGGCAGCAATGCAAAGGTCATGAACACACAAACATGTGCACACAATAATATATTGAACGAAAACTGGCTGCAAACTAATTAAGTCATAGCTCCCATAAAACTGCACGTATATTGAAGGGCTATGTAAAAGTGCCAAATTTTAGCAGGGATTGTAATATTAGTAAGTACTTGGGAGGAAAGGAGAGGGCCTTTTCCATTGGGGCTCCCCACTTGTTGAATGCTTTCCTGTTGAAGTCCACCTGGTACCATAATTAACGTCCTTCTTGCTCCAGCTAGAAACTTATCACTTCCCAGGCATTTGATAGCAAAATTGTAATAATCTATCTATTGATGGTGTGTTTTTGCTGCTCTTTTATTGGTTCTGTTTTATTTCATGGCTTTTCTTATAATGTATTCCCCCCCATTTTGAGCCATGCTTTATGCTTTTAACATTTTGTAAATCACTCGTAGGCTCCTTTTGTGGCAAGCTATTAATTAATAGCTGACTGGAGAAGCAAGAGGGAGGATTCTGTCTTCTTCAGAGCTGGTAGGGAAGTTTAGCATATGGATGAGATTTAATACACTTATCCAGTCACGCTCTTTGAAATGCCCAGTTGCAGAATCTGGCAGGCTCCACCTTCAGCAAACCACCCAGGCACACCATTTTTTTAGCATCTCCAATGCAGAATAGGGCACTTCACATTTTCCAAAATGTAAGTTGGAGCAATTAGCCTGTAAGCAAACAGTAAACTGGTAGGCCGAAAGATCCAGCCAAGTGCTGAGGTCACTGCAACACACACCCAAATTGGAAATTTAGAGGAGCTGCAAACTCCTCCTCAGCAGCTGCCAAATGACCAGTTTACAAAATGGTTACAGTCACACTGTGGTAAGTTACAACTTGGTCAATATTCAACCGCAGTACAGTGGTACCTCGGGTTAAGTACTTAATTCGTTCCGGAGGTCCATTCTTAACCTGAAACTGTTCTTAACCTGAAGCACCACTTTAGCTAATGGGGCCTCCTGCTGCTGCTGCGCCGCCAGAGCACGATTTCTGTTCTCATCCTGAAGCAAAGTTCTTAACCCGAGGTACTATTTCTGGGTTAGCGGAGTCTGTAACCTGAAACATATGTAACCTGAAGCGTATGTAACGCGAGGTACCACTGTATATGACAGGGGAAACCAACAGTGCCCTCCAGATGTTGTGTCGTATGACTCCCATCACCCTCAGCCAGCACAACCAAAGGTCAATAATCGTGATTGTAGTCCAGCAACATCTGCAAGGTGCTGTGTTGGCTACCCCTGCTCTAGAGCATCCTTCTGCAATCCAGAGACCTCTAGATGTGTACTGCAACTCCCTTTAGCCCAGGGTTTCCCAAACTTGGGTCTCCAGCTGTTTTTGAACTACAACTCCCATCATCCCTGACCGCTGGTCATGCTAGCTAGGCATGATAGGAGTTGTAATCCAAAAAACAGCTGGAGACCCAGGTTTGGGAAATACTGCTTTAGCCCAAGTCAGTTGCTGTAGTACAGGATTGTGCAAAACATCTGGAGGACACCAGGTTGAGGAAGGTTGCCCTATTGTGTTACCACATAGGTACCAAGGAACAACCTGGTGGCTGTATTCTGTCTCTTCTAACCTAGACAGTATGCCTCTGAATACCAGTGGCTGAGAATCACAAGTGGAGAGAGCGCTATTTGGCTCTGCTCCTGCTTTTGTGCATCTCATAAGCATCTGGTTGGTTACTGTGAGAACAGGATGCTGGATTAGATGAGGCCTTGGCCTGATCCAGCAGGCCTCGTTAGATTATTGGTACTGCAGTGGTAACCCATAGAGCCAGGGTAGACTGTGTGCAACTCTTCAGATCTTTCAGGCTACAGTTTTGAGTCACCCCTGCTCAGTGGCCAAACTGGCTGGGTCTGATGGGACTTGTGCTCCACAACACCTGGAGGCCACCATGTTGCCTCTCTCAGTAGTAGAAGAGCAGTAAGTTAGACACCTGCCATAGAGGCCATTGTCTTATCTCTCTGCAGGTGGTTTGTGCTGCAGTCTCGACCTGGCAAGAAGGAGAAGACAAGAGGACAGTTGCAGCTGGACATTCAGTTCTTACAGATCTCATCACAAGCCAGTGAGCCAGCGTTAAACTCTCGTGGGCCCTGGGCTTTCTTCTCCAGATTCTATGGGAGCAGGAAGGGCAGACGGTACAAGGTGTACAAAGAAGCGCCGTCTCAGTCACCCAGCTTGGTATGTGAAGCAGGACAGAACCTGTCCCAGTTACTGAGTTCTCTTCTGCAAAGGGTGCAGGCACTTTCCTTTTTCAGCCAGAAGCTGAATCCACTTGGGCAGTAAACTCCACTTTATAAGGAGTTCTGTAAACAACTTGCATTACTGGCGAAGTGTTCCTAAAATGCAAATGCAACCCTGTTGGCCCACAACCATCATTCAGAGGGCGTTATTGGTGGTGGCACCCACCCTGTGGAACGCCCTCCCACCAGATGTCAAGGAAATAAACAACTACCTGACTTTCAGAAGACATCCGAAGGCAGCCCTGTTTAGGGAAGTTTTTAATGTTTGAAGTTTTATTCTGTTTAATATTCTGTTGGAAGCCACCCAGAGTGGCTGGGGAAACCCAGCCAGGTGAGCGGGCTATAAATTTTATTTATTTATTTATTTATTTATTTATTTATTTATCTAGCTATCAAAAACCCACATTAGGGTAATACCGTTATGAGGTAATCAATATGTCAAAAAACGGTGTGCAAGCTTTTCAGTTCTCCAGAACTCTTCATCAGGCAGACAGTAAGCAGAGCAAATTGTGGGTGGGAGGAGGTGGCGGCTGGTGGTAAAGTCATCGCTGTATGAATCTTTAGATGGAGTGAGGTATGAGACCACAGACATTCAAATGAGGTTGCATTAGGTATTACGGAGGCATCAGGTTGCACTATGGCCTCTTGGGAAGCAGAAAACCCTCTTGGTCTACTGCCTTAGGCTACCGTCCTATATACCCACTGACTAGTGGTTAAGCATCCCTGGACTCAGGTGTGCTGGTCAGCCAAATAACCCTGTTCCTCAAATAGAATAATACCGAGCAAGACTTCCTGAATAGTGACTAACCGCCAAGGTCCACTTTGTTTCCGTTCCTTGCAGATGGTGACAGACTTCGCTTCCCTTTTTGTTGGTTAAAAAACCCCAAACATTTCTCTAATAGGGATAAGAACATTAGGAAGAGAGAAAACCTAGTCAACCAAGTCCTAGTTCTCTTTATTATGAGCATCATTTCTGGCTGGGGATGGTAGGCAGTGACCCTAGTTGGGCACATTTGAATAGTGGTGAATTAAGCTTCAGAGCTGCTGCCTTAACTCTGTATGCTTCTCTTTTATACAGACAAATGACGAGGATTCATCTTCCTCCAGTATGACCACTGAGCTAGAGGCCTCATCAATGAAGTCTGGATCCAAGTGCGGCAGCTCCTTGCACATGGTAGCAGGTGACTACGGAGAGGAGGAAGTGCCCAAGCTGTATAAAGGCAGCACTGTGAACACCTTACCAACTGGAGGGAGTTCCCTCCATGTAGATGTTGCCAATGCAGTACCTTCCAGATGTTGTGGACTAGATCCCACCATCCCTGGCCACTGACCACGCTTGCTGGAGCTGATGGGAGTTGGCATCCAATATCTGGAAGGCACTAGACTGCAGGAGGCTGCCCTGTGAGATCGCTTATCACAGGCATGCACTAGTTCCAACCTTGCTTTCGAAAAGGAGCAACTAATGTAGTAAACCTTTAAGATCTGCAGTACAAACTGAACTGAAACATAGCTGACCCTCTTTCTTCAGGGAGGTAGACACAAACTATCGCTTAGCTGATCAAACGATTGCTAAGCTGTGTTATCAGTGGTGAGCCCTTTTATTTCATAAATGAGACAGCATCCCATCTTCAGCAACTGGCCATTACCCACCCACCACTGCTGGCCACATTCAGCAACAGTGAGAGGGTCTCCAAGTCGGTGCCAACCCTGTCACATATCTCTGCCTGCCACAGGTGCTCCATGCTAATCTATGCATCCGCCTCACATGTGCTTTCAGTACATGAGGGTTTGCCCATTAAGATCAGTACCTACTTCTTGCCCACCCTCTAAAGTTTGAGGACAGGCTGACAAGCCAAGAGTTCCACTGTGCACTCTCCAAATTTGCCCTGGTTCTTTTAGCTACAGGTAACTGGAAATTAGGGACGCAGGTGGCGCTGTGGGTTAAACCACAGAGCCTAGGACTTGGCTGGTCAGAAGGCTGGCGGTTCGAATACCTGTGACGGGGTGAGCTCCTGTTGCTCGGTCCCTGCTCCTGCCAACCTAGCGATTCGAAAGCACGTCAAAGTGCAAGTAGATAAATAGGTACCGCTCTGGTGGGAAGGTAAACGGTGTTTCCGTGCGCTGCTCTGGTTCTCCATGCTGGCCACATGACCTGGAAGCTGTACGCTGGCTCCCTTGGCCAATAAAGCGAGATGAGTGCCGCAACCCCAGAGTCAGTCACGACTGGACCTAATGGTCAGGGTCCCTTTACCTTTACCTTTTTAAGTGGAAATTGTATGACATGCCTAAAAAATAGCAGTTTCTCTCTCTCTCTCTCTCTCTCTCTCTCTCTCTCTCTCACACACACACACACACACACACACACAGTATGTGACATGGGGGAATGTGTGCTAAGGAAACTTTGGTTTTGCACTTGGCATAAATTATGCTTATCAGTTTGAGTTGCGTTACTCAACTGCACTGTGGATTGTCTGCAAAGTCTGGAAGATTTAGACAAGGACTAGATTAGTTGGGAACAGCAAAGCAGTCAGCACATATAGAAGCCTAGAAGTCAGGGGAAGTTGCTAAAGGTGCACCACTGCCAGCTGAAAGTCAATCTTGATTTCCATGGGGTGCATGGAACTGAGTCTTTTTTTCTTCTAAATCATGCCCTGCACTGTGTAGCAAATATTGGGAATGGGCACCCTAAGACACCTATGAATCGCACATCTACTAGAATCTCACATCTACTAATACATCACACTCCAGCTGCAAGCAATTAATGAAAAGTTTTGTTAAGTGGGAACTGCTTTGGGGCTGTAGAAAATCACAGTTCTGTAACCCTTTTGGCTCTACCCCCACCCTTTACAGCAACCTCGGCTGGCAAAAAACCCACCTCCAAAACTCAGCTGCAGAAGCTTATTTCGTGCAACTACAAAGAACTCACCCCTGATGCTAAGAACCTGGCAGCCAACTCAAGTCAGTCTGAGCACCCAAGTACCCTTGAACAGTTCAGCAGCATATTTACTCAACAGCTCAAGAAAAAATCTAAGCCTCTGAAAGAGGAGAGGAACCTGGAGGCGGCAGGCATTTCTATGGAGGCTTGGCAAACATCTCTTCCACCTCTCCACGTTGCAGGGCCCAGTGACATCCCTCCACGAGCACAGACCCTTCACCTGTCGACAGTCAGCCTCCAGCAGACAACCAGCACTGCTACAGCCAGCTCTGTGACCAGGCACTTCCACAGGTGCCGCATGCACCTGAGTAGGAGCTATCAGTTCTTTCGCAGGTGTTTTGGCCTGGTTCCCTGATGCTGGGGGGTCTGTCTTTTGTCTCTCGTTCTCTTGGCGAAGGAGATTTATTGGAATAGTCACAGTGTACAAATGCATTATATTCAGACAATATATCTCTTTACTTGTGTGGCTCGTTTCTTTCATTTTTAAGGCGTGTCAGGCAACATCAGGGCCAATCAGGGATGTGAAGAATGGGTTTGGATGAGGGTTCTGGATTAGAAAGTTTAATGGGCCAGAAAAGGGAGAAGGTGCAAATCAAAATGCCAGATACAGTGGAACCTCGTGTTACGTACCGTCCTCCCTGCAAATGCTTCGGGTTACGAGCTCCGCTAACCCGGAAGTAGATGCTCCCGGTTGTGAACTTTGCCCTGGGATGCGAGCGGAAGTCGCGCGCCGGCAGCGGGAGGTGCCGTTAGCGAAAGTGCACCTCATGTTATGAGTGGTTTTGGCTTAAGAACAGACCTCCGGAACGAATTAAGTTCGTAACTGGAGGTACCACTGTACTACTTACAGCAATCCTATGTGCACACACGCACACTGATTTCCTTTCATGAGGCACTCGCCTTAATGGCTTTATTGAAGCAAACCAACAGCTTTCAGTGTCTCAAAGACCCCAATAACAAGACCCTTTACCACGATGGGTTTAGGTCCAGTGGTAAGTGACAATGCTCTCTGAGCCAGAGCACAAGTGTCCACTTAGCAGGAGACCTCACAGGAAGAGATGGGGTGCGCAAGAGCTTTACAGCAAGTCTCTATACATATTTTGAAATAGGAGAGCAGCAAACTTCCAACAAGTTTACCTGATAGTGATTCTGTAAAGTCCTTTAAGCATCAGCCTGGGCAACAAGTCTATAGGTCCCACTGCCTTGTTATCATGTAGTGTCAGAGCACTGGCTGATATAGGCAGGATGATTCAGTCACTGACCTGCCTCTTAGTCTCAGATTTTCTTCCATCCGTTGAGATGTAGGTTGCCAAGTCAACATCCTTCTGAACAGGCGCTCAGCCCATTTAATCTTGCCAGCGTCTCTGCCACCTTGCCTGCATCCACAGAAAGGTCATGCTCTGCATCTGACCTGTCAACTGATGTGGATCCTCGGACCTTTTGTTGTAACCATTGGACCACAGGCATCCATGCCCTGTTGCTGGCTCCTGCAGAAGGATCTGCCTTTGGAGAGTCCAGACACAATTCTGATAACCAGCTGCTGCAGTAACGCAAGAGTCTATGCAGGAGTCGGCTCAGCCAAATGTGCACCAGGGAGTCTCACTGGTGTCGCATTCTAGGAAGATGTTGAGGACTGTGCAGGGAGATTCTGCCACAGTCAACCGAGTTCGTGACTCCACTCTGTATTGGAGGTTGGTCAAGCCTCCATGACGGTCCACCTTGAACTGCTCCTACATGGGAACAAAAATGCCACACATCATACACACAGGTCCAGAGTAGGAGAGCAAAAAATGACATCATGAAGAGGGCTTGTGTGAAGCAGAGCAAGCAGGGAAGGAGGCTTAAGTGTTGTGAAGGATAGAGTCACAGACTTAAAGCTCAGTTGTGGTAAAGGGAAGGGTCTAAGACGATCATAATCAAAGGCTCTTCTATTCTGCAGCATCAGAACACCAAAGGTGCAATCAGTAAGTTATGCAAGTCTCCATGAATTCATTGGCATTGCACAATTCCTATTACTTTGTTTATGGGAGACTTCTGCTGAGTTCCTTTTAAGAAAAACTAGGGAGAAAAGTAGAGACACACTTGCACCAAGCTGAGAAGGCCTGACCATAGACCATGAGGAACCTTAGACTTTATCTGCTTTCAGCAAAATCTGCCAACTTTGATTCAAAATGTTTCCCTATAATCATATGGATTTTAAAAGGGTGGAAGAGGGGAAGATGAGATTCTCAATATTTTGTCCTATCCCCAAATCTCCATAGGGTTGGGGAAGCCTTTAGAACAGATTTAGGGGATATGCAGGGAGAGAAGGAGAGTTGTGCAGAGAGAAATATGTGCACCGATGTAACATTCACCATAGTGCTATACTGAATTCCACCCACTGTTATTTATTTCATTTTTGTACCACTTCCTGTGAGGCATCCTGAAGCAATTTACAACACAAGCTTTGTTCAAACTGAATGGGTGGGCATCATTTTTGAAATTTTTTATTTCATTTCATTTCATTTTATTTTATTTATGGCACTCATAAGGAAGGGAAAGCAGATACACGTGAACACTGGGAAGAAACATCAGAGGCACTAAAGGACGGAGATACTGGCTGCAAAAGGCACACTCCCTGGTTTCTAATGCCAGCATTTATTGCTTACATTGTAAAGTTTTTATCCACAGTCATCAGGGATAGAAATGTGCGTTTTAAAATTAAATATTTTGAAAAGTCAATACTGTCTACATTTTGTAGAAAAAATCTATAACAGATTCATGAGTTCCATGAGTTTCAGGCCATACCTATTTCTGTGCCTTCTGATGTAACCATCTTGCTCAACGCTGTTCCCTCCAGGCTAAGCGGAAGCAACAGTGCAGGACTTACTACAGAGCTATATGGCCAGCTCCACGTAAGAAAAACAATGTATTTTTAGTTCCAACCCCCAGCCACCTGCTTCCCCCATCTCCCACATGAGAAACTCCCACCTGCTTTTGGGAAGCAATGCGCTTCTGGTCTCTCTTGCGCCAAGCTGGGTCATGAAGATGCTGGAATGTCTTATATCCACTTTTAATTCCTGATGGCCGGAACAGCTGAAATAAAAAGTTGGAGCCTACATTGAAGCCAGAAATCTCTGTCCAAAACAGAATTCACACACCATGCCAGAATAACAGGCTCAAATCTCACCCAGAACTAGAGTCCCAAGGTCTCAAACTACAGCGAAAGCCATTCTGCAGCCTCACCTGAAGTCCAGCGCCTCTGATGCGGCGATAAAACTCATCATCCTCACGGCCCCAGCCCCAGAAGCGGTTCGACATTCCATTACACTGAAACAACAATAAAGGCACAGTTGAAACCAGAAATATTCTCCCTCCTTCAAGTCTTGGGACAGAGACAGTAATATCTGCTGCTGTCTTTACTAAGCCACAGCTAACACCATTACCGCAAGACTCTTCGTCTTCAGGATTAAATGGAGTAGAGTGCATCAAAAGCCATTGAATGTACAGTGCCAAGTCTAACCCCCTAACTGATTCTGGGATTGCTCAGAAGGTAGAGCACAAGACTCTTAATCTCAGGGTGGTGGGTTCAATGAAAATAACTAGCAAGGACTTTGTCCTTCTGTGGGTTGTATAAGATATCCCAGGAGCCCAAAAGAAAGAACTTAGGTCTTACCATTCGATAGTGCTGCTTGGTGAGCAGCAAGATGCCACCTACGTAGGTGTTATAGTGATAGAGAGGGTGCAGCTCTGGCGATGCCACGTGGAAAGGGCCTGCAGCTGGGAAGCCGTAGTCCAATTCCTCATTAAGAGGTAACAAGTCCACATCATGCATGGCAATGTAATCCGTGTCATTGCCACTTTCGAGGAAGCCCACGTTGATCAGAGATGCTCTGTTAAACCTGCCCAAGAGACCAATGCAAGCAGATGGGACCTATGTCAGAAAATTATATTCAGGAAAGCTCAGCCACCACTGTCAAAAGTGTTCAGCTTGTGCACCCAACCACTGTTTGATGATCTACGCTGTCCCTAGGAACTCACTGGGAGCTGTCATCTGGGGTTTTGGAGTCACACTATGCAGATGACACCCACCTCTCTCTCTCTCTCTTTCATCTGAATCATGAGAAGTGGCTTAGGTGCTACATAGGTAGTAGTGGTTAGCTGGATATGCACCAGCTAATTGATACTAAATAGGCATAGGTGGCATGTGTACCGGGTTCTCAAATCCATTCTGGCAGGCTCATAACTTGAGGTACTCCTGGATGCAGCATGGTCACTGGAAACCCAGGTGGCCTCAGGAGCTAGAAATGCTATTTCCAGCTACAGTCCTGTCCTGTTAACTTCCAGACTGGATCATTGCAATACACTCTACATGGGGCTGCCTTTGAAGAGGACTTGGAAACTTCAACAGGTTCAAAATTCAGGAGCCAGATTACATACTGGGGTTGCCTTTAGAACTCATATAGCTCCTGTTTTAAAATAGCTGCACTGACTGTTAGTTTCTGGGCTCATGCTACTGTTCAAAGCTCTAAATGGCTTAGGCCCCAAATAACAGACACTGCCTCCATTCCTACAAATCGCTTCAGGTGCTGAGAGAGCTCTCTTTGTAGTCCCACCACTTTCAGAAGTTGGTGGGGTAGTGGCTCAGAAGAGGGCAATCTCTGTGGCAGTCCCTGAGTCATGGAATTCCCTCCTCACAGGTGTTCTGGCACCCTCACAATGCAGCTTTTGGCATAAGCTGAATATGCACCTTTGATACCTGAGATGTGTATTTTCAGGCCCACACTTTTCCAGTGACTGATTTGTTTTACAGTCTGTTTTAATTCTGAATTTTAAATTCCCGCTCTAGGACCTGCTAGTGAAGGGTGGGTAATAAATTTCAAAATAGTAACAACAATAATAGTACTAATATTCAGTGAACAATCAGAGTTAAAAGAGCAAGCATTTTGCACTATTGGTGCAGACTTAATATTATATACCCTTTCTGATCATAATCTTCCTATTGAAGGAAACTTTTATTTAATTTTAACTTTTAATTTGGTTGGGAGAATTTGCAACTATGCACTTAAGTGCAATAGCAGAAATGCATTATTAGCATATATTACTTATGGCTTATGTGTGTGGTACGGAAGCTGTACTACCCAGGACAGGATGGGGTTGTGCAGGGTTGTTAAGGCAGCAGAGAGCATTGTTGGCTGCCCACTCTCCACCTTAGAGCAGATTTATGCCACAAGGTGCCATAGGAAGGCACTGGACATAGTAAAAGATCCATCGCATCCTGGTCACTGTCTCTTCGAGCTCTTGCCGTCGGGACGGAGATACAGGACGATGAAGACAAGAACGAGCTGTCTTAAGAGCAGCTTCTTCTCCAGAGCGATCTCGGCCCTGAATGGGAAGCCCGGACTTTGAAAGTCATCTAATCTCCCTTGCTGTATTATACTCTATTGATTAATTAGTGTTTTTATGGAGCAGTCAAGTAATTTCGTTGTCCCCGAAGGGGGCAATGACAATAAAGATATTATTATTATTATTATTATTATTACCAAAAACACATGCTGGAAAGGCAGGAATTCTGAAAATAAAGGGAGGAGAATGAAATGAGGTATGAAATTATAAGAGTGATGGAGAAAATCAAAACTTGACTAGATAGGCCACTGAACTGATCCAACCATCTCTTCTTATGTTCTTATAAAACAAATCCAAGAAATACATTTTGTTTTCCAAGACTGTGTGTTTAAGCACACCAAAGCATTCATCATATCATGCTTCCTTATGGTTTCAGAAAAGAAGAGGAACACCCTTATGGAAATGTATAAAAAGCAAAAACTTTCCCTCTGAAAAGAAAGTATCAGTTCTGCTCTATAGATGAGGGCAAGAAGGAAAGCTGGGGCTGATAGGAGTTGTTGAGAGCCCCAGTTCCCATGCCCTGAGCTAGAGGAACCTTGGAAAGTCAGTTCCTTTAGAATATTTTGTATTATCCAAGCATTGTTTCAATGAGAGATGGATATGAGAGACTTCAGATATGATTTCAAGGTTACACATCTTGCAGGTGGGGGAAATGCAAATATCTATTTTAGATAATACAAAGGCCCAATGTTCCCTTCCATATCAATATCATGTCCAAAGTCACCCAAAGAAGAACGCAATAATTTGGGATACAGGTTAGGTTGAAACATTGAGGGGGAGGCACAGCATGGGGTTCACATTCACCCATACCTTACAGTACCTGTAATGATCCACCTGGTTGAGTATGAAGATATGATGGCGAATTTTCTTCCTGCTGAGGAAGCGATGCATGTGAGGCACAAAAGCCAGCAGCTCTTCAAAGCGCTCCCGGAAAGGCACCAACACTGCTAGACGGTGGGGTCCCCATGATGAGTCATCAGGAAGCTGAGGGAGAGGCTCCAATGTACAGGGTTTCTGAGGCACTGTAGCTGCAGCTCTTTGACTTCTAGTCACATCCCCAGAACAACTGAGTTGCAGCCACAACAGGGAGAGAAAACCCAGCAACAGTGCAACAAAAAAGAGTTGAAAGAGAGAAAATTTCCGGGGTAGGATACCAAACAGCCGGCAGGACCTGAAGCAAAATCAGAATAGGGCAAGTCAACACAGTGAAACATAGCAGATAATTCCATGTGCAAAAGAAGGCAAGACTTACTTACTACTGAGTAAACATGCACAGAAATATGCTGTTAAGTTTTCCCCTATGTTACACCAACTCCAAGAGCTCATCCTATCCCCCCATATTCATCCAAAATGGGCTCTTTAAAAGCATTGCATGTACCTTGTGCAAAGTGAAACCCGCCAACTTGAAAACCCTTCTTCCTAACAACTAATGTGTTGCCAATTGCCAGTTACTTGGGAGAAACTTCTTCCTGACTCAAGAGACAACATGGATTCCGTTACTACATCTCTAGGTAAAAAAAAGATTTGCTATATTTGAGAAGAGGAAGGGCAGGGTGAGATAAGGGGAAGTATACAGCCCTCTTAGACGTCTCTTCTAGCTCAATCTCCATAAAACGCCTCCAGTACAAGCTCCCCGCGCCCCGCTTCAAGTGCTCCTCTCCCCCCCCCCCCATATAGTGCTTTCCATTCATTCCTATAGGGGAAGTAAACTATTAATGGAGGAAAAAGCAAAGAGATGTGCCACTCGGGGTATAGTTAAGGCGGGAACGAAGCTTGTTTCTCAGCCATTCAGATTCACGCCCATCCTAACCTCCACAGCACCATTTCTTGACCGCTCAAAACTGCGACAAAAAGTGGGAAGATAAAACAGGTATTTCAGGACTGAAGCTTAGACGCTGAGCCTTCACGGTCCTCGAGCGCTTCTCATCCATCGCCCCCCCCCCTTCCTAGTTTTCCTCTCTCTCTCATATATTTCCTCTCCCTTAGGATACTTACCCGCTACCCGCGCGGCGATACATAGTAGACTTGCGCCGGGACGGGAACATCCTACTGCCTTGCCGGCAGGACTCCCCGCCCAACCCGGCCGGGACACGTTGGCGTGGACACCAGGTCCGTCGACTAGAGCGGTCCTCTAGAAACGTGCTCCCCGCTGGCTGTTCCGCCTAACACTCGTTCCTACACGAGCACAGCTACTCCGAGGAACCGCAGATTCGCCGGTTTCCCGGCCGAGGTGGACCACATAGAAAAAATAGAGGAGGAGGAAAACGAGGCAGTAGATCTCAGTGGTATCAGGCAGCTTATGGGGAGCTTCTAGACAGCCCAGAATGAGCAAATGAATTAACGAAGTTGGGGTGAGTTGACGCATGTAATATGACTAGGTTTTGTGAAAACATTTTTTTTAAAAAAAGTTGAAGCTGGCAACAAAGTATTGATACTCTATTACCAAAACTCTTATGTACATGCATTTTGGGACTTCTGAACAAAGTGTAAGATCTTGACATGAAATAAAGTTAGCAGTCATTGTTAGAAGGAAATACCATCTTTATTGACTTCTCTCTCATTTGCTTTACAGTAGCAACCAGGGCTAAAATAGCCACAATACAAAAAAACAAGTATATGCCACTCATTAAAACTGGTCCTTCATCCATAGAGCTTTAGTTGTTTAATCTCCTACATAAAAGCTTGAACTCCTACACTGCAGCATCTAAAATTGTCACCCCATTAAGTTGTCTTAGTTGGTCACAGCAGAGTGTAAGAAACAGGCAACTTCACTTGTTTCACAGGAGCACAGTCAAGGTGGCTTTAGGGAAGTTGGGATCTTAGACCACTTCAATTGGATGATGTAGTCAGTGGCACAAACACAGACCATTGCAAATATCACAAACCTGGGAAACTAAAAAAAAACAAAAAACTCAGATGAAAGAGACCCTTTCCAACAAACCTGGTTCCAACAGAAGGACACCAGCATTCACTCATCTAGTGCAGCAATCTTCATTCATTCTAGAGCAGGTCTGGGAACCTTTGGCTGAACCTTTGTTACTGAACTACAGGTCCCATCAGCTGCAAACAGCATGGCTAATGGCCAGGGATGATGGGAGCTGTAGTTCAGCATCATTTGGAGAGCCAAAGGTTCCCCACACCTAGTCTAGAATGTGCTTTCCTATGCTCTCAACTGTTTTCTTTTTTAAGATAGATATTGGCACAGTCATGAAGCTTTATAATTAAACTGTTTAATGCCCTCAAAGAATTATTCTGAACATCTTCAGCACTTCAATGTTTAGCCAAGTTCTGCTATCTGAAAATCAAGACAGTTCAGGCCAGAGCAGATTATGTCTGGCTCAGAACTCCTTAGCAACTTGAGGACATTCACAAGTATCTCAGCAACATACCACCACCACCCTTTTGTAAATCTAATAACACAACATATTCAAAGCAGCAAGGGGCGGGGGAGGGGGGAAACCATTAAGATAAATTTTAGAAATTGAAAGGCTGGTGCCATTTGAATTGCAGAAGTCACTGCAGTTGTTCCCTTGCCTCTAGTAAACAATTCTGGTTTTTGTATGGCAACAAATAAATTCCCTTTCACATTTAGGAAAGTGTACACTTGTCTCTACTTTCATGTAAAATCAGTATGGTAATTGTGAAGCCAAAGCGGAGCAAAGAATATGCTACCCTTTCAAGTTTTCTGCTCAGCCATCATGACACACAAAATATGAGCTTCAGACCTCTATAGCAAAAAGAAGGCATGGATAGGTGCTGCTGTGATGGGAATTTAACCATATCTGCACTTTCTCTGTCTCCAATGTGTCTCCTAAAAAATCCATCTCAGATACGCCAAGCCAACACAGCCACTTCTCCAAAGGCTTAGTCACCAGTAACATTTACAAACAAAAGACACTGGACATCACTTAAATAGTCTACATATGGTGGCTAGGTCACCCATAGTGATATTGGCCTGAGAACAAGCTGCATGCCTCCCAACACACATGATCCTTACCCCTCTCATGCACCCAAACTGGGGGCTCGTTACAACAGTTTCTCATAACATCCAAACTTAGGCTTAAGTGCTGCAACTCACAAGTGTTGTTTCCATTCCTAACAAGCACGATGTAAGTGTCCAAGCTGGGTGCAATGAAGGGAGGAGAAGGGGAAGGAAGAGTGTATGGGCACATGGTTCAATCTTAGGCCAATAATCCATGGTTGACCAGTTCAAAATTAGTCTCATTGAGATTTAACCATATTTTTGGCTCTCCCCCTAGTTTAAATGTAACAGTCTTCTGGGTCTCCTCCATCCCAAATAGCAATCTCAAACTTTGATAGGGGAGGGGTCATGAGAAGATGCTTCAATAATTTTGGAATTATAATCAAACCATATGAATTTGTTGGATGTCCATAAATGTATTTAGCAAAACAAACCTCTAGGAGACCTGGACTGTAAAGTTCCTTGGGAAAGGAATTCTACTGAAACTAACAGGGTTTGCTTCCAAGTAAAATGGAGTTATGATTGGGCTGGTGGAACAGCTGGAAAAAGCAAGTCAGCACATGTTCCTGCTGCAAGAACAGCAGCGCAGAACCAAGCTTACAACCAATAAGCTCACATTCGTAAGAAAATGAGGCATCTGATCTGCCAGAAGAATAGTGGTTGTGTATATACAGGAAAAGCCAATTTAATTCTAGCAAGCTACAGAGGAAGATATAAATCAAGTAAATTTCAATACTTGGCTATCCTCAGTTAATAGCCCAATTATTATCACAAAGCCCAACACATACATACAGTGTCCCAGTATTATTCCACCAATCCCACAGCAGTTAATCCCAAAATCATTCCATATCCCATTCACATTAAGAATATACAGGACAGGAGAACTGCAGGCAGAGCTTCCAGGTCTTCTTATTCAGTGCTTTTCTTCAAAGCAACATACTGGCGGCATCAAGAAGTCAGAGCTAGTAAAAATACAGCAGGGCTCAAAACTGGCATCAGTTTCTTGGCTTTGTCATTTGTGACGCTGGCTGGAAAAAAAGGTCCTGGGTGCCCTTGGGAAGAGTTGATTTTTGATGAAGGACACTCTTAGGCAAGAGAAACCCCCCCCAGCTCCTCACACAGAACATGAGTGACAGTGAGGGAGGGCAGGTCTGGATTGTCTGGAGAGAACACAGTGCCTTAAGAGGCAAAGCTGCTGCCCTGGAACCACAGCAGGCTGAGATGTTGGCAGGGAGGAAGAGAGATGGAAGGACAGAGGCAGAGAGAGGTAGATGATACTGAGCCTGGACAACAAGAAGTCTGGTGGAAGAAGACTGAGGAGAGGAGAAGCACCCGTGCAGGCACTGAAGAACTGAGAATGGCTCCTGTGGGAACTGCAGGCCTTTTGCTGATATCAAACCACACTTTTTTTTATACCAGCTTCTTGGCCTCAAAGAAACTTTTAAGATGCCTCATCTGCCAGACTCCAATGGCTACAAGAATGAGGGTCTGGACAATGGACCACCAGAGAACCCGCTGGTTTGTGCTCTCACTAGTTTGCCGGAAGCGCTCCTCTCGCCACTGAGGAAAAAAGAAGAGGAGAAAACAGTTTAGGAGTAGGAAAGGGGAGAGGATTCATCAAAAGCTAAAAGGATACTTTTTTAGCATGAGTTGGGGGAACAGCTGACTCTGGAAACCAAAGTTTGGCCACAATCACACTACACATTTAAAGTACTATGATACCATATTAAAGAGCCATGGCTTCATCCAAAGAATTCTGGGAGTTTATTAAGGGTGCTGAGAGTTGTAGGAGGCCTCTATTCCCCTCACACTGCTACAATTCCCACAAATTCCTATGAAGTGGGATTGCTTGTTAAACCACTCCGGGAATTGCAGCTTTGTGAGGGGAATGGTCTCCTATAACTTTCAGTACCCTTAACAACCTATTGTTCCAGGGACTTTTTGGGAGAAGCCATGACTGTTTAAAGTGGTACCACAGTGCTTTAATCGTATTGTATGAATGTGGCTGAAGTCTACCTTCCGCAAACAGCACAACCTTAACTAATAAGGGTGCATATTCCCTATAGTATTACCCTTTAGAAAGAAGCCCTCTTCCCCACGTCAGAACTGTATGATGTGAGCATGTAAGCAGACCACTTCCTTTCCCAGTCTTATTATACAGAGAGCATTACTGGAGGCCAGCTGAGAAGCTCTTTGGAAGCTACCCATGCCAAGACAGACTAGTTGTCCATCTAGGCTGGGTACAGTCTACTCTGATTGGCTGAGGCCGTCTGGGTCTCAGGAGGAAATGTCTTCTCCATCATCTGCTGCCAGAGTCTTTTAACTGGAGGCATCAGAGAATGAACATGGACCTTCGGCATATGAAGCAGGTGCTCTGCCACTGAAGTACAGAGCTGGATTCAACCAAGATGTTGCACTAGTAGAAGCCAGCACAGTGAGTCCCACTAGCACACTGGGACTTCCCCCACCATCCCTGTCCTCTCAAATTGGGTCACAAGAATCCCCAGAGTAGTGCATGGAGGGAGGAGAGAGTAGATTGTTCCATCTGGCAAGCGGGAAAAAATGTGAAGCTGGAACTATCACCTTAACATGACATTAAATTTCACCCACAGTCCCCCTCTTTTTACCCGCTGGTAGTTCTGCTCTTTCTGGATCTGTTCAATCTGCTCTAGGAGCTGGCGTACACGTAGCTGCAGCTCACTCAACTTGTCTTTGGCTGCAATCTCAGCATAGTCGTTGGCATGTTCCCCAACCTGGATATCGAGGTGGACCCTCTGCAATGAAATTCGAAACGTCAACAGTGAAAACTTGGGCCTGAAGATACCCACCAAAGCATGATGCTTCAGGAGCTGGCTTGTCAAATCAAATGAACCCAAACACAAATCTTCCCTTTGCATGAATCCTCTTACCAGCATGCCTCCCGCAAAAAGGGAAAACTTTGTGGAATTAGAATGTAGGCAGATCTGATGTTCCCCAGGTGTGTGAGAAGTAAAGGTGAATCTGCCCTCTGACCCATACTGTCGAGACAACACCACCTACAGAACAGAACAGAAGGGAATGTAACGTATGAGTCAACCAAACATACCAAAACCATTTTGATACCAGGGTTCACACAGCCATAATCAGTTAAATTAGGAAACACTGAAAATTTGTAGTACCAGTATTTTAGGTTGATTACACATATGCTTCTGGAATACTCTGCTCTGTATAATTAAAAACTATTAAGATTTCTACTGTGTACCTGAAGTCTTCTGGATAAAGTCTTCAAGCTGCATCTATTCCACCATGATATATTGCCTATTTTACACACAATAATATATCAACATGATACACTGCCAGTTCTGCAGGCCATAAAGCCAACATTTGTAGCTCCAACAGGTGTGTGCTGAGTGGTTTTCCACAGCAAAAGGCCATGACAACAAATCAACAGCATGAAGTTTGAGATCCACATTGTTATCTCTCAACAGTCATGCACCCAGACTCTTCTTTGGGGATGAAAGAGGTGGTCTGCAAATTATCCAAAGCTGTTCACAAAACACTGATGTAGTGAGCTCAACGTACTAGTCCTACTGCCACACAAAAGGGCACAAGGGACCAAAAATACAACCCTGCTTCTTCATATCTAGTTAAGTCTGGGGTGCCAACTTGAATAAAATATTGGGGAGGCTCAGGTAAGCCCTACCCTGCATAAGCAATCACAAGAGGCAGCACATTCACACCATTTAAATGGCAATGCCCATGGGGCCCCCTGACTCCCTCAATTATTGTATTGGAGAGGCCGAAGGGACCTTGGCCCCTAGAAGTTGGCTCCTATGGGTCAAATACTTGCGTATCAGCACACCAGACAACAGACCAGGAGAATACAATCAAAATAATGGCCCTTAGGAGACGAAGATCAGAAAAGGAAAAACCCTTTTCCCTATACTTCTGAGCAGAAATAGTCTGTGGTTACACCATACACCTGGGACACAAATCCGTCCTCAGTGCAACAGAACACGTGGACATCTTCTGTGTCCGTATACCTTTTCATCAGGGTCCTTCACTTCCACAAACATGCCCAGGCCAGGAGTAGCCGGAAGGTACTCTTCCCGTTGCTTATCAAACAGCTGCGTCCGGTAATTCCCTGTGATATAGAAACGGAATAGGATGAGGGGAAAGTTGGCCGCCCAAACAGTTAAATAACTTAATTTCCCAGCTGAATCTCCATCACCATTTACATATACACAGGTAAATCTCCTCCCGTGTTCCCATCTCACCCACAGTTTCATTGCCCTGATCGGCAGCCCCTCAAAAGCTTTAATACCCGCAGCCCCCCCAGATCACTGCGCCCCAGATCCACCCCCTCTTTACCCTTCCCGGGCCATGAACCCGACCCCACCCCCAGCTAGCGCCACTTTCCCCGCTCTCCCCTCCGCCCCGCCAGGCGCACCGATGACCATGGTCTCGTCGGGGATCTCCTCGATGAAGCACTTGCGCTCCGTCTCGCCCAGGTGGAAGTAGAGGCCCCAGCCGGGCGAGGCGAGGCCGGCCAGCAGCAGCAAGAGCCGCAAGAGCACCGACGGGCTGCGCACGGGAGCCGCCATCACGCCGCGCCTGCGTCCCGCCTCTCCTCTGCTCCTCGAGCCACGTAATCGCTCCAGCCGGGAGGGCTGAGCAGCCGCGCGGCCTTCAGGCGGCAGGACTACAACTCCCAGCAGCCCTCGGGAAGGAAGCGACGCCGGGCCCTTCGCTGGAGAACCTCCCCTCTCCCGCAGGAGAGGTGCTGGTGTGCCATTGGTCAGAAGCGAAGGCGTATGTTGCGGGGGCGGGGACCTGCGCCTTGCCAGGTGTTTTTTTTAAAATATATATATAAAATTATGCTTCTCAGGTTTATACATTTCACTAATTTCACAATCATTTTAATATTTCAAAACTTGATTTCCTCCCCCCTCTTTCTACGGTTCCTTAAATTTATTTTGTATATCTTCTGCATATCCAAATTAACTTAATTTGCTCATTTATTCATCTACTTTAAATATACACTGTACTCTTATAAAACTGCAGGTTATTACAATAATCCTGCCAGTCTTGCCAGATGTTTTGGACTATAATGCCCATCGTCCCTGGTCACCTGGGTTATGCTGACAGAGGACTGATGTGGGTTCCATTTGGAAAGCATCACCTGGCTAGCGGCATCCAGTCTCCCTTAGCACCTCCAAACTCCTTTAGACACTGCTGTCCTTGAATATGCCTCAGGCTCGCTCCCTGACTTCTGGAACAGAAACTGCTGCAGCCAGAGCATAAGCCTGAGCTAGTTACTCAAGTATTGGGAGTGCAGAAACCCAGTTCAAAATGCACTGAAGGTGTGATAACAGGAATGGCCTGGATTTTCTGTCTTGGTCAGACCACACCTGGAATACTATGTCCACTTCTGGGCACCCCAATTTATGAAGGATGTTGACAAGCTGGAACATGTGCAGAGGAGGGCAGGCAAGATGGTCAAGGGTCTGGAAAGCAAGCCTTATAAGGAATGGTGGAGGGAGTTGGGTATGTTTAGTCTGGTAAAGAGGAAACCTGGAGGAGATATGATTAGCTACCTTCACTGCCTCCCCTTCATGGATCACTGCCTTGCCATGGCGAAGGAGCTTGAATAACGCAGAGAAGCTATGAGTTATGCCATGTAGGGCCACCCAAGATGGACAGGTCATAGTGGAGAGTTTTGACCAAATGTGATCACCTGGAGCAGGAACCGGCAAGCCACTCCAGTATCCCTGCCAAGAAAACTCCATGGCCACCTCATGAGAAGAGAAGACTCCCTGGCAAAGACTCTGATGTTGGGAAAGATTGAGGGCACAAGGAGAAGGGGACGACAGAGGACGAGATGGTTGGACAGTGTTCTCGAAGCTACCAGCATGAGTTTGACCAAACTGCAGGAGGCAGTGGAAAACAGAAGTGCCTGGCATGCTCTGGTCCATGGGGTCACGAAGAGTTGGACACAACTAAATGACTAAACAACAACAACCTTCAAATATCTCAAGAGCTGTCACATGGAAGATGGAGCAAGCTTGTTTTCTCCTGCTCGGGAATGTAGGGCTTGAACCAATGGATTCAAGTTACAAGGAAGGCAATTCCAACTATGCAACATTAGGAAGAGCTTTCTGTGGTTAAGAGTTGTTTGACAGTGGAATAGATGACCCCAGGTGATGGACTCTCCTTCACTGGTTTTTTAAGCAGAGGCTGGATGAGCATCCATCATGGATACTTTAGTTGAGATTCCTGCATTGCAAGGGGTTGGACTAAGATGCCCCTTGGGGTCTCCGGAGGGCTCCCCGTGCTTCGGGCGAGTGTCTGCAAGCCTTGCGCGCCCGGCAGGAGGTCCCGCCGAGCGCGTGAGGCTTGGGGCAGCAGCTGTCGCCCGAAGCACGGGGAGCCAGCCGGCGGGCTCCCGGTGCTCCGGGCGAGGGTCTGCAAGCCTTGCGCGCCCGGCAGGAGGTCCCGCCGAGCGCGCACGGCTTGGGGCGGCAGCCTGTCGCCCGAAGCACGGGGAGCCCTCCGGAGGGCTCCCCGTGCTTCCGGCGAGTGTCTGCAAGCCTTGCGCGCCCGGTGGGAGGTCCCGCGGAGCGCGCGAGGCTTGGGGCGGCAGCCGCCGCGGGGGGGGAAAATAATTTTTTTTATTCATTTCCCCCCCCCCAAAAAAATGACGTGCGTCCTATGGGCCGGTGCGTCCTATAGAACGAAAAATACGGTAGCTTACTTACTGAGTTGAGAAGTGAGCAAAAAGATTGCAAATCTTTCTGCACCTAAAAATGCAGTTAATAAGGCTCTTTTTCTCACTGAACTCCTTACACACCTACATTTCTAATAATTCACTGAAAATAATTCACCACCTGCAGTGTGAAGGGATACATACCGAGTCCAACATGAGCCCAAGCCACAAGGCTACATCACATTAAAGGCCCCATTAACCCACCATTCTTACTTGTACTCCATAAAATTAAGACAAACAGCAGCTGAGGTCAGTTTTCCACTTTTATTTCACACACCCTCTCTTTCACCCATCATCTTGCAGATCCACACGCAGCTATGTGGCTATGGCAAGGTCCCACCACCAGAACCACCTCGTTCAGAAGTTTAATGCGATGATTCAGAGCAGGACCTGAATGTCTGTGACCCAATTTTGGCATATGCTCCACAGTAACTGAAAAAAATCAAGTTCCCACTCTCTCAGACCAATGTAATCACAGGTTCCATCACCAAAGGGGGGGGGGGCGGGAGAGATCACATTTGATAGTCACCAGTTGTTTTGGTGTAAATTAGTCTCACTTTCAGCAGTAGAGAAAGAGCTGGTACTAAAAGGAAGTACCAGGGCCAGTGAGATTACAAAATACATTCAGTTCAAAACACCCACCTTGAAGGCGGCTTACGGGCCAGGCAAGAAAATTGCTGCCAGCAGTTAGCAGGACTCTGGAAATATTGCCCTGTTAGAGAAACACCAGCACATACTAGCTGGGATACAGAGTCATGCCCCATAGAGGGGGAAAACCCACCTCTAACCACAGTTCTTTCCCCCCTTTTTAAAAAAGGTGTTAAAGAGGGGCTGACGGCTCTGAATAGTATTCAGAAAGAGAGACAAGGTGCTCCCCCTACCTTCCTGATTGTTCTGACATATGCTGTCGGGCTTGTGCTGCCAGGCGGGGGGAAAAGATATGAAAATAATCCGTGTATTTCTCTGAAAGAGCCTTTTCGAAACCAGAGTCTATACAATTCTCCCTCCCCCCTGTAAAAAATATTCCCAAATGCCCAGAATGTGGGCTTGCTTCCCCCTCTAGTAAAATCGCTTGTTCCGCTCCTGGCGTTTCTGGAAGACCACGGCTCCCACCACGGCACAAACAATGATGCCAAGCAGAGAACACAGGAGCAAGAGGAACACCTTCCAGCCCGTCAAGGGCCCACTGCGGAAGTTTCCTGTCGGGTCATCCACGTTATCTAAAGGAGAGGGGATGGGAAAGAGAAGCGGAGAGAGAGAGATTTTACAACACACATCACACTCTCAGGCTAGACAGTAAATGGGTTAATACAATCCCTAAGAATCAGCGGTCGAAATTTGCCAGGAGCCAGGCGCATTTTGCACCTGGCTACTGGCCACTTGTGACCAAGTGAAGATACCCGGGTGCCAGAATGGCACCTGACGTCTCCCATCCTCTGGTGGTGCATGCCTGAGGATCCTTGGATCCTGACTGTTTTCACACACTAACAACACAACCTGCGTTGCTATATTTTATCTGCACAATCAGAATGAATTTTAAGAACCGAAAAGTCGTATTGAAAAATATGAATTTCAAGCCATCTGGCCCCAAAATATCAACAAGGCATTCTATTTTGGTAAATGTAAGCCTAGTATTAGGAGCCATTTGGTGCCTAGTTTATATATCTGAGTTTCTAACACTGCCAAGAATGCACAGAGTGTGTAGGGGAAAGAGAAGAAGGCATGCCACAGGTCTCCAAATATTGCTCTGTTCCACCCTCAGCTGTCTTGCATTGAGCAGGAAGGCCTGAAAAGGGGTTTCTAAGCATATTTGGCTGAATGCACTTGGAAATCTCCCTGTGATCAGCTACCGTGCGTTATCAAGGTTCCTGATCACAAGAATGCTTCTAAGTATGCTCAGACAACGGTGATAAAATGATGTTCTCAGTGGTGCCGCCACAGAGGCAGACTGGTTGGTATTAACCCATGACAGGGCCTTTTCAGTGGTGGCTACTAATTTGTGGAATGTCCTCTCTAGTGAGGTGAACCATTCACTAGGAATCTGAAAACATTCCTGTGTGTCCAGGCATTTAGTGACTGAAGAATACTGCTCTTGGCAACTGATACCATGGGATGAAATAATGTTTTTAACTGTAGCTGCTTTTAGAATCCCCACCCCCAATTGTGGATATGTTTACCGCCCTGGGGAGAGAGGGTGGGATAGAAATATAATAAAATAATAATAAATGTAAAACTCCCTTCATATCTTTATACTCATGGATGGTGGAGCAGATGGGGATCACTGGGGTATGGATGGCACATGCATACCTATACACATTTTAAAGTATTTTTTAATCAATTCCAACTTTTATTATTATTATTATTATTTTATTAAATTTCTATATCTCCCTTCACCTAAGGATCACAGGACAGTTTACAATATAAAACACAAAAATACATAAGAAACTAGCAAACAAAGCAATAACCCCCACCTACAGTTTAAAAGGACATAGAATGGCTAATTAGCCAAAGGCCTGGGAGAAGAGGAATGTTTTTGCCTGGTCCTAAATATTCAAGAAGGCACCAGGCGAGCCTCCCTGAGGAGAACACCCCACAGGAGGGGAGCCACTGCAGAAAAGGCCTTTTCTCATGTTGTCACCTTCTGGACCTCTTGTGCTTCCAACATGCACCGTAGCACATTTCTTTACAAAATACACATTGTTTGAATGCAGGAACAGGATTACAGATTGTCAAAATTCTGAGCTGCAGAAGAGAGCTTCTGGAGAATTATACCCAGAATTAAATTCAAGCCAGCAACATGATACAGATTTTATGCTTATCCAAGTAAACACATTTTACAACAATCCCAACTTGGGATTACAAATGTTCATAACACATGAATAAATATTTACTCAGAGGATTTCACTGAATTCGGAAGGACATAAATACTAGAACGTATGTTTAAGATTACAGCTGTCATTGCACTGGGATTTCTAAGTGCTCCCTAGTAAACAGGATCAAGATTTTCATTTCAGTCTGCCACTTCAAGCTAATAAAGGGTCAAGCACAACTCCATGAAAGTGAATGCTGACCATTTAGCATGCCCTGAAGAGATATGGGGATGCTTCCTCACACGAGGGAGCGATCTCCCGTTTGCTTCATGAGCATTCAAAGCAAAAGTACTAAGAACTCACCTTTTGGTGACTTGAGAAGGCTGACACTAGGCTCAATTTTTGTCCAGTCAATGTTTTCTTCCTCTGGTGGATGTTCTACCATCAGCTGAAATAACTTCATTGAGATGATGTCATGATTGTCTAGGAAACAAAGACATCAAGTTGCAATGTGGTGGTACAGCTTATTTAAAATGCCATCTCTTAGAGAAAGAAGACTTTTTTTAAAATAAAGAAGCTATTAATTCAGGAAGTTGACTTAAGATCCTCTAGTACCCAGTTCAATAGTACAAATGTTATTGTCTTCACTTTACCTAAAATGGCTCTACTTTACCTATAACACTAGATCTACGCAACAGAGCCAATTCCTCCTTTTTGGCAAGCAGCCCTTACCAGATAGATCGCCTGTACCAGCAGAAGCCCCAAAGAAGTAACCAGTGGGCAGGCGGACTCCAGCAACATCAAAGCAATTTTTCCATTCATTTTTGTCCTCCACATCAGTCATCACCTGCAAAATACGTGTCATCTTGGATGCGAAGAACAACCCAAATTTCACTCTCCCAACCACATAAAAAACCTTACAAGCACACTAGAGCTTCAATTCTGAGGAAGAGAAATTGACCATACCATACTATATTGTCTGGACAATCGGTTCTATATTTTGTATCTTGATACCTTCCCCAAACTGGACCTCTCCAAATGTCGTGGACTACAGCTTTCATCATCCTTGACCATTGACTACCCCAACAACACCTACTGGAAGCTGCTTTGCAGGCATTGTTGATTCCCATTGCATAGCTTTTCCCAAACACCCAACTAGGTGGTTGTCAGGCACTTGAAAACCACTAAACAAAGCATTTTGCAAACTCAATGCTTGGTACTTCCAAATGATTGAAAGGCGAGTTGTCAAAATTGGCCCATGGAGTTGCGGGGGGAAAATTTGAATCTGGCCCACTGGGACAAAAAGGTTCCCCACCTAAGGCAACCCATGAAGAATGCATTCAACGTAGTACCCCAGCCAACTTACTGTCAGACGTCCCCGGGAGTAACGGATAGCCAAAAAAGTGTCATGGTTCCGATTACGAATGTCAGCTGTGCAGCCTGCCAGCTCTGTCCAGCGACCATCTTTGCTATGGTCGTATGCCAGGGATCCATTGTTCACCATGGCAGAGATGTATGGAAATACACGCTGCACAATAAAAGTAGCATGGTTTTAAATCTTCTGCATGTAGCTCTTACCCTAAATACTTGTGAAGCAAATATATATGCATATGGAAGCTCCACTTGTCTGTGAGACAATTCCAGTTAGTTAGTATTAAACCCCATAAAGTTGTAGCTTGGATCCAAACGCCTTGCGAGTCAAACATTTTGGCTCCTGAATGCAGCAAACCCAGAAGTGAATGTTCCAGTTTGCAAAAGTTCTTTGGAGCCCAAACGTCCTACGCAGCTTCTGATTGGCTGCAGGAGCTTCCTGCAGCCAATCGGAAACCACGCCTTGGTTTCCACACGTTTTGGAAGTCAAACTGACTTCTGGAACGGATTCCGTTCGACTTCCGAGGTACGACTGTACTTGGCTTGCAAGTACAAGCAACCCTCAAAGCCAGTGTGTGTCATTACTTACCTCTGTAGCTTCATCATTTGGGTAAGTGTCCAGGAAAATGGCCAGTCCATGGAAGTTATCTTTGCTGCCAAAGACAGGGCCTGAGCAAGACAAAGCAGAGTATGGTGACTAGATCTGCATCCTTGCACCATTGAACAACATAATCCAGCCAGGCAGAACTCTGCAGATTAATCTGTAGAGAGCATCATTATTTCCATACAGTTTGAAGCACTTGAATGTTGCCAGCAAATGTAAGAAAGGTGGTATTATTTTCAAACATTATGCACAAAGAATATAACTATGATGAATGTCCCCCCACTTCTTAAACAGCAGCTTTTCTACTATGGCACATGCATTATCTCCTATAGAAACATGTCAAGTATGTAAGAATTTAGATCTAGTTGTGAAACAACAATAAAGCATTTGCACACACATTCTCAAGCAACAATGAGCTGATATGTAATTAAGAATTCCCAGAAGACTATGCAGCAGTGCTCACCCAACATTCTTAAGAGCTTAATATGAAGGCCTAGTTTTCACTGAGATGGCAAACCTGTCTGGGCTGTGCCACTACAGACCGCAGGTAGGAGCTCACACGACTGAATGTTTCTACATTTAAAAACATCCCTCTACACAAATATATATGGGAAGAGGCACAAGGCTGCAATTCCATATATATTTATATATATGGGAATAAATATCACTGAACTCAGAAGGACTTGCTGCACCTTATAATGCTATGCTAATTTAAGCAACGTAGCTCATAAACTATGCACTTATAACTGCATTTGGGGGGCCAGAATTCATCACAGTGGGATACCACCCTGACTATTCAACCCACTTCAGTACCTGCAGTAAGGCGCTCCCGAGTATACCACAGAGCAAAACCATCTCCGTGCAGATTTTTCTTGCCTATTCCATGGATCTTGAAATGGACATGGAGCTCCCAATCCTTTAGGAAGCAGGGCTAGAAGACAGAATAAGCACTTTTGAGAATGATTCACACTTTGGGTATTGTTAAGCAGGCACGATCACTGCTAGTCTCATCCCACTACCACTTTTTCCATGCTGAAAACACACTCACCACTCGGTTCCAGATTGAACCCTCCTTACTGCGCTCATCAGGGGTCAATCGAACATACTGGCTGGTCAGCATTGTACTCCCCTGGAAATCCCAGAGGGGCATTGAACTGGAGCCAACCCCTAAAACAAAGAAGATACCATGGAAACCAGAAGTTATAGACTAGGCACAAAACCACCACCTCACAAAAATGATGGGAACTGTTCACTTGTTCTCCCAGTTCTTTGGCCATGTATAATCAGCAGAAACTGATTATTCATGGCAACTTGATGGACATCTCTACTAATTTATAATATATTATTTACCAGGCAACTGGGGCTTTCCTCTGGCTCTGTAAGATCTGCCTATTACACAAACCACAGTCTCCAATCGACCCCCGCCCTGCCCCTCCTGGCCTTCAAACTGAAGGGGCTGTCCTGGGCACAGAAAGGTCCCGCCTGGTTATTTATGAGGGTCCTTCGAGAATGTGTGCAAAACGAATAGTACTGTCTTCGCGGCCCTTCGGTTTTCCTACTTCCTGAAGTGTCAAAACCAAGTCTTCCCCTCGGCCCAACGCGACCTGAACCTTAACCGGGGCAACCAGGATGGAGAAAGGCTCGAGAAAGGCGGGCGAGAAGGAAGGGGCGGAAGAGTCGGGGGCAGCAGCCCCTGCCCACCCCACGCACCCTGGTAAGGCTTGATGAGCGAGTGCTCTCTTTTCAGGTGCTCGCTGTTGCCGTCTGTGAGCTCCGCAGCCCCTCGAGGCACCGACCCGGCCAGGAGGAGCTGGAGGAAGAGAAGGGGCGGCAGCGCCATGGCGGCCGCCGACCCCCGCAGGCACCGCGCGGATCCACCGCCTCCCCGACCCACGACCATCCTACTCCCTCCTGCCCTTCTTCTTCCTGCTTCCGGTCGACCCTTCGCCCGGAGGTAAAAAGGAAAGGGAACCAAGGCAACCGAAACCATCGACGTCGGAAACTCTCCGGTCTCTGCAGGCCGGAACTCCGCCCCCCAGCGGCTGTAGAGATAGGAAAAGTGAAGAGTGAAACGTGTCCTCCTGCTACCGCCTTCCGGGGTTCCGAGAGCGCAACGTGTCGGCTTGCGAGTGGTTGGAGCGGGGCAGTTAGAAGTCGCGCCTCCTCCTCTGCTGCCCCCACCCCGGAAAGATCGGGCGCTGCAAGGTTTCCGTGGACTGCTCGTTCTCAGCCTCAGCAGCACCCGCCCTCCAATCTGCAGTATGGGGGTTGTTAGCAAGGTGGTTGTGAGCTGTTTCTCGGCCGACTTCTTCTCTCCGCTTCCCTCCTGGTTGAGTAAGGGACTGAATTGAGGAGTGGCTGGTTCTAAAGCCTGCTTAGAGCTCCAGGGCAATCCTCAGGGATGCCCCCACCCGCAGCTTCATTTCCCAGCACAGCTGCTCACGAGCGCAACCAAAGCAATTTCCAGGCCCCCAGCCCAGTGAGAAGCCGTAAAGGTTCTTGGGAATCCCCACCACTCAATAACTCGTGTCTTCTCTAACACCTTGCTCAACTTTAAACTGGACTCTCTGTATTTTGGGGTTGTTGTTTTTTTAGGAGAGGCCCTTCTAAGGCAGGAGCGGGTGTCTCTCCATCCCTTAAGGAAGCAATTAACATCTATCAAACAAGACAGCTCCCCTCTGAAAGATACGTGTCAAAACCACTAGTGGTGGGGCTCCCGTCTTGTCAGAATCCTACATAGATCTAGGCACAATCCTCTCCAAAGGAGCCAACTCTTAGAGGCCGTGGGGGCTTCGGCCCCCCAAATGTTGATGGGCATTCCCTTTCAAATGGTGTGTTTGAACTGTGTCATATGATCGATTACGCAGGGCGGGGCTTACCTGGGCTCCCACAATCTTTTATTCAAGTTTGCAACCCTGATCTTCTCAGTAACTGAATGTGGCATCCAGGTCCAAAGGAATACAAATGACTTCATCCGCAAAGTGGAGGACAGGCTGAGTCCTCCTAATTTGGTTTGCTTTTTTTCCACAACTTAGATTGGCTAACCATCCAAACAACATTACTTTGCATCCGGCACTGAGCTCCATGTGACTGTGCCTCTTTCGTTGTTCCAATAGGATTCTAATGTATTGTTGCACGCCACCCAAATCGAGAGATGCGAGATTCCAGGGATTCCATGCACTTACCCAGGGTTCGTGTTTCGTTTTGGGAATGAGGCAGAGTGGAGACTGTGGTGCCTTTAGGATATACAGTTTATTTACACATATATACAATCTTAGCCTACAAAGGAGGGGTTCACAGCATTAACATCCCAAAAGGCTCTTGTTTCTCCCATAGCCACAGCCTTGGAGTTTACAGACATCCAACATTGCTCTGTCTCTCTGTCTTCGCCCAGCTTGCTGCTTTACTCTCTAACTCACATCACTGCAACTCAACTCTAAACTCTGGCTTCATCCTTTTAACTAACCACAAGCTGGCGGGGCACTCATGTGCCGTCTCACACAGAGCCCCTTTCCTTTGTTTCCCTTAATGGCCCATTACCGAGGCTATCACCTCAGCCAGGAAGCCAGCTTGGCTTATATTTTAACACTTGCTGGATCCAAGAGATAGAAGGAATTCACATACAGTCTACTTCCTCCCCAATCAAACTCATAACAGTATGTATCTATGTGCCTTTCCCTTGGTTAGTTTTGAACTGTCCTCATTTCATTGTCTTTTCAGCTAGAAGTTGATTTGACACTAGTACTTTACTTAACTACACAAGGCATTACTTAACTACAGTCAGCTGGAAGCAGAAATAAAAATTATGGTTCCACACAGCACTTGACATAGTGCTATATTGTCCATAAAAATCTGGCAAGATCCTATTGTATCTTCACTTAGAGGAACGTTACCCTGCAACTGTACCTTTAATGAATAGGTTTCTCCCTGCCCCTTTCTTTTAAAATAGCCAATTAGTTGCTTCTTGTTCTCTAGTAGCAGGGGCCCAGAGAACTGACCCTTAATTAGTTCCCGTTCCTTTAAATGGCTTTAATTGATTTCCTTTTTTGAAGCCACAGCAATTTATTCTTCTAAATGTTGGTACAATTACCGTAGCAGAATAAAAAAGTAAAATGTAACGAGCTATTGCTTGGACAACAATTAAAGCTCCTTTCCAGGAAACAAGAACTGACTAATTAAGGGCTAACAACACGATCATAATCACGTCTACAAAGAAATATGTCCTATTGAATTTAGTGTGGTTTACTTCCAGGAATTCCTTGGCCAGGAGTGAGCAAGAGCAACTAGCCATTTTCAAATGAGCAAGGAGTAATCTATTGACTAAATGGATGGTAGCCCTTAGAAACCTCAGGGATATTGTAGTTCCATTTGTGCGGGAACTGCATTTTGAGACAAAAAATATCACTACAAACCAGGAATGGAAAAAGATGGAACACAGAAAACCCTGATGTGCAATGGGTTGGCACTAGTGATAACACCACAAAAACAGAGTTTGCTTGATGTACAATCAAAGAAAATGGCTAGTGTGGAAACAACCAGAGGCCCCCTCATTTGATCTGTGTATCCTGGTATTGAAGACAAACAACTCCAATATAGCAGTGAGAAATATGTCCCAGTTAACCCATCTTTTGAACCAAGAATTCAGAAATTACCAGCCTAGAGACTACAGGCCACTTCATTGAAACAAAATTGCCCCTGTTATGGCTCCACCTCTGGACAGGATCTGATGGGAGTTCCTAAATGAGCAGGAGCATATTCACGTTTAGGGTGTGCAATCTTTCCCCCTGCTTTCCCCTACAAAGATCTTCATGGGTAGATAAAACTTTGGCAGGGTGGTGCTTTTGTTTTCCAGTCCAGAGAAGTGGACAGTCTAATTTTTCTCTGTCTTTTGTAGGAGGCTCAGGAATTGCACATAGTTCCACCCCACAATTTTCAGAGATTCTTTTCTGCAGCAGCTCTTCCAGGTCAGTTCTACAGGAGAGGGTATTAACACAGGGGGAAATGTTTTCCCTAGAGATCTGTGTGCCTGGCTTGTTTCCTGTGGATTTTGTGGCCCAGTTAGGAATGAAGGAAATTGTAAAGCTATTTAGCCTTAGAGAACTTTTGCTGTCATTAGTAAATGCAAAAGGGAATGTAAATAGAAGTGCAAGGCTGGAAGCTGTAGAATTCATTCATGGAGTCCAGTGATGGCCAAGTGCAAACGTTTTGTACAGCTTATTTGAAAGTAATGGTGTATCTAGTACATTAATAAGGTGAGCTTATCATACCAGGTTGTTTGCAGAGTCAATAGTCAGTATCTGTCCAGTGAGAATATGGATCTTTTGCTTTTAAGTTCATTTTCGCCATTTTGTGACATGATCACAATTATAGTTCCAGGATGATTTTCAAAAATCTAGTGTTGCATCCCTTATTACGGTATGCTTGCAGGAGATTTACTTATTAGGTCAGATATTTCAGAAAACTCAGGAAATCATTTCAGTTCAACATCCTTTCTCATCTTTGAATCTTGGGCCAGGTCCTGATGGTACCTTCTGCTATGAACTTTTGTGCACCACTAAGACTGAGGCCGTGGCCTCTGGGGATTCTGTAGATATGAAAATCCATTCCTACGCTCAGCATTTTCATTTTTTCCGACTTGTGATCTCGCTGCAAATCCAGTTCATCCCATCCTAGATAGATAAAAGAGAGACAGTGATTGGCAGCACTTTCTGGGCTCTGATTCCAGCCATGAGCACCTCCCTTTCCCACTCCCTACAGAACTTCACGATGTGCGACGTTATCTCACAGACACAACACACCCCTTCATACCTGAATGCCTTCACCAGATAAGGCTGAGCAAGCTTGGATTTGCCATGGCCGGTCTCGGTACGTGTGCAGGTTGAGCCCTTCAGCAATCTCTGCTGCGGGGGATGCTGTTGCTAGATCCTGCTTGTTAGCAAACACCAACAATGGGACACCCGTGAGATTCTCATCTTCCACTAGTTCGGACAACTCCTGCCAAAGATAAAGAGAACGCAGTGGATTCTGAACAGGCTCATCAGAATCAAAGTTACATCAAGACCCACCCAGAGGAGGTTATATTGCTAGCTGTGGCATTCAGGCACAAATTGTCATCACCTCTACCTAGAACTAGTACTTGTAATGTACTCTTTTTCACAAACTCCTTTTTTGAATGGTAAACCCAGAGGGGTAGGGTCTTGTCCTTCAAGGGATGTGTCATAGCTGTTCCTTGTTAACTGCTATGAGCACAGGGCGGGTGGTGGTCATAATACAGTGGTACCTCGGGTTACATACGCTTCAGGTTACATACGCTTCAGGTTACAGACTCCGCTAACCCAGAAATAGTGCTTCAGGTTAAGAACTTTGCTTCAGGATGAGAACAGAAATCGTGCTCCGGCGGCGCGGCGGCAGCAGGAGGCCCCATTAGCTAAAGTGGTGCTTCAGGTTAAGAACAGGTTCAGGTTAAGTACGGACCTCCGGAACGAATTAAGTACTTAACCCGAGGTACCACTGTACAGTTGATTCTCCCATGATCCATACCTTCTGAACCCGCTAAGCTAAAGGGGGTAAGGAGAAGGAGATTTGAGGTTAAGACACCAAGCAAGCATTCTGAACACTGGGTTCTACTTCTAGACTCTGCTATTATTTGACAATATTTTCACCCCTCACAACACTCATTCCCAGGTGTGCAGTTCTCCACAGTCCAGATTACCAAATTCCTGCCATAGGTAGAATTATGGGATTGGAGGAGGTAAACTGTCTATCCTACCTGCCCAGTCTCCTCAAAGCGTTTCTGGTCAGCACTGTCAATAACATAGATCTGAAATGAGGAAAAGAAGGGAATCATCTACAGCCCAGCACTATTCCTTTGGTCCTAGCTCCTCTTACCAACTCCTAAAGCTTTTTGGTTCTTTTAAGGCAGCCCCAAGACATCTTGCTTTCTAAGGTATGAAATCCAAATGGTGCCCTACTCACCCCCTCCACACATTGCGGCTGTAGAAGTATAATAATAAAGTAAATAAAATAACAGTTAGTTGTCCTTTGATAATACCTTCTAAATTCTGCAATCTGAGGCCGATCAGCTGGCACTGCCTAAAGCCTTCCAGATTGGTGGTTCCATTGCATGTGCAACATGTCATTGATACAATAATAGCACATGAGAGGTGGATTTATACTTGAGCATCCACACATCATTCCACTTTGTTAGTTGTTGTGTGATGCTTGCTCAGTGCTACCACACTATTGCCACCTGGAGGCGAATGTTTGCATTACAACGGAACAAAAGTAGGACCAAAAAACCACACCAAATCTGGAACATTTGTAGCATGAAAAGTTAAATGCTTTCAGCAATGGGACATGTATCGATTGGAAACAAAGCAGTATATCCACCCCAAAACTTTTGCAGGTGTAACAGTATTGAACATGGGATCGTGTGCAGCCGTCCCCTGTCCCCAATACCATGATGAACATAAGCAGTTATGAATGTACAGCGAAAAGGCTGTCTGGAGGGCACTGGATATTAGGGCTAGCCTTGCCTTAATTTGGTAACTTGTGTGGTTCCAGCAGTCAAATTTCTACAAAGGCAGTTTTAGGGGCTGAGCCCCACACTCACCAGAAGGTCTGTGCTGCCCAGGTACTTCTTCCAATAGGCCCGGATCGCCCGCTGCCCTCCTATGTCCCAGACATTGAGCTTGAAGCCATGAGAGTGGACACTCTTGATGTTGAATCCCTTCACAAAAGGAATCAGAAGAGGTTGGATAGGGGAGAGGCATAGCAGGGACCGCATGCTTCCTATGCTGAAGAATCCCCACCCCGTTGCGCTGCTGCAAGCTACACAGAATTTGTATGTGGCCCAGTTGGTGATGAGAACTCAGAAGATGGGCAACCTTTTCATCAAATATGCCCATATATTAGAAACTTAAAAGCAACTCCTCCTCCCTCGTCCCAATGCAATGTCTTAGCTACAAGGCTTGCCTGAACAGCACAGGGGATGGGTTGCTCTGAGAGAGCCAAGGTGCTATTGCTGGTGTGTCTGAGCTCCACACTGTGGGGATGAGAGGAGCGTAACAGCAGGGGGTTGGTTAGGATCCTGACTGCCAATCTGCTCCATTGACTTTATGTAACTGGTTATCCAATTCCTCCTTGCCGCACACCCCATCCCAATCCCTCAGTGCTGATCTCCTTTGCTGCTGTGCTTACCTGTGTGGGGGTAATGGTGCTGACTTCTTCCGATGCCAGGCTCTTGAGCAAAGTAGTCTTTCCGGCATTGTCCAGCCCGAGGAGGACAATTCGCAACTCCTGCTCTTCAGAGCCTTTAAGCTTCTGGATGACGGAGAGAAGGCCCTAGGCGCAAAAGCAGCATTTACTGGCTGGGATCTTTATTCTAGCTACCGACTCCTAGAGAAGGCCCACCATGTTTTTAGAGTCTTCATCCTTACACAGTCACTTGATTTTACCCACCAGTCTTCAGCTGACAATGGGGCCATTTTACCAGCTTTTACCAGCTTCAGAGAAACATCTCAAAGTTCAGCTTTCTCAATTTGTGATGATTATTATTATGTAATGTTTTATTATGTTTTAATGTAAGTTGCTCGAGAATGTGTGGGCAACCCAGTCAGATGGATGGGGAACAAATAAAATAACAACAAAAACAAAAACAATTTATATACCATTCACAACAACAACAATTTATATACCATCCTTTATCAAGGCTATGTAGAACATGAAAAATACTTTATAGAACATCAGTGATAAAAACATAATAATAAGCATACTAACAGACAGCCCAGTAATAAAATAGTCATCATAATAACAGTCCACTCCCCCACACTTTCACAGGCCTTAGATTATTTAATAGTCTTGTTTTGACCACCCTCATTCCCCCTGCTCCTCTCACACATGAACGGTCCCACCAGCCTCCACCATGGGCACCAGGGTGGCATTCCGCAGCTTCAGGTTACCATTCCATTTGTGTTGTGTTGAGAGGTTGAGTGCTGTTGCTCATGTAGCCAAAATGGTGCCATCCATGAACAAGAGGGAGATTATCGGCAGGAACCTCAAGGTTTACAGAAGTACCAGAAATATTTCGGTGGTGGTGATGGAGATCCCCAAAACAGCCCAGTGAGGACAGATGGTGCAGCAGGCACAGAATTCTGGCTGACTTTCAGTAGCGGTTGGGGGGCGGGGAGGAAAAAAACAGGCAACGGAGGAACAGAAGGGAGTATTGCCGTGGAAGGCATGGCTGACTGAAACAGTGAACACCCACAACACATTGTTGCAGCCCCCATGTTGCAGATATTAAGTGTAGATAGTAATCATGGTGGGTATGTAGAACCAGTTCTGGGGAGCAGATTGATAGCAAGTCCTGCCAGAGAGTAGATGCCGAAAGAGTCATTCTGTGAATACTACACCCCCCCCCCCCAGTATTTGTTAGAGGATCAAAATTCACTCACCTTTTGCACTTCACCCATGGTCAAGCTCTCTACATCCTCTGCAGAGCCAGCCGTGGAAGCGCTCTAGGCTGGTAGCTGGGTCCCCACTGCGTGACTGACATGTCTCACTCCAGCTGGGGGAAGGAAGAGGATTAGGACTCCAGAATTAGCTTGTGTTTCTCAATTTACCCAGGGTGTTTAGTAATACCCTAGGTAAATCCCCCTACTGCCAGCTGTCGCCCTGGCTTGACCCAGTCCACTCCTGAAGCTCCAGGCAAAAGATGCCTGTCTGCCCAACCAGATTTAAACATGTAACAAGGTGCTTGGGTATTTTTGGTTAGCATCTTGGCTTACGCAGTTCAGGGTGGAAATTTTCTCTATCTGGGTGACTTGATGGTCCTGACCAGGTTGCTCAGGTTCCACCCCCCATCCCAAAGGAATGGTAGGCTCAGCAGTGGAAGAAGGCTGCAGACTCCACCATACATGATTTAATGCATACTTAAAGCACATGACATCCCCTAAAGAATCTTGGGAACTGTAGTTTGATAAGGGTGTTGGGAATTGAAGCTCTGTGAGGAATGAACTACAGTTCCCATGATTCTTTGGAGGAACCTGTGTGCTTTAAATGTATGGTATATATGCGCCCTTCGTTCAATTACTATATAGGATTTTCTGCAGCTCTTTCCTCACCTTGCTTGAAAAAACCACTCTTGCTGCGGCCTGTGTTTTGTTAACTCAAAAATGGAAAACGAGCGAGGTCCCAACTAAAGAAGAATGGCAACTTAAGCTGACAGAATATGCACAGCTTGCAGACTTAACATATAGAATAAGAAAACAAGAACATACGTTTAGAGAAGATTGGAAAATGTTTATTGAACTGTACGTGGGGGTAAATTGTATACACTTGAAAATGTTGGCAGCATTAAGATAAATTCAACAGTATAAATGTTTTGATGGATGTAATAATGGAATACTGAATGGTTTAGTTTTTGTAAATGCAGGAATTTATGATATGCAAAATGAACCATGGAAATAGAAGGGAAGTCATTGATATTTTAAGGATGTTTAAATGAGTATTTTAAATTGTAAAACAGAAAATTTACACACACACACACACACACAAATATATTGGGGGGGGGGGGAGAAAAAAAACCACTTGTTTTCATTTTTTAATGTTAACCAGAGCCATTTTAAGGTTTTGTGGGGCTGCTTTTTTTGGAAGGCGCACTCCTCATAGATATATTGTAATACTAATTATTGTGAGACCGCTGAACATAGTCAAAAACCAAGGAGCAAGATTCCCACAAGACCCACCAGAAGAAAATGTAAGGCATTCCGCTTTTTCCTCAAAATATTTTTTTTGTCACACGTACTTTATGTTCCTGCCTTCCACAGCCAACCACCCTCCATGCGTCTCTGAATTAATGTAATTGCACAAAAGGCAATTTGATCCAGCTTTAATTTGAATAGATTTACTGGGCTCTCTGAACTTGTAGGCCCATTGTAGGAGTATTCTAACTGACAGGGAGTCTGAAATCCCATTGCTTAATGGGATGCAATGGCTACTTGGCATTGTTCTTTAAGAAAAAGTTTCAAGACAGACCTGGTGCCAGCTGATTTTCTGGATCTACTTCAGTCACCCTGATGGATGACTTATGCCAGGAGAAAGGAGGAGTGCTGCCTTGTTTATTCTTCTTGACCTCTCAGTCTGGACAGACTGTCTGGACTGAGAATTAGAGGCACAATTTTACAATGATTCCACTGCTACCTGGATAGCTTATGTCAGAATGTAGTGCTTGAGCATTTGTGCTACGGGTTTCAGTCTTGTTCCTTGTGCTTTTCAACATCTACATGAAACGACTGAGTGACGTCATCCAGAGATTTGCCACCAGGAGTCATCAATAAGCAGATAACCCTCAGCTCCACTTCTCTTTGACAGGTGAGGCAGGAAGCCCAATTCATCTAATTCCATCTGCTTTGAGGAAGCACTGAACAAGTCCTTCTTCAGCACAGTCATGGCCGGGATGTGGGCCAAGAAACTGAGGCTCAATGCAGATAAGACCCGAGTCACTCCTGGTGAGTGGCTTGTCTGCCAAGGGGAGTGGGATTCACCCCACTTTTGATGGGGTTGCATTCCCTCTGGAGGATCAGGTTTATGGTTTCAGGGTGCTTCTTGAACTGAATTTTGTCACCAGTGGCACAAGTTTCCTCTGTGGCACAGAGCACTTTTTTTTACCGGCTTAGGCTGGTTAAGCAGCCTTGGCAGATATAGAGTGGCCTCAGCGATGCATACTTCCATAGCCTCCAGGCTAGGGCTAATCTAGATAGTACATTTGGACTTGTGTGGCTGATTTTTTAAAAGAAGGAAATAAGTGCAAAGGGGGGTGTTGTCTCAGGAAGGTGAGCTAACACCCTTTGCTCATACTATGATCCTGATCCGAATTCCCCCTTCCCCAGCACCAGCCACGCACATTGAGAGGAAAGCTCTCATCAGTGCCCATAAGAGATTTGCTTCCATTGTAAAAAAGCAGGGATGGATTTACAGGATGCTGACCAGTGATGGATGGTGAGGGCTGACGGTTAAAGCCCCTCTCGATGCTCCCTAGCTGCTCCACCCACTATGTGCCAGCAATGACACCCCAAGAGCCACACAAGGTCAAATATCTTGTATAAACTGGTACTGTCAGAAGGTTAGAGTACTGTGGGGCTGCCTCTGGTGAGAAACCTTTGCTCAGCGTATTTGAGAATGGGTGGCAGATGCTTAGTGAAGAAAAGCCATGCCCTGCAACAGGGCTGAGGACCTGTGTTTGGACCCAACCCTCATCAGCCCCAGCCAGAGATGATGGGAGCTGTAGTACAATAGCATTTGGAGAGTAACATGTTCCCCATCCCTGCTCTACTAACTCAAAGGATATTTACTACTAGAGAAGTTAAAAGAGGCTGGGGGGCAAGAAATACAGTAGTATTAAATTGACAGGACGAAGGGATCAGGCTACATAGCCAACAGTACAAGCTTTTGGAGTGGAGTACCCTGTCTGCACAGCAACAGGAGTCCCTAAAGTTTGCAAGTCACTTGATGGTCTCAGTTATCAGCTTCTAAACCCCAGAAGTTTGGATCCGTCGCAGCAACAAGAGAGTGTACAATTCATGAGTAGCGAAAACAGAAGAGTAAGTTTATTGTACAGCTGTAGCACTGTCCAGGTAGAGTCGCACGTAGAACAACTGGGCAAGAAATACAGAATCCCCTTTTTCATGAATCTTTGAGGGGCAATACAAGGGAATTCAGCACTAACACAGTTAACAGAGATTGCATCCATTAGCAGTGTAGATGGATACTCTCATTGCAAGCACCATCCTGAGACTGGTGGTCAGCATTGCTTGACCAGTTGGTTACCATGGGCACGTGATGTTTCTTGGTTACTCTGCAATCAGCTCTGTTCTCAAAATAGTAAAAATGGAAAAATCCCTGATAAGGAAATAGCACCGAAAGCCACAACGTAGCTCTCAAAAGTGGCATGTGGTTCCCAAAACAAGTATATGCTGATATTAATACAACCGGACAGCAGATCTGATGTCAGGGGAAAAGCACTTGCTGCTTTGGCCTGTGTGCCTCTGAATGCCAGCTTGGCATACCCGGGCGCACACAGGATGGCATTCTGGCATAATGGATTGTTTTTCTTCTTACACCACTGCCTAGCAACCAAGAGGGAACAAAAATAAGCTTCACAGAGAGAATTCGACTCCATTGTCCTAGAGCTTTTAGCTCTGGTTATCAGACTTTATATGCAGCCTAACTGGTGCGTTCAGTTCCTCATATATATCAATAGCAGCACCTGTGTCACTCACAGTGGGATGTGGCTGTAGCTCCATGGTAGGGCATCTTCTTTGGATGCAGAGGGTCCCAGGCTGAATCCCTTGCATCTCCACATATGGCTGGGAAAGACCCCAATATAAGACCCTGGAAAGGTGTTGTCTGTGTGCAGTGCTAGATGGGTAAATGGTCTGATACAGCATGAAGCAGATTTCTGTGTTCCCCAGTGGGCATGTTCTACATCAGGTTTCCTCGACCTCGGCCCTCCAGATGTTTTGAGACTACAATTCCCATCATCCCTGACCACTGGTCCTGCTAGCTAGGGATCTCTGGAATTGTAGGCCAAAAACATCTGGAGGGCTGAGTTTGAGGAAGCCTGTTCTACATGCTAGGCAAATGTTTGCAAATAGATACGTAACAAAATTAAGAGGAAAGCCACACAATTGAACAGACAGAAGCAGTGTGGGAGTTATAATTGCTCATCACCATTCTCATTGCCAGTAAGTAGGTGCCCCTAACACTTACATAATCACATTCCAGCAATAATCGCAATAGTGGTGCATGTGCTATCTGGGAGACAAAATTAATTTTCTCAGATACAAAGTATGGCATGTACAGAACGGGGAATGTGGTGTTGCTGCAACTGAAGCACATCCTGGAGGGAAGTTGTCTGGGCTCTGCCTAGCCCAGGGGTCAGCAAAATTTTTCAGCCATGGGCCGGTCCACCGTCCCTCAGACCATGTGGTGGGCCGGACTATATTTTGAAGAAAAAAATGAACGAATTCCTATGCCCCACAAATAACCCAGAGATGCATTTTAAATAAAAGCACACATTCTACTCAGGTAAAAACACCAGGCAGGCCCCACAAGTAACCCAGAGATGCATTTTTTAAAAAAGGATACATTCTACTCATGTAAAAACACGCTGATTCCCGGACCGTCCGTGGGCCGGATTTAGTAGGCGATTGGGCCGCATCCGGCCCCCGGGCCTTAGGTTGCCTACCCCTGGCCTAGCCAGTGGCTAACAGCTGCGTGTTTACTGCACTAACAACTTTGATCATGTGTCCGGAAAAGAATTTCAATCAATATGCATCAGCATTTACTGCTGTTTTTAATTTTTAACCTTTCCTGGCTAGGCTGCATTATTTCTTAGAATATGAGTGCAAATTGCTTATACAGAGATGACTCATTGACATGAAAGCTTCCTGCCACATTTCAGGCTGGCTGGGGGCACCTAATCACTGGCTGTGCCTGGCCTTTTGAAGTTCTTGCATTCTGCCTTGAATGTGTAAGCTCAAATCTAATTTAAGTACAGCAGGACATGGGCACGGGCCGAAGACAGCACCAAAGAAAAGATCACAGTTAATTATCCACATTAGCTTGTATGTTCTTGGTCGGCACAAGTTATTTTCATTGCAAATGTCATTTCACAGAATATGCTTGCAGGGACTGTGACGGCAGTAAAAGGGGAGGAAAGAGAGACACAGAAGCAAGGACTATGGGGAGGGGACAGGAAGCAGCAGAGCACAAGAAGCCTCACCCTTGACCACTGGAAGCCCCACCTAGCTGTTTCACTAGCGTCTGAGCATGCTGAACACATGTCTGATGTCTTTTGAAGCTTTCCTGCACAACCACAAAGGGTGGAAATGTGCTCTTTGTTAAAATGGAAGCTGAGAGTCTCAGAGTCTAGGTCCTGGGTAGCACCCAGCAGGAGATTGAAGTCACCACCTGACCTGGGCCTTGAGCTGCTCCCCCGGGCGATAGGCCTTCCACATGCACACTGTGCCATCTAGAGAGACCGACACATACTGCAGGGAAGCAGAGAGAAGAACATGTCAGGGTGCAACAGCGTCAGCACCCTCTATGGGGCTGGATTCAGTGTCTCCATGCAGTGCATCGGTCACCGATAGTCCTCACTCATGTGGGTCTTCAGACTGCATTGGTCTCCCATTCAACTGCATAGCAGACTAGAGTGGGCGGCACCAGCCTGGGATCCACTATCAGTGCAAGCCAAGCTAGGATATCAGAACAGGATTTCCTCCTGCCACATTGCACCTTCCTGATACGCATGTGGGTGTGTGGGTGTACTTCTCCACAACTGACAGATTTGCATTAAAGCAATCAGTAAGGAAGCTGCTTTTTTTAAAAGAGTACGCTAAAAAAAAAAATTAGTTGGCCAAAGACCCAAGTGACATTTGGTCAGACACCCAGCATGATTCAAGGAACAACGCTATAAGCCACATATGTATTCTGCTTCTGGCATGGCTGGCTGTTCACAAATCAAGTCTGTGCCCCAGAATCCTCAGCAATATCCTCAGGGCTCTGAGAGGCACACTCATGGCTTAAGCGGTGAGCCAACTCACTGTGTGCACATCTGACTTCCCATGTTCAGCTTAAGAACTTAAGAACAGGGCCTGCTGGACCAGACCAAAGGCCCATCTCATCCAGCATTCTGTTCTCACAGCTGTCAAGCAGGTGCCCGTGGGAAATCCACAAGCAGGATCTGAGTGCTTCCCATGTGAACAGAGAATACACTACAGAATCTTGTAGCAACTTCTGAGGCATTTTCTTAGCTTGTAGATGCCGCCTTTGCCTGCTCCACAAAGGATGGCTATTGCTGGCCTAGATACAAACTTAGAGGAGGGCAGCCATATTTGCTCCCTCAGTAGGATTCAGCTTATTGTCAGCCACTGTTAGTGAAGCCAGACAGAAACAGAAAACAGGTAATTATTTCTTCAGTCCACCCCTTGGCTGTGCTATGACAGGTAAATGTCTTGTAAACTGCTTTGAATTCTAAAATAAAAAAGGATACAATTCCCCCTCTCCATTAAGTACTAGTTTGTTTGAAGGAGGACTGGAAGTGCAATATAATACCCTATTTAAACAACAAGAATACAGCATGGGGACAATCTTTTGGTAGTGCTGCCCAGCTCAAAAGTGGGCCTGACCTCACTAAATGTCATCAACATGCAGCTGGCTCTCTGAACAGGATGCTGATAGATACAGATTAGGCACATGGCTCCAATATGCACCATCACAGTATATGCATTGCTTTGTGCTGGTCCATTCATGACTTGGACCTAAGAGTGAGGAAACTCCCAGCCCCCAGCTTTCTTGACCTTTTCCCCTGGTGGGTGGTCCCTGTCTCTCCTACCTGCTCCATTTCTGGGACATGGATGAGTCCCTTGACGGAATCTTGGTGCCCTGTGTAACTTTGCACCTGCACTCCAGAATTTGGATCATAAACCCTGCAGTGAGAAAAAGGCAGAGCCATCAGCCTGTTCAAAGATGTGCTGCCTCTCATCCCTTTCCTTTCCACCACCAGCCTCCTTATGCAGGAGCTACCTGATGGTATCATGGACCCCTGCAAGAATGCAGCCATTGACCTGGTCGATGCAGAGGCAAGTGATCCCTCTGGAGGCTCTCAGGTTCTGCACACAGCTTCCACCATCTTCGCTCTGTGTGAACCGTAAAAAGAAAAATCCTATTATCCCTGCTGCTGGAGGAAGACTCTCTGGTCATTCCCCGGAAAATGTTTCTGCCTGATCTGTATAATTCCCCCAAAAACTTATTGGTCCAGAAATTCAACCAAGTTCTTCAGCAACTAGCCCAAAGTTTTCCTACCTCCCTGCTAGTGAATATACCCAACATATGAAAGTCACCACCTGATTAAGGGCTTACCCAGAGCCGAATGGAGCCATCTTCAGCACCGCTAACCCACTTGTCCTCTAGTGGGTGCCAGACCAAGGCTACGACAGCGGCTTTGTGCCCACAGAGCTCAGCCAGGAGCACCAGATCAGCACAGTGAGGATTGAAAGCGCAGATAAAAACTCTGCCAGTGCTAGAAGAGAAAGCAAATTCCCTCCTGCCCGGGCCAGGAGGGTGTGGGCTGTGGATGCGGGGATGGCAAAAGACATGGCAAAATCGATTTAGCGGCCCTGGACCCAAAGATTAGGTTCCACCCCCACTTTTCAGCAATACATCTCTCCTCCTTGGGAGGCCTCAAAGTGCTGTTTGAGAACATTCTGTGGCTTCCCCACCTTTCAAATAAGCAGGCAGACAGAATCACCCACCTCTTTGGGGAGTAGGCCATATCCAGGATGGGCCCATTGTCCTCAGGTAGACTGGAAAAGGCATTTTGCAAAGAGTGGTTGTGCAGGTCCCAAAGACACAGCTTTCCATCCCATCCTCCACTGAGCTACAATGAAATACAGCAAGGTGAAGTCTTGCTTTGCAATGCTGCCCCTCCCCTCCCCCTCCTTGCAGTGTGTGTTCTCTCTCTCTCTGGCACTGGCACTCACCCACATCCCCTCTCCTCCCTACATGTGCCACGCAGGGTCTTCCTACAGCATCTCACTCTCTTCCACTCTCTCCCTGCTGCCCATCAACAGAGACTGGGCTGTCTCATACAATGCCATCCAAGTCCATTCTACGGTTCACTCACCAGGTAGGGGAAGTATAGTCCAGCATCGCCGGCTGCCACGGCAAGTGCCGTCACCATGCCTGTGTGCCCGCACAGCACCGTTCTGCAGGTGAAACCTATTTAAGGCAGTACTGGCATGAGAGAGGCAGTAGCAGGATGGAGAAGAGGAAAAAACAGGGACCGGAATCTCTTACACACTCAGAAGGTGGCTTCCCAAAAAACGAGCCTGCGGCGCTTTTTATCCCCAGCTAGACCCTACTCCAAGGGGAAGAAAGGAGGGGAGGCACCAGTACCAAATGAAAACAAAAGGGCGGGGAGATGAAATAAACTAGAGAAACATTCAGTGCCCCAGCATGGTTTGAAGGGAGAATTCATCAGGGACACTTAGGTGTACAACAAGTGGACTCTGCCACTTTTTCGTTTGCCCTGTGTCCAGAAAGCACAGGTCTCAGTGGTTTTCCACTTGTTCAGTGAATTCTAGGCATGAGTCCAAATGATTTTGCCTGTCCCCTGTTGCTTTCCCCTGGAAAACCCCTGGAAAATTGGAACAAATGACAACCCACAAAAAACCTGATTGCCGTTTGTTCTGATTCAGCGCTAAACCATGGGTTTTCTGGGGGAGAGTGGGGAGTGGCAGAGCAAGTGGAAGTGAGGATGACCCCAGTGTCCTATACGGTGCTCTGGTTCATTTGGCCACGGACCATGGTATAGGCCTGCCAGGACAGCTGCCTTGTATGGTGACTCCAGGTGGTAGCTTCTCAGTGTATGACTCCACCCACTCAGGCTGACTATTGGAGCCTCCTAGACAGCAAAGAGTGTAAAGGGGCTTCCTGGTCCAGTTGAGGCTTGCTTGAGCAACAAAGTCTTCCTGAGCTCTGGTGGGTTCTTGCAGCCTTGGCTGGTCTTTGGCCCTGACTTGCTTGCCACTCCTGATCTTCCTTCTAGACTCTGACTCACAAGTTTTCATTTGGTTCTGGCTTACTCTTCAGTCCTAACTACTGGCTTGTCTCAGACTACCCTTGATCCAGCCATGCCACACGATGTTTTCCATCTAAGCTTGCAATCCTCACCCTACTTACTTGGGAATAAGCCCCCCTGAATTTAATAGAACTTACTAGGCATGGTTAGGATTGGGCTGTGAAGTGTACTTGTGGAAGGATACATTCAAAGTGCACTGAGCCATTCAATGTTTACTTTTGTGCACCTTTGAAGCATCATCTCTTTTTCTTTCCCCTCTGAGTTTACTCCAAACCACTTTCTTCACCTGCTACACAACTGCTTGAAGTGCCCTGGGTCTTCTCATCTTGAACACAGCTTGATGCCAATGTTTCAGAATTTTGATCCAACACAGGTGGGCATTGCTACAGCATGGGATGAAAATAGCAAACCATTAAGGGAGCCTTTCTCTAGGAGAAATGTCACCCACTTCTCTTTTGTTTGTAATCCAAGGGAATTTTCTGAGCCAAAACCTGTGCTCCCATGCGGCTCCTAGTTGGCTTGCTTAAATAAATGTGGCTGGCTGGTTTATCTTTCTTATCTTGGAGGACAGAGGCCATTCACTTCCTGTGGCTTACCTGCAAGCACATGTCTTCTGTCTTCCATCCAAGAAGCAGAGGCTAGGACAGCGGTTTGCACTCACCTGGGCAGAAGGTTCAACTTCTGGGATGAAGCTCTCAAACTCCCAGAGATAAATGTTCCCGTCAGCTGCCGACACCACCAGGATATTCAACTCTTCAGCAAAGAGAGCCCTGGCAAAGGCCCAGGGCTTCGTTAGCAAGGCAGCAACTACCTTTCATCTGTCATTTCACAGCCAACATTACAGAAGCCAACTCTCCCCCCAAAATTAAATCATGCCCTGTTCTGGCCAGCTTGGTGACCATCATCCCTGACCATTAGTCATACTAGCAAGGGATGATGGGAGCATGACTCCAACAATATCTGGAGCATCACAGGTTGTCCAGCCCTGCTGCAAAGCAAATGGTGAAGGTCTGCCTGATCCCCAAGGAAGAAAGGGAAGTCCCTCGGTCTCTTCAAGACAAATCATGCTGTTGCCTCTCTGCTACAGTAGCACACACTCTTGGGCAGAGCACAATGACAGTTACCTAGTGAAGCCTATGCTTCCTTTTCGCATGTCTTTCGCTGCACTTTGGAACCTGGTGTAGCCACTCTGCTGCCCAACGGAGGCCTTTCCTGGCTTTCGAGGGGAATCTGGACGAAGTTGTGGCTTCTCCTTGCCATCCTCCTCCCTCTGCTGTGCCAAGGGGCCTCTTCTTTCCAGTTGGGCTTCACTTAGGTGGAAGGACTCCCTGCTGAAAGAAAGAGACACACAGGATGTGGGGGGGGGGGAGTGTAGACCTGTGGCTGTGGACAGGGTTGTGGCTGAGGCTGGGAGCTCACAACGGCATGAGGGGCTGCATGACTGGAGCAGGTGGAGAATGGGCAACTCGGGGGGCCCACTAGGGGGCGCATTGGAAGATGGCCGACAATACCATCTCTCCGACCCACACGGGGTAATTAAGAGGCTGTTATGGGAGTAGGCAGCCTCCCTTGTTGCCCAAGGAAATGGGGAACACTGCCCTTGCCTGCTGTGCCCATAAATCACCCCCTAATTCGAAAGAAGGGGGTGAGGGCCCTAGGCAGAATGCCCCCATGTGGACATCGGCTCTCCTGGACACTGTCTCTGATTGCGCACTGGTTGCAGCAACTTGGAATAATTAATTACAAAAGAAGCAAATGCACATATTTCAAGTGAAGAAGGGGAGTGAAGTCTGCTAATTTAAGTGACCTCTGCGAAAGAAGACGACGGGCTGGAGAAACAGGAATATTTTACGATGAAGATACACCAAAGGCGGGGTATGTTGACAACGGGGCTGAATGGGGGGGCGAAACATTTTTACTTTCCTTCTATGTGATTTACAAGAACCCCTCCTCATTAGAACCGTCGGTTGAACTGACCCAAGCAGGATGATTAAGGTCTGTGTGGAGATAAACTTTAACCAAAAGTATGCTTTATGGAGACCAAGAAGCAATAAGAGCTTTTGGGAATGGCGCAGCAATTAATTCGGAGTTGCCATCTTGCCAAAGGATTTATAGCCGGGAGGAAGAATGGATTTGTTCCTCAGACTGCATTCTTAGTGAATCTCCTCAGAGGTTTTGAGAAAGGAGGCAGGTTGGTGAAGATTAATGACGCTAAGACTGTTTTGATGTATGGAAGTGATATTATATGGAAAACTTCTGGATATGGCTACTGGATAAAAAAAATAATATCCACACAGGATTACAAACTGTTCTAACCAGCTTGTGGAGACTATCAGAGGTCACAAAGAGAAAGGAAAAATATATGAAAATAACAACAAGAGATGTGGAAAAATAATAAGAAAGGACTGGATAGTACTGTGAACATCATAAGGTTAGATTTGTGGACATTAAAACAGCAGTAAGAAGCAAGAAGTTGATTGGATCCCTTCGGAACTTGAAATATGGGTACCCCCAACAAAAATTTAAAATTCGGCTGTGTAATTTGGAATTTATGTAATTTGGTTTGATTTGATGTGATTGGTCGGTTAATAAAAAATTATTCTTAAAGAAAAAAAGAGAATGGGCAACTGCAGGGCAGGGAGCACGAGGGACTAGGATGGGCCAGTGTCTGCTTGTCTGCAAGCATCTCGTCTTTGAACAGCACTACTAACCATGACGGAGGGACGCGGGTGGCGCTGTGGGTAAAACCTCAGTGCCTAGGACTTGCCGATCGTATGGTCGGCGGTTCGAATCCCCGCGGCGGGGTGAGCTCCCGTCGTTCGGTCCCAGCTCCTGCCCACCTAGCAGTTCGAAAGCACCCCCAAGTGCAAGTAGATAAATAGGGACCGCTTTATAGCGGGAAGGTAAATGGCGTGTTCGTGTGCTGCGCTGGTGCTGGCTCGCCAGAGCAGCTTCGTCACGCTGGCCACGTGACCCAGAAGTGTCTCTGGACAGCGCTGGCCCCCGGCCTCTTAAGTGAGATGGGCGCACAACCCTAGAGTCGGACACGACTGGCCCGTACGGGCAGGGGTACCTTTACCTTTACCTTTACTAACCATGACACGGTTAGATCCAGATGCTGGAGAAGAACAACTTTTTGAAACTCCACCACAGAGATGGGAAATTTGTGACCCTCCTGATGTTGCTGGACTCTTAAGTCCCATCAGTCCCAGCCAGGGTGGCTGATTGACAGGGATGATGGGAGTTGTAGTCCAACACCCCACTGACCTAGTGAGAGATGGCAAGGGAGACTCCTCCCAGATCATAGCATTCCTCCAACCACGTCTCTTCCAGGGGCTTGTGTTCTAGGCCAATGGTAGCTAATGACCAAGGGTAACACATTTAGTAGTTAAGCTCCTCTATTATTCTGGAAACCAGTAGATAGCTTCTATCTGGACACCAAATAGCACAGACCTGCTACACTACAGAGTCTCTTCTGGCAGGGGCTGTGCTTCTTCTCCTTACCAACAGAAATCTGCTGCTCTTAGGCCAGCCTCTGCTGACTGCTGTACCTTGCAATAGGGGCTTCCCCAACCCACGTCACACACCAGGGACTGGCATCTCTTCTTGGTCTGTGGGGATGAAACCTTACCTGTAGATGAAGGGAGAGATGTAGCTCTTCTCCCACTTCTGTAGCATCCCACTGCTGTCCCCACTGAAGAGCAAAACGGGCTCCTTTTTGGCTGGTGGAGATACATTAAGAAGTTCAAGCAGGGGCAGTAGGGGCTTCGGAAAACCAGACAAAAGTTTTATTGCTGGACACATAAAACTCAACCCCGGCCCTTGTCCCAGCCAAATAAGGCTCTTCTAGCTTTGAACCTTACCCGACGGAGCTTGTGCATCTGGGGCTGGAGCTGTTGCAGAGTTAGAGATATATATGGCTGCTTACCATAAGCTAGGCACTCCAGGGGGTGTTTGCAAGGCAGCACTGTCAGGCATCCCAACTCGCTGTAGCGCCAGATGAGTATTTGCTGCGGCTTTGCTGTGCCTGGAAGAAGGAAAAGTTCTGTGTTTCTTAAAATTACTTGGGTTATTCTAAAAAGCTCTTGCCATCCACTGAGCCTCATAATATCTCTGAAGAAGCTGAGTGGGAAATCGCCTTGTGTTAAATTAGAAAAGCATGCATAGATCTCACAGCACCTGTTTGCATGAAACCAGAATCTCTGGATATAAATCTGGGACCTGTGGTGGGAACCTAAGGAACATAAGAAGAGTCTGCTGGATCAGGCAAAAAACTTGTTCCCACAACAATTAACCAGATGCCCATGGGAACATTTAGTCTCTCCCAAGTGCTATACTCATGCTGGGTCTGAATGCAATAAGCACACGGGCCTACCAAAGTCACCGCCTGCTTCTGTGATGAAAGCCCTTTCTTTTGTACTAATTAATCAATTTTTACTACTTTTATATCATGACTTTCCTCCAAGGAGTTCAGGGCAAAAGACATAGTTTACTCACCCCATGTTTTCCTCACAACAATCCAGTGGCATAAGCTAAACTGGGAGAGGGTGATTGGCCAAGGAGGCCCAGCAAGCTTTGTGGCTGAGTGGTGGAATGAACCTGGCTATCTCCAATGCCAATTCAACGCTTTCACCACCGGGTGCCATACTGTTCTAGTATCTTCCACTATAGCTATTTTCTCCTAACTGCATGAAAGGACATGGCCTACAGATAAGAAGAGGTGCTGAATCTAACATTGGCGGCTGAGAGACCAGATGAGGCCTTGTATTGCGGATGTTGTGGGGAGAACTCACCTATCACATGCCTCGAGTCTGGCAGGCTGAGAAGCTGCTGAAGAACAGGCCCATCTTTCTGTTGGCCTTGGAATGTGGATATGAACTGTGAAACCTGAAAGCAGATCAGCACAAAGAATTCAGAACAGGTTGACCATTTAATACCTGTTTCTCCTTATTCTTCCTATAAACGTGGAATGGTACACAAGAGCCATCTTTACTTAGGGATCAAAGACCTATCAAAAAGAGCTGTGCTGGGGGCACTTGTTCAGTGGATTTTTGAGCTTTGTTGAGCACGACAGAACTTGGGAGGGAACTGTGAAATGCAGTTGGATCTGGTATTGAAAGCTACAAAGAAATGTAATCTTTGAATATATATTTTGGGGGAGTTTGCAGATCCAGGAATACAGTGTTAGAGGCGCTAATGGCTTTTGAAGCATCCACCCAATGGAAATAGCAATTGAAAAACATGTTCAGGAAGAGGCCTTGAGAATGGGAGGCTACAACAGCTAAGGAAATGAGAAGAGACAGGATTTAATCTTCAGTATATCTGCCATCTGACATTTGGAAGAGGATCAGAGTAATTTTTCAATATAAAACGTCTGTGTATAGTTTTTATGTCATCTGTATCGTGTCATTAATCAGGCAAAATGGGTCTGATCTGTCAAGGTAAGGCAGCTTGTTAAAAGAAACGTGCTCCATCAAAGAGTGTTCTTTTTGACATGGGTAATTTTTCATATGATAAAAACTAATCAATATGAGGAGCTGAGGCCAACTAAGGACAGGCAATTCTACAAGGAAAAATCATCCCATAGAACAGCTCCCATAGGAACAGGGGATGTTACATACGTTGTTCCAGGTCAGTCTATTTATCTATCCAGCCCAGTATTTAATACTCTGAGTGGCAGCAGCTCCTTCGGGTCTCAGGAATTGATTGCTCCCATTACTTAGGTCATTTTAAGTGGAGATGCCAGGGACTGAACCAGGGGCCTTTTTTTGACATGCAAAGCTTACTATTGTACCCTCCCCTCACAAGGCGCTGGTCCCCAGGCATCTTTTGCTGGTAACCACCAATAAGTTAAATAATGCCATGCATGGAGCACTAGGCTGCATGGCAGGCTTTAAATTGACTTCCAAGTCTGGAAATCTGTCCCAGACAAAATAGCACATTAGCACATTCTGCAGAACCAAGTGATAAAGCTTTTGTGAGCTGCCCTGCTTCAGGCTGCTGTGGGTTGAGGATGGCACACTTGAATATGCCCCATGCAACTTTCACTCCTGCAGTCTGAAGTAGCAGCCCATGAAAAGACACCCTACAAAATCCTGCTTCATGTGTAACATGGGTGAGCAACAGGATCCTGGGCTTATCGGTCCCCATTTGCACAGCATGGCCAAACCCTTGGCAGCAATTGTTTTCTGCTAGGACTGTGGCCTTGCTGGAAGAAAACAAAAAACTGGACAATGCTAGCTTATATAGTCTTAATGCACACGCCTAATATACTAAGACTGCGGGCAAATGTGGGAGTTGATTGGCACAGCCTGGCAGTATATGTGGAGAGAGTCAGCTGGCTTATCCTCTTGGCCACAATTCACAAAGACAGAAAGGGAAAGAAAACACATGGGGGGGGGGGCTTTTGCCCTCCCTCCCTATGCTAGTTGAGGCGGACACAATGCTAATCCATCACCAGTAGAGGGCTCCTTATAATAACAAGTTCATTGATCTTTAGGCGGAGGTGTACATGGAAATGCCACACTTAAGTCGCTCACTATTTCCCCAGACTGAGGCTCATAGAGGGTGGGCTGGGTTGTGCCGCTGGTGATCCAGACGATGCCAACAGATGCCACGAAGCAGAGTCCAGTAATGTTCCCGGTGAAGGGGCCAAGGCGCTGGATGAGCTTCCCATCCTGGGACCAGATGCCAACTGTCTGGTCAAAAGAACCTGAGAGCACCCTGCAGAGGAGATCACAGACCAGAGGGAGGGTCAGGGAAGCAGGACTTTGGCAGTGCAGTGGAGGAGCAGGGCAGCGCTTACATTTCCCAAGCAAAGACTTCACACCCTCTATATAAACCCAAGGCTCCCTTTCAAGTGAATCATTGAAAGCAGGAGAAAATATAACATTTCTTTAAGCGAAGTGTTCTTATTTTACACTTCCCCAAGCGGAACACACTCAAAGCCTCTCCCTCCTGGCCAGAGGTTTGAGTAACATCCTGCGGCTTCCAGTTCCTCTTTGTGGTAAACGTCATCCTTCCAGAGCCCTCTGGCTCTAGATCTGCTACTTAGAGCCCCAGCCTCTGCAACAGAAATCCATTCAGAGAAGGAGGCATCTCCTCCTGCTTCTCCTTTCCCCACCACCGTGCTAACTTCTCAGGAAAGGAAGGAAGCTGCAAAGGGAGGGGGAGGGAAAGGAGCAGGGAGCAAAACCCAAATAGTATTTTTTTTTATTTAAAAAATGGAGAAGAAATATAACCTAGGAAACGTGAATCAGAGGGGGCGTAGGCAGGAATTAAGGACTGTAAGGGAAGAGAATTTACATTATAAAAGGTGGTAGGTGTGCATTCAGCGCACAGTGATTCTCGCTTTCTATATATGAGAGCGAATTTAGCTCATCCTTGTCATTCAATTGAATGCTTCCATCCACACCACAGCAGATCTCTTTGGGCAGCAGGATTTGCCCTTTTGAAGTGACTAAAGAGGGAATCCTGCTTTGTCTCGTTTCCCTGTCCTTATGCCAGAATGAGGAACTTTTTTCAGCTCGAGTGAGAGGCCACATTCTCTTCCTGGGGCCTCATGCCAGCAGTGGGCAGAGTCAGAGGCAAAAATGGGCAGAGTCACTGGTATGACTCCTACCTTTCCTACAGTAAAAGCCAGAGGTTTCTACACATGCCCACATCCAGGCGAACAAGAGACATTATCGCAGCTCAACAGCATATTCTTGCCATGCAAAAGCACTTGAGGGGGATGCAGAGCAGGATCAGTCAAGGGCACAGCTTGTGGATGGAGGTGGGTGGCCTGGGACAAGTCCCAGGAGTCATTCAAAGAGGCCTGGAGGTCTACCCCTGGCCCCGGTTCTGAGGCTTCCCACCCCTGTTCTACATAAGAATGTGGCACCAGGAAGCTGCCATGCAAGTACATAAGACTATCCTTCAGCACAAAAGTCTCCCCTCAGTCCACTGCTGCTAGTACCCAATTGGCTACTCTTGCCTACTGCTTTCCTGTTTGGGGGGAAGGAGAATCAATTAGATGCTGACCGGTCATGGGTCACGTAGCAGGAGAGCACCTCTTGACAAATGCCTTCACACACACAACCCATTATCCAGCTCCCACGGCCTAGGTGGTCTGCCCTTTGCACTGAGCTTGTACCTCGTGGTTTCTTGCTGCCGCACCAGCAGCAGGTGAGTGATGGCTGCATGATGGGCACGTGGGATGCAGTGCTTGGTTGTCAGGCCCTTCCTGCCTGGAGTCTGATAGGTGTCAAAGATCAGCAGCTTCTTGTCATACCTGGGAAGGGAAGGGACTGTTGGATCTACTGAAGCTGGACTCCGAGGCTGGTGTGGCTTAAACCTCCCCGTGGTGGGAGAGAGGGAGCTTTGGTTTCAAAGCAGAGCTGCAGATTCCCTCCTTGGGAAAATGTGTATGACTCACTGCTTTGTCCTTCACAGTCATCCAGAAACCACATTATTACTGTCCCCTTGCTGGAGACCATCTCCCTCCTTTCCAGCAGGGCCTGTTTGATAAGGTTCTGCAGGACACGAGTAGCATATGATAGAAGCATTTCACAAAGCTGTAAGTATCACAGAGGGTCTGTACTTTGAACCCATCTGCAGACGGAGCCCATTCTTCACTCCCGCAACTCCCAACTTACCCTGCTGTGTATATCTGGTTGTCCAGGCAGGCGATGCAGGACACGATGTCTGTGTGTGTGTGCTCGGAAAAGCCCTGGGCCATGTGGACCACGTGGCCAGATTCTCTCCTTTCATCCAAAGGGAAAGCCATCAGGCGTCCCTTGCTGCCACAGAGCAGGAGATGCCGAGCCAGGCTGATGGACAAGGTGAAGATAGGGTAGCCTAGCTGGAGGGGGGGGAAGCGGGGACTGGCTTGAGTGCAGGAAGACTGTGCACAAAATAATAGGCTCTAGGGACTCAGGAAGGCAATACTGCCTAGTTCTCACCCTGCAAGACTCACTGGACAGGCCTGGTCTTATATAGATTTTATTGGAGTTAGACCAGCAGGGCACTCGAGGCCCAGAAGACAGCAAAATCTAATCCTGTTTTCAGTGCTTTTTTAAAAGAAATAAAAGGTGCCAGTACTCACCATGAAGTTGCTGCATTAAGTGCCACACTTTTAACATTTGGTGTTGGGGGGGAGGTGTTGGCACCAAAAACCCTTCAGAGCCCCCTAGAAGAAAGCACTGCCTGTTTTGCAGAATGAACATTACACTTCAAGGGCTCAAATATTTTATTTATTCATTACATTTCTACACGGCCCTTCATCTGAAGATTGCAGGGTGGTTTACAAAATAAAAACACAAAAATGTACAGCATACTAACAAAAACAATACCCCTCCCCCAGCTGAAAAGGTCTTAGATTTAGTTAGCCAAACAATATTTAGGAAGCTGCCTTCTACCCCAGGGACAGGGAACCTGCAGATCTCCATTTGTTGTTGGACTACAACTCCCATCATCCCTGAGGCTTGGCTGGGGCTGGTGGGAGTTCTGGAAGGCCACAGCTTAGGCACTCCAGGTCTGCACCCCCCTGGCAGCAGCTTTCCAGGGTGTCAGACAGATGTTCTTTCCAGCGCTACCTGGAGAAGCCGGGAATTGAGCCTGGGGCTTCCTGTATGCAATGCATGTGCTCTCCTCCTGAGTTGCAGCCCTTCGTGGGAATACTGGTTGGGGCAAGTTCCCCTTTATCCTCAGAAGCCTCAGTTAGTAGGTGCAGAAAGTGAGATCTCTACCTAAATTGCAGCTGTAGCATCCCAGGAATCCCCAGAATTCCTTGAGCAGCAAGAGCTTAGCACACTCACTCTCTGACAGGGTTTCCCATACTTGGGGCTCCAGCTGTTTTTGGACTACAATTCCCATCATCCCTAGCTAGCAGGACAGGTGTTCAGGGGTGATGGGAATTGTAGTCCAAAAACAGCTGGAGACTCGAGTTTGGTAAATCCTGTTCTATGATATCTGGTGAATTCCATGCAATGACTTACAAACTTCAGAAAAGCAACTGTGTCATTACTCTTGGCCTGCCCTGACCCCAGGATGTAATACGGTGTGGTTCTTACCAGGATGCGGTCAAGCACAGTGCCGCCTACAGCCCACACGAGCACAGAACCATCATTGGAAGAAGAGAAGAGGAGTCGTGCCTGCACCCAGGACTGGAAGTGGGTGACTCGGCCAGCATGCTCCTTGGCGCAGAGGGACATGCGCCCATTCTCCACGTCCCACCATTTGATCACTCCATCTATCAGGGCAAGAAGGGTGACAATACAGCTTGTTTAGCTAGGGCCTCGTTTCGGAAGGAACGTCTCCAGCTCATTTGAAGAGCGACGCCTTAAGGAAAAACCTGACGGGTTTTGAATGAGGGCACTGTGCTAGCATGGCATTCCCTGATGAGAACTCAAGCATAAATTCAGAGGTCATATGAGGACATGAGCTGAAAGCATGTAGATGAGACAGAAAGCAGACTCTTGGTGCAGGTGATAGATATACTGTGTTTTGGGCTGTACTCTTGTTGTGGGGATGGAAATGGTGGCCTATTATGTGATGTAACTGTCCAAGATTTGGGCATGTTGTACAAAGCAGGCATGGAAGTTGGGTAGAATTTAATGCTGTAATGCTCACAAAGAACTGGAAAAATGTACCTCCCTAGCTAGGACTCACCTTCAAAGCCGGTGAGGCACTCCCGTCGGGCTGAATGGTAGCCAAGAGCTGTTATGGGACGGCGATGACGTTCTTTCACCTTCAGATGCTCTTGCATAGCCATGACTGAGATTAGGGCCAGAGAATGTGGGGAAACACAGGGTCACCCATCTGGCAGATTTCCAAGGTCTCTGGGGGAAGTCAGCTTGTTTGGTGAGGACCTCCCAACCAACAGAAATTGCGTAACCTGAAGTTGCTGCTAAGTAGCAGGCTGGAAGCAGCCTCAGTATAATGAGCCGGCTTGCTAATAGTTTCCCTAGGGAATCTTCTCTGGACCCATTAAAAAACAAGCAAACCCAAGGCTTGCCCTATGAACTTTTACCTGCAGAAAGGGCACAATGAAGCTTTTCTTGAGTGGGTGAGAAAAGTTGTACCATCTCAACTTTTCTCCTCTAACCTGCTGATAAAGGGACCCTTGCCCTCCTAGGGGCTTCTTGTCATCCTATAAGAGCAAAGAGGGTCTGTTGAGTCCTGCACACGCATCCAACTCTTCCTCTGCTCGTTCGCTCTCTCCCCTCCCTTCCTGCGCCCATCTGATGAGGGAGAGGCGACGGTTCCCTCCACAGCTTCCCACCCTTTCCCAGGCTGCTTCCTTCGCAGTCTCTGGGGAAGAAAAGAACCAAGCGGCAACGCGGCACCCTCCGCCTCCTTCCCGAGACTTGCCCGAATACAGAGCGCGCGCACCAAGGCGCCCGGGGACGGTTCTTCGAAGGCTCCGGCTGTGGCGCCTGTGGAGAGAGAGATGAAGTCGGATTTCTCGTTTATACTTCCTGCTCCTGTCTCCATGGAAATGCGGAGAGGGCGGGAAGGAGCCAATGCCGGGGCTCCCGCCTCGCTGCGGCTTTTGGGCGTCGTGAGAGTCCAAAGCAGAGCCGCCGAGTCTCCCAGGCGCCAGGGTCGGCCTTCGCGCGCAGCCTCGGAGAACCGCGCGCGACGTGGGTACCGTCCTGAAAGGCTGCCCCTTCAAGGGCTCGGCCGGGTCACCTTTCCCTAACACCCGGCGAGGTTCAGGGAGGGCAGATGCCCCCCCCATCAAGTAAATAAATAAAAATACTTAACTAACTGAGCAATTGCGTCGCATATAGCTCGGTTCTGCCCCCCTAACAAAAGTCCTGCACCCCGCCTTAACATAAATCCTGGCTATGCCCATGACTTGCATTTTAATTTTCTTTCTTTAACGAGAGTAATATACTGCTTAATCGACAAAAACAAAAACCTCTAACAAAGCAGCGTTGTTATTTACTTCATTTATGAATGATATAAATGGACTTAATGCAGCACAGAGTATGGAGCTCGCTCTTCCTAGGAGGCAGTGATGGCCACCAACTTGGGTGGCTTTGAAAGAGGATTAGACAAATTCATGGGAGGAGAAGAAGGCTATTGGTGGCTACTAGCCATTATTAGCTATGTCCACAGTTGGAGGCAGCAGTGATTCCCAATAACAGTTGCATCTCTCTCTCTCTCTCTCTCTCTAAGAACAGGTTCCCTTGGTCTTTTCTCCCTGTACATGTGGACAATCAGCTTCATAGTCCTTAGAACACAGTCCCTTTTTGTTGCAATAGACTAAGCCCTCTCTGGAAATTGCATAGGCCTTGTATCACAGCACAACTGATAACATTGTGCATAACAGTAATTGCACAAATCTCCCATTATGAGGAAAGACCCCATCTGGTGTATTGTACCTTTGGAGGCAACAACCAGCATGAAGTTCACTGGGAATGTGGATATAATGTGGATATAATTTGAAGCGCCATGGAAGATACAGGTCAAATGAACAGTAAGAGAACGAAAGATTATGAAAATAAAATATGAAAAATTTGGCTGCTGCAGTACTAAAACTGAATGCAATTTGCAACCTAAACATTTGCTGGAATGTCAGGCATGAATATTAAGTACTTGCTGAAGTACTATATATAGATACAAAACATAGCCAAGTAGGAGAGAACCACCCACAATCATTGTCCAAAGCTTGAAAAATTCAGACAAGTAGCAGATCCATTCTTCCTGCCTCTTGCTCCAGTTGCATGACATGATCTAGAAAAGTGACAAGATGATTGCAGCACATATGACAGGAAGAGGGGGACGTGGGCTCAGAGCTTTAGCCTTCATGTCACAGAGTCCAACAAAGCTGGAATCGAAAGCACTCGTATGCATTAATACACTTTCCAGGTGGGCCAGAGTCTTTCTCAAGGAACAGAGGCACTGGTACCTTTCTGGCTGTAAGTGTGGAGGGTGAGCAACACTTTTCCTCTTTGGGACAACCTTCCAGGGCACAATGCAAATAAGTGGGGGGGGGCAGGTGGAGCAATTAATACAATTTTTTCCTTTGTACACTTGGCTGGCTTCCATATACCCTCACACACTCCTCTCCAGGGGTGGAAAAACGTGTCAACTTTGGCTCTCCCAGTTTTTCATTTCCCCACTCCCACCAGCATCCAGATTCCTCTGCCGAGGAACCAAGAGAGGTGCAATTTTTGTACCCCCTCATCTGTGCTACAGGAGGGAGCCAACCCCCTGACCCCACCATCCACCAGCCTATCTCTGATGGCAACATTTTTGTTGTCTGTTGAGAACGACCTGTTATAAATTACCACCAGAAGCATATTTGCCATAAATAGAGTGTTTTCTTCATGACTGATGCAGTCCATATGGAACCTGGGAACTTTTACCTGACAGATTGATAGACGTCACAGGTAATATTCTGTGCATAAATGATGGGTGCATGTGGTCAATTTTACTTTAGACTTTGAACATTTTTTAAAAACCCACTATTCACTGCAAGCACTAATTACACATCTTCACAGGCAATCTTGAGAATGTTTACAATACAGCAACCTCCCTTGTGGATTCTCTACTACAATATTATTTGCAGTGCCTCCCATGGGGAGTACCATTGATTGTGCTGTGTTTGTATGACATGCTAGAATTTGCAGCACATTCAGGTAAGCTCATCAATGTTCCCTGCCTTGCGCCAGATCATAGATGTCCAACTGTTACACTTTGGGAGGTCAGTGTATTCTCCTCATACTAGGCCAATGCCCGGGACAATATGTTTAGGTACTATAATGCAAGTGGCATTACTTAGAAGGAAAAGCTTCACTGCTCTGGAGCAAATGTCATGTTTAAAGAATGAATGGGTGTTCTGAAATATATCCTCAGGTTGACAGTGATCCTTTACTTTCTCAGAATATGCATAACAACACAATAACATTACTGTACACAATTACACATTACAAGTGAAACAACAATATTTTTTTTAAATCACACCTTGCTTTGAATTTGAAAGAATTATCAGAAGCTAGTTAAAGTTTTAATTGGAAGGGTCAAATCTATCTCAAAGGTTGCCAGCTTTCCCAGTGAGAGCCAGTATGTGTTGGTCCATGTCCTAGAATCTAGGACAAGGGTGGCCATATATCCTACTTTACAGAGGGCAGTCCTCTATTTGAAAGGCAGTTCAATCCAGGCATAGGAGCTAACTCCTAAGAACTGAGGCCCTTTGCCCCCCCCAATAAAATATTTCAGGGGGCTGCCCCCACCCAAGCTGATGGACACTGCCATTCAAATGGTGTGTGTGCACTGCATCTTGTGATTGACTATGGGGGATGGGGCTTACCTGCCTCCTGTATTTTATTCAAGTGTCACCCTGAATCCAGGTTCAATTTAAAGAGAAAGGGAAAGCAGGAGGGCTTTTGGAATTGCCAATCAACAGTGTGCATTGCAAGAGTAGACTGAGCAGGCACACAGGTCACCTGGCTGCAGTCCTCCCTGTGGTGAGAAGTATTTCTATTTAAATGTTAGTATTTAAAATTGGTGTCTCTATATAAAAATTAACAGATGCAATTCTGTGTTCTCTGTTTCTGGCAATGTGTGTTGAAAGTGGCCACTCTAACTAGAACCATGAAGTTTGCTGGGTAATCTTTGGCCAATTGCTCCATGACCTTCCCCACAGGGTAGTTGTGATTATAAAATAGGGGAGGAAGGAATGTATGCCACCCAGAGCTCATTGGAGGAGGGCTGGGATAAAAATGTTAAGAAATAAGTGACTAAATCCCAATATCACGCTTAACAGTGTCGGACTGGGCGTCATATCCATTGCTGCCTGGATTAGAGGCCTAGAGGCATCATATATGTAGTCACAAGGCCCCTGACTTCGTGCCAGCAAGCTTGTTTATTAGCTGGAACCTCTTTTGCCATATTGCTACAGCAGAGATTATGAAACAAAGTCCTCACTTTCCTGATGGAGTCTCATGATCTCCAAGGACAGTTTTCTGTGCTGTGTTCGCCTCAGATTGTTGTCTTCATTCTCTCACTCCTGCTGCATTTCTGCTGAAGCAACGCCTTGTTACCTTGCTTCCATCTGTTCAGTTCCTTCCCCCGAGGGGTTTCTTGTGGTGGATGACAGTAAATTTCTTTGCCTTTAGCTCCTAATGCTCCGGTTCCTTATCAGGATGTAGAATCCTTTGGGGAAATTTATGCTCTAGCCTCGGACAGTTCACAGAGAGCCCTGGGCTGTTGTGGGTGTCGGTGGGGCTGTGCTCTTCGAAGGAGGGAGTCTCTCTTCCAAACCCCATTTTGAGCTGTGGTTTTGGTTTCCATAGTGACACTTCCTGTGGTAGAGAAAAGAGGTAGTGAGTGCAGCACTGTGAGCGTGGCAGGCAGCTGCACTCCTTCTTTCTCTGCCTGCCGGGGATGCTCAGAAGGCCGGTGCTGCGGCCTCAGGGAGGGGCTTCTCCTAGGCTGATGGTCCTGGCTTAGACGGACTACCTGTGACAGCAGCACGAGGCATGCTGGGAAAACCCAAATACCTGGGCGTCCAAAATGGCCGAATGGTGAGTGAGTACACTTCAGTTGCTCCTGAGGGATGATGGCAAGGCCAGAGGCTTGCAGCTCACAAACCTGCAAGGAAATGTGGTTTCTGTTTTATTTTTTTCTGTCCCCAGCAAAGGATGCTTCAGGGAAGCAGCCTTTTAAGGATCTGGGTTGTGTGTTTATGCATTTTGGGGTTGTTATTTGTCCAGGAAGATCAGCATTCATTGTTTTTCTCCTTGCAGGGCCTCTCTGGGCCAGCTGGGGTGCCTTTACTTTTCATGGATCTCTGACATCCAGGAAGATAAGTGGGAGGCTGTGACACTGATATTGAGGAGAGGATGGAATTTGACTATTAGAGAAAGGCTAATCCAAACTTCATTTCCTTTGAGCCTGGTGACAAGGAGCCTGTTTGCCCCACCTCGTTCTTTGTAACTTGTGGGAGAGTACATGGAAAGCACTCTCTGCGTGGCTGGTCTGTGTCAAGGGTCTGTGACTCTTGCCTTGCTAACCCCTCGCCCTCCACACCCGGCCAGATTGGGGTTTTTTTTGTCTCACACTGAGCTCGAGGGTTTCTGTGGCCTGTGAAATCACAGTACTTTTCAGAGGCTGCAGCCTGCACTGAGAGATGATCTGCCGCGGTGAGCCCAGAAGACCGAGGGCTGGCGTGAGAGTCTCTGAGATCATGTTGCACAACTCAGCATGACTGGCAGCCACAAAAGGCAAGGAAGGGCTGTAATCAGATTAGATGGGCTGACAAAACTGGATGCCGGAGACTCATGTCGTGAGCAAGGCAACAAAAAAAAAGCAAAAAAGAAAAGAAAAGAAAAAAGTAAGGAGTTGCAGGTTAGATAAGCTGGTGGTGCTGAAACCTGGCAGCTATTTGTTTAGGGAATAGCAGGGTTTGGTAGGAATGTTAGATGGGAGATAATTGCTAGCCAGCCACAGAAACCCAGTTGGTTGCCTGGAAAGTGGCTTTAGCCTTTGTTTGCCCTGGATGGGGGATCCTATGTGGAATTTCTGTGTGGGATCAGCTTGTAGGAGCCTTTGGAGAGAAGTCCATGGTGTGGTTCATGGAAAGATTCCCTTTGACTATGGTGACAACATAGAGTCTTATCCTATTGTGCAGAGTTGGGGAATCTGTGGCCTGTCAAACACTGTTAGACTTCAACACCCATCAGCCTCAGCCAGTATAACAAATTGTCAGGGATGATGGGAGCTGTAGTCCAACAGAGGTTCCCCATCCTTTCTATAATGTGGATTCAAATAGAAATATCAGATACTGACCCCAGAGATGGTACCCACATTACTGTTTACTGTGGCCCACCACTGGTGCTTGAAGCTGCGTATACAAGGCATTTGTCACAATCCACATCTATATCCTGTCACTTTTTCTTGAGAAATACTGCTCCTTGGTGCATTTCCCTTCAAACCAGTGCCATCCAATTGGAAAACATAAGCTACATTCATTTCACGGTTAAGCTGAGGTGTGTACAGCTGTTGCACATGTGCAGATGACAGCTTCATGAGTTCAGGGTGGTGGTGGTTTGCAGGCATGGGGAAACCAAACAGGCAATGGCTATCAAGTGAAGACATCCCTGCCCCTTCACGGCTGTGTACAGCAGAATCCAGTATGGGGGTGTGTGTGTGCTAATGCGTGCATAATCTATGTGTCCTGGAAGTTTCCCACTGCCATGTAATATTAAGCTGAATTCAACCCTGTTTCTGTAGAAACTGTTGTGGGTTTTCAAGAAGGAATGGCTGCTCACGTTCTCATATGGGGAGTTGTTTTGTCTCGCCTGACATCTGTCAGGCGTATCCCATCAGCATCCTGCTTCCATTAGTCCTTTTCAGATTTGTGTGATCTGAAAGACCTAGACTGAGGTTCCAGTATGAGGAACCTTGTATGTGCCACACAGCAATGGCGTAGGCAAAGGACACCACCAACATCTGTATGCGGTTGGCTCGACTAGACTGTGGCACTGTGGCAAGGCTGGTCTCTGTGCCACATCCGGATGGTCCTTGGGATGGGAGTCTCGAGTTGAGGGATGGGGAACCTTTGTCAGCCTGAGAGCCACATTTCCTTCAGTGGCAGGTGGTGCCAGAGGCAAAGGCAGGCAGAGCAATGATTGGCTAGTGTTTACATATACCGTACTCAGACAAGCCAAAGAGGTGTTATCAGAGTTCTTCAAAGGACACATTCTGGTCAGGCAAAAATAGGGAGGGTGCAAAGCAGGGCAGGTGAGGGGTGAGGCTCAAGAGGGTATTGTGACAGCAGAAAGAATTAGAGGCCAAATAGAAAGGCCTGAAGGGCCACACTTGACCCACTCCACCCCTGCTCTAGGTCTTGTGTGTGGCCCTTTGGTGCCATTATACAAGTAATGTTACACTTTGAACACCATTTCTGATTGAACCAGGAATGTCCTACTTTTCCATTCTCTTCCCCTCCATGTCTCAGAGAGCAATTAAAGTGGTGTGTGTATATGTGTGTGTGTGCAAAAACGGAGTGCTGCTTATACTGAAAATAAATTACCTGCATCAAATGAAGGAAATGGTGGAGCGCATACAAAGCCCCTTCCTATAATTCTGAAGGAAAAGGTCACCAGTCCGTTTTAAATCGTTTAATTAAAATGCTTCAGCAGCCAGCCTTTTTTTAGAAAACACATGGGGCGTTTATTCCTTTATTGTAAATGGAGCCTTACACTGCAAGCCTTTACATGTCTACTCAGAAGTAAGTCCCACTGTATTCAAAGGAGCTTACTCCCAGGTAAATGGGTAACGACTGGGCAACCCTAAGCATTTTTAATCAGAATTAAATCCCACTGAGTTCAATAGGATTTACTCTCTGGTATGTTCCTGATCATTCTCACAGTTTTTCCTCCTCCTCCTCCTCCTCCTCTTCTTCTTCTTCTTTCCCACCTTTTCCCTGACAGGGACTCAAAGCAGTGTACTGCTGAAATGTTATTTCAGTTCCATTTATCAGTTGAAGGTGTACACAGTCCCCTCCCTCACATATTTTTTTTCTTTACAACAATCCTGTGAGGTAAGTTAGGCTGAGAGGTTGCAATTGGCTCAAGGTGACAGATGTATATGTGTATAAGACGTCTATGTGTGCTGGAGATCAAACGCGGGAGAAGCTTCCTGATGTAGAATAGAATGTCCCTATTTTCATCTGAGGAAATGTTGGACGGTATGGAATAGTATTGGCCCTGGGCCATTCCTCCTGGGGTGCATCTGGGAATAAGGTGGGCCTACAGCTTACTTGGGACGCGGGTGGCGCTGTGGGTAAAACCTCAGTGCCTAGGACTTGCCGATCGTATGGTCGGCGGTTCGAATCCCCGCAGCGGGGTGAGCTCCCGTCTTTCGGTCCCAGCTCCTGCCCACCTAGCAGTTCGAAAGCAAGTCAAAGTGCAAGTAGATAAATAGGTACCGCTTTATAGCGGGAAGGTAAACAGTGTTTCCGTGTGCTGCGCTGGTGCTGGCTCGCCAGAGCAGCTTCGTCACACTGGCCACGTGACCCGGAAGTGTCTTCGGACGGCGCCGGCTCCCAGCCTCTTGAGCGAGATGAGCGCGCAACCCTAGAGTCGGACACGACTGGCCCGTACGGGCAGGGGTACCTTTACCTTACAGCTTACTTTATCCCAAAGGCAGCTGGGTCCAGGGGTGGTAGTGGTAGGCTCCTGCTCTCGTGTAGGTCAGCACCTCCTTCCCACCTATCTTACATTGCTTACAGCGAGTTCTGACCACGACAGAGTTTCACAACAGCACAGGAGATTGGATGCGGCACAGTTTGGCACTTGTCCTGAGGTTGGAAGCTTTCTGGTAGCAGACGGCTGTCTTGCATCTGCTGTGTGCAGCAGAATGTCCTGGAAGGCTGTCTGATGCTGGAGCAGAGGCTGCCTCCGTCCCCAGCGGTACTGGCCCTGCTGCATTCTGCATTCCCTAAGAACTCTTTTGACCACTCTCATCCTTCTCTTGCAGGGCCTGGCTGTGTCAGATGGGGGTAAGTAGGCCGTCTGTCTTTGGGAAGGGTGCTGGGCATGTGGGAAGGTTAAAGACCTGACCATGACAGCAGGGCTCACTGGCTAGTAGGGGTGGAGCAGTGCAAAGGTTGGTAAACTCTACAAGCAACAGGAAGACCTGCTCACACTCACTCACATTGGCGTTCTGAATTACATAAAACAGCTCCAGGCAACTAGATGGTGAAACAAACGTTGCCCAAAATATCTCTCAGGATATTCTGCCAGGAAACAGACTGGCCACTTCCAGCTCTAACATTTATCAGCTGGTATACAGAGGCCAGAGATTTGTTGCTGGGCCAACCCCTTCATTATGTGGAGTTAGGTGTCTACCTCAGAAGGATGCTGGGGGTAGAGGAAGAGATGAGGAAGTATTGGATGACAGGACTGCTTATGCCACACAGCATGGCCTGCACCTCCTACACTAGCCTGCTGTCCTCAGGCGCAGTGGAGGATGCCATCTTGTTGAAATAATATTCAGTTGCCACTCCAGTTGGTTTCTGTATGTCTGGAGTAGCAAACCTTTGGCCCTCCAGATGCTGCCAAACTACAAGTCCCATCAGCCCCAGCAATCATGACCAGTTGCCTGGGATGATGGAAGTTGTAGTTCAGCCACATCTGGAGAGCCAAAGGTTGTCATCTAGACCTCTCCCTCAGGTAGCCAAGTTGGGCAGACCCCCAACTCAGTGTCACTCTAGGGCTTGGGAAGGACCTGAAATCTCTCTCTGTTCACAGAGTTAAACAGCTCGGGGGCTCGGGGCAGTAATAACAGTGTGGACAGTCTGCCAAGCACCCAGAACGCTTCTCCTTCTTCGGGGCAATGTGTAGCACGGTGGGCAGAATCCTTTGAGACACTACTGCAGGACCGACTTGGTGTGGCCTACTTTACTGTGAGTAAGACACAGCACTTCTGTTTATCATGATCTCCCTCCAACCCAGGGCAGGACATGGTCAGTCCATGGGGCTTATTTGGCCTCAGGGGTGTAGCTAGCTGGGGGCACCGCAGTGATCCACCCAGGAGGGTGCCGCGGCAAGCTGCCCACGGAGTCCACCTGGCGGACGCAAGCCCCATGCTGCCGTTTGGGGCGGCGCAGGGCCCTGAGCCACCACGTCACTCCCAGGAGAGACACATGGCTCAGGCGCGCTGCAGGCCAGGCCCCGCGGTATGTGCTGCCCCCCGCGGTGCGCCATTTTGTCACCCCCTCAGGGATGACGCCCGGGGCACACTGCACCCCCCGCACCCTCCTTCCTACGTCCCTTTCTGGCCTGCTAAGCCTTCTCTAGTGGCCTGCCAGCCTCTGGCCCAATTTTCTGGTGGCTGCCACTGGGGCAAAAGCATGCAGAATCAAGCAAGGGTGGTGCATTTCCCCTCCCCACCATGGTGTGGTGCTATGTGGAGAGGGGGAAGCCTCTCCACCCAGCCCAGTGCCACAAAGGGGACAAAATGGCTCCTTCTCTGCTAATTAGATTGACCACCTGAAGAGTAGAGAGAGTGGCGGGGGGGGGGTATTTTCATACTCATTGCAGAGCGGGGGCAGGGTGGGGAGGCTCCCCCCAGTCCAGCTCCACAATGGAGAAGGAAATGGCTCACCCTTCCGTGAGAAGCAGAGGTACGCCCCCAGCCTCCCCGTGTATGTGTGAGCCTGCAATAGTATGTGCCTGTCGTAGAGTATACATAATGTTTTGCTTTGTGTTGCTTTGCATTTGTTGTACCTGGCTGAATGGTGCCTAGATGAACTCTTTGATCTACACAGGACACTAAATTGTGAGAGTCCTGGGACAGAGGGAGGGTCATCTTCATCTCTACCCCCACCTCTTTTTAGGAGTTCCTGAAGAAGGAGTTTAGTGCTGAGAATGTATATTTCTGGCAAGCCTGTGAACGGTTTCAGCAGATCCCAGCTGGCAGCACCCAACAGGTAAGAGCACCACCAAGGCCAGACAACGCAGATGAAACCCAAAACCAGCACAAAGCAGACTCTTTCTCTGCCTGGGGGGCTGAAAGGGAGCAGATATAAGCAAGTGTAGCTCAGTTTGTTCCTAATTTGCCCTGAGTGGGATATTCATATTTATTTTTTAACCACAAGGTTTAGAAACTGCAGTTTATAAAATGAAGACTTTTGTTTTGAGGAAGCTCAGTTCTGCACAAGATGCAGGCAGCACATTTATCATTGCTCAGAAAACACATTGCCTGATTTGGAAGAGGGGATATGCTAAGAAATGTCAGGATGACTCCTTGCCTCTCAGTTACACTACATGAACTGTGCTTAAAAATAAAACACTAAAGAAATTCTGTACCCGAGGAAGCAAAATTCTTGGCTGAAAAAAGCTGGATTCAGCTACCTAGACACATTGTGGAAATTGGCTTTTTTGTATACTTCCCTGCTTTCGTCACTAGTCATAGGGAAGGGCAAGGAGCTATGCAGCACATTAAAATACTTCCTTTTGATGGCTCGGAAACATTTTGAGTCTCCCTCTGGCTTTGGAGATTTTACCAGGCATGGGAAGGAAGGAAGGAAGGAAGGATTCGCATAATGTTGAATTTTGCAACCAAATGAATAGCAATTTCATACTTTTCTAGTATTTGCATACAAGCATTGGTTGCATGCAACCCTATGACTAGAGGAACCCTGACGCTCTTCTCCTATAGCCTACACTAAAGGAGACAAGAAGAGTGGCACAGAGAGCAGCTGTTACCTGTGGTAACGTCATAACTCGTCTCATCCCACATTGCTTTCTCCATAGCTGGCCCAGGAGGCGAGGAGGATCTATGATGAGTTCCTGTCAAGACATTCAGTCAGCCCGGTCAATATTGACAGGCAGGCCTGGATTGGTGAGGAGATGCTGGCCACCCCCACCCCTGACATGTTTCACGTCCAACAACTCCAGGTGAGAACAGTCCGCCTTAGCTAGTCTATGAGATGTGGGCTTGTGTGGGAATCTAGGAACACCACCTGCTGCTTCTCCAATCAGTAATGCGAAGCATCGTTGCTGAAGTCTTCTGAGGTAACAGAAGGGATGCAGCTCAGTAGCAGAAAAGCTGCTTTGCGTGTGGAAGGTCTCAGGCCCAATCCTTGGCATCTCCAGGTGCACCTGAAACCCTGGAGAGTTGCTGCCAGTCAGTGTTGACAATACTGAGCTAGATGAACCAGTGGTCTGACTCAGTATAAGGCAGCTTCCTATGTCCCTCTGAGGCGATCCAAGTCCTGGAGGGCATCCTGCTTCAGGGACAGTGATGGGCACATGACTAACCCAAGGCTTCTTGCTCCAGATCTTCAACCTGATGAAGTTTGACAGCTACGCACGCTTCGTCAAGTCTCCACTGTATCAGGCATGTGCGAAGGCCGAAAGCCAAGGGCAGCCCTTGCCAGAGCTGAGGCCTCACTCTCGAAGTGGCAGCCCCCCAAGCGACCATGGCAAGGTACAGGGCCTCCTCTTGAACAGGACTGCATGGGAAAGTTAGGGGGTGGCCTTTCCCCACTTCACTCCCCTAACCTGCTCCAGCATGCCATGAGCTGATGCGCTCTCTGGCTTCCCCCTAGAAAACGAAACTAAAAGCAGGGAAATCGCTGCCACTAGGAATGGAGGAAGGTGGCAACTTAGGCAGCAGGAGCCCTCGGAGATCCTTTCGGAGAGGGGACCGGAGGGAGCGTCACTGGGGAGGTGAGTCCAAAGCCGATAGTTGGGACACCACAATTGTTCAGGTGTCTCTGGGTGGCATCAGGGTGGTTAATAAAGTGCCCGATCACCATGGATCACATATCCTCCAAAAACCTGCTGATTCTCTGTCCTAGAGGAAAGAAATGGCAGTGAAGGGCCGTCCCACTGGCGTGAGTCTCAAGGCTCTTTGAATTCCTCGGCTAGCCTGGACCTGGGCTTCCTCTCATCTTACGCCACCAACAGTTCCCAGACTGAGGCAAGTGCTTCTGGGACTTATTTAGCCTGGGGTTTGGGGGGCCAGGGCAGTGAAAACCGACCTGTGCTGCTGTTGCCTACCCCATCCTGCTCGGGTCACGCTCCCTTCCTTGCGCTAGTAGGCGTTTTGCTGTTGCTTGATGTTCTGCCACGGCTGCTGCACGCTCTGTCCCGCCCAGCCCCCACGCAATCTGTAATGGGCTATGTGACTATGCAGTGTGGAGGAGTTCTCAACAATGTGCAGTTCAGCTCTGCAAATGCTCCTGGAAAGAGCTGCTGAGGCAGCTCCCAGTATTTTCCGCAGCTGCAGAACCCTGGAACTGTTGAAAAGATGTTGCTTAAAGCCATAGGGAGTCCCAGCTGGTGGGGAGGCAATCCTCCCCTCCTGAATACAACGACCAGTGAAAGGAGAACAGGGAGTGACATTATCCTTAGGGAGAAGCATTGCTAGAAAACCCTGCAGGAACAGCAGGGTGCTGAATATTGCCTGATCTGCATAACATGAATGTAAACTACAGAGTACAGACCTGTTCCGATGGAACCAGCTTTTGGGGAGCAAAATGATGATTTTTATTTACTTATTGTTTAGTATATGCACATGCATGTACAGCGTACAGTGGTACCTCGGGTTAGGTACTTAATTCGTTCCGGAGGTCCGTACTTAACCTGAAACTGTTCTTAACCTGAAACTGTTCTTAGCCCCTTTAGCTAATGGGGCCTCCTGCTGCTGCCGCACCGCCGGAGCACGATTTCTGTTCTCATCCTGAAGCAAAGTTCTTAACCTGAAGCACTATTTCTGGGTTAGCGGAGTCTGTAACCTGAAGCATATGTAACCTGAGGTACCACTGTACTTGTTTCTTGGACAGTGGATCAGATCAGATTTTTCTTTCGCTTTGATAGATATTACACATAAATGCCAACAGACCAGGCATGATTCAGCACAGTTCACCAGGTTCAGTGGTGCTTATTTGCAGGCAAATGTGGTTAGCGCTACAGGCTTAGTCTGCAAGAGCGACATGTATGCAAAGGTCTGTGCACTGTATTCATAGCACCAGTGCCAGATCTGCAGAAAGGGGGAGCTGTTGGACATGAAAGCAAGAGTTGCGGACTTTAGGCTGCCAAACTGACACATCTTAGAACCAGAATTTTTTTTACACTTTTCTATACGGTACCCAGAATGAGAAATGTAGATTGCAAGAGCAGAATTCTAAAATGTATTACTTCAAACTGTAGGTAGTAGGGAAGGATCATATATTTAAATTGCTCCCCTGTTGTAGTTCCTGCATGTAGCAAAACTAGCATATCAATAGGGAGACTAAGAAATGGGTCCTCAAATGCATGTTTGGGTTAAAAGTCGTTCCTGAGTCTGAAAAGGTTGAAGATACCTGCTATATAGAACCTCCATGTTCAGGAGTAGTAGATCTGACAATACTTTTTGCTGGGAAGCAGCAATGCATTGCTGCTTGCAGGACTCTTTGTGTTTGTATGTTATGAGCTTGTCTGAACAATTAGATTGACCGTGGTGGGAAACAGGATACCAGACAGACTTTGGGTCTTATCTAGCAGAGTTCTTCTTCTGCTAAACATTTTCGCAAGATGCAAAATATGGTTTACTAAATAGAGGAAAGTTTAAAAATAATTTTAAAAATGGCACCCATTCGAAAAGCAGAAGAAGGGCATTATACCCCACCACCCCCTGCCACTTGTGTACATTCTAGTATTCTATCTCCTCATTCTCTATAATCCATGGTGCAGCAACTATATTATGTTTTGCACACAGGTGAGGGATAAATGATGTACAGTTATGTATGAAAATTCTGGGTATGGCTATTATCATTGGTACATTTGTCCAGAAGCCCCAAAACACCCACAGATAATATTATATATCAGACCTTAGAAATCATCTGGTGTCCACCCTGAGCTTTTATCCTAGTAGCTGAGCCAGCCAAAGAGTGATGCTGAATGTGTTGATTTCTCCTTCCTCCAGAACAACAGGCAGAGCCTGACTGGCTCAGAACCTGACAGTCAGAACCAGCCTGTCAAGTACTGTTGTATTTACCTTCCCGATGGGACTGCCTCTCTGGCCCCTGTGCGCTCTGGACTCTCCATCCAGGACATGCTGGCTGGGATTTGCCAGCGCCGGGGCCTCCACCTGCCTGATGTCAAGATCTATCTTGTGGGGAATGAAAAGGTAGGCCCAGCCTATGGGAGGAAAAGGAAAATAACTTCTGGAGGAATGCCACGGCAGAAATTTTAAGAGGAAGGGATGCTGTGTGTGTGTATTTCCAGGTCAAATATAGACGGAGACAGCAGCTGTAACCTCTTTCAAAGGGCAAAAACTGTCCAGTTGGTGGACAATGCAGTAGCTTCCCTTGTGAGCTGTGAGTTCAGAAGTCCTTGCCTGAAATTTCACCGCAGGTACAAACCCACCTGAGGCAAACCAACATTCTCTCAGTCTCAAAAGCCATGCACAACAATTGCCCATTTTATAGGGTTGTTGTAAGAATTACTGAGATAATGAATGTACAGTATTGTCCCATAAGATCGGCTAGTTGAAGGCTCAGAATACTAATGATGGATAAGACACTGAAGATGGATTGCTAGAGGCACCAATATGAGTTACACACTACCATCATCACTTTTCAAGGGACACCCACTATTCTTCAAGTATCTCCTTGAACCAGCTAATTTTACCCCACATAGCTGACAAGGAAAGAACTCATAATGGAATTACTTTAGGTTCACTGCAGGGTGAATCTTTCTTTTGCCCAGGGGTTGGGCCTCTTCATAGTTTCAATTCCTCTGAAATTCAAATACCTTCAATGTTGTTCTTTGCAAAGTGCTGCCAGAGACAAATATTTACCTACCTATCCACAGGTAAGCCCCAGAGATCCACCCTGATTGTATATCAAGTATTTCAGAAGGCATATTTGCATTAGGCAAATAATATCCAGCTTATAGCTGATTACAGCGTGTGTACATATACTTATAGGTCATTCCTAATGAAATAATCTCAGAAAGCTTCCTGGTACAAAAGAAAAAGAAAAAGCAACCTATGCATGTCTACTCAGATGTAAGTTCCACTGAGGTTCAAGGGACTTTCTCCCAGGTAACTGTGTACTGTATAGGATTTCAGAAGGCTGCAATCCTAAACACACTTATTAGGTGATACATCTCTCTGAAGTAGGTTCTCAGTAAACATGCTTAGAACTATATTTAATACAGTAGTCAGCATTTAAACAGCATTTCTTGAGCATTCGAAGTGCTGCACATGGGCTATCTCGATAACCTTTGCAATAACCTTATAAGGTACACAGACAAAGGACCGAGGCTGACAGATTGTCAGTACTGGTAGGGGCAAGATTTGAACAAAGGACCCCCTCTGTCCTCAAGCCAGAATACTACACTAGTAACCTCTCCGTTTGCAGAGAGTTGTCACTACCACCCGAGTGCACAAATAATCAAATAAAAAATATGATTCCAAAATACTCAAAACAATTGAAAAATAAACTTGATCAAGAGAAAGGCATCTTGAAAGATTAGTAGGCATTGTTGAGGCGTCATGAGGAATGTTAGAAAGCGCTGATGTTGCAACAAGACATGTGTTGCAACATATGGAAAATAACAGTGGTGTTCATGGATTCATGCTAGGAGGCGATTCATACCCGATGATAAGAAATGTTAACAAGCAAACAAATGTAAACTAGGAAAAAGCCCTTAATCACTAGGATTGTTTTGTCTCATAATACGTATCATGCAGGATTATTAAAGCTATTTTCCCAGACTTGCATCCTTGGTCTCATTAGCTTTTAAACTCATGCACACCTGTGGCCTTATTTTCTAGTTTTACTTCAAATATGTAGTGCTTTTCTTCTGGGGGGATGCAGGTGTATGCATGCTCCTAAACACTTTGTGAATCTAAATTTGGCCTCATTGAGGGGCAGTATTTCAATATGAGTGGAACAATGAGAGTACACCTAAACATTTTTTTTAGAAAAAAGCACTGCGTATACCCATATATATACAACAACACATCCATGTTTTAATTTTTGCTGTATTAATATGTCTGCCTTTGCTTGGTTTTTCACAGAAGCCGCTGGCACTGAACCAGGAGAGCTTAGTCCTGGTGGATCAGGAGGTGAAGCTGGAGACCAGGGTCAGCTTTGAGTGAGTGTAATCGCTGTAGACCCCTCCTGCTCTGCATTGGCCATGTATTCTGTAGCTAACAGGCAGAAACTTTGCTAAATCCCTCTTGACATGGAGCCAGGGCTGTCTGCCCCAGGGATGGGGGCCCGTCTTTATTTGTGAAACATAGGCAAACCCAACACCTCTCTGTCTACTGCTGTTCATGCCACTTTTATCTCTATGCTGCTTTTACATACCACACACACACGCACACACACACAAACACTGCTCAGAGCAGCTTACAACAAGGAGAACAGCAATACATCACAAAATCAACAACTGCAAGAACAATGTCATAGTTGTTGTTGTTGTTGTTTAGTCGTTTGTTTAGTCGTGTCCGACTCTTCGTGACCCCATGGACCAGAGCATGCCAGGCCCTCCTGTCTTCTACTGCCTCCCGCAGTTGGGTCAAACTCATGCTGGTAGCTTTGAGAACACTGTCCAACCATCTCGTCCTCTGTCGTCCCCTTATCCTTGTGCCCTCAATCTTTCCCAACATCAGGGTCTTTTCCAGGGAGTCTTCTCTTTTCATGAGGTGGCCAAAGTATTGGCGCCTCAGCTTCATGACCTGTCCTTCCAGTGAGCACTCAGGGCTGATTTCCTTCAGAATGGATAGGTTTGATCTTCTTGCAGTCCATGGGACTCTCAAGAGTCTCCTCCAGCACCATAATTCAAAAGCATCAATTCTTCGGCGATCAGCCTTCTTTATGGTTCAGCTCTCACTTCCATACATCACTACTGGGAAAACCATAGCTTTAACTATATGGACCTTTGTTGGCAAGGTGATGTCTCTGCGTAGCAGCAATAATAAAACAGTATGCAAAATGCAACTTTTCAGTACAATGAATGCAGGAACATGACACCTCCTGACAGGGGCAAGAACAACAAAGGAGTTTGCACAGTTTTATCTTAGTCCTGGATGCTCTGGCTACTGTGGCTAAATCCACTACAAAATAGCTAGGAATCAGGTTGTGCCAACCAAATGTCAAGGCCTCAGCTTCCCCAATGGGTGTGCTGCCCCTTTGGTATCCCCAATTCAGGCAGCATTAAGGCTTTCAAAGGCAGAGGGGGTGGGTTAGGTGGAAGCACACCCCCCCATTATCTTCTTCACACTCCCTTGAGTCTGCCATACAGGTACTGGTGGCCAAGTGAGTAGGCCATACGTGTTGCAAGCCCCAGTCTGCAAAACTATTAGGAGATAGCACCCTCCCCCCATCTGTGTGAACCTTGCTGTATCACCATGAACATAGGTCAGGGCTCACAACTCCAGAACAGACTCTGCCTCTCAGACCCTAAATCACAAGGGGTTCACAACATTAGGATTTCATTCAAGACAACCTGCTTGAATATTCTTCTCCCTGCCCACTTTGCTGTGATTCATATATGGGCACAGTATTAGGAAACTACCATCCTTCCTGCACTGCTTTCCTATGTGCTCAGTTTCTGTGACTTTGCCCATGGGCTTCGAATGGGGGAATCAGAACTGTACTCTTTGGTTTCCTACCATTAGGCATCAGGAAGTGAGGGTTATCCTTCACCTGGGGTAGATTACTGGGGTGCACAAGTTATGCAAGGTGGCAGTGCCAGATGCAGTATACTGTGCCCATTGGGTATATTTCTGATGTTTCTTCTCCTTATAGGCTAGAAATCATGCCCCTGAATAAGACAGTGTGCATTCTGGCGAAATCTACTAAGCAGCTGCGGGAGGCTTTGCAGCCCATCGTGGAGAAGTACGGCCTGGATCTCACACGAGTCCTGCTTCGACGGGTAAGAACGGTCTTTGAGGAAGTGAAACAGGACACAGAAATGAAGTCTGGGTGACTCCAGTCCAGTGGTGGGGGACCTGTGGCCTTCCAGATGTTGTTGGATTCAAAGACCCATAAACCCCAGCCAGTATGGTAAATGGTTAAGGAGTATGGAACTTGGAGTTTCCTCCCTGCAGTTTTCCTCTCTGTGGGGTTATGCTGGGGTCTGTAGGGATGGAATTTCTAGTTACATTTGGATCTTAAGCTTTCCCCCAGTTTTTTTTTAGCACCCCTTGCTCAGCACATAGTGAAACTATGGAAATTGCTACCATAAGTTGTAGTGATGGCCACCAACTTGGATGGCTCTAAAAGAGCAGACAAGATAAGAGCTTCCTGTGTCTACTAGTCGTTGAATACCAATTGCCTCTGAGTACCATTACTAGGAGTTCCTCGTTGTTGTGTTGTTGCACTCACGTTCCACTTATGGGTGCAACCTGATTGGCAACTGGGAGAATAGGAAGCTGGGCTAGATGGGCTTATGGTCTGATCCAGCAGGGCTCTTTTACATTCTTATTAGGGACAATGCTTTCCCCTTCTAGTTAAGCAGGAGCAAGTGAAGTGACAGGCCAGGAGAGACTGGTACCCAGACTAGAGTCCATGGTAATGTTCTGTTCCAGCTAAATGCAGGCCATTCATAGGTCCAGCAGCTCTCCAGGCTAGAGAGGGATCCCCCGTGTCTCAGACACCATTAATTCTTTTTGTGGGTTGGTGGGCTACAGCACATGGCTATTTCTGTTCAGCTTCTTTTTGGAAAGCTGCCCACTCTAGCAGCATGTATACAGTTCTGGTTCATCCACCCTGACATGAACTCCTTGCCTTGCTGTGTCTCTAACTCTGCTCTCCTGCTGCAGCCTGGTGAGGCCCAAGCTCTTAATATGGAAGAGAAAGTGACCACTGTGGCTTCTCAGAAGCTTGTGCTGGAGTCAGATACAGGTAGGTGAAACTCAAAGGCACATGTTGCGAATATCTTGACCTCCTCTTGACCTTGTTCACTTTTCAATGGATAGTTGGTAGATGGCACTGTGCAGTACAGTATTAGACAGGGAAGAATGAATACCATGTGGATCTATGGGAGGGAGGGAGGCTGATGCACAGGATTGCCTTGTGTTTCCTGCCAGTGTTGATGAGCAGACCGCTAATTTTTGCACCTTCCACTCAATGAGCCTGTTCAATGTTGGTTGCAGAATGGTGGTGAGGAAATCAGCTCTCACTCACAGTGAACAGGCTAGATGAAGAGCCATTTGTCATAAGCAGTGAGGCCACAGGCACAACCACATGTCCCAGGGCATTTATGTGCTGTAGCACGGTGATATTTGTCAGGGGTGGGGGATAATACCAGATTTCATGCAGTGTCGCATCCTGCTCCACATTCGCTTTGATCAACCACCTCTGTCTCGTAACTTTATAGGTGGCCCACTAAAGTTGACGTTTTTTTCTGGCAGGGCTCCTTTCATAGCTGTGTGATAAGTGAAGATTTTCTCCAGCAGGAAGCAGCAGGGAAGGGGAGAGTCCCCTGTTGAATGGGCTCTCGTCATACAGCTGCTGAAAACATAGGAGTCGTGTCAGAAAAAGAGAAGGCAACATTGCTACTTCCTCTCATCTTGTACTCCAAACCCACAACTTCCCTAGTCCATGACACATTTGTAAACACAGCATTTCCTTCTTTTTGCCAGTGTTCTTGCTAGCACATGGATCGACACTTGAATCATTTCAAGGACAGTCCATTCATGTTCTCTCAGCTCCCAGTTTATAGGTTTCCAGCCTCTTCCATGTTGTCTCTTCCAGGAAATCCTGATCCATTCTCCATCATGTCTTATTCTCAGCCTTCGTTCCAGCCATTCTCCCATTGTTGTCAGAGCTTAAGGTCTGACTCTTTGTTCTGCTGTCCCTCCAGGATATTTAATATCCATGTGCTTTATTGCAGAAGGGAAACCTCTTGGTGTGAGAAATTCTGCAATAAGCCCTTCTCGTGAGCTGAGTGAGGTGAGTCTTGGCCATGGGTTGTATTACCTTAGCTGGGGCAATTACATGACAGAATGCTGCTCCATTTTTATTTTTAGAAACAAAGCCTTCCTGCATGTAGATCTCAGTGAGAAAAGTTTTGGCCTAGCAGTATTCCTGATAATACTAGTTTTGTATGTCCAGAGATGTTTTTCTGCCCCCCATCCCACCAGCCATGCATATCACCTTGTTTTGGTTTTGCTAGGCTTATGTCATGGTGCTTAGGTAGGTACCGGGTTGGCAATTTTTGGCTCTGGTTATAATCGTGCCTTCTCTCACTGTGGTTCCAGGATGACAGCTCTGTAGAGACAGAATCTGAATCTGATTCATTCAGTGAGGGGTCCTGTTCCTACACTAAGCCTCCTAGGAGCAAACAGAATAGACGCACGTATGACTTGGAAGGTAAATCTTCTCTGATGTTACTTGTCAGATAGAGAGGGGAGGTAAATAAGATGCTTATTACTGACTAGGAAGCAAGCAATGCAGTCCCAGGGAATTAAAGGGTGCTATGTCAGTCTGCATACATGTTGACATGTTTATTTCTGTAAATGCATTCAATTTTCAACCTCACTACTTTGTTGTTGTTGTTGTTGTTAATAATAATAATAATAATAATAATAATAATAATAATAATAATATATTACTTATACCCCACCCATCAGGCTGGACCTCCCCAGCCATTTTGGGCAGCTTCCAACAGGATATTAAAAACACAACAAAAAAATCAAACATTAAAAACTTCCCTAAACAGGGTTGCCTTCAGGTGTCTTCCAAAAGTCAGATAGTTGTTTATTTCCTTGACATCTGGTGGGAGGGTGTTCCACAGGGTGGGCACCACTGCCGAGAAGGCCCTCTGCCTGGATTATTGGCCATTTTTTAAAGAAAGGTTTAAATGTGAAGAAGGCTGTTGAATAGAAAGGTGACAGCTAGTATAATAAATTATTGTTAGGCCGCCAGAACTACAGCAAATTCCTTCTCTCTCGCCTCTCAGGGCTCGTGGATCTGCTGAACCGGGCACAGAGCTGCAGAGTCAATGACCAGCGTGGCCTCCTGTCCAAAGAGGATCTAGAACTACCTGACTTCCTTCAGCTGCCTGAACAAGATGGTGTCTCCAGCAAGACCAGCTCCTCATCCAGCCCAGCCCCTGAGAAAAAGTCCACATCTGAGGCCCCCAGTGCTGAGGCAGCCACCGTCTCTCAGTGTCAGGCCCAGAAGAAGCAGTTGGTATCTCAGGCTTCCCTTTCAAAGCCGCCTACGGGAACTCCATCATCAGCAGGTCCTGCTGGGAAACCTTCAGCCATGTGACCTCCTCCATGACCAGCCATACTAGTCCCTTCCAGGAGGCCTAGTCAACCTCATGTTCCTTGCAGTGAGGTCAGGTCCCTCCTGTTCAGTATATGTTGTGGTACCATGTTCTGCCTCACAGAGACTCCTCCCCTCTCATAGGAATATGGTCCGAGGCCTGGCTACAGCCTGCAGCCACCTCTAGGGACCCCCAGCCTGTCTTCCAGGAATAGAAACGTGTCCTCCTAATGTTCTGGCTGACTCTCCTCCCTTGGAACTGCCCATGCTGGCTGGGCAGGAAAATGCCAGTCTTGCTCACTTGCTGTACCAGACCGTCGTACGGTGTTGCTCTGTGTTGTGAAACAGCTGCCCATGGCTGCCCCAGCAGCAACCGCATCTCTGTGGCAGGTGGTGATGACGCCTGTATATAGTTTGTAATTTTCAGTCTTTGTAAAATGTAAGATAACACTGTTGCTTAAGTTGTCCTGAGTCTCTGCAAGTTTGTGCACGGCAGCACATGCCTTTCTGGGCAGGGTGGCAGCAGTGGGTTGTGAATGCAGCCCTCAAGGCAGACACACTGGGGTGCAGGAGTTGTGGAGACAGAACTGCTTTGGGGTCTATGCTGCCCCTGAGAGGTTCCCACATCCTTCACGTGAAACGGCACGGCTTTGAGCGAAGAGGACTCCCAACCCAATTCCCAGTTGCCCTGGGTTGAGCGTTTGGTGTGCAGATCCGACAAGCCCACACCAACTGTACCACAGAATCTCCTTGGCTGGAGCTGTGTATGTCTCTGGTTAGGAGCTGGGTCCCCCATCCCTCTCCAAAAACGGTGGAGGTGTGCTCTGTGGGCAAGCAATTTGTATTTGTGTGTGTGTGTGTGTGTGTGTGTGAGAGAGAGAGAGAGAGAGAGAGAGATGAAAATTTGGGTTGGAAACACTCCAGTTGTGGGGTTGCCGCGCTCTCCCCACGCACACAGAACACGCACATTCCTAGGTCCCTGGAAACCTCTGCAAGCCTTTGCTCAGCAACCGCGTTCTGCTTGTGTGCATTTGCTGGGGAGACCAGCCAGCAAGCGGCGTATGGGTGAGGTCGCGCGGGCGGGGTTGCCGTCTCCCGATGTGCCCCTTCCCCTCGCCCAGCTCAGTCCCCGAGGTGCTTACCGAGCCGCCGCCTCGCATGCTAAGCGCGGCGGAGGAGGCAGCTGCTTCCCCATTGGCTGCCCCTGACCGCATGTGCCGGCCCCTCACCGTCTGAATGAGAGTGGGGAGGGGAGCAGCCAGTGCAGGCGGAGATCCCGGACGGGAAGAGCCACCGGCAGCCCCAGCAACAGCCAGGTAAGCCCGGGCGAGCTGTGTCTTGCGGGCGGCGGCCATTCCTAGAGCAGGGGTCATTCCGAAGCAGGGGTCTTTCTCCTGAGTTGCTGGTCGGCTAGGGGGCGCTCCGCTCGCGAGGAGCAAAGTAGAAGGGGCGCACCTTCTCTCCTCAGCGTCAGGGCTCCCTCCGTTTCCTCAAGTCAACGCTAGGGGACGCTGTGGCACAACGTTTCTGGGATGGGTGGGTGGGTGACCTCTCCCTTTGGGGATCTACTTTGATGCTGGGCGCGGGGTATCAGCGTTGTTTCCAGTGTCCACATTTTGTGTTCCTTGCCATGCTGCGGTAGTTGGCTGCTTGAACCCCAGTCCTAACACTGCGGCCCCCTCTGTGGGGAAGGGACAAGCCCGAGATGCAGTAGGCTTTGGGTGAGCATTAGGGACAGCCTTAAGGTGAAGTTCTGCTTTCTGCCTTGGCTGCATTCCCATGAGCTCTAATGTGGCACTCTTGTGTCCTGAGCGAGGGGGGCTGCACCCGAAGGAGGGAGGGTTACAGTAAACCTGTGGATAAACTCTAGTCAAGGTTTCTCCAACCTGGTTCCGTCTATGGGTCTGAAGGGAGTTGTAGCCCAAAACATCTGGAAGGCAGCAGGTTGGTGAATGCTGCTGCAGTCTGATAGGAAAGTGGGTGCTGCCACTTACTTATTTAATTTATTGAATTTATAAACCACTCTTCATTCGAAAATCACAGGGCAGTTTACAACTTGCCCAGTTCGTGCTCTCTCTGCAGGAGACCTGGGGATTCCAGGCTGGAGGCAGCTGTGGAGGAGCGTGAGATGTCCTTAGTATGGAGATGCCTGTCCAAATGTTTTCGAACTGCAGAGTGCATGGGATTTGAAGCATATCTCCAGCCTTCTCGGAGCAAGAAGCACTTGGGCAAGGGAAATTCCAAAATCCATATCCAGGTGCTTCCAGATAGGGGTTTAATTTGCAAATGGGTCACTGAGATATTGCAAACAGGTCACTGGCAACAAGATAAGGGTAGTAAAACGGAGAGAAAACACAGGCTGGTATTTTTATGCTCATGACGGGTCTATATGGACTCTGCAAAATAAAAATGAAAGAAATTGTATGCATGATGAGCATTGACGCTACAGTGAGCATCTACCTGGAAGCATCAAAGGGCACAACATTTACAAAATCCGTATTTGGCCAATGCTCCATAAGGCTAAGAACAGGTAAGCAGAGACAAGGTCATAGGCAAAGACCTTCCTCCTCCTCGCCCTTGAGCACTCTGAAAATGGGGACAGGGCAGGTAATTGTTCTGTTGTTGTTGCTACTGCTGCTGCTTTTTTAAACAAGGGGAAGGAGTGTTTTCTGTTGGCTGCTTGGTCTTGGGCTTTCAGTGACTTTTCCTTTGAGGACTTGGTATCAGGTGTGCTCCCCACTCTGAACTGACAAACAGCCTTATTCGTTGGGTGAAGGGGGTAGAGAAGGCTGCGGTTTTCACTGTGAGGCTGATGGGCAGAGTACAGAGTGGAAGACCATCCAAACAGCAGCATGTGCTTCTTTGCACTTCCATTCAAGTTGGGTCCCCCAACACCAACATGCTCAGTGGGAAAGGGAGTGGAAGAAGGGAAGCAAAGTATCAGGACTGTTGCCTGGTATTTTACCCACCATATGACCATTGGCCATAGTCCAGCCCAAATTAAGTTCTCTTTCCCTCCCCCCCACATTCACTTCACTGGGAGATCTTTATGTGCTTAGCTTTGCCATCAGAACTGGTGTAGTCAATAAAAGTATTTTTTAAAAACCAATAGGACATATATTAGCTTGGTCATTTTGGTTGCCCCTTTCTGCACCTCTTTCAGCTCTACATTTTTCTTTGGGAGGTAGGGTGACCAGAATTGCACAGGATATTTCCAAGCGCGGGCACATCATAGATTTGTGTAATGGCATTATGATGTCAGTAAGTTTTGCTTTTTATTCCTTCCCTTGATGATCCTCAACACGGAATTTGCCTTATCCACAGCTGCTGCAATTTGACCTGTGCTTTTTGTTGAGCTGTGTACCTCAGCCGCGTGGTCTCTTTCCTGCTCAGTCACTGTCAAGTAGTTCCCATGGCATAAAACAAATGTGAGGTTAAGATTTTCCCCCCTTATGCCCCAGTGTGCACCACTAGGCACTTATTAGCATTGAACCACTTTTGCCATTTTAATGCCCATTCAACTATTTGAAGAGATACCCTTGGAGTCCTTTGCTATCCCCCCCTTTTATTGGATGTTGTTCTTACCACCCTTTGTAATTTATTGCCATCAACAAACTAGGCCACCACTTTGGTCACCTCTAACTCCAGGTCATTTATGAACAAGTTTAGAAGGGCTGGCCCCGATATAGATCCTGGAGGGAGGGAGGAGCCCCTGTTTATACCCTTCCTTTGTAAGGCCTGTCCATTTTATTGTCACTAGGAAACAGGGGATTTAGCCCTTATTTCCCTTGAGGTTAGTAGTACTATTAGCCATGACTACCCTCCTCATGTGTATCACGGCCACAAGGAGCGGGAGGAGACTGGTGGTTTCACAGATGATGTGCATCTTCCTTGCAGAAACTTCTGTCTGGCCAGAGAAGGATTTAAGAATTACCCACCAGGAAATAGCCATGGAGCTGAACTCAAAGGTACTGCATGGAAATACTTTACACTAAGGAGGCCGAAAGAGGGGAACCTTCCCACAACTGTCGCTTTCTTATTCCTGAAGACACTATAAATAAGCACCAGGGATCCTGTAACTCTCCAGATGTTGTTGACTATAATTCCCATTCTCCTCGGCTAGGGCTGGTGGATGTCAATGGCCCCTGAAGAGCCACAGTTTCCCCATCCCTGCTGCCGATGCTCGTCACCTCTGAGGAAGTGTCACAGGGTGTCACTCAGTGATGGCAACGGGGCACAGAGTCCTTCCAAGCACGAAGGAGGTTGAGTGCTGCCAAGTGTGTCGCACGTCTCTCTAATCCAGCAGAGACTCACAATGCTGCACAGAATGGCATAGTTGCATTAATGCAGTTTTGGATGAGGCTACAGCTCATGGGAAGAGCCTCTTCTTCACAGATCCCAGGTTTTAGTCTCAAGAGTCTGCAATATCTCAGGATGTGGGGGCTGGGAAGGACCACTGCCTGGGACTTTTGTGAACCACTCTATAGTCAGTTTATAAACAATATGGGTTGCACCAGGAATAGCCAACATGGTGCCTTCAAGATGCTTTTGGACTACAGTGCCCATCATCCCTGACCATTGGTTATGCTTCTTGGGGCAGATAGGAATTGTAGTTCAACCACCCCTGGAGGGCACCACTAAGACAGACCAAGGAGGCAAATGTGTGCATTCTCTCCATATACAGCCAGCCTCAAACAGCTGCAGAGTTGATCAGTGGAGATCCTAGACCGTTTTTCTCAGCTTGCACTTAGCACCCATCAGTGAAAACATCATGCACGCTGAGAGCTGAGGATGTTCTGTGATGTCAGGTGCGATCATGCCACTTACCTTGCAGGTCGTATCTTCTTCCTGCATCCACATTATACTGAAAGGCCAGTGCCAGGAGTCACCTTGCAGTAGGTGGGCTGTATACAGTGGTGTGACAGCTATGCAGCTTCCACTTGGAATGGGACAGCCCTGCTAGCCCCATTCACACTCAGGGGTGTCTTGCCCATAGAGGCAAGTAGCATGGGGCACCAGGGTGCCAAGTTCTGGAGGGCGCCAGGGAAGAGGCGGAGGCTGGATGCGGCGCCTCCCGGCATCAGCTCGCTGCCCTTGTCCGCCTTGCTGAAGCAGCGCCGCGTCCGGAGCCTCCACCTCTTCCCCACCAGAGGAGCCGCCCTCCAGCCCTGCAAAGCTGCCAGCAGCGCCCTAAAAAGGTCCGTAACTCTGGGAAATGGGGGGGCACCGGAGGGATCTTTGCACCATGGTGCCGGATATACTTAAGACAGCCCTGTTCACACCTGCTGGTGGTGGCATGGGAGATGCTTCTCTGTGCCTAGACCTTGTGCCACTGTGGTTATGCATCTGCATGCAGCCAGTTGCATGGATCCATCCCAGCTCCCAGCCCAGTGATGAAGAGAGCTGATACCGCTGTAGACTGCAGTGCCCTGGGGTTGCATCTTGCAACCCAGAAGTGGTTCCTACACCACTTGCAGTGTATATGAATGGGGTATCTATCATGAGCTTCCCTTCCTGAAGTGTCTGCAGGAAAACATAGGTTATGAAAGATTCCAAGGGAGAGAAATGGCTTAACGAAGGGCACATTCCCCCAACTGATGTGTACTTCCTGTGCTGCAGGAGCAATCCAGCTCCCCTCAGAAGCAGGGAGTGAAAGCTCGGTCCAAATCCACAGAGGAGATCCAGCCTGCCAAGAAGGTAACTGCTCCACCCCAGCTCCACTTGGACGAAGAGTCCCCAATGTGTGGTCGCATTCACAGATGGTCTGTTGGATGGCTTTGCTCTCCTACGTATTTGGTGGGAAGGGGTTCCCAGTGTTCTGTGTAATGTCAATAGATTGCAAACTACACTCTGGGCTTTGGAGCAACCCAGGCCACTTGATTAAACTCCGTCCTGGCTCTCATTGCAGGCTTTCCACACTCCCCAGAAGTCCTTGCCCAACCAGATGGATGGAGATGACTCCAAGGTATGTTCACTGACATGTCAGGATCAGCTTGTCTCAACCAGACCAGAAGTCCATCGACAAAGAACAACTTATTTGCCTCTTCCAGAGGTCCCAAGCCATGATATCCTCCTGCTGCATTTTGGAATATGACCCTGATGCAGATGAGGACACGTGTTTTAGCTTAGCTCCCATGAGACATTCCCCTTCCCCTCAAGATGAGGATCTTTTGAGCACTCAGTGTGTTTCTTAAGAGGATAGGGACCCCAGGAGGGTAACTGGGAGAGGATGGGAGGAAGAAGTCTAGGCAGTTGTGGGGGAAATTGTGTTGCAGGTTCCCATGTTAGCAGAGGTTCCATAGAACCAAGGTGCCATACACAGGAAGAAACAGCCCCTTTGCCTGGATGAACTTCACTGAAGGTGTGATCATAGAGATTCCTGGGTTTCTCTCCCTGCCTCTGAATGTGTTCCATTCTGCTGCGCTCCTCAGGGTTCCTGTCCTGTCCCGGCACCCAATACTATTCAGCAGCAGCAGCAGACCTGAGGAACAGGAGCTGCTAGACTGCTGGTTGCAAGGAGTGGAGTCGTGACCATTCCTTGTTCTGCTCCATGGCTTGGCCCTGTTGCTCAGTCTTCATGCCCTCGTGGATGTCGCTGTGGTCCTGTCTGTCCAGCTGTTGCTGTCTGACTGTCTGTCCTCTCTGTGGAATGAGATCTGGGTAAATAAAGTTAGTTGGAACATCTTTTACTCTCCTCTGTCACGTTTATACAGGTGCTGTTTGTATCACCAGAGCCCTGAAGGGCACAAGAGCTGAATTGGAGACCAAACTTGCTGAAAGACCTTGCTTCCCATGTGTTCTGTGCAGACGGATATCATGCCATTGTCTCTGCAGAGAAACCTGCACAACTCTCTTAAGAAGACTAAGTTGAGGTGTTGCTGGCAGGTCATACAGAGATGCCCTTAGATTCTATCAGCACGCCAGATTTCTGGCCTGAGGACCTTCTTATGTGGCTCAGTTCTTGCCAAAGAATCTACCACCTCCATGAGAACAAGCTCTGGTTGATCTTTCTGTTGGTTTACTTGCTGGCAACTCCACTTCATGGGCAGTCAGGGCTCCTCATTTCATGTCTTTGTTATCTGCTAAAATTGATTGAAAATCCAGAAGTCTTGTTCTCTTGTTGCAAGAGGCTCATGTTCAGTCAATGCATGTGGGGCACCTACCTCCACTTGAAAGCCTCTTTGTATGCAGAAAGACTACACATACCTTTCCATGTGCTGGGTGACTTCAGCAGACGTTCAAGGTGATACTATCCCATGCAAAGGCAGTGCCGCATGCCCTACCTTTACATATGAATCAGCCTTCAAACATCCTCCGTATGGCAAATACAAATGGAGAAACTTTCTCTGCGTAGGGTGGGACAAAAGGCTCTTGCTGGAGAGAAAAATACCAAAATGTTTTCAGGTAATTGAAAGTCGCAGACCACAAAAGAGAGATGATTCACCCTGCGCCCATAGAAATGTGTGTGTGTGTGTGTGTGTGTGTGTGTGTGTTTATGCAGCAAGTTCTGGCATAGTCCCCATCTCCCCTTGCAGAACCCCTTCACTTGGCATGCTGGGGAGGTGGGAGGCAATGCCTATTGGGCTGCAGCGTCAATGGAACGTCACATTGCATGCTGGGCAAGGACTTTGGCCTAGCACGGTCAATGAGTGATAGACCAGGGCAGAGGAAATTAATGATTGCGAGTCATTCTGAAGAGAGGATTGTTGAAGAGTTGGTGCATTTCAGATGCAGTTCTTTTGGCCATCTTCATTCCGCTGTTCTATAAAGTGCTCCATCCCATGCCAGATTCCTGACAACTCTGCAAACATAAATTACATTTAAATATTAGTGTGATGATCACTGTACTCCTTGGAAGTCAGACACGACTTACATAATTTTGGTTTGTGGTTATTCTATGGATGGTACATTGACTGTTGAAAACTCACAACATAAAATGGACTGGGCTTGGAAGGATGCCACAAACCAATTATTCCTAACCAACACTTGTCTGGAGAGCATGTCCTACCCATTGGGCATAGTTCCTTGCAAGGCATGCCTAGACTAACACCTGAGAGGGACGAGGGCACCATGGATACGGACCATACCAATTAGTGCCTACAAAGGGTTTTAAGTTTTCTTCTTAAACTAGTCATATGTAGGGCTGGCCCAAGAAATCTTGCTGCCTGAGACACAGGACATGATCCCAGGCAGTTCAGACTTGCTTTAACACAAATGATGGGACAGCATCCTCCACCAGCCCTGAGGCAGCAGAAGGCTTCCAGGTCAGACGAGGCTAGCTTAGGAGACACAGGGAGAGGTGAATGAGGCAGCTGCATTAACCGCAGTCTGGCTAATAGGAGGAAGGGCTGTACTTATGTCATCGCTGTCTATCTTTTTACCAGTCTTTGCTAGAGACGACTTTCTGAAACTGCTTTCTTTTGTTTCTGATTTTGAATACAGCTGCATAGTTTGAAAAATAGGACTTGTCAAGGTTCTTTTCCTGCTCTTTTTCGGATGCTGCCTGGCACAATAAAGAAAGCAGAGAACCAAGATACCTTGCTAGGCACATCTGTATTTCATTTTAAAACAAACTAAACAGCTAAAACTGTATTTAAAATGCACACAGTCGCTTAGTTATCCTAGCCTAGGATAGGTAGGAAGAAAGTATGTTGTAGATTGTGTATGAAGGTCACAAAGCCATGCTACATATGAATTAGAGGAACCAAGAAATAATGTGTAAAAGCAAAATAAATAAAAGCCAAAGCGCAGCACAGTAAACCCACAATTTATGCAGGGATTACATTCCAGGGATCATGCCAGAAGACAAAATTGTGTATAGGCAAAGCACATTGGATTTGGATTGCCAAAGTCTTTTTCCCCCAAAGGCCCGCCCCTTTAATTTTTAAAATATTTTTTATTTTTGCCAAGCGCGTAAAGCTGAATGCACACAAGTTAAATGTGCATAAGTTGCTAGCTTTACTGAATCACTAACTGTATATCAAGTGGCAATTTGTTCATTGATTGAGATTTCTAAGGCTCTGTTTCATCCAATGGACCCTTCAAAGTGTCTTACATTAAAATCATAATAAATTGCCACTGATAAAAGATAATAAAATATTTGTCAAAATATTGAGTATCATATGCCCATGTGATCAGTGTTCCTTTTCTAGTTTGCTTTGTAAAAAAAAAAAAAAAAAAGGCATTGTTTCTTCCCACCCTTTATTTTAGCTGGAATATTGACAATATTTCACCCAAATCTCTACAGGAAAACTATATGGAGAGATGGAGCTGTTTCTGTCCCTTGCTATATGCCAGAAACATGCATCTGCACACAAGATAACTATATACACGGGGAAGAGTCAGGCCTGGACTTTAGTTTAATTTGACACTTGGTTAGTCAGAAACTCCTCCCCTGCCCCCTGCACTGCCCACTGTATCCTCTTGGCTGGTCAAGACTCTAGATCCTTTCAGGTGGGTGGGAAATTGGCCATGAAGAACAGGTAATGATAAATAGCAGGAAGGTTGGGGTGAAGGAACTGTGGTTGAGGTGACTTGGGTTTAACCCCTTGGTGGCAATGCTGAGAGAATATCCTAGGCAGGAGACGATAGGGTTGCCAGACGACCAGGAGGGAAAACAGAACTAGAGCTCAGCGGTACCCTGTTCGTGGACCGAGAAATTCTCCAACAATTTCTCAGGGGTGAGGACTCACCATTCTCAGTGGCAGGATCACAGCTGTGGACTGTCTTTCTAACCGTTTCCCGCCACCCACTGCCATTGTAAATGGCAGCAGCAGTAATGGTGTGGACAGCCTGCCCACAATTTTGCGTCTTCCGCAATGCCCCAGAATTAGTGGAGTGTTTTTGTGGTGGGTGGATAATATCCAGAGAAAATTCTGCAAAGTAGTCTTTTTCTAGGATGAAACAAAAAAAACCCAAAACCCACCCTCAGAAATTTTCTCAGAAATTTCAAGTCAGCCTTATGACACAATAGCCCGGGTAGGTCTGTATGCATATTCTTGTTTTTTGCTTTCTGGCCAGCTGTCTGGAAAACAAAGGGAAAGGTCATTTTCTTCCCACTTCAGCATTTTCTTTTTCAAGCTGTACACCATAAGTGAATAGCCTGTGCCCCAGGGCCTGGCAAAAGCTCCACCAGGATCTGCTCCTAGGTCTGACTGACTGACAGACAGACAGACTGACAGACAGACAAACTACTGTGCTCCAGTCTTAGATCTCCAAAAATGGTGAGCTACAGAAAGCAGTATCCAAATCCTTCCCAGGCCTCAGAGATTTATTTATTTTAATTTCAAGAGTTGGCAGTTCTAAGACAAATGTACACAATGATGCTGTTGGATTAGAAGATACAAAAGATCCCTCCTGCGGTTAAGAGTTGCCACCAGCCCATTTTTTAACTGGCCCCTCCACATGTGCTGTAACAGCAGCCAAGTATGCAAAACTTAATTAGGTGAAGCTTTTCATTCTCACCATTCACCTCTTTGTCAGAAAAGGCTTCACCTACTACATTTCTGGCCATTCCCGAGTGCTTTTGAGGACTCAGGAGTAATATGCTGGTTCTCCATTCACTGGGCAAAACATCTACACTACAACAGAGACTCGTGCTCTACGCCAATGTGGTGCCTCCAGATGTGATCAGACTCCATCTCACCTCAGCCCCAGCCAACGTGGTTACTGGTCAAGGAGGATGGGAGCTGAAGTCCAGTGACATCTGGAGAGCAAATGCATTGGTTATCCCTGCTCTACAGCTTCTCTTGTCTAACCATTAATCTAGTTTAGTCAGATAGAAGTCCTGGGATCTAAGAATTTACCAAGCCTTGGAAAATACAGTAAGTAAATAAGAGGGTGGAGAGGGTAGACAAGAAAGAGGCTGAGGGTGGAGAGGGTAGACAAGAAAGAGGCTGGATACCACAAAAAGAACTCTGCTGGATCAGACCAACAGCCTGTCTCGTTCAGTATCCTGTTTCTTGCAGCAGCCAGTCAATTGCCACCAGGAAATCCACAAGCAGGGTGTGGCGCTAACTATTCTCCTTTCTTCTTTTGTTTCCAGTATGTGGTATTCAAGAGATACACTGCCTCTGGACAGGGAAGTTCCATTTAGCCATCATGGTTAAAACCATTGGTTTGTCCAAGACCCTTTAAAGCCACTTAAGCCAGCGGAAATTGCCATATCTTCAAGGGTAGTCCCATGTAGAATACACTATAGTAATCTAACCGGGAGGTTACCAAAGCATGAATTACTGTGGCTAAGCTACCTGGTCCGGGAATTGATGTAGCTGCCTGTAGCTGGAAATAAGGTACTGGTATTCCATGCTGCTGATGCCACTTAGACCTCATTTGACAATGCTGGATCAAGGAGCACTCCCAGCTACAAACCTGCTCCTTCAAGGGGAATGCAGTCCCATCTAGAACAGGCCATCCACTCAGTTCCTAGACACAGGAACCACCAACCCACAAAGCACCATCTTATCAGGATTCAGCTCATTACTCTGTAATGAAAACTGGTCCAGCACTTGCACAGCCTCACCTGCTTCAGGTGAAAAGGAGCAGCAGAATTGGGTGTCACCTGCACATTGATGCCACTGCGCCTCCAGTCCCCTTATGATCACTCCCAGTGGCTTCATATAGAAATGAATGAGGATGGAAACTTATGGGATCCCAGTGAATTTCATGAATTAATTATGCATTGTGTGAAGAAGACCTTCTTTTGCCTTTTCTGAATCTATTAAAGAAGGAAAGGAGGGAGGGCATAAGATAAGTGATGAAGAAACAATGACAACATCGACTGCCAATCAACATATCTAATTAGATTATGGGAGAGGGACAGTGCTCCAACTTCACCATTTAGCTGTCCCTTTCTGCCCTTTCCTAGCTCTGTGATATCCATTTGTATCCTGGGGGTGGGATTTGATGCTTTTTGACCCAGTACGAGATAAACAAGACCCAGCACTGAATCAGTCTCTCTCTCCCCCCACCCCCACGACCACCATTGCCTCATGTGAAGTTGGTGCTTTCGCTGAGTTGTCCATCACCACGTCAGGATCTCTTTCCTGCTTAGTTGCTGCCAGTTCAGACCCACCAGGGTATCACATAGCATTAGGGTGGCCAAATGCAAAAGAGCAGAGGGTTCCTGCGCTTTCAACAACTATGTAGCAGGGGGGATTTCAATAGCAAGGACAGCAACTTCTGTAGGCTACACCTGCCCAAATTCCCTCTTCTACACAACTATTGCAAGTGCAGGAGCGCCTCCTCCATTGCACCCTACTTAGTTCAAGCTTGTTGGTTGACTGCTGCTCCATTCATGTGACAATGGCAGCGTCCCTACTTTAAAAGCAGGTGAGGGACAAAATCTGGACAGGAGGATGGATCCAGAGGCCACTTTGGCAGGTAGGTGGGGCCACTTACCGTATTTTTCGCTCTATAGGACGCACCCGACCATAGGATGCACCTAGTTTTAGAGGGGGAGAACAAGAGAAAAAAATTCTCTCCCTCGCTGCACAGTGCCCCTTCAGCGAAGCGGCAGGAGAAACGGAGCCCCTTCCATTTCACCTCCTGCTTCGCTGAAGGGGCGCTGCGCAGAGAGGGAAAGCTGTGCAGCGCCTTTCCAGCGAAACACAGCCAGGAGAGCAAGAGGGATTGATGCGCACCGATCCCTCTTGCTCTCCTGGCTTCAGGCGGCTATCCCTGAAGCCTGGAGAGCGAGAGGGGTCGGTGCGCACTGACCCCTCTCACTCTTCAAGCTTCAGCAAAAGCAACGCGAAGCCTCTGGAGCGCGGCAGGAGCACTCCCACTGCACTTCGGAGGCTTCGTGTTGCTTTCACTGAAGCCATGGAGCCTGCATTCGCTCCATAAGATGCACACACATTTCCCCTAGTTTTTGGAGGGGGAAAGGTGCGTCTTATAGAGCGAAAAATACGGTATATTCCTGGTTTGATTTCAAACCACACAGGCAAAGGTGGCAGGGCTGGCAGGTTAAAATCAAACCATGAAGGCTAACGATACATTTCACTGTGGGGCTTAGCTGATTATCACCCACAGCAAGCCCCACTTTGGGCAGAATTCCCAAAAACTCAGTAGTGTACCTGGTCCCTACTGGGCTGCCTGTCAGCACTCCCCTGAAAAATTAGAACTCCTCCTGAGCCTCCTTGTTCCTGACCTCCACCCTAAAGTCCTTACAGCAGTGACAGGGAACATGTGGCACTCCAGATGCTGTAAGACTGAAGCTTCCATCAGTCCCAGCCAACATGGCCAGTGGTCTGGGATTATAGGAGCTATAGACCAAGGATACATAATGCCCATCCCTGTCTTATATGGTGGCCTCGCTTATGTCTGAAAACTTTCACAGATGTAGGTGGCCAGGAAACCGGAAGGTTGTGAAATGGATTACTGTTGCCTTTGCCTTGTGGATAGATGACGTCTCTCTTCTCCTTGCCCAATGAGGTGGAACTGATGTTGCAGCCCTTGTACTTGTTGTTCAGGAAAGCCTGTGCTGTGCAAACAAGGCAAGTGTTACTCCTATCAGCACAAACTAATTTTGCGTGGCCCAGAGATTAAAAGATAAACATCCTTCCCCACCCTATGTTGGTTTAGCTTTCAAGGGCTGCAGGCAGGTGTTACCTGCCACCTTGATACATTGGTTACCTGCGTAAGTTCCCAGCCAGGATTAGTCTGGAATGTTCCGCTTTATTCTTTCCACTCCCATAGGCAAGGGGTTAGTATAAATATGATTCTGCCTTTACTATAATAGTCCATCTATTACAGTCCTGTGACTTTCGGCTCTTTCGTAAACAGAATTTTGGCTTGGGAATTTCGTAGCTGTTCCCATGTCCATGCACATTCAGCCCATTATACTTGCAGTGCTACACAAAACACATAAGACCCTTAGTGAACACCCTTCCCTCTCTCATTTCCATATGTAAACACACACACACACACACACACACACACACACACACACACACAAGATCCCCATCACCATACCATTATTTTCTTTCATTGACACCATTGCTTTAATGCTATAAACAAGCCTTTCAGGTCTGCAAGGATGTTTACGACATATTTTGATGGTATCAGGGTGCCTGCCTTAAATGGTTGGTCAGATACAGGTGCTAGGTAGGCTGAACTACGGTCACCTTTTCTGTCCAGTCTGGGCTGCCATTTTTTTTCTGGCCCGGTAGATGATCCATAGCAGGGGTGGGGGTCTTTTTTCAGCCCACATTTCCTTCTGGGCAAAACCTTCTGGGGGCCACATGCCAGTCATAGAAGGGCCAGATGCAGAAGTGAGCAAAGCAACAAATGTAAATTTTACCTTTGTCCAATAGGATAGTTTCTGAACACATTCAGTCAAGCAAGAGGTGCAGTGAAGAGTCATAGAATCATAGAAGAATCATAGAATCATAGAGTTGGAAGAGACCACAAGGGCCATCGAGTCCAACCCCCTGCCAAGCAGGAAACACCATCAGAGCACTCCTGACATATGGTTGTCAAGCCTCTGCTTAAAGACCTCCAAAGAAGGAGACTCCACCACACTCCTTGGCAGCAAATTCCACTGTCGAACAGCTCTTACTGTCAGGAAGTTCTTCCTAATGTTTAGGTGGAATCTTCTTTCTTGTAGTTTGGATCCGTTGCTCCGTGTCCGCTTCTCTGGAGCAGCAGAAAACAACCTTTCTCCCTCCTCTATGTGACATCCTTTTATATATTTGAACATGGCTATCATATCACCCCTTAACCTCCTCTTCTCCAGGCTAAACATGCCCAGCTCTCTTAGCCGTTCCTCATAAGGCATCGTTTCCAGGCCTTTGACCATTTTGGTTGCCCTCCTCTGGACACGTTCCAGTTTGTCAATGTCCTTCTTGAACTGTGGTGCCCAGAACTGGACACAGTACTCCAGGTGAGGTCTGACCAGAGCAGAATACAGTGGCACTATTACTTCCCTTGATCTAGATGCTATACTCCTATTGATGCAGCCCAGAATTGCATTGGCTTTTTTAGCTGCCGCGTCACACTGTTGGCTCATGTCAAGTTTGTGGTCAACCAAGACTCCTAGATCCTTTTCACATGTACTGCTCTCAAGCCAGGTGTCCCCATCTTGTATTTGTGCCTCTCATTTTTTTGCCCAAGTGCAATACTTTACATTTCTCCCTGTTAAAATTCATCTTGTTTGTTTTGGCCCAGTTCTCTAATCTGTCAAGGTCGTTTTGAAGTGTGATCCTGTCCTCTGGGGTGTTAGCCACCCCTCCCAATTTGGTGTCATCTGCAAATTTGATCAGGATGCCCTTGAGTCCATCATCCAAGTCGTTGATAAAGATGTTGAATAAGACCGGGCCCAAGACAGAACCCTGTGGCACCCCACTAGTCACTCTTCTCCAGGATGAAGAGGAACCATTGATGAGCACCCTTTGGGTTCGGTCAGTCAGCCAGTTACAAATCCACTGAGTGGTAGCATAGTCAAGACCGCATTTTACCAGCTTCTTTACAAGAATATCATGAGGCACCTTGTCAAATGCCTTGCTGAAATCAAGGTAGGCTACATCCACTGCGTTCCCTTCATCTACCAGGCTTGTAATTCTGTCAAAAAACGAGATCAGGTTAGTCTGACATGACTTCTTTTCAGAAATCCATGCTGACTATTGGTGATCACAGCATTCCTTTCTAGGTGCTCACAGACTGTTTGCTTAATGATCTGCTCCAGAATCTTCCCTGGTATTGATGTCAGACTGACTGGGCGGTAATTATTTGGGTCCTCTCTTTTCCCCTTTTTGAAAATAGGGACAACATTTGCCCTCCTCCAGTCTGCTGGGACTTCGCCTGTTCTCCAGGAATTCTCAAAGATGACTGCCAGTGGTTCTGAGATCACATCTGCCAGTTCTTTTAATACTCTTGGATGCAGTTCATCTGGCCCTGGAGACTTGAATACATCTAAACTAGCCAAGTATTCTTGTACTATCTCCTTAGTTATTCTGGGCTGTGTTTCCTTTGCTGAATCATTTGCTCCAAATTCTTCAGGTCGGGCATTGTTTTCTTTATCGGAGAAGACTGAGGCAAAGAAGGCATTGAGGAGTTCAGCTCTTTCTGTGTCCCCTGTTTGCATTTCACCATCTTCTCCTCTGAGTGACCCCACTGTTTCTTTGTTCTTCCTTTTGCTACGGACATACCCATAAAAGCCTATTTTGTTGCTTTTAACCTCTCTAGCAAGCCTGAGTTCATTCTGTGCTTTAGCTTTTCTGACTTTGTGTCTACACGTGCTGGCTATTCGTTTGAATTCCTCTTTGGTGGTTTCCCCCCTTTTCCATTTTTGTACACATCCCTTTTTAATCTTAACTCAGTTAAAAGTTCTTTAGATAGCCACCCTGGCTTCTTTAGGCACCTTCCATGTTTCTGTCTCATTGGTATTGCCTGATGTTGTGCTTTTAGTATCTCCCTCTTAACAAACTCCCAGCCATCATGAACTCCCTTTCCTTTTAGTATTACTGTCCATGGGATCTCACCCAGCACTTCCCTAAGTTTTATGAGGTCAGCTTTCTTAAAGTCAAGAAATTGAGTCCTAGTATGCTTGGCTGCTCCTTTCCGCTGTATAGTAAACTTCAGAAGAGCATGATCACTCGCGCCTAATGATCCTTCCACTTCTACCCCACTAACCAGGTCATCAACATTGGTTAGGACCAGATCTAAAATGGCTGTTCCTCTTGTTGCTTCTCCCACTTTCTGGACAATGAAGTTGTCTGCAAGGCCAGTGAGGAATCTGTTTGACCTTATGCTCTTGGCTGAGTTTGACATCCAACAAATATCCGGGTAATTGAAGTCCCCCATTACTACTATCTCCCTTCCTTTTGCATGCTTGGCCATCTGTTCCAGGAAGGCATCATCTACGTCCTCCGTTTGGCTTGGGGATCTATAGTAAACTCCCACAATGAGGTCACTGTTATTCTTCTCTCCCTTAATTTTGACCCAAATGCTCTCACTTTGGCTTTGAGGTTCTAAATCTTGGATCTCTTCACAGGTATACACATCCCTGACATATAACGCCACTCCTCCTCCTTTCTTGTCTGGTCTGTTTCTCTGAAATAGATTGTATCCCCCATTATTACATTCCAATCGTGGGACTTATCCCACCAGGTTTCAGTGATGCCTATTATGTCATATTTAGTTTGCTGTACCAAGAGCTCAAGCTCATCTTGTTTATTTCCCATGCTTTGCGCATTAGTGTACAGACATTGAAGTCCATTAATCATTCCCCCGTGACTCTTATTTAAGGATTTTTTCCTCCCACCACTAGGTCTGCGTGCTGTTTGCTCCATTTGGTCTATGACATTTGGATGATCATCTTCATCAATTGATAGACTCCTACCTTCAGGAGCACTGTCTCCCTCCCCACATTAGTCAGTTTAAAGCCCTCCTGATGAGGTTTCTGAGATTTTTGGCAAAAACATTCCTCCCAACCGTTGTGAGGTGCAGCCCATCGCTTGCCAGAAGTCCATCTTCAAGAAACTGCAGTCCGTGATCTAAGAATCCAAACCGTTCCTGTTTACACCATTTGCGAAGCCAGCTGTTCACTTCCACTATTTTCCCCTCTCTCCCTGGGCCACGTCATTCAACTGGGAGGACAGATGAGATGACAATTTGTGCATTTAATTGCTTCAATTTCCTGCCCAGAGCCTCGTAGTCTCTTTTGATCTTCTGGAGTGTATTGCTTGCAGTGTCATTGGTTCCCACATGAACCAAGAGGAAGGGGTATTTGTCAGTGGGTTTTATGATTCCTTGCAGTCGTTCAGTTACATCTTGGATCTTAGCCCCGGGGAGACAGCACACTTCCCGAGACATCTTGTCAGGCCCACAGATCACTGCTTCTGTTCCCCTCAGTAGGGAATCTCCTATCACCACTACACGCCTCCTCTTAGGTTTGGTCGGGGTTCTTCCGTGAGCTGTCCGCTCCAAGGTCGCCTGCACATTCCCTGAGGACTGACTTTGCTGCTCGTCTTCATATACCTGATCGACTGTAATGAGGGAGAGATCCTCAAATGGAGTCTGCTCTTCGTCTTCCATGCTAGGGAGAGGACCTCAAAGCGATTGTGTATTTCTAAACAATCAGAGCGAACCCTGGGCCTCCTACTTCTTTGAGTCACGTTTCTCCATATATCTGGCTCCTGTGTTGGTGAACTAGCGTCCTTCTCAGGGAGTCCCCTGTCTCCTCCTTGGTGGAGACGGTGTGCTCTGTTGCTTCCAAGAAGAGCTCCAGCTCTCTAATTCTTTGGAGCGTAGCTACACGTTCCTCCAGTTGCTGGACTTTGTCTTTTAAGAGGGCAATCAACATGCAATTGCTGCAGGTAAAGCTGCCTGCAACCTTTGGCAAGATGGCAAACATTGCGCAGGAACTACAGGCGACTGCAGCTGTTCCCTCCCCCTCCATCTTGAGAACGTGTTGTTGGGGGTGGCTACAGCGGTCCTCCATCATAAAAAGTGTGAAGACAGGACAAATAACTCCCCCCACAAAAAAAACCTAGGTCTCCCCCAACAAACGTCCAAGAAAAGTCCAAGAACATATTCCTGTCAGACAAAAACACTCAGGGTACAATGCAAGGTCAGTGAGGGGTGTGGCCTCGGAAGAGAGGTGGTGACCTGGGGAGAGTGTTATGTACTGAAGTTCTCACCCTGGGCCAGCAGGGGGATACTGTAGATAGTTATGCAAATGAAGGATTGAAAATGACGTTCAGTGATTGGATAGTTTTAGAAAGTTGCAACAGTTACGTTGTTCTGGAGCTCTATATAAGCAGGCTGACTGAGCTCTTCAGTTCAGTTCTATTCTGGCCTCTGATAAACAAGAGCTGTTGAGGAATTGCTGTGTCATCTGATATGTTCGCCCACAACTTAACAGAGAGTTCAGAGGGCAAATAGCAAGGCCAGTCATGAGGTTCCCCAGCCCTGGTTCCCTGTATACCTCGTGGCCCATTTATGAAGCCCCAATAAAAGGGTCTGTGTTTTATTTTCATTTTATGTGCAGCACCTAGTTTTTGCATCATCAGTATTATTGAGGATGATCAGTCTGATGCTACAGGGCATATTGTTCCCTGGCTGGGTACTGATGCTGGGAGTGAGGTCTATGTGCAGTTCAGCTAAACTTAATAACACCATGAGATTGAGGCTGTGTCAGAATTGTCATTGAGATCTACCATGTACTCCCTTCATTGAGTGTAGGGGAGCAACGTGTTGTGCCCGGAAGCTTTTATGTGAAAAGAAAAGCTCCAATAAGTAAACCAATAAAAATAGGTAGTGACTCAGCCCAATTATGATCTTGCTAGGAGCAGCAGATCATATGTTGCATACACATCATACTTTTAAAGCACATTCCCTCCTCCCCCCGAAAATTCTGGGAACTATAGCTCAGTCAGAGATAAACTGCAGTTCTCCCAGGATTATTTGGGGTGGGGGGTGAGAAAAGATGCATTAAATGTATGGTTTGTGCCAAGCAGACAATTCCTCTCTTTTTTATCTCCCCCCCCCGGAAAACAATACAAAAATATAACAAATCTCTCACATAGTTTCGTGTAGAAAATATAAATGAAACTCCAGTCCAAGAAAAAATCTTTACAAAGAAAGAACAGTTGTTACTATGCAACCCACAGATCTGAAAATACTTTTTGGACTGTTCTGTTATATTCAGTTCTATTTGTAAAAGCAATAAATCTCAACTAGTCAGCAGCAAACATGTATTTCCATTTCTTCCCTTTGGCCATGCATAACTTTTGTGTAAGTTTCTCAATAAGGGCAATTTCCCAGACCTCGTTACGCCACCTAGCCAAGCTAATACCCTTTAGATCCTTCCAGAACCTGATAATAATAGCTCTTGCCACTACAAGTAAATATCCAATTAAATTCTTATTTTGTCATTCCAGATTTTCTCCCATGAACAAATTTAGTAATGCTAGCTCTAGGGTTTCCTTGAGTTGTTGCCCTGTTATGTTCAGGATTTCTTGTGTGTGTGGTGGGCAAGACGGTCCCAAAATTTAATAACTTTACCACACTTCCATCAGGCCATTCCTTTGTAATGGTGAAGGGATATAGGTAATAAGATTGCCAGTTCCTGATCCAAACAGAGCTCCTTGTCGTTATGATGTTCTTTTCCTGTCTTTTCTGGGCTGGGCTGCGCTAGAGCGTACTTGTGGGTGAGGTAACTGTGGGATAACCAGCCTCATAGAACCAACTTGCTTAAGTCTAATTGATGTATGAAGAGGTTAACACCATAGAGTAAGCTATCCTGCCAGGCTTAGCTAAGTCACTCCCCTCACCTTGGGAGGAAGGTTATCAAGCCTATTGTTCCTCTTCAGTAAGCTTGTTGTTCTTGCTTAGTTGCATGGCTCTCACAAGCCGTTCTTAAGTTCCTATACCAATAATGTAGGAACTTTCACTACTTTGTAACCGCTAAGTTTTACTGCCTGTGCAACCTATTCTGAAGCACATGAATCTGACCTTTGGAGAGTTTGTAAGTCAACCCTTGTTTTAAACCTTTTGTAAGGCTTCTACATTAACCCTTGTTTTAACTTACCTCACGTGTGGTATTTTTCTATGCTGGGGGAGAGGGAAGCTCTGGAAAGAATTTTACCTTGATGCATATTTTGTGATTTTAAATCTCTGCTGGGGTTCTCTCACCAATGAGTACTTACCCCAAACCTGGATCTTGGCATCCAGGGAATTTTCCTTTCTATATCATTTTTCTTTTGAACCAACAGTAACTCGGATCACAGCACTGCAATGATGAAAAGTCCTGTAGTTCCCTACCACACCATTTAAAGACAAATGAGCTTCATTCCAAAGTGGAATCCCAGCCATGATAAAAAATATGGGGGTGGAAATGTTCCATATTGGCTATGGTGAGAAATATGCTTGAACTGTATTTTCTTAGCCAACTCTCACTCTGTTCCAGCTGAACACATCCACAGCTTGTTTGATTTACCATAGAATGAGACATTAGAACTTCTATACTATCCAATTTCCTATTTCTGGTCCAAAATAATCTCCTTTATGAGTCTTCAAAGCTGTGTGATAGGGAACTACAGCTTTTTTCATCATGGCAGAGTGCTTTATTGACTGAGTCCCTGAAGACCTCCTCCCTGCCTTGCAGGCTTTCCCCCACCTGCCTTGGGAGAGTGGGGCCCTGACTGACTCCAGCTGGGGGGCGGTTATTGGGGTTATTGATATTCTTTGTATCTTTATTTTAGATTTTTCTCAAGATTTATGTGGAATTAGTTCAATTTGGTTGTGAAATTTTTGATATGTTATTGTTTATGGCTACTTATAATTATGTAATTTTTTGTATGTTGCAAGCCACCTTGACCATGGTTCTAACTTTGGAAAGGCGGCTTGCAAATGGATGGATGGATGGATGATTTTCTGTAGATCTGGATGATGTTTTAGTAGATTCCACGTCTGCTTGTTTTCTGCTGCTAGGCCAGACACTCTGTATGTTAAATCAGCTGTTCCTATTTATGATTATATATGTCTGACGCTCCATTTTTTCATCTGAAATATAATTGAAATGCTGGTTTTGGTTTCTAGATCCCAACTGAATATGAAGCTACTAGTGCTACCTGCCCTGGGAACATTTTCCTATATAAAAGGATGATGTGATTTTCCTTGAAAAGCTATGACTGAATGTCACTTTGAGATCCCAGCATGGGAGGTGTGCCATCATCGTGTGTCCATGATGGGGCCAGCAGCAGGTTAGCATCTAGGGCAGCCCTAGAGTCTGCTTGTATCCGTGTCTCTTAAACACAGCACAAGTTGTCTTGTTCCACAACACAGGCTGATGCAGAAGTTAGCAATTAACTAAAGGAATTTCTGAGGAGGAGGGGAGTGCAGGATGGCTCTGAGGGGCAGCACAAGACTCTTTAGACTTTGCTCTTATCCCGTGTATAAAGGACACCTTGTGTTTCACCAGCCACTTTGCCTTCGAGGGAAGCGTGGATGTAGGGAGTGACCTTGAGCCCTGGGTGGCCTACCTGAAGCAGGTAAGGGAACAAGTAGGGACAAGAGTCTAGGGAAGCACTAAGGGACCAAGGCTGAGGCAACCTGGGACAACCAGCCAACCAAGAAGGGCACCTTCACCAGGCATGGTGAATCCAAGCCACTCTAAAATAGGCTCTTGGCCCTCTGATACACTGAAACCCAGAATGTCTCATAGGATGACCAGCACAATGCCAGGCAGGACTTCACTAGTTATATCCATACCAGGCTGAACCCATCTGACCTTTTGGATAGTGTGGTTTCTCTCTCAAACTGCTGAAACCTCAGGTAGCGACTCTTTTCTGTTAGCCTTGAAAGTAATACGGAACTGTTGTTGTTGTTTAGTTGTTTAGTCGTGTCCGACTCTTTGTGACCCCATGGACCAGAGCATGCCAGGCACTCCTGTCTTCAATACGGAACTAGCCTGAAGCAAATGCTATGCAAATGACTGCGAGAGTATTCTGTGTCCCGGGGGGGATGGGACGGGACCTATTTGATCAAGAGCCATGCCTTCTTGCTGCATCTGGGTGAAGCAGCTGGCACTTACTTGCAAGCAAGACCCTTGTTTATGACCTATGTCTGTTCAGATTGGCAGGCAATGATGTTACCTTATGGAAGAGAGAGTCCAGTCCAATGCCGCCGACCTACAGGAGGAGGAAGGGTCTTACGGGCACCACCGTATTCCTACTGCCCCAGCCCCCAAGGTACTTAGCACGGGTGATGACTCCTGCACCTGACTGTTCATCATACAGCACACTTGATGAGCCTGACCTCTTATTCACTCTGCCTTCTTCTTGTCTTCCATCTCTCTTCTGGAAGTACTGGGGGTTTGCTTGTTTTCTGTACAGTTAGCTCTCAAATAGAGCTGTGTCTAGTCTACTTATTGCTAAAACAAAAGGACTCCAGGCAGAAGTCACAGCAGGTGCAAGGACGACAGCAGCTCACCTGTGGGAAGGGATAAATATGGTACTTCCACAACCTTGTGTCCTCCAGATATTTGTTAGACTCCAACTCCCAACCACCCCAGTCAACATGGCCAGTGGTAATAAGAGTTACAATCCAACAAAATCTGGAGGACACTAGGATAGTCTGTTACTTTGGGTATTACATTTTCCTGGGGAGGTATTGGGGCACTTAAATATGGCACTGAAGATGACCTTTTTTGGGGGAGATGCTGGCCTATCATGGGATGGTGCAGCAGGATTTCTTTCTGCTGGATCCTTTTTGGTTGATTAGTTCCAAGGATAGTCTCCAGAGATGCTACTAGTTTCTCTGTGAACTCAGGATATCCTGACCTGGGACACAAGTTAGTAATCCACATCTTTCTCCATAGCTCTACAGAGGATCCCTGACCCTAGAGCATATCTGTTCCCCACAGTCAGTACTGTGAGTCATCTGGACCATGAGTACCTTTGCCCAGGTTCTCCTGGGAAGTTGTCTGAAACTATGGAGAAGTATGAACTGGACACTCATTCCTGCAAGCCATGGAAGAGCCCCCACGCAGGCTTGGATGAAGGGCAGAAACCAGGTAAGGGAAATATGCACAGGGGCCTGCTAAGCATAAGCAGCTGTACTGGAGCTCCCTCCATTATTCAGGCTGTTTATTTATTATTGCAAGTAGGGAACATGGGGCCCTCCAGATGTTGTCAAACTGCAACTCTCTATATTTGCAAAAATAATTTAAAAACCCCCAAAACATCTCACATCACCTGTGATTGTTGGCCATCTTATTTATTTTTTATATTTTTAAAACTGAATTTAGATACTGCCATATACCTGGAGGTCTCAGGGCTGTTCATCTTGGGTGAGGATGTTGGGATTCAGAGTACAACACCAGCTGGAGGGCCAAGGCTTCCCCACCCTTGTTTTAAATATGTATGCTCAATTTTAAAAACAACCTTTTTTCCAAAGCAGTTTACAAGGAGTAAAACTGATTAAATACAAAATGTATTCTGTATAATGTTACATCCTGTTAACATTAAAACCAAAGAAGACAGCATAAAGGGGGTAGAAATTAAGAGGAAGCATGGCAGACCTCCCCAGGCAGTGTATTCCGCAACTGTGATGCCACCATTACTAAGGCCCTGCCAGTATCTGCATATCTCATAACCTGGGTGAGTTCACATAGGCAGAGGCGGTCCAAAAGCTATCCCTGCCCTTTTATCTACCTGGAGGGCATGCTCCAGCAGGGCACATCTGAGAAATAGTACAAAAGAGGAGAGGTAGCCAAGTTGCCAAAGGGCACTGAGGTGCAAAGTCAGGATTGCGAAAGTCACAACTTCTCCATGTACAGTGGTACCTCAGGTTGCAGACACTTCAGGTTACAGACTCTGCTAACCCAGAAATAGTACTCGGGTTAAGAACTTTGCTTCAGGATGAGAACAGAAATCGTGCTCTGGTGGCGCGGCGGCAGCAGGAGGCCCCATTAGCTAAAGTGGTGCTTCAGGTTAAGAACAGTTTCAGGTTAAGAATGGACCTCCAGAACGAAATTAAGTTCTTAACCCGAGGTACCACTGTATCTTTCCAAGAAGGTATCAACTAGATCAGGGGTAGCAAACATAGTACCCTCCAGATATTGTTGGACTCCAGCTCTCATCAGCCCCGGCCATCAGAGGTGATGGGAAATGAAGTCCAGCAACATCCAGAGGTCACCATGTTAACTTCTGAACTAGCTCAAGGGTAGCTATCAAATTCCATCATGGGGAACCTCTCTAAATCCAGAAGGTGGTAGTGAAGGTGGGGTGGAGGGGAGAGGTTTGTTTTCCTAGGGAGAAATTAAGGGCCTCGTCAAACAATGTTCTGTTAGTCAACGAATGTATTCTGATTTATTGGGCGGGATCCAGATCTCTTCCTTCAAGCTAATATTGTTGCAGTGTGATATGACGTTATCCTGAGATTCAAGCAGAATTGTTTTGCGTAGGGGGTCCCCCGTCCCCACAGCTACAGTCTCTGTACGCTAGGGTTGCCATATCTTGAAGAGCAAAAAAGAGCCGCTGCCAGACCAAGCCATGGAAAGAGGTGCACAGGGCTGCTGCTGCACCCACACACCTCTTTCTCTGGCTCAGGCTGGCAGCAGCCACAGATTGCAGAGCAGCCCAAGCCCAAGCCCAAGCTGCTGCCAGCCCAAGCGGAGGCAGGACCCCAGCTCTGAGCTGATCTTTGCTGCTATGCCCTCACTCCACTGTGGCACTTTGACTTCCAGGGCGCAGTGCCTTCCCGGGCATGCACATGCCCCCCAACCCCCAAATACCCTCCCAAACCCAGATATTTCCTTTAAAATGTAAAAATCCGCCCAGATGGGCATGTTGCCCCCTCCCCAAAAGAGTACATGTCCTGGTTTTCCCGGACGTATGGCAACCCTACTGTAGTCTAATGGCACTGCTGTATGTAAAGTGTTTGTAGCTGTTGCACAAATAACATTCTGGGTTCTGGGTTCCTGTTGAATGCTGCCTATAACATCATTGGCAACAACTCTTTCCGCCCATGCCTCTGCCATTCCATAACCTTAAAAGTGCTTTAGATGCTGCGTCCTCCTCCACAATGCAAATCCAGCATGAGAGTACTTATGTAGAACACACATTATAGACAATCACCAGCATGGCTTCCCTACGGCAATGCCTTGCTATTTTGTCATTGATTGAATTTTAATTATTCCTTTTGCCACAAATGTTCAAAGGCATTCTTTTTTGCTGCACGTATGCAGTGTAAGTGAACCCATCTTACAAGCACAGATAATTGCCCAGCTGCCTTTGCAAAGTCCATTGTTGCTAAACCCACAATGTTTAAGAAGTCTGTGAAAAGGGAATGAGGGCTGTTGCGTGCGTTCAAGTAAGGGTGCTGGCAAAACTGAATGTCCCTGCTTAAATGCTTTTGTGCAGGATTGAGGGGGAATGAGTTCCATGTGCTTTGATCCTGTGAGCTACTGCTGCAGCTCCCTTGCCCTGCTCAAGATACCAGAAATTGACCTCAGGGCAAGGGCAGTGACTGCTGCTCCCTAGGCTTCACTAGAAGTTCACAAAAAGTTTGACCTGTTGCAAACATTTGCTTTCAGGGTGAGCTGCAGGATGCTTGTGCATTCACAAAGGGAACTTTGTGAACCCCTCCAGATAAGCCACAGCCACATCCTTCCTTGTGTCTCCATGATCTTTCACTTAGTCTTCACTGCCTGGCCAGAATATAGAAATATGGGAATCTTCCTTATACCAGATCAGACTCTTTCTCTGTTTAGCCTAGTATTCCAGGCATCTTCAACCTTTCAGATCCAGGGCCCACTTTTAACCCAAACAAGAATTTGCGTGGTGCTAGTGCTCCTGTTGTGACCCATCTTGTACTAGTGGGTCCTGACCTACCACTTGAATTCCAGTGGACTCTACTGTTACCGGCGATGGCTTTCAAAGAGTCTCAGGCAGATGTTTTGCACAGCACCTGCATCACTTGACGTCACCACCTTGCTGATGCTAAGCAGATCTAGGTCTGGTTAGTACCTAGAGATGTGACTGCCTGGGAGCCACTTTGGGTGCCATGTACATCCCCTCAGGTGACATGATGGAAGAAAGGTGGAATATAAACGTTGGACATGAAGAAGAAGACAACAATGAAGAAGACAACGCACCTTGTACAGCAGGGATGGATAAGTTGTGTCCTTTCCCATGTTTGGACTACAACACCCATCATCCCTGACCACTGGCCATGCTGACTGGTGAGAACTGGAGTCCTATAATACCTGCAGGGCCATTGGTCTCTCCATCCCTGGCCTGCACTACTGCTGTTTTGCAGGAGATTACTGGTTTGGTTGCTTCCACACTAGCTTTCTCCAGCATTGCTGTCCAGTCACTCAGTTTTTATGAAGTATCCAGATGGTGAAATTGTCAGCTCATTGCATTCCAGTGTTTCTCACTTGATTTGTTTTTGCTGCTATTATTATAATAATAATATAAGCATCAGCCTGTCTAGAGCTTTTCGGGGATACCTTTAACTGAGCACTTCCTGTTGAAAGGCTCAGCATGAATTATTAATTCCAGGCGTACCCGGTAAAGCTTTCAGCAATGAATATCCCTCCCCCCCTTTTTTTTGCTTGCTTATCTTAATTGCCCCAATACTACCCTACATTCCCGAGTTGGAGGACACGAAAAAGGCTTAAATTATTAATACCTTTTTGAATTTAAATTTTCTGTTGTGAAATAGTGCTATTTCTCTAAAGAAATAATGGAGAAATCAGTAATCAAAGCCTCCCTCACTAGTCCCCAAGTACAGAAACTGATATTGAGGCAATTAAGAGAAACTATTCAAGGGGCAATAAACAAAGTATTTGTTGCTAATCCACACCTCTAGCAATAAAACGGGCTGACTCTACACAAGCAGCAAACTTTTAATTAACAGTAGTGGCAATATCTGCTGAACGGGAATTAGCTGTGAATAAAGATTATAAGAAGGTCTCTTGGCCATAAGATGCGGCACTGATGAGTAATATTGAGCTGTAATAAGTGCTTGTGCGTACCTCCCTTTTAATTTCCCTTGTAGTGAAGTGCAGAAAAGTAATGCCTCAACAGCACTCAAGAGCCCAAGTGTGGTAGCCACCATTATGCTTTGAGTTTCAAACAACAGGCAGAAAAAAAGAAGTCTTGTTTACATCCTTTTTCAGTAAATGGGTTGCACCTTGGATTCTGTGTGTTCATCCTGATCACAGGCCCCTGTCCTTAACAGACGAAGCTTCAAGGAGGAGGCCCTCCCATTTACGTATCAGCAGAACGGACTCCAGCCATCACCTCAGTGGTACCAGGGCAAGGTGCAATGGGAGGGAGGCGTGGCAAGTTGCTATGGAGACCCTGCCGCGTCTTCCTGTCAGAGAGAGGGTGTCATGTGACATGGAAGCAGCACTCCTGCCATGTCTGCCAGGGGCCTTCCTGAGGAGAGGACGGGGAGGAGACCGCCAAGGAGCCCTCCCTGGTGGCTCCTGACATGGGAACTAACGTGCAGACCAGCAGCGCAGGAGGAGGGTGCTGTAAACAGGTTCTGTTCTAGAGCTGAGGCCTTGGGCCAGGGGGAGAGCCACATCCATGGGCAGACGCAGGAAACCCGTGGCCCTCCAGAGACAGTTGGACTACAGCTCCCCTATTCCCTGACTATGGGTCTTGCTGGCTGGGGCTGATGGGAGGTTCCCAATATCAGGAGGGCCTCAGGTTCCCCAGCCCTACCCTTGGGCAAGAGGGCAGTGACCACTTCTGGTGGGCTAGGCATACTATGCTACTTGGGCAAAATTGTAATCCATAATAATAATAATTTTATTATTTGTAACCCACCCATCTGGCTGGGTTGCCCCAGCCACTCTGTACCAGGTTCTGCAGGATTAGGGTGACCATAAACCATAGCCCAAAGATACAACTGTGTTCACAGGGACTTAATTTTCTCTGAGGAACAGCCTAAGGCTACCACCCCAAATAAGCCCCTTCCCCCAGAAGGTTGTGACACCAAGGGACAAGTGACTCACCCATCCTTGATTTCTGGCCCCTCTACCATCAGTTCCAGGACTGCAGGAGCAGAAACAATGATAGGCCCAGAGCTGCAGGGCTCATTTAGAAGCCTAAGGATTTCAATTCCCACCTTTGAAGAGCCACAGGTTCCCCAACCCTGTTTCTAGGAACTAACCCAGTTCCCTCCTTTCCCCCCAAGACTTCAGCTTCAATAATAATAATAATAATAATAATAATAATTTATTATTTATACCCCACCCATCTGGCTGGGCTTCCCCAGCCACTCTGGGCGGCTTCCAAAAAAATATTAAAATACTGCAGTACATCAAACATTAAAAGCTTCTCTAAACAGGGCTGCCTTCAGATGTCTTCTAAAAGTCTGGTAGTTGTTGTTCTCTTTGACATCTGGTGGGAGGGCGTTCCACAGGGAGGGCATGTTATTAATCTTGCTGTTGCAGTTTGCCTCGTAGCTCATTGGCTATTTAGCATTTAATCACTATATAATTAGAAATGTGGACACAACTTGATTTTTTGTCTTCTAGTATCAGGAGAAGTGAGACTGAGCTATGCTTGTGCAAGAACAAAAAATAGCACAGAATATCTGAGAAGCTCCCCAGATACAAACAAAGCAGTGGGGGACATTTTCACAATCACATACTGTTCCTCCATGTACTGTATGTTAAGTCTTAAGCTTTTTTCCTCAGCCAGTATGACCAAATTGCCAACTGCTTATGTGTGTGAACTTTCATTTCAGATTATAAAATCTGTGGGTCATTCGAACCTGCTAGATAACACAGTGTGCAATGAGTCAATACTTTAATGTTGACTATTACTTCTTTTAAGACAGTGATGGGATTCTGTGGCCTTCTAAATGCTGTAGGACTCTCAACTCCCATCAGCCCCAAACAGCATGGCTAATAGTCACAGGGATTATGGGAGTTGAAGTCAAACAACATCTGGCTGGCCACAACTTCTCCATCCCTGTTTCAAGAAAGCAGTCTTAATTCGGAGCATGTCCCACTGAAGTCAGTGAGACACTTCTGAGTAAACTGGCATACAATAGGGTTGCATATTATAGGATGCAGCTGAGGAAATAAATAAGTTCAACTAGCTACCGTTATGTCTGTTATCTTAATCAAGCTGATAAGGACTTTCACCATCACCCTTAACTCTGGCTTAACAAATATCCTAACATTCACCATTAAACCCAAAATAAACAGAAGATGTGAGCATTTGTAAAAGTCAAAACCAGGGTCAGAATGCCTGAAGGGTATTGTGTGCAAAGCCGTAGATACAACTTCATCATGAATCAGTAATGATTCCCTGCTTGTTAGACTTGATGTGAGACATCAAGGCTGTGTAACAGTGACAACGACACACAATCTGTTTCCAGCTGATAAATATTGAGAGAGAACATTTCCCACAGAGAAGTCTCCCTTGAGAGAAACAGCTGAGGCATAGGATTGTGCAAACTAGCTCAAACCTTTGCTGACCCCCCATCTCTCTCACACTGCCCTTCGGTCAGAGTTAAGGTGGTCACGTTGTGTTAGGAAGCACTTCCTTTGCATTGTTCTCAGTTGCCCATGCTGGCTGCGTGGGTGCCTGAAGGATTGCAGTTCCCACTTCTGTCCATTTCCCTGCTGCGAAGCACTCAGCATTTATAGAAAGATGATTGGCAGGTTCCTTACTGTTACTAAGCAACCCACACTGGAGTTGAAATGAAATGGGTTTGTTTTTAGAACTGGAATGCCAGTCTGACTAAATGATGCCTCTCCTCCACCTCCCTCTTAGTGCAGATTGGGGCACAAGCTGACCTGGTGGTCATTTTGTGCTTTTGCTTTGTACCTTTCCTCGTTATTTTTTTGTATTCTAGTTACAGGGACTGAAAAAAATCTCCCTGCAGCGATTCAGGGCTCATCCAGACTTCCTGTTGTGCCATGTTTTCCAGGCTCAGGTCCGGAATTTAAATCTCCATGTCCACGTGTTTGGCTTTTCTTTCCCCCTCGACACTTTCCCTGGGAAAACTCACATTTTACTTGTGAATCGGAGCAATTGGCAATCCTCAGTGGAAGCTCAAGTCTCACCCACACTTCTGTTTATCTTGTGCCTAGAAAGCATGTGTCCGAGCGGGTTTCCTGTGCTTGTCTCCTTTCCAAGAAAAAAACTCACTCTTTAGCAATATATCAGAACAAATGGCAATCCAGGAAATACCTGAATTGCCCTTTGCTCTGATGGAGTGCTATAGAGTGGTTTCCCCCCAGGCAAAAGCAGCTGGACAAGAGGAAGTGTGGAGAAGCCCTAAGTGTGGGGAAACAAGGGAATAATTGGTGGGTGCAGGGGACTTGAGAGGCTTCATTTGACCAAGATAATCTCTAACCTAATGTCTATTGTTCCATTGCAGCGCTTGGAAGATGGGCAAGGACCAAATCCATCCTCATCTCCATTCTCAAGGTGCCTCTGATGTTTGGCTTTTTGTACCTGTTTGTGTGCTCCCTTGATCTGCTGAGCTCTGCTTTCCAGTTGGCAGGAGGTGAGGGTCACAATGTATGCCTGTCTCCCCTTCCTCCCTTCCTTTCTCTATAGGGTCCATGGGAATGAAGCTGCTTGATTGCCTTCCCTTTGGTCTTATTGCTTCCACTTCCTGCCTTTCTCTGGAACTGGAGTAGGTCCTGCTGAATCCAGGCTATTGCAAAAGAGCCTGAGGTCAACAGCATGGCGAGGGAGAACTGTTTTCTCATTGCTCCCATGGCTAAAGATTGCCAATTCTGGACCCCTTCATCCAGATGTGCTTTTCTTGATGGGGAGTCCAGAATCCTCAGAATCTCTTTCAAAAACAAGCCATTTTGTTTGGAACATTTATTTAGTTGTCTAGCGCAACTAGAAAATGACTCATCCAAATAGGAAGCATTTCTGGTTTGCTTTGTCTTGCTGCTTTACAAGCTGCATTTAAATTGTGGTAGGTACATCTGCTACATTTTGTAAGTGGCTCAAGGAAAATTCTCTCTTGCTTTGTAGGCCCTACTTGTCAATGTTAGTATTTCATGCCTCCGATGCTGCAGATGTGATTGGTGTAATTCACATGCCTGTCTGGGAAGAGTGTGGGAACAGAAGACAGTCTTATTTCTTCTGCTATGTGTACTGTTACACTGTACTTTTGCTTTTGCTTTTGTTCTGTCTGTTCCCTTGAAGCCGGAAAGCATGCAATGATTCTTTTGTTGGTATGTAGCGTGTAATAAATACATAGCTCTACAATGTCTCGTTCTTCTTGCTGTGTTACGCCAGAAGATTAGTGTGAATATATCAGTTGATGTATGTCGCTGAAGCGCACTGGAGAAGAAGGGGAATGCCTTTTCCAGAGCTGCGCATACCGTTGGAACGCTCGGAGTTCGGGGGCTGCAGGGGCACCCCAGGGTTTTTTTCCAATAGTCAACCCCACCTCTCAGTCCTGAAATGTATTGTCATACCACTTTGTGTTCTCAGTTCAGCGTCTATCGGGGGCAGCGCAATATCTCATTATCCTTGTACTGCATTCTCTTCTTTGGCGATCTCTCGTAGCCAAGTAAAATTGTCTTCCATTAATATGGTCTTAACAGTGTATCCATAGGTGACTGGGGAGGCCAATTCTGGATCTGCACATCCTTCCACAGTGGGGACATAGGTTTTCAGGCAGGAGTTGATCATGGTGAGAGTTTGCCAAATGTGCCTTCCTCTTAGCTCATTTCTCCCTTTCAGCCTGAGTAAGTGCTTCTTCAAAGTCCATGACATCTTTGGTAGAGGCTATTCTCCAATTGGAGAGCTCGCAGGCCAGTGTTTCCCAGTTGTCGGTGTTTATACTACATTTTTTTAGATTTGCCTTGAGAGCGTTTTTAAACCTCTTTTGTCTTGTCCACCAGCATTACGCTTTCCATTCTTAAGTTGGGAATAGAGTAGCTGCTTTGGAAGACGATAATCAGGCAACCAAACAACATGACCAGTCCAACGAATGTTGAAGAATCATTGCTTTGACACTGGTGATCGTTGCTTCTTCTAATACACTGACATTAATTTGCCTGTCTTACCAAGTGATAGTAATTTTTTTGGGAGACACCTGAATCCCAAAATGGTTTTAGACCTTCTATATTGCATTATACCACATTTCATGATTATAGAGTTAGTGATATTTCAAAATGTGCTCGCAGCAGAATGTTAGAAGCTCAGACCCCCAAAAACATATTGCAAGAGGCCTCCAGTGACCAAGCATGGCTTTTGTTCTCTGCACAGCTCCTGCTTGTGCCTCCCATAACTCTACTTCTTCCTGATGTTTTGGTCCTGTTATCCCTTGTTCTTGATCAATTTACATTTCACAGGAGAGGCCCTCTGTCTCTTGAGAAAGGTTATCTTGCTTGGCCTTCTAATAAAGTCACTTAGGTTTACTTCTATATCAGGGACCTGCTACCAAATACTACTGGATAGCATCATATTCTCCTTTCCTCTACCTCATTTCACTGGCTCTCTATAGTTGGCTCCTTTGTGCTTGCCTTCCCATCTATGCTGTTGGCAGGGCTGAGCATGGGGGAGTAGAAATCTGGTTTTGAATCAGGTTACATTTGTATCCCATTCAGTTGCAGGGAGGGGGACCCATGTGGACTCGTAGGGTGGAAGGCTGGGTGGCCAACGGTAGGTGGAGCCTAAGCCAACGACTGGTGGAGCAACTAATTCTACTTTTGCCCCCTCCTCCTCCTCCTCCCTGCTGAATTATGCAAGGGCAACACTGGGACAAAGGAGGAGGCAGCTGACAGCCAAGGGCACCCCCTGGCTGGATGTAATCAAGAAGGCAGGCAGGTGGGGGCTGGCTGAGGGGCAGACTGAAGTTGGTGAGGCACTGCTTGCCTGGGTGGAAAATGGAGAAAGATGTGTGGCGTAGGCAGAAAGCTCTGACTTTTGCATGGCTGCTATGTAGCCTACTGTACAAAGTTAAGAGTCACATCCAGTGCTCTACCCACTTTGGCCTCTGGCCCCACCAACCACTGGCATGTGGCCTCTGGAAGGTCCCCCACAAGGGAATGTGGCCCTTGGTTTGCAAAAGGTTCCCATTCATGGTCAATCTAGAGAAGCATGAACAACCTTCCACTTACATGTTTCCTTCCTTAGTGAAAAGCAGCTAAAGTTGGGAGTGGAAGAATGCCAGGGAGGAGGGGCTTGCTTAAGGATTTCAATTCCAGCCAGCTTGTTGCTGCTAGAAATCCCTTCCCCAATTTGTGAGCAAATGTGGAAACATTTGGGTCTTACCAAGCGCTCACTCACAGACTTCTGTCTTCTGCCCCATAGGTAAAGTAGCCGGGGACATTATCAATGACAACGCCATCCTCTCCAACCCAGTGGCAGGGCTTGTGGTGGGAATCTTGGTCACCGTCCTGGTTCAGAGCTCCAGCACCTCCAGCTCCATCATCGTCAGCATGGTCTCCTCGGGGCGTGAGTCATTCTGGCAAATATCAATGTAGAAGGGAGGGGATGTTTCTGGAGGTGTGGCTTCATGTGGGTGCAAGAGAAATTAGGTTGCATGCTCCCCGCTACTCCATTCCCTCATTTGATTCTTGTATGTCTACTGGCATCACTGGAGCCATCAATTTGCCTTGGCAGCATTTTCATACTTTGCTGTTATCACAAGGTATCTTTGAATTTGGCTGGGAGTGGGAGATGGATGAAATCTGAGTGGGATGTGTGCAAGGCTGAGGAGGAAGGGAGAAGAAGACAGCACAGGTTGGGGCACCAAAGAGAGGTTGTTTGCTTGAAACCTCACTCGGTTTCTGGTGCCCCAGATGGGGTACGGAGTCAGAGTACCCAGAAGGCACTGCCCTTGCCCTTTCCTTCTTAGTGCTGGAGGTACGTTCCGCCATCCCCATCATCATGGGTTCCAACATTGGCACTTCAGTCACCAACACCATTGTGGCACTGATGCAGGCCGGTGACAGAGATGAATTTAAGAGGTGAGTGTTGTGGTGGGCATGCGACGGGAGCAACCAGTGGGGTTGTTTAAAAGTGGAGATTGGTGTGTGCTGCATCTATGGGGTATTTTAGAGAGAAAGCCAGTTGTAGTGCAGCTGACAGAGATGAGTGAAGACCAGGAATTAGGAGGGGATCAGAGGCGCTTGGAAACTTTACGGTGACTGAAGCTCCTGAGGCCCATAGGAACTGACTGGGGCAGTGAGGAACAAGACCATCTTAACAAGGGAGTAACCGTACCTTCGACTGACTGGGTAGGCCGAGTAGACAAAGATCTGGAGTGGATGGGTGGATTGGAGAGAGATTTGGCCATGCAGAGGGAAATCGTTTGGCAACACAATGGCAACATGAAGTATCTGATATTTGGACCATTGCCCAGTTGAGACCATCCCCATCATTCTCATCCCCGCACTGCTACAGTTCACATCAATGATGGCTTCTCTACTGCCTTTCAGAGCCTTTGCAGGGGCCACCTTACATGACTGCTTCAACTGGTTGTCAGTGCTGGTTTTGCTGCCTCTTGAAGTGGCCAGTGGCTATCTGCACTACCTCACCATGGTGACTGTGGCAACTCTCAACTTCCCCAGTGGACAGGATGCTCCAGAGCTTCTGAAAGTAATCACAAAGCCCTTCACTAGTCTTATTATCCAGGTGTGTGTTGTTGGCAAGTCGTGTGTGGTCTCTTTGGGCTTTGTCATAAAGGAAATAGCCACCTCCTCATGCTTGGGACCCTGGCCATGTCCTTATCCTCCATTCTACCTTCCAGTTCTCTCTCTAGGTGGTGAGTGTCAGGAGCCTAGCCTTTGTCTACATCTAAGGACTGTGGATCTGTTGGTCTCTGTGAAGTTCATACCTTCAATAAATTGTGGGGCTACTGAAAGATAATTATTTGGCTACTGGTAAAGGGTCAATGTCCAAGATGCTGTAAAGCAAAGTAGGAAAAGGGATTTGGTAGCCAATAGTTGAGGGGGAAATGGGGACCCAAGCAAGTCCTGCTTTACTCACTTCAGGTCACAACTCATGCAATGGGAGAAATGTTATGGTACAAGAGATTGTGATGGGGACAGCCTTGGCAGGGGAAAGCCCAGGCAGGTGTAGCAGTCAGTTCCCTAAGAACCCAGCTCAATTCCATAGCTTCAAGCTGATATAAAAATTGCTAGTCTGTTTGTCCAGGATTTCTAAAGAGAACATAAATTTCCAGACACTCTATGCCAGGGGTCTGCTTCTCCTTCTCGTCCTTTTATGGGAAACTTTGGGCTCTCTGTCTCCCATCCCTGACAGCATTTCCATTATCTTTCCCCCTGTTCCCGCAGCTGGATAAGTCAGTGATCACCGGCATTGCTACAGGTGATGAGAGTTTGCAAAACAAGAGTCTGATCAAGGTGTGGTGTAAAGCATCAGCTCCACAGGTGAGAGATCAGGGTGTGTGTGGCCGGGGTGATGCGATGGGAGGGCTAGAAGCAGTAGGGGCTGAGTATCAGAATGTGCTGATGGTCCTGGCAGAAGACTTCAAGTCAGCGACTCAACTGCACAGTCCAGAAATTGATCAATGAGACACCTTTGGGAATTTTGGAGAACGGAGTGTGAACAATTTCCATTTCTGTGCAGGGTTGGAAAGCAAGGTTGCACAGATCCTAGGGCACAATTGTGCTTTTTGGAGACAACAAAGCAGGAATGTTGGGGTGTGAGAGATGACATTGACCCGGTTCGCAGATCCCATTAAACCACCATTAAAATTAAGCCATGGTTTAATGTGCTGGTTCACAGTGTTGAAATCACAGGAGCTTCACTTCTCCCCTGCTCCTGCTGCTACCGTCCCCAGGAAACAAGCCATGATTTGACTTGTCATGTTGTCTTAAGCCAGTGGTGTCCAAACTTTATTCAAAGAGGGCCAACCAAAGTTGTTGAGCTTTTTTTAAGATTTCAGTTGTGGAGGTTTTTTTTAGGATTTTACCCCAGGAAATAAAATGCCACAGGGGCTGGTAACGGACTTTGGACATGCCTGTCTTAAGGCTTCAACCCAAGGACTATGGTCACAGTGCTTAGCCAAAAAGACTGGACTTATGTGGGATGTTAGCGCAAGCACACAGAAACGTTATGGACAGACATGGGAGACAATGCATTAAAATGATCATTATGCATTGCTATCCATTAAGAGCCATGAACAATTAAGTGTCATTTTAAGGATTAATTGATCACTGATGCGAGGTTGACAGGATTTAGAGGTTTTACTAGTGGGTTATCTAGAGGCTCTTTGAAATAAGGCAAGTACTGTGGTGGAAACCTGACAAAGGAAGGATGATTGGTGTTGGAATTAGCATTTTAGTATTCTTTTGCCTGCTTGAAATAAGTCGGAATGCACAAAGGAAGTAATTTAGAATGGCTAACTGAAATGGCTAAACAGAGACACCAAATATGAACTATAGAACAACAAGGCCCTTTCTGTGTCAGCATGGGTGACAAAGCGCCTGCATGCGGCTGATGCCTCCCTCCCTTTTTCTACAGATTTCTTCCTTGAGCTCTAGAGGAAGCTTCCTCAACTGCAGCTCCCGTGCCCTATGCAGCCTGGACAGTGCTGGGAACCTCAGCAGGGCTGTGAAAGAGAAATGTAAGAACTGCCAACCCCAGGCAGCAGGACCCGGTTAGAAACGGCAGCTGTACCTGTGCCGTTCCTGTGAAGGCGGCAAGGGAGAATCATGACTTAGGGCAAGAGGAATTGGATTGTTCCTAATGTACTCTCTGCATCTTGCTCCTTCACCTAGGCCATCACCTATTTGTGGACACCTCTCTGCCAGACTTGGCTGTGGGTCTCCTGCTGCTGGCTGCCTCACTGATTATGCTGTGCACCTGCCTGATCATGCTGGTCAAGATGCTCAACTCTGTGCTCAAAGGCCATGTGGCCAAAGCAATCCAGAAGGTCATCAACACAGGTAGGCTGGCTGAAACCAGGCCCAGAGAGAACTCCTGGCTCCCTCAGTGGATACCCAGCCGTGAGCCAAAGGGTGTGGATTCTAGTGGAGACTCTCTGGGTTCCAGGCCACCAGAAGTTCACTGACTGGGTTCTCATGGCTGAAGCTATCTGTGGATCTCAGTCTTTCCTCCTTGTTTCTGGGCAGATCTGCCATCCCCTTTTGGCTGGGTTGCTGGCTACTTCGCCATGCTTGTTGGTGCTGGAATGACCTTTATTGTACAGAGCAGCTCAGTCTTCACTTCAGCAATCACGCCACTTATCGGTAAGTCAGCATTTACTCTGGTTCCATGGGCAAGATAGAAGGGATGTGTGTGTTTACACAAAAGGAAACTAAAATGGCCAGACTGACAATAAAGCCTATAAGTCCCGTCTCTCCCACTCGGCCTCTTATGAGGAAGTGGGTCTTCGGATACCTGAATATCACTAACCCAATATAAGCATTTAGAAAGACCAAGGTGTTGCTGTAACTTCTGCTAAACAGTAAGTGATGGTGCTGTGAAGCATAGCTAGCTCTGGAATCCCTCAGGAAGAAGATGTCATGAGTAATAGCAGAATATGTCTCGAGGCGCTCTTGCAGTGGTATAAAGGCCAGGTCTTTAAAAAGGAATGTTCCCCATTGCCTGTTATCTTGAGTGACTGTTGAGGGGAAAGAAAGTGCTGTTTTCCTGATGGTTTTCTCTCTTTTTTCTTCTTCTTCTGCGGCACAGGCCTTGAGCTGATTAGCTTGGAACGTGCATATCCACTCACCCTTGGTTCCAACATTGGAACAACCACCACAGCTATCCTAGCTGCCCTGGCAAGTCCAGGAGACAAGATGGCCAGTGCCTTCCAGGTGAGCAGATGCCCTCTCCCTACTTGGTTAGGGTGGAATTACTTTAGAAGAGCATACCTTCCAAGCCAAAGGGTGTGTGTGTGTTATGTATACATGCACACATATGCATTATATACACAAATGCTGCCAAACAGAATCCACCTTGCACAGTTTGTGCATCCCAGGTCAAATATGGCTGATTTCAGCGATACCCTTCTGGTCTTTTATGTATTTCTGTCTACTGCAAATGCAAATGCAATGGACCTCTGTTTGGGAAAAAGGCAGTATAGAGAAGCAAGCAAGCAAGCAAACAAACAAAGACAGTTTGTCATGACCGCATTGATCTTGGAAGGCCCTGGGTTATTATTATTTATTACATTTATATCCCACCTTTCTTCCAAGGAGCTCAGGGTGGCATATGTAGTTCTCCCTCACCCCATTTACCCTCACAACAACCCTGTGAGGTCAGTTAGACTGAAAGACTGTGGCCAACCCAAGGTCAACCATTGACCTTCATGGCTGAATGTGAATTTCCACTCTTGTCTGTCAGATGTCAATCCAGCACTCTGGCCGCTGCACCACACTGGCTCTTAAAACATGAAGTGGCCCATGGGGAAAGCGGGATTATTTTCTTTGCATGCCCTACCTGTTTCAGCCTGGCATGCCATCATTTCTCAGTCTTGCCTCCAGGATGGTTGCTATGTTTCTGTTTTCCCCTCCTCAGATTGCTCTTTGCCATTTCTTCTTCAATATCTCTGGAATCTTACTGTGGTATCCCTTGCCTTGCACCCGTCTGCCCATTCAGATGGCCAGAGCGCTAGGTGAGCAGACGGCCAAATACCGCTGGTTTGCCGTCTTCTACCTACTCACCTGCTTCCTGCTGTCGCCGTTGCTGGTTTTTGGACTCTCCATGGCAGGATGGCAGGTCCTGGTGGGCGTGGCAGCCCCTTTCCTATGCCTCCTGGCTTGTGTGGCCTTTGTCAACATCATGCAGTCACGAAGTCCCGGCCGACTGCCCCGGTGGCTCCAGAGCTGGGACTTCCTGCCGTACTGGATGCACTCCTTGCAACCCATGGATGAGCTGATCACTAGGGCCACACTGTGTTGCGCTGGTCGTCGCTCAAGCAGCCAAGAGGAACAGAGTGATTTATCTCCTCAGATTAAAGCCAGTCTCTCAATCACTTCCTTAGAGGAATTGTCACTACCACCAAGGCCCTCTCCTCGACTAAATTCACCAGCAGTGCAAAATGCTACCCACCTGTAACCTGTGTTGGAACATCGCCCCATTGCTGCCTGCAGATAGTGCTGCTCAGCAGAAAAGCAATGGTAGACCTGACCTCTGAAAACAAAGTGCACCTGCCACCATGTAGGGAAGGGTGTGTGTGTGTGTGTGTGTGTGTGTGTGTGTGTGTGTGTTGAGCTGCAGTGCTGGTGGCTTCATGTGTGACTCTAGCTGTATGACTGCCATGTGTGTATCTGTCTTCCAGCCATTGTGGATTCTTCTGCCACTGTGTATGACCCGGTATTGAGTGTGTGTGTGTGTGTGTGTGTGTGTCTATAAATGAGCATTCAACTGTTGCTTTAAACATCAGTGTGTATGGCTTGCATCCATGAGTACAAAATTCAGCCTTTGCAACTGTGTTTGTGTCTCTCAAGGTGAGGGTGTTTTGTGTGCAGTGCATTAGATGCCCTGCCATGAGTTGGTTTGGGAAGTTGAGCAAGGTCTAAGCTTGGGATGTTCTGCATGGAGACAGCAGGGAAGTTCTTCCTATAGCAGCACTGGGGATTATCCTGTGAAGTATTTTTCAGGATGTGCCACACTTTTGCAATATATTAAACATAATTATGTAGTGGTGCTTGGAGATCATTCTCCACCCTCCTCTCCTGACAATATGGTGCCAATAGCCTCTTTGTGACCCCTTGTCTCTCTATGACGAGGGTTCTAGACACTGCTTTAGTAAATATCATCTTTAATTTTAAAAAATTGTTTAGAAGTTTTAAGAAAAGTATTGCTACCTCCCCATTCACATTGCTTTTATATCTGCAGATGAGTTCCGAACAATTTTCTAGGTGGACTATCAGGGTTCAGTAGGATGGGAATGGGATGAGATAAGTGGCTTGAAGGGGCTTCTTTCCATGTATCTTTTGTTGTATGACTTCTTGCTTTCAGTCAAAGTGCAAACCAAAGTTTCGTGGTTCAAATAAAAATCCAGATTGGGAAGAGCTTGATGTTTATTATTTACAAAATTTGGTGCACTATTATCTTTGTCACACACACACACACACCCCAACTCACCCAATGTACAGCAAAGTTGTATAATGCAGATCAACAGCTAGCAGTCAGCAAAAAGAAATTGCACATAAAACAGAAGCCATTTCTTACATATTTTTGGAAAAAAAACCAAGTCCTGTGTTGTTAAAGAGAATATGAACACTTAAGAAAGTGCTGCCTTGGATGAGAAACCTGGCATGTGATGTGGGCAAATTCTCTGTTTGAGGTTGTCATCAAAATGCTTCTTTTGAGTTCTGAAGCCTGACCCATACTGCCTTAGGAAAATGTACACACAAGGATAAATTAGGAATGCCTGTGGGTTTTTTTAATTGTTCTATACCTCACTAAATAAATTTCTTTTCATTGAAATTTCAGAACTGGCTGTGTGGTTGAGTGTCTTTTAGACTAATTTGAGTTGTTCCAGGCACCTGCATTTTTTCTTCTTTAGATGTTCCCATGCCCCTTTTTCACACGTACCATGTGCTCTCCTCAAGAGAATCAGTCTAAGCCACCTACCCACTTCATCACATACCCTTATATCACCACCGAATAGCCAAGGTTCCTTCTCTTTTTGCGGTCTCCGGCACTGGCAGCATCTTTGAACTGCAGTCCTATGATTCAGAAATGCATTTTCCTGTTGTTCCATTTGATTGTTCAGGTAGGGTTTCCAAAGGTAAATGTCAAAAATAATGGATGCTTTGGAGCTGTAGCTTTTGTGTTTGCTCTTTATGACAACTATGACTATGAGTGCCATAGTAAAAGGAACATCTATTATAATCTTATGTGTCCCCACTCCCCCAACTGATGGGATGTTCCAAGGGTGCCATTACTTGATTTGGCTTCCTTTGGAGGAGAAAGAGCACTTTGAGGGCTGGTTCAGACAGAATGGGAAAGTATGTGAATGAGCCACAGTATGTCTCACACTTGTGTGCTCTCCATCTCTCATTCCCATAAGGAGATAAGAAAAGTCTGCTTCCAGTTTAAAACTAACCACAGTTTTCTGTCTGAACTTGGGAAACTGTAGTTTGTTTAAACTATGGTCAGTGAGAACAAGCCAGGATCATAATGTGGTTTGTGATAAATTGTAAGTTTGCTTTTTTAATTTGGAAGTCATTCGGTATTGCAGTTAGTTTTAAAAAGTGGAAACTTCTGATCTCTTCAGTCACAGAAAAGGAGGAAAGGAAAGAGGAAAGTCTGCAGAAGCTCGCCTCCACTTGTTCATGTCCAAACTAGGCCATGATGCTTTTATAATATTTGCTTTATTTATAAATATGCAAGCAGATAATAAGTGGAGGTAAAGTGGTGCACCGTCAGAAACTAAGCTATAGTTTGGCTTAGTATTATGTCTGAACCCAGGCTTGTTGTTTGTCTCACTTCAGACAAATGATGAGCTGTAACCAAGGTTTGTTCTTGGCTTACCACTTGTTGCTTGCTTGTTTGTTTGTTTGCTTTACTTAAATCCCTAAAACAACCTAAGGAAGTTTACATAAGGAAAATTTCCCATCCCCTTCTCACCCTTATAACCGCTTTTGAAGGGCAAGGGTCCCTCCTTGGTCAGTATGGGCTAAGACCAGGGCTTTATGCAGCTGGAACTTGCCAGAACTTAGTTCTGGCACCTCTCAGGTGGGCGCCATTGCCATTATAAGAGAACAAAGGTTCTTGGTGAGTTTAGGCACAGCTTTTTCTAGAAAAATAGTGCTGGCTAAGGCATAGTGGTGGTGGGAAACTTTGCTTCTTTGAATTCCCTTGTTTAATTTATCATAGGATTTGAGTCTGAGCAGTGCCTCAATTTCTCAGCGGTTCCACCTGCACCCCAGCCCATAATGTTCAAGAGGTTCCCAGATACTCCAAGCAGTTTTTCAGGAAGATGCAGAAAGAGGGCATGAAAGTTTCCTTCCATGAGCTTCCTTACCTTAGGATCCATGCCAGTATTATTAATTGCTTGTGGAGCAGTTCTGGGAAAATCAATATTTAATGCAGAGTATGAATAATTCCATGAGATCTTCTGCCTTGCAGATACTCCATGGAACAGTTGCTATAAATTGCTCAGACTCTTGGCAGACAGCTCTTTAAAATGCTTACCTGTGTGTTTATGTGTGTCATATTTTAAGTTTTAACTTAAAAATCCCTTATTTGGGGCTGATCGTGCATAGTTTACAATGCCCCAGACTGCATCTTTTGGGAACGAGGAACAGACATGGCCACTGGATGGCAATGCTGAGCTGAACAGAGCTTGGAACAGAGTTTTAGCTCTGCATTGAGCAGGCAAAAAGACTTGGGATTCATGGCGTGACTCCCAGAAGAGCCCAGGTGGGCTTCTAGCCACCCAGTGAGAAAGAACTGGGCCGTTTCAGGTCCCTGTCTTTCTTTATAAAGATGGAAGAGCATTGGCTCGGAAGAACAATGGCATTCCAGCAGAATTTAGGAGAGAAAGATTTCCATGTCTACTTAACTTCAGCTAGTGGCTGATCATCAGGAACCTCTGCACCTGGAGCCTTTAAATGAACCATTTCATAGGTAAGCATAGGAATATGTGGTAGACTAATTAAAATGGTGCATCTGAGCATGTTTGGAGTTCCTTTTTCTCATTACTGAGTAACCGCAGCCACAAATGCAGAGACACACTAACTGCAGGTTCAGGGTTGGTTTCCAGTGCTGGATATACGGGTTAGTTTGCATTCTATGGTGGTTCTAAAAGAAAAGACAGTGGTGTGTGAAGAGCTACTGACTGGGAATTCTTCTTCATTAAATCTCTGTGTACAATAATATATTCACCGTGTACAATAACATATTCACACTATACAAATACATTTTTTAAAAATAAGCCAATTATACACCTGTGATGGAGACATTATAAATAGTAAATTATTTTATTTTATCCTTTCTTACATTTGCTTAGGCTTTATTATAATGTCATCTGCTCCATTCCCAGCTATCCCAAATCCTCTTTTTCACAATTCACCATTGTTACACAACCACTACGTTCTTTGTAATTTCCATATTTCTTTCCATTCTTGCCTGTTTGTCACTTGGTCCCATAACTTACAGTTTCCAAGCCTCTGCGAACCTGGTCCTTGTTATCTTGTTAAAAATAGACATCACTTGGGACTTTTCTCCAGCTATCACCCCTGACCACTGGCCAAGCTGGCTGGGACAGATGGGAGTTGGAGTCCAACAACATCTGGGGTAGGGAACTACAACTCCCTTCTTCCCTGACCATTGCCCATGCTGGCTGGGGTTGGTTGGGGAGTTGTCATTCAACAGCAGCCAGAAGCCACCAAGATTGGGAAGGCTGTATTGGGACAGTAAAGAAGAAAGAGAAACATCATCTGCCCTGGCACAGGTGAGAGCTTTACTGGATGGTTGTCCACTATCACTGGTGGAACCTCTACAAGGAACTTCCCCTCTGGTGGCTCATGGAAAAAGCTGGGACCCTCTCTGTCAGTAGACTCAGAGGTTAAGTCGCACCAGATCAGCTGGATATATGCCTGAGTTTTAAAAGTTTAGGATCTGGGTTGTAGGCGGCTATGCACAGCCCTTCCCCAGCCGTTTCCTCCTTGTGTGTGCACGCCTGCCAGGTGCTCTGAGCCTGGGTGAGGGAGGCAAGCTCCCTCTCCTGGGCTCTTAGTCTTGGCAGCAAGCAGCCTCTCCCACCAGCTGGAGCTGGCTGGGCGCCTGTAGGCCAGCCAGCCAGCACTGCCTGCCCCTCCCTTCCCTCCCCCCAAGGGATCTGCTCAGAGGCCGGATGCAAAGAGGCTCAGAGCTGGAGCAGCTCTGCCGGGCTTCACACCACTGCAGGGAGAGGGAAGAATCAGCAGGCAAGAAGAAAGGGGTGTACTCTGCACATACCCACCGCTTTGCCTTGGACATGCTTAGTATCAAGTGGAAGCCAAGGGATTGAGGCCATCTGTGGACTGTTCTCTGAGGGAACTGGGCATCTTCTAGATCTGCTGCCTGGAGGCACTAGATTTACCTATTTGCCCTGAACTGCGCTGAAATCCACTATAGTGTTCCATGGGACATCACACTTTGAGATCTACCATGCCTCACTGGAACTTGTCGTTTTGCTTTAGTGTCTGATGTGCTGCGCCAGGATCTGTTGGGCCTTCCCACTGCTGTGCTGTTGAGCCCCAAAAGGTAGGATGGTGCCAGGTGAGAGGAAGGCTGCTGGGCCCGTCCTTTTCTGGACCTGTGACCATGAAACAGAGCCTTGTGAGTAGGCCCGGGTGAGACTTGGGAGCCTGTGAACCTTGCACAGGTAGCTTTGGGCACCTCCATGGCCTGGTCTGGGGATGCATGGTATGGAGCCACAGCAAAATGGATCTGGCAATCAGAGTGACCAGGCACCCGCTGAGCTCCCGCACTCGCCTCTTGGCATGGCACTCATCCTGGTGGCCGTGCTGGTCATGGCACTTGTGACCCTACTGGGGAATGTGTTGGTAGTGCTGGCTGTGTACACCAGCCGGGCCCTTCGGGCCCCGCAGAACCTCTTCCTGGTGTCTCTGGCTGTGGCAGACATCCTGGTGGCCACCCTTGTCATCCCCTTTTCCTTGGCCAATGAGGTCATGGGCTACTGGTGCTTTGGCGGCTTTTGGTGCAGCCTCTACCTGTCGCTGGACGTTCTCTTCTGCACCGCCTCCATCATGCACCTCTGCGCCATCAGCCTGGATCGGTACTGGGCCGTCACCCGCGCTGCCCGGTACAACCTCAAAAGGAGTCCCCGGAGGGTCAAGTGCATGATTGGGGCTGTCTGGGCCATTTCTGCCTTGGTGTCCTTGCCACCGCTTTTCAAGTCAACACACCAGGACCAGCTGTGCTTGCTGCACGACGACACCTGGTACGTGCTGGCCTCTTGCACTGCCTCCTTCTATGCCCCCTGCCTCATCATGGTTGCTGTCTACTGCCGGATCTACCACGTGGCCAGGCACAGGAACTCGGTGGTCATTGCTGCGAGACGTGTCTCCTACCCCAACCTTATCACTGCAGCCAAGTGCGACGCCCGCAGAGTGAGCACTCAGCACCCTGGGGAAGCGCAGAATGCAGGCTTGGAGCACGGCCAGCTTCCCCACCCCCAGCCTAGCTTGCCCAGGCTCTCTCGGCAGTGGAGGGCAGAAGAGATTGGCAACAGTGCCAGGTCACAGAGGACCCCCAGGCTTTCCTGGTCAGTTCCCTCTAGCCGGCAGCAGCGCAGGAGCAGGGACATGTCCGTCTCCACCAACCGGCTGGTGCAGGCAAGAGAACGCCGGTTCACCTTTGTCCTGGCTTTCATCATTGGGGCTTTCGTGCTCTGCTGGTTCCCGTTCTTCTTCACGTACAGCCTCGAGTCCGTGCTCGGGGAAGGCTGCTGCATCTCCAAGCCTCTCTTCAAGTTCTTCTTCTGGATTGGCTACTGCAACAGCAGCTTCAACCCCATCATCTACACCGTCTTCAACCGGGATTTCCGGAGGGCCTTCCAGCAACTTCTCTCCCGTGCCGACCCACTTACATGCAGGAAGTGAGGACTCTTCTGCTAGAGGGCTGTTTGGGGAGGTGGAGAGAGGTGTTGGCGTGCAGGCTGGGGTTCTGGGGCCTGTGTACGAAACATCATCCTGAGGCAACAGGTTGAGGCTGATGAGCGGGATAATATCGCTGCTGGTTTTGTGCTGAAAAAGCTCCTGTTAAAGTGGTAAATCTGTGGCATGAGTGGCACAGGCAGCCAGACATTTGTGACATGAAGGGCTGGTGGGCCTGGTTATGGCACAGAGAGTCAGGCTTACACATGCCCTGCCTACCTCTCCTGTACTGTGCTGCTAGCCTGCTTACCAGTCCAATAGGCCAGAGGCCAAGCACTGGTGCATTGAGGGACAGGAGTAGACTGCTTATGGGGCAGTGGAGTAGTGGTAACTTCTGAAGTGCAGGTGTGCTGTTCCTGGCAACCCCTCACAGCCATGCACAACACTGTATAACAGAAATTAATTTTTGGCCAAGGCTGACATTTTGGCCTCAGTACCTCGCCAGCTTCTTCAACCTCTCCATCTGCTCCTTCATTTAAGATATCCAGTCTGATGAAGGGTCCTAGTGGACTCAAGAGCTTGCTTATCATCTTGTGACATTTGGTTTGTTATTTAAAAAAGGGACTTCGACTTTTTTCAAAAATAAAAGTGTTGGCTTAACTCTTAATCATGCATTTGAAATGAAATCTACCTCTTCCTCTGCTTGGTTTATTTAGTAGGTAGCTGCATTTTGTGGGAGGCAGGGGGAGTGTACACAGAAGATTGGCAAATGGCACCCCAGTGATGACATCATCATTCTGGCAATGGCATAAGGGGCGTAGACTTCATATTTGCCCGTCCCTGCTGCACTGCTCCGAAACAGTGGTACTACTACTTTCAACTTACCTTATGGCAGACCTGCTAAAACATTTGCCCATCATCACAGTAAATTAAGCAGATGTGAGCTCTGCATTCTGCCACCTTGGTTTAGGACTGCCAAGTTACAGATCCCGACAACCATAGAGTTGTTCATGAATCCCTGAAATAATCTCTCTATTCCCAAAAGAGTTCTAGCCCACAAAAGCTTTGCTGCGCGCCTTTCTCCCAGCTGCTCTGCGGAGAGGAAAAGGGTAAGGTCTGCCTTGGAGGAGATTCCGTGAGGTGACTTGCTTCTGTATTGGGGATGGAGACATACAACGGATCCCTCTCAAATGCTTTCCCTGCCTCAGGTCAGTGACATTTTGAGGGAATCATGGGCATAAGTAATAACGGAAAAATGGCCTTTCTGAATCAGGCTAAATATCCATTTAGTGCAGGGGGTAGATAGCGTTTGTTCTGCCAGGGCCACGTTCCCTCAGGGGTAATCCGTTGGGGACTGCATGTCAGTGGTAAGCAGGACCAGAGTGAAATGTGGATGGGGCCATCTCTCTCTCTTTCACCTCTTTCCATCTCCTCCCAGCCTAATCAGGGGCCTGTTGAGGAAGGGATAGATAGCCCATGCAGGAGTTCACAATGGGTCATTTGCAGAGGGCTTTTGAAATTAGACTGAGCGCCCCCCCCCCCCGCCATTTTCCTAGATCGCCCACCCTTGATTTAGTGGACCAGTCCTCTGTCTGTAAACCTTGGCCATCCAGATGCCCTTGAGAAGCTTGCAAACAGGCCATGATGGCGATAGCCCAGCCCATTTGGCCTCAGTATCTAGTAGCCAGAGGCATTCCCACTGCCTCTGAATGTTTCTCTGTCACCTTTGGGCCTGAGAGGCTGGGGTTTGGGCCTACACCTTCCCCAGAGAGAGCAGCAATAAAGAGACGTCAGGCAAAGTCACTGGTGACCCGAGGGCACCATGTACTGGAGCTGAAGTACTTGAGCAAAGGATCAGCGTGTTCTAGTTCACTCTCCCCTCTCTGTGTCCCCCCCTCCAAGAGTGGCTTTGCAGAAAAGAAGACTTTTCTCTCAGTTGTGCACAGTGCAGAGTTTCCTTCCAGCAAGGTCAAGGTTGGTGCTGGTGGGACCCATGGAATTGCTGTGTCTCCTCTGCCTGCCCCCTTTGTTCAGCAATCACATGTTTTAGTTTTGGGATGTCTGCCTCTGCCTCAGTTAGTCTGTTTTGCTGATCCGAGGGGAGCTGGGCAAAGCCAAGAGGGAGGCCGAATGCTGAATCAGCCATCTGGCTCTGGGAAACAGATATTTACCCCTGATCCCACGGCTGGTCAGATGCCAGCCACTGAAAAGTGGGTTTCCGCTGGCCAGCCACAGGGAGCAAAGCTCTGGGGATATTTGGCTTTGAGGGGGTGAAATCCCTTGTTTCCTGCATGAAATGACAGTTATTGGGTGTTTGTGTTGCTCCCCCAGCTGTGTTTCCTCCACTATTTAGAGTTGTAGTCAGGAGAGGAACCAATATTTCAGGTTGGGGAAAACGTTGTTGGTGGGGGTTTTTGTGATTCTCCTTAACTGGGTGCCTGGTGTGTATTTGAAAGTTTTACATGTGTAAATTGCTTTCCTATCAATCTGCCTCTTCCATGTTTTCAAGTGATCTTATGATTGGCTAACATAAGAACCAAGCCTCAAATTCCCAGCAGATATGAATTAACAATGATGAACACCGCTCTGTTACCACACATACATACAATCAATGCGGGAACGGGACTGCATAGTTAGTCCCCCTAACTTTACCTATTATCTAACTATACAGACAAACAAATTAATAGCTCACACAAAAACATCTTCCCAGAAAACAGCAACTCAAGGGTGGTGGCAAGGCAGGAAGGTTTCCATGGAGACAGGCCCTATTAATCCTGTTAGTAATCTACCCCAGTTCCAGCAGCTTAGAAGGGGGCAGCTGGTGCCTGGCTGTTATCAGCTTGGCACTTTCCCCCCTGACAGAGCCTTGGTGGGTTCTGTTCTCATGTATTGATTACCCACTTGGGTACCACGGTGCAGAAAGGCCTAATAATAAAATGTTTGTCTCTAAAACTGCAATGTACCTGGCACCATGGGTCAGCCTCCCCATTTTACATCAGTTTATCTGTCGCAAGCATCTTCCATGTGCACAGATCAAAATTTCCTGATGTTTCTAGTCAGGACACAGGAGTAGATTGGAAATATCTCCCAGTTTTCATCTTTCACTTCCGCCTTCCAAGCGGTGCTGAAAGGTGCCAGTGGCTCATCTTCTGTGTATATGTTGGACATGCAACGTCCCCCAAGGGTCAAAGATCTGCCCTAGATATGGGCCAAAACCATGTAGCCATACCTGAAGAATCTTCTTTCCCAGTTAACCCCCCGCCCTGATTCCACAGGGTTGGAAAATGGGGATTGTTCCTTGTACTGAACATCATGGGTGATCCTTCCGAGGCATCTTGGGCATCTTCACAAACATGTCCTATGAAGCAGGTCACACCGCAACAGAAGGCAAATAAGGTAGAGTGTGATGCTGCCATTCAAAAAATTGCTTTGACTTTTTACACTGATTTTAGATTACCACCAATAAAGCAGGCAATGCAGCAGCTATAGCTTCCCTTGACCGTTCGTACTCTAAGCAACCATCCACCACAACCACCTGCGTAGCAAGCAAAGATTCCAGGTGTGCTGCACAGCAGGTTAGTTGATGTGGGGAGACCCCCCTCTCAGACTCACTGATGTGGTCCAAAGGAAAGGACAGCAATACATTTGGCACCAGCTTGGCTGCAGGAGTTTCTGGAAGGAGGCATACAAGGCTCCATCCAACCGCCTTAGGGACTCCACTCTGAATTTGTGTAGGGTTTACTCCTCAGCCTTTCCTTCTCCTGAAGACATTCCACAAGGCAGTGGAGGTTTAGGATCAGAATTTTCCGTTTCCTAGATGGGCTATCTTCCCAGATTGATGAGCCCCATCTGCCTCTTGCTTCCCTCTACTACAGCATGTGCAGAAACCACCTTCTTGACTGTTGTTCCCACTATTGGTCTCGTTCACTCAATTTGCTAGAGGCTGTCTTCGTATGTAGGTCCTTAACTCCCCAAGGTTTTGAGACCATCGGCTCCCCTCACCTGTTTTAGCTGACCAGTCGAAGCTATTTCCCAGGGTTTGATGGCTGTCACATGCTGACTGCTTCTAGGAGCCACAGTGCAGGGTGGGGACCAAAGGTGAACAAACTACCCCAGAAAGAGCACAACGTGCCTCCCACCAGCAATGGCTGCCTATTCTATTTTTCCCTCTCCAAGGATATTTATGTGTGTTTCTGTTGCAGGAAATTCTGTCACTGAAGAAAAAATAGATCCAGACCAACTGCTCTGCTCTGGGGGTTTTGAGTGCCCCTCTAAAGCAGTGTTTGGCCAAGACCTGCTTCCTCTTTGAAGCCTGGTGTGTTGGGAATAAATGACCCTACATCCCAGGCAATAGGGGAGGGCCTCAACGGGGTTGCATTCAAATTCTTGTGTCAGTAAGCCCCTCCCACTCTGCATCTCTGAGCGGCAGCCAGCTGCCCTAGGGGACAATAGGACTGGAAATGGCTTTGATGTCTGAATGGAGGGATGGGCCCCCAGGGAGCTGTATAGTTAATGATTGTGCAAGGAGGTAGGAAGAGCAATATGTTCTCAGGATGTTTCTTGGATGCCCCTTGACCCTCTTGTTATTCTCACACCCCCTCCTTACTCTCTGCAATTTCCCTGTAGAGGTGTCAGTTTGGAGAAAAGGATGTCCTGAGCTGAGCCTTCCTGCTGTCTCAAAGCTGGAGACAGGAAAATTTCACTGCACTAACTGAGCTCTTCTTTGGACTTCATTCCCAGGCAGAGGTGGATTTAGGGGATCGCGACTGGTTGCACTGCACTGGACACTGAGCCTAGGGGATGCTACAGGGTACCATAAATGTGACATAGTGAATTGAGCAGAACGGAAGGCGAGAGGCAAAGGGCGCTGAATTCTGGCCTGACACAGGGTGCCACTGAAATTCGAAAGACCCAAGTCTAGCCCAGTCCTATGTTTCCAAAAGTTCTGAAAGTTTAATGCCCCCATTTGGGGTGGGGGAGAAACTGGATTCAGTTTGCACTTAAAGGTGAACCTATCAGATGTGCACTTTCTGAAGCAGTTCACACACCGGAAGAAAATTCACACTTCTCCAAATTTTGCAGTGCTGTTCTTTAGCCAAGTAGTGTGTAAAGAAATGCATCTACTAGGGTGATATGTGAACAAAAATGCTTGCATTAATGAAAATAACTTATAAAAATGCACTGTAGTAGGCAGTGTTATTTTTCTAGAAAAAGAGGTGCCAGAACTCACCACGAACTCTTTCCTCATTCTCTTAGAATGGCAATGGCACCCACCAGAGAGGAGCAGGTCAAGTCCAGAGCAAAACTCCTTTTCAGAAGGGTAATTGCAACATCAAAGGTGGATATAGGGGAGCGCAACCTGTTTGGTCGCACTGGGTGCAGGGCTTCATGGGCGCCACAACTATGAAGTCCAACGGAAGGCGGGGGGGAGGATTTTGGTGTTGCATTTTGCTGCTGGATGTGCAAAGGGACAGGCTGTAGTACAGAGGGGAAACTTTGCTCCCCCAGATGTTACTAATCATCCTTGGTCATTCACCATGCTTGCTGGGGCTGATGGGAATTGTTGTGCAGCAACATCCGGAAGGCCAAATGTTCCGTACACCTACTGTAGCAGCTTTGCCACGGATGCGGTATGTCCCTATTTGTACAAGGGTGACAAAAGGTAACCCAAAACTGAGGGCTCATCCACATTTCCACTTTCCCTGGGGAAACCTGGTGCTTGCTGCCAAGTCAGAGCAAACATCAATCAAGTTTTCTCTCCCCGATTTAGAGCTAAAGAGCAGTTTATGGGGGGAAAGTGGCAGGGCAAATGCAAAACCGCTCACACTTATGCCTAGAAAGCACAGGAGAAGCTGAAAACTACTTGGACCCGTGCTTTCTAGGCACAGGACCAGCGGAAGTGTGGACTCTGAGGGAGCAGGAGCTGAGCTGATACGGAACCTCTTTGTGCAAAATTTCCATCCTGGCTCAGCAGATGAATGTAGCCAAGCTGCAACTAAGGCCTTGGAGATGGGGGAAGGTGGGGGGCGCTGAGAGGATTAGGGGACAGAGGAGGGTGAGTCTGCTCATGAGCTAGGATGGGAATCTCAAGCCAGGCTGGCCGGGCTGCTTGGCTCAGACACGCAGAGGCCAGAGGCTGACTAATTTCCCCAGCTTTGTGGCTCAAAATAGAAAAACTTGAAACATTGACCCTTCACCCATCTAAAAACAGCTGTTGGCGCCATGGGAGCTGGATTCCACAAGGCCCAGGGCCCAGCTCCAAACTTCTGCACTCCCTTTAGCTTCCAAGCCCAGTGATGCTGTGCGATAAGGAGCCGGGCCCAGAACCATCAGGCACCAGTTCTCAAGGAGACGTTGGGCCAAACATCCATCATAGCTGTGGTCTGGCACAGGCTCGTAGGGGGTGGGGGAGCGGGTTTGATGGTCTCCACTCTCTTCCTGTGGCTCTGAATAGAATCTGCAGCCAGCATTCCTCAGTAACATTTCCAGCGCTCAGGAACAGTGATCGAGGCTGGAGGCAGGCCGCGGTTTCCCGCCCCCACCCTGACCCAAGAGTTGGAAGTGGCTTGAAAAATGGGTTGCTGCTGCTGATTTGTTGCCCCTGAAAATAGGTTCTGAAGAGCCCCCCCCCCCCCCGTTTTTAAAGCCCGTTAGATTGGAGCAGCACAGGAGTGGGGTGGATCTATCCATGGAAAACGATGCGTCTTTCATGCTGCTTCCAAATCTTTGCAGGAGGACTATAGCTCAGTGCGCAGTAAAGTACATGCAAAATTGTAAGCCCTGGCTACACATGGTCTCCTAGCTAGTCCACCTAGGGTAACTTGAGCCACACAGGATAATGCTGGCAGTACCAGGGATTCAGGGGGCAAAACAGCCACAAAGTCATAGGTGGAGAGGTATTGTCAAAGCAAGAAGCCCAGAATAAAATTTAAGATATTAACTGATGCAAAGGAAAGAGGTGGGTTTGCCCTGCCAGACTTTAAACTTTATTATGAATCAGCAGCTTTTTGCTGGTTGAAAGAATGGCTACTTCTTGAAAATACAGACATTTTGGATCTAGAAGGTTTTAACAACGTATTTGGATGGCATGCATATTTATGGTATGATAAGGTCAAAGCACATAAAGCATTTAAAAATCATATTGTCAGGAAAGCACTGTTTAATGTTTGGATAAGATACAAGGATTTATTGGAAAATAAAACCCCAAGGTGGTTGTCACCGATGGAAGCGAAAGCTCTGAAAAGGCTCAATATGGAGGCCAAATGGCCGAAATATTGGGAAATTTTGGAATAAGAAGGAGACAAATTGAATTGCAGAGTTTCGAGAAACTAAAAGACAAAGTGAGAGATTGGCTTCATTATTATCAGATAATGGAGGCTTATAATTTGGATAGAAAAATTGGCTTCCAGGTGGAAAAATCAAAACTAGAAACAGAACTGTTAGAACCCAAAACTAAGAATTTGTCAAGAATGTATAACTTGCTGTTGAAATGGAATACTCAGGATGAAACGGTGAAATCTGCTATGATTAAATGGGCACAAGATGTTGGACATAATATTATGTTTGCTGACTGGGAACAGTTATGGACCACAGGTATGAAGTTTACGGCATGTAATGCCCTAAGAGAGAATATTATGAAAATGATATACAGGTGGTACATGACCCCAGTCAAGCTTGCAAAAATCTATCATTTGCCCGACAATAAATGCTGGAAATGTAACGAAACTGAAGGTACATTCTTTCACCTTTGGTGGACGTGCCCAAGGATTAAGGTTTTCTGGGAAATGATATATAATGAACTGAAAAAGGTATTTAAATATATCTTCTTGAAGAAACCAGAGGCCTTTCTTCTGGGCATTGTCGGCCAATTGGTGCCAAAGAAGGACAGAACTTTGTTTATGTATGCTACAACAGCAGCAAGAATACTCATCGCAAAGTATTGGAAGACACAAGATCTACCCACTTTGGAAGAATGGCAGATGAAGGTGATGGACTATATGGAATTGGCAGAAATGACTGGCAGAATCCGAGACCAGGGAGAAGAGTCGGTGGAAGAAGATTGGAAGAAATTTAAAGACTATTTACAGAAAATTAATGAATGATAGAATGATGTTGGATAGTAATTAAGCGGTTTCCAGCTGTAATGCTCTAAGAGAATATGAAAAAAGGGTTATAAATGGGTTAAAATCTAAGGGTAAGGATTTGCTGAACCAATAAATTGAAGTGGAATACAAAAAAGGGAGGTACAAGGAGGTCCGGGAAACAAGCTAAAGGAAAATAAGTAATAGAAAATACGTGTGTTTTTTAACTGTTTTTATTTTGTATTTTTCTCTTTTCTTTTTCCATTTTTACTGTAATATTTTAAAAAACCTTAATAAATATCTTATTAAAAAAAAAATCAAAGCAGCTGAGTTGATTTTAATGCCAGACAGATCCCTGGAAGGTGTTGAAAACAGACTGTCCTATCATTGTGTCTGTAAAGAGACTTTGGACCTCCTCCACATGTTTAGACAAAAGACAGCAGACTTATGCCTTGATAGGATGGCTCTGTGTGAACTTTGCTTTCACAATATTGATCTGATTTGTTGGCAAGCCCAGCACAGCCTGTCCTGGCATAGAGTAGCACTGCCACATCTTTATAGAGTTTTCATAGAATCAGAATTGTAGAGTTTGTCTAGTCCAACTCCTTGTAACGCAGGGATTTAGGATGCCTTAGGCAGAACCTGAAGACTAGGCACCCCAAATTCTATGGCACATAGTCTGGCTTTCTGTTAAAAACGTTCAGGGATTGACAGACAGATATATTCAGAGCTGGTTACCAGAGGTCTGTCTTATCACAGGCTTGAACATCATGCAAGATTGTGCAGGCATATCTTGTACATATAGGTTAGGATTATTCGCTAGTCAGAAATGTAAGTTTTCAGTTACTGTTGTGTCAAAGACATACGTGAGCCTCAATTAATGGTGATTTGTACACAGAGTTATGTGTAAAACATGAGTCCCTTGGCAGCCTGGTTCCTTGTAACACACACATTTCTCAAGGAGACATGAAGTCAGGGATGAGGAACCTGTGGCTGTCCAGATGTTGATGGACTCCAACTCCCATCAGGCCCAGCTTGCATTGCCCATGATCAAGGATGAAGAGACTTGTAGTGCAGCAACATCTGAAGTGCTACATGTCTTAACATCCCTACGTTAAGGAGAATGAGCCAGCTCATCCTGGCTGTGAATCCTGGAAGACCTGCCCCCTGCCTTGCAGGTCTTTTTCCACCTGGCCTGGGAGGAGAGGGCCCTGACTGACCCCAGCTACAAAAGCTGAGGCTGCCAAACAGACTGTTGCGCTGGGGTTTTGTTTAGAGGGGGAGGGAGGTTGTTGCTGTTATTGATCTTTATTTCTTACAGTTTTATTTTAGACACAGGAATGCCAACAACAATGAAATCTTTTAGATCTTACGATAATTGTGGAAACTGTTTAATTTCGTTAGTGCACTTTTTATTGTTTACAACTACTTTTGTTATGTTTGTAATTAGGTGGGGTTTTTTCCATGTTGTGAGCTGTCTTGAGCATGGTTTTAACTATGGAAAGGCAGCATACAAATAAAATGATGAGATGAGCCCCGAGACACGTGCTTTGCCATGCCCTGTATAATGCTATGGTTCTCTGCCAAGGTATGAACATGTAGTTGAAAAGGGCACAGTGCAGTGTACGATGTACTTTCTTCTGAGAATATAAGTTCTGTAACAAACTCTTTGGTCCTTCTGCATCGTGCACATAGCACTTGCAGGTTTATTTTTCCAGCTGGTCTCTATCACTGTGTCCCAATTTCTATGCTGCTTGAATCCTGGTAGGCTGAGCAGGCCCTTACTTGTCATCCCACCAATCTCTGGGCTTTCTTACCTAGTGTATGTCATAAAGTGGTGATAGAAATTATGTTCAATGAGTTTCCTAGTCTCAGTCGATGCAAATTTGCCGTCCATGCTCTGGAGTCTCTTACTGGAGATAGTGTGGACATGGGCTGCCCTCTGGTGTTCAGAAATTAATAAATCTTCTATTCCCCCCCCAACACGTTTTTGTTTATTTTTTCCTTTTGGGGGAGCATGCACAAGATACTAACATGCTCAAATTAGGCCTGTGATCTTGGCATTCCTTTCCTACAATTTGAGCGGCCATGGGCTTGGCCACAGGACAACAGCTTCCCTAGCTCTGTGAGCATTCAAAACCACACCTTCCCCCTCAAGAATAATGCAGAGGGTGTTGCCTGGAGCTGAAGAATATGGGCTGTAGGGCGGAGGTGGGAGAAACATGCCAGTGTTCTGTGAGGAAGATGGAAGTGAGGAGGAGAAATGTGAAGTGTTCAGGGGAGAAGGCAAGACAAAGAGCATGAAAACAGTCTTAGTGGAGATGAGGGGTAATCAGCTGGACCAATCAATGTCAGGTAGCACTAAAATCCCAGGTAGCATTTCCTCAGAAATGACAGTACCCATATTGGACAACTGACAAATTTCCTTTGTTGGAAATTTGATTTATTTTATGGTGGGTAAATGACACAGACATATCTGACTTTAAAAAAAACAAAACTCTGAAATACTCACTGTCTAGTCTAGCAGAATTGCGCACACGCACACGCACGCACACACACATGCTTACACACATACACAGAGCAGATCAGTAGCTGCAGAGAAAGACACTGTACCCCCATCCATCCCCCCCACCCCCACAAAAGGCAGCTGCATAGGTTTTGGCTTTGTGAAACTGCCATCTCAGGCTTGCTAACGCATGTGGTTTTGGATCCAGTCAAGATAGTGAGTGACTCTGGTATAGACCCCAGGCTTGTTCTCCAGTGCACAGCCTGTGCCCCAGCTGATGATGCCATATAGCGTGGCCTTGCCTTGCTCATCACACACCAGGGGTCCACCAGAATCTCCCTGCAACACAGAAAGCAGGGGTGTGAATACATAGGCAGAGGCCAGAATCAAACCCATCCGCATCCCACTTCACATTTTGTTATTGAGATCAACACTTAGAATAATAGAATCATAGAATTGTAGAGTTAGAAGGGACCACAAGGCTCATCCGTCCAACTGTTGCGATGCAGGAATCTCAGCTGCAACATCCGTGACAGATGACCATTCATTCTCTGCTTAAAAACCTCCAAGGAAGGAGAGTCCACCACCTTCCAAGGGAGACCAGTCTTGTTACAAATGCCTCTGGTACTTCAAACAGGGAAGGTACAGAGATTAATAGCAGAGCATAGGAAGAGCATGGGGGTAGGAGGAACAGAACATAAATTCAAGGTTTTAGCCTTCCTAATGGGCCGGTATCTGCCTTCTGATGTATGCCACCTTGAACTGCTTGGAGAAAAAGGTGGGATCAGGGGTACAAGCCCCACCCTGCATAGTCAATCACATGATGCTGCGCACGCACACCTTTTGAACGGCAATGGCTCCTCAAATATTTTATTGGGGGGGGGTTAAAGGGACCTTGGCCCCTAGGAGTTGGCTCCTATGGGTGGAATATAAATGCAATAAATGAATAAATTTGCAAACATGAATGCTTGTCTCCACCACAAAGCCTGCTCTGTTCTGTGTGCCAGAGATCTCCCTGTGCTGCCGGTAATTCAAAATAGTCTCACCTGACAAGCATCAGCTCTTCCATCCATGTACCCAGCACACAACATGTCTTCTGCAATGTGGGTCCCATGGACCTCTTCAGAACGACACTGCTCATGAGGAATGATAGGCATATCTGCCTCCTGCAGGTACACAGAGAGTTTGTCGGCTCCTGCCGGGAAAGAAGAGGACCCCAGTGAACCAATCCATCCAAACACACAATCCAAGTTTGGCCTTGTGGCCATTGAAAAAACTGGGCATCCTGAGACCTCACGAGTCCGCTGCCAATCCCAAACAATCCGCTGACAATCCCAAACAATCCCTCTTGTAAGGAAGAGTTTAGCTGTGGGCTGCCTTTGCTGATCAGTGAAAAAACCCTGCTCAATATGGTAGATCAAGATGGAAAAGATGCTAAGGAATTGTAGGCACCATCTGGCACCTTGTTTATCCTCCTCCAACATGAGTGGGGATTTCAAAAATGGCTGATAAGGGAGGGGCAGGGAAGAATATGAGACAGCATCATGCCCTCCCTCTCTGTGGGAACAGGTGGCCAGCCAGCAGGCGTGGATGTTTAAGGGAAGGATAATAAGGCCTGCTTAAATATCATGTCTTCATCTGACCACTCCCTTCTCACCTTCATACATATGTCCCCATCCTGCGATCTGGCATGGCTTGCTGGTGTCAAATGTCTCTGTTGAATTTGGTAGGCACACTGGCAAGATGGAGTGTGACAACTCAGCACAGTGTCCTGGCGTCTTCTCCTTCAATCGCACCAGTGCTGGGGAGAGTACAAGAGAGCAGGTTAGAATTGGGGCTCAGGGATGAGGTTTGCAGGGGTGGGCGGGCAGACAGGTAGGAGTGGATGAAAGCCTTGTCTTCCTTGATCGACTCTGGACTGGGGCTGGGAAAAGAAACTTAGAATGAAGACTCCCACCACCAGGGCGGGTGAGCAGACTTCTGGCCCACCATAATCCAATATCACATTTTCCACTCCCTCCTGGGGCAGCATGGCATGGTTCATGGCAGAAATGGTCAACCTGTGGCCTTTCAAATATTGCTGGGCTCCCAACTCCCACCAGCTCCAGCCAATTGTCAGGGATGATGGGAGATGGAGTCCAACAACATTTGGAGGGCCTCAGGTCCCCCAGCACCAGATTAGGGCCTTGCAGTTCATGTCCTTGAGCGATACACACAAGTCTGGAAAGACTAACTAGGGGCTCTTCTGGGTGGGTCTTGGTGAGGTCGAATGCCATATAGAGCCCCCAAAATGTTTCATGAGCAACTTGGGCAGCGGAGATTGGACTGGTTGTTGTGGCCAACGAGGGCTCAGGCAAGTCTGGCTACCTTGTGGTTATGAGGGGGTGCAGGACATAAAAAAGGCTCTCACCAATGTCATGGCGTTTGGTGATCTCAGAATAATGCTCATGCAGTAGATAATTCTGTACTTGGAACTTCACGGAGCCATCTGTGCTTCTGTTGTATTGGGTCTGGCCCAGCACCACTGAAATCTTGGAAACATCTGGCCTATGGTACAAGATCTGTGGTCAGCAGAGTCTTTCATGGCTCAGAAGAGGATTCTCCAGATTTTAGTGTAGCCAACATGGTTTTCTCCAGATGTTGTTGGACTCCCAATTCCTATCAGCTCCAGCCAGCATGTCCAACGGCCAGGGAGGATGAAAGTGGTGGTCAAACAACATGTGGAGGGACGCAGGTTTCCCAACAATCCTATGCACACTAACTTGGTAGTATTTCTCACTGAACTTAGTGAGACATGTCTCATTGAACAGGCATAGGATTGGGCCACATAACATGGGATGCAGTGGGGGGGGGGGGAGAGCTTTAACGAGTGACCATCAATAAATTAACCACTCTGTCATCTCCATCAAGCTGATAAGGATTTCTACCATCATTCCAAACTCTGGCCTAATGTACCTCAGTGGGGCAAGCTAGCCACAACCTAACTTTCACTGATTTCATTGTGCACTATGTTCAAGTAGCCTGGAACCAGCCCAGTGTCAGTGGACTTTGGGATGGATGGTAAGACTTACCTGAACTCTAGGCAGTGTGCAGCTGTCAGGACCCAGCAGGAAGAAATGAGGCTTCCTCCACAGAATTGATCCCCTATGTAGATGGCAGCCATGTAGGGGTGGGAGCCACGAAGTGCCACCATGCCTCTCACTACACGACTGCGTGAGGAGGTGGTGGTCTTGGGAAAGCGCAGCCCACACACTGGAGCTGGGATGGGGACAGTTTGGCTTGGTCCAGCTGTTGGCCTGACGCTCTCAGGCTTCTTGGGAGCCATTGACTCTCTTTCCAAAGATGCCAGAGGTACTGCTGCCGTTGGTGCCATGGTATCTGGGGAGAAAACAGTTTAGCTCTCATTCATGTCAGGTTCAGCCACACACGCCATTTCTTCCAGAGCGAATGGTATGCCTCACCTGTATATTGGGGATGGCAGCTGGTGATATTGCAGAATTCCCAGCTGAGCTGCATATTGCGCAGCACATAACACCATGGGCGGCTGTCACCGTCTGGGTTTCTGCACAAAGAAAAGGCCCAGTCCTCTCTTAAGCAAGGGCAATGCTCAGCAACCTTGCTTCAATAATAATAATAATAATAATAATAATGATAATTTTATTGTGTGTATCTCCCATCTGTCCCCTGTCCATGTGCCAGCTGCATTCCTTTACCTCACCTCACCCCCTAGCATTTCAATTTCCTTTCATCTGCTCTACTTCTTGGATGTTAGTTGTGGCGCTTTCCATACCTGGACACTTTCCCCCAGATGCCCTCTGAACCAGTGCCAGACCAAGGCATTTTGCTGCCTGAGGCAAAAGCCAATATGGTGCTCCTCTCCCACTTCCAAAAGCCATCTGGAATCACAGCTGCTGAATTATACTTCAGCGCTTACAACAGGACAGTATCTGCTGCTGCACCTAAGGGGTTCAGCATAGTGTAGGAGGCACAGGGCAGACGGTATGTGGCACAGACTACTCTGTCCTTCAATCCCATGCCACCACTCCCTGACTCCCACCCCCAACATCTGCTGCCTGAGGCAGCTGCCTTACTTTGTCAATTGATAGAGCCGGTGCTGCCTCTCACTAACATTTCCTGTGTTCTGTCACAAGCATCCCCATTTCCCATGCTAAAATATATCTCACCTGCAAAACGCGTGTGGCCCCAGGCCAAAGAGGGACGAGTTGTTCATACTGCTGGAGTACTCATTTAACAGGAATGGGGAGTCCCAGGGGAGGCACGGTGCCCCTGAGACAGTGTAGTGGGCCATGCCTCGGTATAGCCGCCCATTCTCTCTGTAGCAGGTTTGCGTGTGCTCTAGGGAATAAAAAGACCAGGGACCCTCAGGTGCTTTGGAAAAAAGGTTAGGCTTTGAATAAGGTAATATTTTTATGCCCCTGTCTACCCTCTCCAAAGAGAACAGCCCCTTCTCACTATTGCATCAGGGGTGAGGAATCTATGTTTCGGTTCAAGGGCCACATACAATGTTCAGAATTGAAGAATAGGACATTAAGTACCATATTTTTTGCTCTATAAGACTCACTTTTTCCCTCCTAAAAAGTAAGGGGAAATGTGTGTGCGTCTTATGGAGCGAATGCAGGCTGCGCAGCTATCACAGAAGCCAGAACAGCAAGAGGGATTGCTGCTTTCACTGCGCAGCGATCCCTCTTGCTGTTCTGGCTTCTGAGATTCAGAATCCCCCCCCCCTTGTTTTCCTCCTCCAAAAACTAGGTGCGTCTTGTGGTCTGGTGCATCTTATAGAGCGAAAAATACGGTATGTGACGGAAGTAACTTTACCCGGTGTGCATCTTTTTATTATTTTTTTGCCAACAGCAGCAGTTCCCATTTTCCATTTCATTAGCCAACACTGGTTTTCAAAGTTGGGCAGTTTTAAACATGCATACATGCAAACTGATATATTTTCCTACTTTACTATTTTTGATATGAGTTTCATGGTGCATTTTATTCTGTTGTAAACCACTTAGAACTGTAAGATTTGTAAGTGTGATTCTTAAATATTTTAAAAATAGAAGCATACCTATATCGCACAGTGGCCCAGAAAACCCTTCAGGGCAGCTACACACCGAGCTGTGCTTCACTTCTAGGCAGCGGCCTCCATTCATACAAGGGTTTGTTGCGCATGCTGTGGGCCAGAGAAAGTGATATAGATCACAGGAAGTTGCCTTGTATGAGGTCAGACTGTTTTGCCCCATGTAGCCCAATATTGCCTTACTCAGCTCTGACTGGCAGCAGCACCAGTCTAGGCTCTTTAAGCAGGGATCTTTTATAGCAGACAGGAGTGCCTGGCGTGCTCTGGTCCATGGGGTCACGAAGAGTCGGACCAAACTAAACGACTAAACAACAACAACGCCAGGGATTGAACCTGGAACCCTCTGCATTCAATGCATCTGCTCTGCCAATGAGCTATAGACCCTCAGAGACAACTGAGAGCAAGGTCTGGCTCAAGAATTAACAGTGCAGTTGAGACTCCATCAGTCTAGTATCTGCTTAACAGCCTACTCCTTCCCTTCCCTGCTATGATGTTTTTGACCTGCTGACCCATCAACTAAGGAATAATCCTATCTCTCCTCGTTCCATATACAGTGTGACAGCTGCATTCCTTGTGCTCTGTCATGACAAGATTACCTCTCTATGCCCATCTTTCATCTTTGCCTTGTGCATTATGAGACAAGTCCACCACCTATAATGCAGGCACCAGCATTGCTGGGTCCCCAGAAGCCATTCTTCCTAATTCCAAATGCATGGGAGTTGGCTTTGGTTTGGGCCACCCATACAGCACATTTGTTTTAGTTTTAACGTTTCAGGTCCAATGACTGGCTTCTGCTTCTGTCCATGCCTTTAAAAGTTGTTTCATCTGCAGCGGTTAGCATGAGACACTGCTTATTTCCAAGCTGTGAAAGGATTCGGTGATAGAGATATGAATATCAAGCAGCTTTTATAGTCACAGAGGCAGGAGGGAACATGTTTTTCTAAGAGTGGAATTTTGGGGGGAGGAAAGCAGCAGGACAAGAGGAAGCATGGATGAGCCCTCAGACTCAAGTCTCGCATTGAAAACAGTCTCTGGTGAAATTCCCTGTGAGCCATGGCTCTAATGTGTTATGATTTCTTTAAAATTGTGTTTTGATTAAAATAATACATATTGTGTTGGGCTTAAAATGCAGGACTATGATCTCTGTGGGTTGAAGCCAGAACATGTTAGTTGAACTTAGTTCCCATTGAAATCCATTGGCAAATAGTCAAACATCACTCATTCTATTGATTTCAATGGAACCTAAGTTCAACCAAGGTTGCAATCCTGTACCAACTTTCCTGGGAGTAAGCCTCACTGGAAATCAATGAAACTTACATCTGTGTAGGCATATATAGGAATGCACTCTTAACATAGACTGGATCCAATCTCATGTACCATTACTATATTGCAGGCTCTAGGGATGATGAGGATATTGGAGTAAGAACCCTCATTACAACAATACAAAGATACCTCCTTGGAGGAGTTTATATTTGTTTTGATAAGGTTCAAAAGATTATAGGAGTTCTAATCATTTTAAAATTACAGTGGCTGCAGCCAAGGATGGGCATGAAAAGACTTCGTCTCAAGCCTTTTAGATGCAGCATCGCTGGGATACCAAGGACCTAACTAAACATTACATACAGATGCATGTAACAAAATGCTAGCAGCCTTTTTTTCATTTTTCTAAAGGAAAAGGTGCTCCCGGAGCCCCTGGAACAGAAAAATAACAGGCAGGCAAAGAAAGGTTTGTGCATCTCCCTGCAACACCCCCATCCTCCACTCCAAATCAAAGTTTCCACAAGCACCTTTTCTGGTTTTGTTTGGTTTTTAATTATTGAAGATTTGTTACATGCACTTGTGTGCAATGCTTAATTTTATCCAGTGAAAAATCAGAAATCTAGATATGATATAGTGAGCAATACTCAGTGATGACACTTTGTGTTGTCTGTCTTTGTCGAGGAAGTGAAATAGAAACTATTACCCTTGTTGATAGTTATTTCAAATGAAGCCCAGGCAATGTAGTGACCACACAGGGTAGTCTTATCCCATCTGTCTGCCTTGTTTTGCCCCACCCACCCCTCCTCACTTTATGTCAACTTCTGCTCAGCTCTGACCCTTTCCATGCATGGGTTTGCAGACAAGCTTCTTCCTTGCGCAATGGCACTCCTCTGGTCCAGTAGGCCGGTGCCGCACCCAGGTGTCCTTCCTGCCAATGTGTTGCAGTCCTTTAGTTCCAAAGCAGTCTTCTGCAAAATAAAATGATGGGGTGTTATGGACCAGAGCACAGATAGGAGCTGTGGTTCAAAACATCTGAAGGGCATCAAGTTGGCAAAGGTTGATTCATGGGTGTGAAAACAGCCAGGTCACCATATGTGCCAATATGATGTCATGGTCCTTAATAATCTCCATACTGAGTTTTTATGTACCAGGAGTAAAAAGAGTTACCCAACCTAACACTGTGAGGTTCTGGAGGTCCACCAGCCCCTTTCGTAATGGAGGCATGGCTGTCAGCCATGTTGCTTGATGTTCTCAGTCTCAGGCAAGAGACATGAGATCAGGTTTGCTCCAGAGTAAAGACCTTTTTAAGTTGACCAGGGTGCCGGGGAGAGAGGGCAGATATCCAAGGCCAGGTCTCCATGTGCTATAGTTCCAGGAACCAGCCTCAGATACCTTTCTCACAGTGTTTCCCATGGAAGCCAGCTGCACAGATACAATGGAATCCCATTCGCCTAGCTTCACAGTCCCCACCGTTCTGGCATGGGTTAGGGTCACAGTGTCCTGCCAAAAAATAAATAAATCGAATAGTCAGTAATGGCTGGAAGTCTCAGGCTTTGGGCTATGTTGGGGATAGAGAATTTTTTTCAGTCCAAGAGTTATGTTCTCTTCAGAGGGTTGAACTAGATGATCCTCAGGGTCCCTGCCAATTCTACAATTCTGTGATTCTGTGAAGGTCACATGCCAGTGGTGAGTGGGAAAAGTGGCTGGAACAAATGAATTTTGCCCTTAGTATAGTAGGTTGGCTTCTACACACATTCACACACCCCTCGCTATCCTCCATCCAGACAAGCAAGAGGCGTTCTCGGAGTTCAAGGGCACATTTAAGCCGGGCAAAAACACAGAGTGTGAAGGAGGGATTGTGAGGGGTTTGACTTAGGGAGAGCAGGTGTGGCTTAGCCCAGGAAGAGCCCTGAGGGCTGAGGATAATTCTGTGTTTGGCCAGTGGGCCTGAGCTTTTCAGCCCATGGGCTACGTGGATGTTGGAGTAAGGCCTGGCTGCTGCATGCTGCTGGTCGTAAAGACTGGCAGCGCTGGAGGCTGTACAAATTTATTTCTTGCTTTCTTGAGGACCAGCATCACTTTAGGCTAAACAACCGGGGGTGGGGGCGCTTGCACACCCTGGTGAAGCTTCTCCCCTCACTGCCTGCTGTGGTTCGAACGGATTCTTTCATTCCCACTTCCCCCTACCGACTCACCTCTTGGCCTCTCCTCTTTCCCACAGTACCTCCATTTCCCATCTCGGTCGAGGTTCTCTGTGGTGGCGCACCTGACGGAGAAACGTTTTGAGTCATGGAAGGAAAACCTAGAAGCTGGGCCTAATCCAAAGCGGGAAGCTGCAGGCCATCATGTCTTTCCCCACATACCACCTCAAAGTCCGGCGTCCCCATTTCCCTAGCATGTTCTACTGTTTGTACTCCCCATACGACTCTTTCTCATGAAGAAGAGAAGCTTACCAGTGCTTATGAAATATGGAATAACTCGGGATGCAAGAATGGTGCATTTCGCGTTGGAAGCGGAAAGGGAAATGGCAGGGCTCGTGCTCACTGAGTTCTGTCTCTGCAAGGCAAAAAATAAATGGGCTGCTTCCACTGAGGATACAGGCTCAGAAATATGGTTATGAGTTTGGATGGGGGGAGCAGAGACCCTTCTAACCCCTGGAACCAGCAATTGTTAAATTATAAACCAGGCTGACTTGCTGTGCTGAGGTGATTACCTGGGTGGGCCATTCAGAGAACAAAGGAAAAGCGTCTCTGTGCAAGATGGCAAGGTGGCCAAAGGCTGAGTTTTGCAGCGATGTGACTGAGAGGTAAAGCATAAGTTGGAGAGAGAGTCAGAGGAACACTTGAGAGCCATGTTTGCTTTCTGTTTGAATCCAAGGCTGCGGCTCTGGGAGAAACAAGACCCTTTTGGGTGTTGATGTTATGAACCCCTCCATTGTAGGCTCAGGTTGTATATATGTGTAAATAAACCATGTATCATAAAGACAGCACTGTCCCTGCTGTGCCTCACTCCCAAAAGGAAACACAAACCCTGGGATCCCTGGGCTCTTGCACCGCTTGGAGATTGAGGTGGTGTGCAATAATATAAATGCTGGCAAATCACACTTCTGTCCTGCCTGGCCACCTGGCAGGAGTTGCCCCTGCTTCTGGTCACATCCATGTGCCTTCTAAGCTGATAGAAGACACCTACACTTTTCATGCAATTGTGCCATGGACATAGGCTTCTTTCCTCAAATGAGCACTTCTGTTGCAGGGAAATAACCAATTCTCTTCCATCCCAGGCATGGTTATTAATCCTGAAACCAGCCTCCCATTCCTTCACTTCTATTGCGAGGTGAAAGACTATTGCACTACTTTGCACGTAAGTAGTGCAATAGTCTTTCACCTGACAATAGAAGGCAGGGAGAGAGGGGATAATGCCTCCTTTCTTTGGTGATCTGGGTAGGACCGTAGGATCTTGGAATCCTAGGCTGTGTACACAACATACTTTTACAGCACATTCAAAACACATAAAAACCGTGCTTTTTCTGGGGGGGGGTGCAGGGGTATGCATACGCCTAAACATTTTGTGAATCTTTGTACTTTTGTCCATTTACTGTATTTATTTCCCCCAATTTGAACTATAAAATGGTGATTTTTCTTGAGTCAAAATGAGAGTACCCCTAAACATTTTTAAAGAAAAAAACCACATAAAATTAATCCTGGATTCTCACAGAGCTACAACCAAGTGCCCTTAACATACTAAAGTTCCCACTATTCTTGGGGGCAGGGAATGCTTTGAATGTGCTTGGAAGGCATAGCTCATGTTGTGGCTACTGTTCCTTTCACTGGCACAAGCACAAAGTTGAAACTCACCTTCATGAATCCTCCTAAATGGCCGGCCATGCAGATCCTACCCGGAAAAGAAAACAGATGTGTTGCAGCATAGTTTAAACATACCATTTTCTGTTCTGGGACATAAACACCTTAAAGGCCCTTTTGGGGCTTGCATTCAACTGGTCCCAGAAGGCTCAAGTGAGCCTCTCTATTCTACATATACCGGTACATATATTCTGTATAGCATATGCATCCTTGAAAGCTTTTAGACCATTTTTGAAAGTAATATAAACAATTTATAAATTATCTGTCCTTTTCCATTCTACAACACCTCTAAAATGTAAAGGGATAGTGTGAGAGGCAGGCTACCCTTTTAATGAATTTTATTTGTGATTTGTAATTTTTGTAATTTTCGGTCCCAGCTCCTGCCCACCTAGCAGTTCGAAAGCACTCTTAAGTGCAAGTAGATAAATAGGTACCACTTTATAGCGGGAAGGTAAACGGCGTTTCCGTGTGCTGCGCTGGTGCTGGCTCGCCAGCTGCAGCTTCGTCACGCTGGCCATGTGACCCGGAAGTGTCTGATTAAAGAAATCTCTGTTTATTCATCATAATTTTGGGTTAGTTGATTAATCAATTAACAGTGAGGTGCTTGATAGGTCTATTCAGAAGTAAGCCCCAGAGGTCAGTGCAACTTAATCCCAGCGAAGTGTTTATAGCCTAAATTTATATATGAATCATGGCTCTGAAGCCAAAAGCTTCCACTTTTTTGTTTTTAGATTATATTCATGTGTTTTGTACGAAGCATCGTCTTAGGAAAGGTATCTTCTCCTGTGTATGAAATGTGGGGTGCATGCCATATGCAGCTTTTATAAGTACTTGTGCTTAGAAAATAATTTGTTTTGTTTTTAAAAAGTATTTAATCAGTTAATCAATTCAAATGAAGCCCTAGTTTTCATACTTATTCTGCATTTTTTTATTTTCAGTGTGTGTTGACTGATTGTGTCATTGTTTCGGAAGCTGTCATGCCTTAGCAAATAAGTAAAATCTGTCTAAAAATCCTTAGGGATGCCTGTAAACTGGAGGTATAAAAGTTGAGTGTGAGAGAGAGGGTCGGGGAGGGAATTTAAAACTCGTGCACAGCCAATTGTAATATTACAAGGTGGTAGGAAATTTCCTCTTCCTTCCAGCTGAGGGCCGAGACCCATGACGAAATGGTAACTTGAAGGCAGAATGGGAATGAAGGCAAAAGGAATGGCTTCTATTCTTACATAATGTATGCATCTGGGTTGCCAGCATGTTGCTTGCAGGTACAATTCCCAGCATCCCTAACCATTTGCCTCGCTTGCTAGGAATGCTGGGAGGTGGAATCAGCATTGGTTACCCTGATGTACTGATACACACACAGCCCAAAAGAGGGATGACAGGAGTGAGTGGGAGCCCTCTCACTCTTATGAGTATGTACCATAAAGCATGTGTGAGATGGGGGGTTGTAGCAACCCTGAAGGACGGCTTGTCAGCTGCTTTCTGTTTTAAATGGAACAATAGACATGTTTCCTGTGCAGAAGGAAACACATACCCTATATATACATTTTTTGGGGAGGGGGTAGTGCAAAAATGGCTGAGGCAGTTCTGTGAGGGAGGAAGCAGCCTTGCACAAGTTTCCCAGATTTTAGGGGTTGGGGGGGCACGCATAGGGGAGATTTCCCTCTCCCCCCATGGCTACACTGGGACTCCCTTGGGAGCAGCAAAGGGGGACTGCTTGTCCTCTAAAGCCAGAAAAATAAACATGAAGCTCTTAAAATCTTTCACATCATTTTGCGCAGGCATTGGGAAGGGAATGGAATGTGTTGCTTGCCACTAACTCACAGAGCTCCCATGGTTTCGCAAATTGACTTCAAGCAGTGGGTGGGTGAACCACATATCCCACTCAACAAGATACAATGGTCTGAGTGCTGAGGAAGCAGAGTTCCTACCTGGTGGGCATTTGGGGTTCCCTGGAACAATTGAGAAACAGCTATGCACTCGTTGTGTAATAAAGCAATCCACCAGAAAAGCCACTGAAATGAATCAGGCATCACAGTTCCTTCCTCACACCGTGCTTGAGTTGCCTAGGCCTTTGCATCTTAGTCCAGACAGTGGCAACTCACAAGCCCCACAAATGCAGAGGGTTAGGCCCAAACTATTAGGATGGATCTGAGGTGGTGGTGGGGTGCTAGCACTGCACATTGGCCTCCATGACTCTGGGCCCTTCCTGAAGCCTATCTCACCCTGAATAGTTTACCAACCAAGACTACCTCCTGCTTCGCTTCCTTGCTGGAGGCCCTCACATACCTTCCAACATTTCTCTGATGAAAATTGGGACGTCCTATTCCATCATCATTTTACTATTTATACCCCCATCCCTCTGACTGAATTGCCCCAGCCATTCTGTGTGGCTTCCAACATATATAAAAACATAATGCAACACTAGATTTAAAAAAACTTCCCTATACAGGACTGCCTTCTGATGGCTTTGGTGTTGGATAACTCCATACCCTCCAACATTTTGCTAATGAAAAAAGGGACACCCTAACATACCATCCAGCATTTTTCTGATGAAAATAGGGACATCCTAAGGAAAAGTGGGACATTATGAGATCAAATCAGAAACCGGGGTGGCCTCTGTAAATCCGGGACTGTCCCTGGAAAATAGGGACACAGGGACAAATGTATTATCTTTTTTTAAAAAAAATAATATTTATTGAATTTTAAAGGGTTACAAAAAGAAATAATTAAAAAACAGCATATTTAAGAAATACAAAACGTCACATCACGATAATAAAAAAAAAACAAGAAAAAAAGAAAAAATACAATAAATCTTCCCATAACTTATCTGTCATTTGCTTATTTCCTTGACCTCCTCACACCTCCCTTTTTTGTATTCTAGTTCAATTAGCTATTTCAGCAAATCCTTTCCATCTTTTCCAGTTTTTGTCCTCTATTCTATCTTAATATAATGTAACTTTACTTTCCCTCCTTCATCATTTAGCAATCTATTTTTCCTTAATCCTTTATAGCATTTCTGGTAAAACCGCATTATTTCATTCCAACATCCTTCTAACATGGGACAAATGTATTATCACTCTTATTGGGCAAGCTGTAGAAATGTTAAAATGGGAATGAGATTTTTGGGATAAATTATCATGGGCCTAGGAGGGAGACCTAAGCAAAAAGCCAGGGGGTGGGGAGAAAAGAGAAATCAAATGGGTGTTAAATGGATGCCCCAGGAGTCTCACCCAGAATGGTTGCCCTGGAATAAGAACCACAAAGATCAGCAGCAGCAACAGCAGCAACAGCAGGGATGTCATGGCTGCACCTAGGGAAGGACAAAATGGTGATCTTTGTTCCTTTGCTTCAGGCAAAGCAAACAGCCCCAGATCGATGCAGCTCAAAGCAAAGGTCTTTGGGTGGGATTTAATCAGCAGTGTAGGGATTGTAGCATGGAAACAAACACTAGACTATACTAGACCAGACTAGACTAAAATAGAAGGCTAGGGCTGGGAGCCAGAAAATTAAAAAATGGTTTGACTCCCCCCAACGGACCCATGTGTCTGTTTTCTGTGTCCACAACATCTCTTCAGCCAGCACAAAAACCAGATGTCAAGTATGGTGAGAATATTAATTGATTGCCTTTTTTTCTAGGGGGTGGGGTGGAGAAAAACATACTATTGCAAAGGAAAGCTTGCAAGTGGGTCTGCTGAAATTTCAGTTACTGAAGGGGACATCACTGTGGAAGTTACATTGGCCAAAGATTTTATCTGGCTCACTCTCTCCTTGGCCTTTACCCCATCTAGCCATATCATGCCTGAATGTGTTTCCTCCTCTGTGGCTAATTAGTTTAGTAGATTTATATATCACTTCACAGAACCAGAAGGAATCCCAAAGCGGTTTACAAGAACAATTAAATACAAAAGTACCATATATAATAGAATATCTATCAAAAGAAGAGCAGTACCAGTTGGTGGTGTTGCATCAGGAAGGCAAAGAGGAATGGCCCTGAACCCATTAAAAGAGCATTTGGGGACATTCTTCAGTTCTTATTAAACCCCCACTTGAACAGCAAGAGCCTCTCTCTCTTGCAATCTTTGCATCTCTACAGATCTCTCCAAAGTAACACATACAGGGCTTGTTGGTGAGAACTGAGCATTATTGAGGATACTAGAGGTTGATTGGCCTTTTCATATTAAAGATGCTCAATAGCTACTTGTTTGTGGTGGTGATCTTTCATTCACATCATGCTTTTGTAGGGACAGTGAGCATTTTGTGGGGAGTGGGGCACATTTGGGGGGAAAGAACAGGAACTCACCATACTTACCCATCTTCCAAGCATAATGGGCTTTTAGCTACCTGTCAGACTTGATGGGCCTTTAATACAAAATAAGCAGTGCAATGAGGACAGGTCTGACAGGTTCACTCTGGCTGCAGCTGTTTTGGATACAAACAGTGGTGCTGCAATCAGTCAGCAAGGGCTCCAGCCTCTGAGCTCTTTCCACTAAACATCACAGATGCCTTGTTTGCAGCAGCAACATCTTCCCACTGGGGTCTTGCTCTCCAGCTGATCGCCTGGTTTTGTAAATCAGCAAAACAGCCAGCTTCACCCAGCATATTTCAAGGGTACATAGTCAGGAACATGTGATCCTTTGATCCTTTCTTTTGCCCTGCTCATGCAAAATCTATAGTGACTCGAAAGCTGTGAGCTTTCTGTGGGTGATTCTTCATTATTTACTCAATCTGGCTGGAGCTGCATATTTGTTTTGAAAGTACCCAGTCCCTGGGGATGAGGGGATGCTTGGCGATAACCTTATAAAAGCATACAGAACGATCCATTAAACTCACTGAGGTTTACTTCTAAGTAGACATACGTAGGGACACCACCATCTATTGTATAGCCGTCTATCATGGAGCGTGCAAGCGTGCAGGAACCTCCTTAGAGCATCACAACTACTAAACATGGGATGAATCACCCTCATGGCCTGCACAGAATGGGATGCAAGCTTTTTTTAAAAAAAAGTTTAAATTATATGGCATGTTTCCACTGCTGTGTAGGAGTTTATTGTCTTTAATTTTTCTTGTTCAGTGGTTCCCATACTTTTCTCTTCCTCCAATGGGCCACTTAGAAATTGCTGAGGTTCTGGGCGGTACACTTAATTATTTTTCTGCCTACTGAAGCAATTGTAATTCTGTATTTATCTAATAGTGGAATTTACTTCTCAGTAATTGCACACAGGATCTGAATTGCACATAGGATTTGCAGGTATACGTGTTCAGAACTGTAGCCTTTGAGATGTTATGTATGGAAAGGTGAGAATGAATGAATGAATGAAAGACAGACTATTTTGTGTGCAAAACAAGAAGAGGGCACATGCAAAAGTGGAAGTGGTAGTATGCAGGTTCAAAGTAAGGGTGTGTCTTTGGGGCTCCTGTTGGTATCATTATCATCTCCCCACTTTCCGAAGCAGTGAGAAGCCCCCAGAGCCACGCAGAAAGCACTGGAATCTTTTATTGTCTTTGTAATATTTGCTTTATTTACTAATACAAAAGTGGTGCATAAGTGGAGACAAACAGGCACTCATATAAGGAAGAAGTTTCCCCATCCACATCAGAGAGTTTCTGGTGTTTGCCAGGCCATGACGCCCTCTGTCTCTGTAACCCCAGCTTCAAATCTGCTGTTTCTCATACTTACACAAAATCTGCCAACCCCTACTCATAACAGACCTGCAGGTGAACTGTTGATTCAAGAAACATCCAGTCATCAGGTTCATTTGCTCAATCCCCAATTCCTACCCCAATGGTACATTAAAACTGTCTACCAAAAACTAAATCCATTAATTTCAATGGGGCTTACTCTTCAGTGAATTCAGGATCACAGCCTAAGTAACTTTTGCCAAAACATAGTGCTGTAGATCCATGCACAGTAATCACATAGAAAACTTAGAAGTTTTCTAACTTGGGAGTTTTAACACAGGCAGGAAAAGCCCTATAGGTTGCAGAGGTGGATGGTTCCATTTGGACTAGGTATACCACAGTGGTTTCTGAGAGCTGAGCTGTTGCTACTTGTTTACAGTGTGTCAAGGAAAGCTGGGAACCGTGGGGTGAGTGACTTCCTATGGCTCCCAGCTTCTCTGAATGTACCACATATGTACAGCAGTGCCCAGGGATTAAGGTTTGCACTAAAGTTCTTCATGTCCCAGTGGACATCCAGCAAATTGTACCTCAATATAATTTCCAGACCAGCCTCGGAAGGACTTACCTATCTCTACCTCAGGTCCTCCTGATTTTGAGCAGGAATTTATCCCACTTAGCCAAACAAATATTGCAAGGACCTGATGAACTCCATTACATGCTGTTTCATCTGAAGGCAGCCCTGTTTAGGGAAGTTATTGATGTTTGATGTTTTATCGTGTTTTTAATATTCTGTTAGGAGCCGCCCAGAGTGGGCAGGGTATAAGTAATAATAATAATAATAATAATAATAATAATAATAATAATAATTTCCCTGATTTCTGATTCCTGCCTGCCAAACACCTCTTTTACCCTTTATCTCTTCAACAAGCACACTTCTGCGTTGCTTCCCAAATCACACCACTGTCTGGGCTCCCAGTCTTCTTGCACTTCTTTCTAGAGCTGTTCCTGCTTCCATTGCCTTTGGATTGTCTCTCTGGTTACAAACCTGATTCAGTCTTTGAACTCTGCTAATATTCTCATTCCCCCATAACTTGGCTTGGAACAGCCACATCCAAATTACAGGCATACCATCTACCACTGAACCCCCCCCCCCCAAAAAAAACCCTTCAACCAGCTTAGGGTGTCTTGTCATTAAGATTATTTTATCCTTTTGCCTTATTCAAACCAGGAGGCCATTCTAGTAGTTCAAAAGGCAATGGGCAATATCATCTGATGGTGCTGGTGTTGAGCACTCCACAAGAAGTCGGACAATGCTGTGGATCCTAGGTAGGACCTCCAGTTAGCTCATGCTCCTGAGGCCCTCTACTGCAAGATTGCCTGAATCCACGAGGTTCTGGCTGCTTGCGCCACAGCAGGGCAGCCTCCAGCTGGCAGGCTTCATGTTGAAGTAGTAAACCAGAGGGTCAAGAGCACTGTTGATGCTAGCCAGGGCCATGGCAGCCCGCTGGGCTGAACAAGTGAAGCGCAGCAGCTGCGGAGCAGGCAGAACCCCAATCCGGCCTAGTGTGTGCAGAATGTGGATGATATGGAAGGGCAGGAAGCAGACGGTGAGCAGGGTGGTCACCATCAGGAGGGTATGCAGCGGGTTCCTCCGCAGCAAAGAACCTTGGCCTGAGCCACGTCTCAGGTTCACGATGCGCCGGGCAATCACGACGGAGCAGATGATGATGGTGAGGAAAGGCAGGAAGAAGCCCAGCACTGAGGAGGCCAAAACCATGGCGGCCAGGCCTCCGCTCCAGACACGAGCTGGGAAGTGCTCCATGCAGGCTGTATTCCCGTTGGGGAAGCGATGGGTCACGGTGCTCTTGGAGAACAGGGTCAGCAGCCCAATCCCTACCACGGACCAGATAGCCATAGAGATCAGCACACGGTAGAGGGGCCACCGCAGGCGCAGGTAGAGGATGGGGTGGATGACGGCCAGGTAGCGCTCCAGGCAAATGCAGGCCAGGAAAAGCGTGCAGCTGAACATGTTGGCCAGAAAGAGGGCGTTGGTGGCCTTGCACAGGCCTTCACCAAAGGGCCAGTCATTGCGCCTGGCATGGTACACAGCCTGTAATGGCAGCGACAGGGCAAACAGCAGGTCAATGACGATGAGGTTGTAGGTGAAAATCATGATCGGGGGTGCCTGGGCCCGGGTGGCCCAGCTGCTCCACAAGGCTACAGTGTTGGAGGCCAAGCTCAGGGCGCAAACCAGGCTGTATGTGATGGGCAGGAGCAGGTGCTGGAACTGGGCTTCAGCAGCACACTGCAAAGAGGCTGAATGGTTAGGGAAGGCCTCGCCTAGGGGGTACGTGCCATTTGCCCACATCTGCAAAGCGAAGAGAAGATCCACGGGTCAGATTAATCCTGCATGTGTCAGCTATTCTTGGAACCCTTTCAGGAAGCCCCTAAATTTACATCTTGGAGAACACTCAGACATGTGGCAGTGCTGTCCCAAGGGAAAGATGACGGGATCAGCTAATCGATAAGGGCACCATTTGCCCCTGTGTGCAACGCCACACCCTCAGTGACTGACATTCTAAGGAATCTGCACATCCCAAGGATTCAAAAGGGAATCACCTGATCCATTGGGGGGCCTAGATGTCCTCCTCAAGGATATCTTCTGGCTGCTCTCATCCTTAGCCTTCCACCTCATCCTGCAAACTATATTCCAGCCCTCCTTCCTACACAACCCCTTGACATCCTACTTCTGGGTAGGTCCTTTAGGGCTTTGCAGAGTTCAGTATCCCTTTGTGCTGAGTGCTAGGGAATCTTTTTTGCTGGCCACATGACCCGGAAGCTGTATGCCAGCTCCCTCGGCCAATAAAGCAAGATGAGCGCCGCAACCCCGGAGTCGGTCACGACTGGACCTAATGGTCAGGGGTCCCTTTACCTTTACCTTATTGCTCCCATGCTGCTCATCAGCCCCAGGAACTCTGGCTCAATACATTTTGCTGCCTGGAGCCAAGGCCAAGAATATACACCCCACATTCCATGTTTGGAAGTCAGCTGGACTAGTGATTAAGTCTTATTTCAGTACGGGCAATGGGTTAGTATCCTGCACTGTACCTGAGGGCAACAGGCTAGTTCTGGGGGCTCAGGACAGACCAAATGGCAAACACAGCTCCAACAGAAGGGTATGAGGAGGCTGAGGAGAAACAAATGTGGGGTGCCCCCCACTCCCTCCCAGTATTTGCCATCCAAAACACTTACCTCACTCTGCCTAATGGTAGGGCCAGTCCTGTTATTTGCTGTTCAGAACACCAAAAACCCAAATATGGCTAGCCCCAGAAATCTATGTCATTCAGACCTTCTGTGTGTCAGACATCCAGAGACATCCCTGCTCCTCTGGTGGTTCTGTGGAACTTGAGAGAGATGCAGTTGAAATTGCTCAGGAAGGAAAGTGTGGGTGCCCCTATCAGCCTGTCCTTTTTTCCTGTTCTTGGCCTAGACTTGCGCAGTTTAAGAATTAAATTTTATTTTGGGTGCCCATGGTTATGAGGCTCATGACTTCGGGGGTGGCAGTATGCTCCTGGTCTGGCCCTTGAATACTGTCGCCTCTGCTGTCTTTTTTTTTTTTTTTTAAATAATATTTATTACTTTTCCAGCAATTTAAACACTACAAAAAAATAAGCAATACAATACAATACAAAAACAGTACATAACACTAACACATTAAACTAACAAAACAAAACAACAACAGTTTAAAACACATCAAACAGTTTCAATATCTTATCTTTCATTCACTTATTTCAATGACCTCCTCACACCTCCCTTTTTGTATTCCACTTCTGTTAATTGTTTCAGCAATTCCTTTCCATCTTCCTCTGCTTTCTATCCTTAATTATGTTAACACATTCTAACCTTATTTTCCCTTTAATACTCTATTAATCTATTTATATTTAATTCCTTATAACATTTCTACTAAAGCCATATAACTTCATTCCAACATTTTTCTAACATTCATTAATTTTACAGTATTTCTGTAAATAGTCTTTAAACCTTTTCCAGTCTTCTTCCACAGACTCTTCTCCCTGGTCCTGGATTCTGCCAGTCATTTCCGCCAATTCCATATAGTCCATCAACTTCATCTGCCATTCTTCCCGGGTGGGTAAATCTTGTGTCTTCCAATACTTCGCGATGAGTATTCTTGCTGCTGTTGTTGCATACATAAAAAAAGTTCTATCCTTCTTTGACACCAATTGGCCAACCATGCCCAGGAGAAAGGCCTCTGGTTTCTTCAGAAAGGTATATTTAAATACCTTTTTCATTTTGTTATAGATCATCTCCCAGAATGTCTTAATCTTTGGGCATGCCCACCAAAGGTGAAAGAATGTACCTTCAGTCTCATTACATTTCCAACATTTATTGTCAGGCAAATGATAAATTTTTGCAAGCTTGACTGGTGTCATGTACCACCTATAAATCATTTTCATTAAATTTTCTCTTAGGACATTACATGCCGTGAATTTCATACCTGTAGTCCATAACTGTTCCCAGTCAGCCATCATTATGTTATGTCCAACATCTTGTGCCCATTTAATCATAGCTGATTTCACCATTTCATCCTGAGTGCTCCATTTCTGCTGTCTTAAGTCTCAGCTTGGATCCTTGGACCTTCATTTTTTAGAGTTCATTCTAATGTTCACACTCAGCTTCACCCATATTTACACAGAGTAAGGCCTCTGATCTTCTGGATTCAGCAAATTAGATCAGAAAGAATATCCACAAGACTGAGCAGTGTGCAAGATACTAGTGCAATGTTTGCATTTTGTTTGTTTTATTTATAAATTAAATTTATTGGTCACTTTTTTTATCAAAGTGACAGTATATGCATGGGTTCCTGTGCTGGCCAGTTGTGGGTGGGCTTTCTGAGGAAAAATTGTGTGGTTAGCAAGGCTGGCGCAAGACATTTTAGCACCTGAAGCGGAACCCAAAATGGCTCCCCTTCTCCCCACCAGGGAAGAAGGGGTGTGGGAAGATCTACATCAGGAACAAGGGGGAAAGAAATATCAATATTGGGATTTGCTGCCCCAGTGGATCATGCCGCCCGAAACAATCACCTCACATTGCCTCATGGGTGGGCCTGCCCTGGTGGTTAGCTGTTCTTTTGAATTCTGTTCTTATAAAACCATGCTTGTACACCTGACTTGGGCGTGTGACTTCTGGCTACATTGAAGCCAAGTGACAAGTCCTGCTAGACAAGTCCCTGGAAAAGCACCACTTCCCAGAGTGCTCTGGCCAGACCCTAGCATGCCATCTGTATGACAAGCACTTCCGTAAGCAAGAGCATGGCCTCTTCACCCCTTTCCTGGCTGGCCCACATTTCCTCCAGCCCTCAGATCAGACACCAGAATGTATAATCAACGTGAGAATCTCTCAAGGAGGAGGGGAATGTGAGTCCAAGGCAAAAAGTCCCTTTTTGCTTCCTGCTCCACCCTCTTAACAACACCCATGCTAGAGAGAAATATAGTTTGTGCTCAGCACTGTAACATCGTTTTGGTTTCCCTAGTAGTATAATATACTCCATCATATTGCCTTGCCTCACCCTGTACTCCTGTTCAGTGATGCCTTTTGTTTAAGAATTAAAATAATCACATATCATCTTCCCTTTTGCCAGCACCTCTGTAAAAAAAATGTTTTTATCTCTCAAGAGGAACCTTTGTCTGAAAAGGAAATACTTCCTGTTCCTGCCACATCAGCCCTTCTGCAAGGCCTATGATAAGCCATGACCAATAATGCTGAGCATATAGTTAGCAAACAGCTGATCCCAGCTGCATACATGGGAACTAAACATAGAGCAGGCAGGAGGCTCTGGAGTTCCAAGAAAAGGATATGCCAACCACTTGGAGCAGCCTTTTTTGCTTTCCTGCAGTGCCACCTGCTGCTCTGGCTATGCCAGAGCATGAAACAACACCATAGTTCATTGACTTTTATCCCTGGGAAGTCTCATTCTCTGAAGCTCATGACTCTACATGGCGTGACCATGCATCTCAGTCTTTAAAATAAGGTTACCAGATTTTCCCCCCAATGAATCCGGGGACACTTTTCAACTTCAGCAGATTTTGTATGGGGACTGATTTGTAAATCCGGGGACTGTCCCCAGGAAACAGGGATGTCTGGTAACCTTACTTTAAAAACATTGTGCAAGTAGCAGCTGTGGTTGAGAGAACCCAGATTACAACAGTGGTGGTGGTATGCTTAGCCCTTTCCCATTGCACTATTGTGCTCCCTGCCCCCAAAGAAGATAAATGATCCTCCTAAAGTTGCTGTTTACTTGAGCAGGAAAAACATATTTGTACACACACACACCCTCCCTAAACTGGGGGTAAGTAGCAGACCTAGAGGTCTGATTTTCATTGAAAAAAGGGATAACCCCACACCACTGTCCGGAATCCAGATCCAACATATGCAGTTTTAAAATATGGAGAGTCATTCACACATCTCCATTATCACATCTAGATTCATCTGGAGATATGAGACTAAGCCTACTGTTAAGGCTTTATGCAATTATAAGTGGGAATATAGGTATGTGTACTGATTCACCCAGTATAAAGCAGATGCAGGTAGCAAAACCACTTCCCACGTGTGGCCTGCTAACAACAGCCATGTCCCATATTTATACTTATGGCTTATCCACATGTACTTTTTGCCCTGTGCTTTCTAGGCACAGGTGTGCACTTTCCCAGTGTGTGTCCACTTTTTTCTCTTTCTTTTGCTCTGGAAAACCCAATCTTTGCCATTGTATTGGAGCAAATGGCAATTTGAGTTTTCTGGAGATTACCACTCAATCAGAACAAATGGCAAAGAGCAGGTTTTCATGGGGGAAAGGGGGAAAGGGTGATACTGACCCAGAAAGCCTGGATATGTGCCTAGAAATGCTGAGCAAAGGTAAGTGTGGATAAGCCCTAAGTTGCATCTCACAGCCAGGGCTCAGACATGGAGTTCAGTGCTTTGCGTAACTGTCCAGTGAATTTACTGGACAGGTTTTTGCAGAGAATTACGGCCAAATGAGAGGAAACAAATGTGTGGTCCAATCCTAGTAGTGATGTATCAATTCAAATGACAATTGACTCATCCATTTCCTGTACTGCACGGGGTTGGACAACATGATCCTCAGGATCTCTTCCAACTCTACCATCCTAGAATTCTATGATTCTAATTACAAGTGTAGCCTGAGAATGCTTGGGAAAATCTCTCTCTCTCTCCCTTTCTCCAAGAGCTCAAAATCAGTCTGCATATTGGTTTGTGTGTATTCGTGTGCTGATGCTCGAGTGTTGCAGTGAGGGCAGGGAAAGAAACATGTTTCCTAGGCAATTGTGCAAAGCCCCCTTCCATTCCACTTGCACTGTCACTTGTGCCATGATTGGCTGCTGGTACTTGCTACATGTCCGTAGGCATGAGGATGCAGTGGATCCACAGGCGGCAGAGACGTGGTTGGCAGCAGTGTCACCAGCCTTATGGGTAGTGGGTGCCACTGAGAAGTGGTTGCTGTGACACCATTCCTTTGCTGCACTTCTCCACGAGTTCTCTTCCCAACCAGAAGTGGAGCCAGAACTTATAGGCAAGGCGGGTTTCCAGAAGCACAGGAGTTATATGGGTGGGATACCTGATTTGAAATACCTTGAGATCTGTACTGTGGGTGGGCTGTGACTATAATAAATTGATGGCTATGGTGCACAGCTGTTGCAAGGAACTCCTGGCACACTCCAATTGCAATATGGCAATAACAAAAATAGCGGACCGTACTGCAGATTGATGATGTGGTAAGCCCCACCTTCACCTGCAAGGTGCACTTAAGTCAGAAAATCCAAGGACTGAGAATGAGCACACACAGCTTTGGCATTGTGTAAACCCCCCCCCCCCAAAAAAACAACAACAGTGGAACACAAGTGTGCAATTGTGGCAATGATCTCGTAGCTGCAGTCAATCACTAACTGAGCACAAGTCAGCAGAGGGATGCAGCTGCAAAAATGGCTAATGTGCTTTTAGGCTGAATTGATAGATCCATGGTTCCAAGTCATGGAGTGTAATAATTGCTCTCTAATCCTACGCAGTTCAGATCTGAATCCAGTTGTAAATACACTTGAAGAAGGATACTGTAGACAAATTGGAACAGGTTCAGAGGAGGGTAATGGAGATGGTGAGGAATATGGAAAACAAGTCCTTTGAGAGGAGGTTGAAAGAATTTGGTATGGAGAAGAGCAAGCATAGGGAGGACATGCTAGCACTCTTCAAATACCCAAAGGGCTGCCGCATACAGGAGGGCAAAGTCTTGTTCTCTCCTGTTCCAGAAGGAATGACCAGATCTAATAGGCTTAAGTTACAAGAAGGTAGATTTCAGCTGAACATTAGGAGACACATATTGATGCTAATAATGGGTTTAATAACAGGCTCGATTACCTAGAGGGGTGAGGGCTCTTCTTCACTTGGAGGTCTTTAAGCAGGAGCTGGACAAAGATGCTCTAGCATGATTTTCTACCTCAATCAGAGATAGAGACTAAAGGTCTACTTTACAAAGCCCCTTCCAACTCTTTATCATTCTATGATGCAAGATTTTGAAATTTGTCAGCTTGCTCTATGTATGTTTAGCCTGGTAGAGAGGAGACTAAGAGGTCATATGATAGCCATCCTCAAACATCTCAAGGGCTGTCCTGTTTATTCCTGCTCCGGAGGCTAGGGCCTGAACCAATGGATTCAAGTTACAAGAAAGGAGATTACACTAAACAGCAGAAATAACTTTCTGATAGTAAGAACTGTGGAACAGACTCCCACTACAGGTGGTGGACTCTCCTTCCTTGGAGGCTTTAAAGCAGAGATTGGATGGCCATCTGTCATGTATGATCTAGTTGAGATTCCTGCATTGCAGGGGATTGGACTAGATCAGTGTTTTTCAACCTTTTTTGGGCAAAGGCACACTTGTTTCATGAAAAAAATCACGAGGCACACCACCACTGTGTGCGGAGAGGGAGATGTCAGAGCCCCGCTGCTCTCTATGGGGAATCGGATGAGAGCGGACCGCCTGTCCGCTCTCATCCGATCCCATCCAATCTGATCCCCACCCAGGACGGATGGAAAATAGGGTGGACACAGATTTTTTAAATCTTTCGAATTTTTCAATTTTTCCCACGGCACACCAGGCAACATCTCGCGGCACACTAGTGTGCCGTGGAACAGTGGTTGAAAAACACTGGACTAGATGACTCTCTGGGATTCCTTCCAACTCTACAGTTTGATTGTATGATCCCGCACTTGGTTGCATGTCACCTATACCAATTGGAATGCAAACCTTTTTATCTGTTTGTCTTGCTTTAAAAAAAAACCAGTTGGTAGACTTATTGTTAATTAGGCAAGTTTCCCCTCTCATCCAAATGGTAAGACTCAGAGGTCTGTTTCCACAACAATTGGACTTGTGATTTGCTTTTGTAAATGTAACATTTACATGATGCATGCCCTGCCCTTTGGGACATAACAATTGCTCAAGTCCAGAACTCAGAAGCCAAAGTATTGTTTTGCAAATTACATACGCATTTTAAAGAAGTTCAAGTCGGTTTCAGTCATCAAGGAACCTGTGCCAATCACCAGCACAGCAACTGCCTTATTGAGCAACTAGTCCTGGCAATACAGATTGCGCAGGCACATAAAACTTGTCACATGCTGATTAAATTATGAACAGAACACCCTTTTCAGGGACAAAGGAGCTTGCCTAGTAACATATTTCTGCATTATGCATTGGGTAAATTCACATTGTGATGGGAGCCCATTATTTCCCAAAACTTCTGTGGCAACTGCCTACTTAAAATATGTCCCACTGAATTCAGTTGAATACAACAGAGAAGTTAATGATGTGGGATTAGAATAGACTTGCCTGCTCTTGATGTGGGGCGGTGGTTTTTGTGTGTGTTACATTTCCCCTTTTTATCTTGAGGGTACTTCTCGTTCTGAGATCGCTCCTGGATACCCAGGTGGAGACCCAGTTTCCTACTTATGTACTTGTATTTCTTGTACACACACACATTACATTTTTGCATATGTAAAATGTTTTTCATCTGTCAAAATCAATGTATGAATCAGCCCTCATGCTGAAAGGTCTGTTCAATGCAAGGTCAATGGAATCACATAACTTCTTATGTCTCTATCCACATCATTCAACCATCTGTGATCATTCTTCCTTTCCTTCACCTTTTCATCATGCCCTGATTCTTCCTTTTTGTTGTTGTTTAGTCGTTTAGTTGTGTCCAACTCTTCATGACCCCATGGACTTGAGCACGCCAGGCACTTCTGTCTTCCACTGCCTCCCACAGTTTGGTCAAACTCATGCTGGTAGCTTCTAGAACACTGTCCAACCATCCCGTCCTCTGTCGTCTCCTTCATCTTGTGCCCTCAATCTTTCCCAACAGGGAGTCTTCTCTTCTCATGAGGTGGCCAAAGTATTGGAGCCTCAGCTTCACAATCTGTCCTTCCACTGAGCACTCAGGGCTGATTTCAGGGGACTCTCATTTAGTGAAAGCTTCTCCAATTCCTGAATTTTTACCCACAGGATTTCTGACATCCTCATCTCTTGCCATTATATATGTCAAGTCAGAAAGTGTTCACCTGTAGGCGATTTATGTATTAGCATTCCACACTAACACTTCCTTCATCCACATGCCAAACAAACTGTTAGCTGTCCCTACAATTCACAGACAACTCAGAATGAAAGCTCACTGAATTCAATAGGGTTTACTCCCAGGTAAGCAGGTGTAGGACTGCAGCCTCCATAAGTCAACTGAACCCCAGAATGTGTCCTAGCCCTCACTGCTGGATGAAGAGTTCCCATATTGGTTTCTGCCAAAGGTTTTAATGCATAATTCAGAACTGTTCATGGGCAAGGTTACACAGTGCAGCAAGTATATAAGAGGCATAAATACATGGCTAAGCACAAAATAAGAAGTTGATCCAACAAAAGCTATGCCCTCTGGGCCTCCTTTTTGAAGAGTGGAGTGGGCACAGCATTAGTGTGGCAATTGGCTGGAGTTCTGGGACTGGGCAAAAAATAATGGGCTTGTGAGGTCTGTTCACAAAAACTCTGAGAGGTAGGTTGAGAGGCAGCCACTGGCCCAACTTCACCCAAGTTCATGGCTGCATAGGGATTTGAACACTGATCTCCCAGGTTCTTGTTTGACACTCTACCCACTACACCACACTGGATCTCTTTTACTTTACTTTTTATTTTTTGTTAATGTATTCTGTTTTACTATGATGGCATGGTGAAGTATTATCTAAATAATTAAATAGCCTGCCTGTGAGAATGCTAATGTCTAGCTATAATGAGAACTAGTTAATGAAGATTGGTTTAGAGTTCAAAGGAGGTGTGGGAGATAGTTTTTCCATTCCTTCCCTTTGGGAGATTTTCCATTCCTTCTCTTTGGAAGACTTAACTACACATCCATTCTGGTAATTCCCACTGGATTCAATGGGGCTTTTACCTCCAAGGAACGTATAAAGGATCGGGCCGTTACCTATACGTTTCACCTGCAACCTTATTCCTAACGGCAACCCAAAGGAGCCCATCCTTGTTCCTCTGCACTCTGCACGCGCACCACATGTAGGACTTCACGCCCTCCGAAAGTGCCTGTGGCACCTCCCACCATAACTGACGAGCAACTTCTCGCCCAATCACACATTTGCACGGGCAACGCTTCCAGCCGAGGGAGGGCGGGCAAGCGCGTGGAGCCGAGCGCCCCACTCGAGCCCGTCCAATTCCTCCCTGCAAGCGACCCGATTGGCCGCTCCTTTTTCAAGACTCCCCCCGCCCCCGCGCCACACCCCACCTCCAAAAAGGCCGTTGGAGCCAATCGCCCCGCGAGGGAGGGTCTCCGCGCTCCCGGCCCGCCCCTCCTGCCCCTCCAATGAAAAAGAAGGGCAGAGAGGAGGCGGAGGGGGGCCCGCCCGGCCAACCGGGAGCCGATGCGGGCCGTGCTGGAGCGGGGATTGGCCGGGGCCTGCAGGCAGTGGGCGGGGCTATGCTAGAGGTAGGCGTTGGAGGTTGCTGAGGTGCCGGACCCAGCGGGCGGAGCGAGGGGTGGGAACGGGGGGATCCGAGCCTGAGTGGTAAGAGGTGACGGCGGCGGCAGCAGCAGCAGGAACGGCTGAGGCGCCGCGGGCGGGCCCCGATGGAGCTCGAGAATATCGTGGCCAATACGGTGCTGCTCAAGGCGCGAGAGGGTGAGGAGCCGGCCTGGGGACGCAAGGGGCGAGCGCGTGAGGGAAACTGAGGGAAGAAGGAGCCCAGGAAGCCCCCCGGTGCCGTTGGGCGAGCGAGGGCATGGCGGCGCCCTCCCGGCCCGGGCATCTCCCCTCCTGCTCGGGGTCACTCCTTTCTCACGAGCCGCGGAGCTGCGCGTGGAGCGGCGGCGCCTGAGGCAGCGAGAGAGGTTCGCGGGCTGGGCGAGGCGAGAAGCGCGCTCCCCTTGCTGAAGGAGAGCCCTTCGGAGCCCGGCGTTGAGTGCCCGGCAGCGGTGGGGTGGGGATGGGTGGCCGCTGTCAAAGGCGCGGGAGGGAGGCGGAGAGGCGGCGTTGCGTGTTATGACCCGGCCCGCCAGCTCTTTCTCCTTCTTCTTCCTCCCCCCGCCACCCCACCCCTCTTTCCTCCCTCCCTGTGTGCTGGTGGGGGGGGGTGTATATCCGAAAGTAGAAAAACTGCGGAGCTTTGGAGTTAAGGACCAGCCAGCACATGCTTATAGAGGCCTCACAAAAGACCGAGGAACGTAGTGACGTGGGTTGTGGCCGAATGATGCTTTCTGCAGACACGGTTCGTTGCTTTTATCTGGCAGCTTCCTCTTGATAAAGGCTTTGAACTGTTCTTGTTCCCCGGAACCGATGTAGAGATCAGTGAAAGTTTGCACTCTTCGCCAAAAACGCTCATAAGAAGCACTCGCCTAAATATAGGGCTGCCATCTCACCTCCCTAGACTGAGAGGAGCTAATAAATTGACAAGATTTGGAAGTCTTCAGGATTATGGATGCTAGTAGAGTCAGAGGCATGCTACCCATTGCACTACTTAACTCTAGGTGGAGCATCAGAAGTTGTTGGTTTTTAAAAAAATATTGTAGTAGTAGTACATCTCTTGAATGGGTTTCCTCACAGAAACAATGTTCTGTTGCCATAGAGCAGCAGAGATGTTCTAGAATTGGCTTCTGACTTGGCATATGTGCATGAGATTCCATAAGGGACCGCTGCATTAAAAAACACAGGTCTGAGTACTGGAATCTTCCCCCGCTTTCTTTAGCAGACTTTGGGAATGCTTTTTATTGGGATACTCTGCTACCAGATACTTTCCTCTGTGTCAAAATTGTAAGCCTTAAATTTAAGGGAACAATTTGGCTTTGTAGTAGTGAGTCATTTTTGTGTATAACCAGACACAGGCTTATATTTAAGAGTCTGAAAAACAGAGGGTTCACATCTCACTAATGAGGTAATGTAAAATGTGAAAGCAACTTTTATCATTGTCTTTCTTTTGATCATCTGCACATGGAGAAGAAAATGAATGAGGAAGAAGATGAAGCAACCTTTTCCCTTACTGCAGAATACATTCTTTCCACAGTCTTAGATACCATCCTGGAGCAGAAGTGTCAGTTTAGTTTGCTCCTCAACTCTGATTTCTTTACTCCTGTTTCCACTATTTTATTTAGAAAAGTTGCAGATCTTAGCAAGTAGAACCCCACTTGACAATTTCCAGAGGGACAACCACCTGTTGCAACAAAAAATAAAGTATTGTAGCACCTTAAAAACTACGTATTATGGCATAAGCTTCTGTGGACTATATTCTAGTCCTCAAAAGCTTGTTCCATAGTAAAAATGATAGTCTTTAATGTAGCTTTCCCAACCTTGGGGTCTTCAGATGTTGTTGGACTACAGCTTTCATAATCCGTGACTTTTGGCTATAATGGCTGAGGGTGAAGGGAGCTGTAGATCAGCAGGATCTGGGGACTCACAGGGGTGGCGCTGTGGTCTTATCCACTGAGCACTTGGGCTAAACAGCGTTTCTGTGCGCTGCTCTGGTTTTGGTGTTCTGTTGCACCAGAAGCTGCTTAGTCATGCTGGCCACATGACCCGGAAAAACTGCAGACAAATGGCGGCTCCCATGGCCCATAAAGCGAGATGAGCGCCTCAACCCCAGAGTCGCCTGTGACTGGACTTACGGTAACTGTCAGGGGTCCTTTACCTTTACAGCAGGATTTGGTAGAACTGTCTTTGTAGCTGCATATGAATCTCTATAGATCCACTTATTTTGAATTACAGTGGTACCTTGGGTTAAGAACTTAATTCGTTTTGGAGGTCCATTCTTAACCTGAAACTGTTCTTAACCTGAGGTACCACTTTAGCTAATGGGGCCTCCCGCTGCTGCCGCACAATTTCTGTTCTCATCCTGAAGCAAAGTTCTTAATCCGAGGTACTATTTCTGGGTTAGCGGAGTCTAACCTGAAGCATCTGTAACCCGAGGTACCATTGTATATGTCCTCTTTTTGCTAGTCAGTAAGAAGGGGCATGAGAATACTGAAGTCACACCACCTGAATGTGGAAGTCCTATCCCCCTCTGGTTTAGTTCTTGAGACTTCCAAGCACTTATGTCTTGTAAATGAAAACTGGGCGCCTTCAGTTGCTCAGTTCTCAACTCAGAACCAAATTCTGTGTAATGTTATGGTAGCACAGTAGATTATACCTACCCCATAGTTTTCAATTAGCCTACTTCACAGTATGCTATAAACACACTGCCTAATTAATATCTTCATTCCAGCCAGACGATACTCAGCCTTTAATGCAAAATTATTATTATTTTTTTTAATTTTTATTAAGGTTTTTTATTGCTAGCTGAGGTTGTGTTGCTGAAGGTTTTGGCTGCCTAAGTTGTCCTGGCATTTATTTCACTCTAAAGACAGTGAATATATATATTTTTTATAAGATATTTATTGAAATTTTCAAAGTGTTACCAAATAAAATAAAAGCAGTAGAAAATACAAAATAAAAATAATTAACAAAGTAGAAAGGAAAAAAAACATACCCCTTCCAACCGTATGAATACAAATTCAAAGATAAGAAAAAGTGACAAAAAAATAAATAAATACAGAAATACATCACACACAATTAAAAAACATTTAAAAACAAATTCATTATTCTCAAATCCTCAACTGTCATTACCTTCTTTCTTTGACCTCCTCCTCCTCCCTTTCTTTGTATCCTAGTTATTAATTATCCCAGCAAATCCTTTCCATATTTCATAATATTCTGTCATTACATTACCCTAAACTGTTTTAATCTTATCTTTCTATAATAAAATAAACCTTAAAGCTTGAAACTTAAATCTTATCCTTACCAACTTCTCATAACCATAATATTCTTTCATAATTCTTTAAACATCTTTACTAAAGCCAAGTAATTTCATTCCAACATTTTTCTAACATTCATCAATTTTATAAAACAGTTCTAATGGTAGAAAAAAGAAATACAAACAAATCCAATCTTCATCCAACGTCCCTTCCTCCTGGTTCTGGGTTTTGTCAGTCCTTATTATCCCGTCGATCTAGCCCATTAACCTGGCAGCCTTATATCCGAGGCCGTCAAGTCTCTTCCATGTCCCTTCCGCAGCTCTTCTTCATATTTGTAACTGTATTTTCCCTTATCTCCTGCTCGTGGTAACTCCAGCTTGGCAATATTTTTAACCCTTCTCGACAGGTCAGCCCCTTTTCCATATTCAACACTGAATTCCATATGGTATTTAAAAGCATGTTTCAAAGACCCTCCAAAATTAAGAGCCCCCACAATCCCAAACATCTCACGGCCCATTGCCAGATTTGAAAAGTCCAAACATCCCAGCATAGGGGGGTCAATCCAGCCCCCATTTCCAAGCCAAACCAAACTTTTTCTTTCCAAATCTGGCTTTTTCCAAGTTCATTTGTCAAATCCGAAACTCATATTCCTGTTGGGCCTGTTCTGTCAGGACACACTCCTGATTTAATTCCTGAGTGGGCTCCACATATTTTCCCACTGTCTGTTCAAAATTTCCCACTGCCTGTTCAAAATTTCTAGTCGAAGTCGCCATCCAATTCACCTTTTCATGTAATTGTTCCAGTAGGGCATTTGTTTTATAGAAAGCACACAACAAAGCTTCTGAATACATTGTCCTGCAAGGTCAAATGCCTGTTCCCAGGATTGTTATCTGTAACAGCTGCCGGCTCCCTGGAGTTGGTTACAGTTACACAGTCTACCTCTAGGGGGAAAACTTCTATTTGTTCTTGCAACACAGTTTCCCTTTTTGAGATACTTTGTCAATATTTGTTGCTTAAAGATGCGAAGGGAAGCAGTGGAATCGCTATGTTTCTCTTCTTTTAGCTATCTGTCAAAAACGCTTGTCTCTGGTCAATGAACTTCAAACGTCAGTCCTGACACCCCGCTCCAGGATCAGGACAGAGGAAAGTTACTTTACTTTAAACTCACTTTAAACAGTCCGGAAAAGATCCCCCTCCTTCTCCTGCTGTCGAAGGGGGGTCCACAATTTTAAATGATGAAATCCAATCCTTTAAAGGCGATTTTCTAAGCTCTAGTTTACGCTGTCTTTGCTTTATTCTGTCTACAGAAGAACGGAAGGCTGACTTCCTGTTTAAACCTTCCCGTTCCGTACCAAATTTAAATAGGTTTTTAAAATCCAGTTCCTTTCTGCTCGCAAGTCCTTATCTAATGTCCAATTGTTCAAAGTCTAAGTACTCACGGGTGCTTATTTTAGAGTCTGAATTGTCCCAGGAAAAAGGCAGCGCTCTCCGGCAACGGCTGTGCGGCTTCGCTCCACGGAAATAGCAGTTGACTCACAGCACCGCGCCACTTCCCCCTCTTCACTTCGGAGCCCGTTAGTGGGTTCCTTAGCGAGTTGGGGGGGCGCTAAAGGTGCCCGCCGAGTCCCATGGTCACAGGCTTCATCCGCCTGTGATTTTTAAAAGGGTCCCCGCTTCGCCGTAGCGGAAAAGACCCGTTTCCCGCGGAGCTAGTCCCTCCTGTTCAGAGGGAGTCCACCATTGCCGGTGGCGCCACCCCGGAAGTCCTAAAGACAGTGAATATTAAAGCCATCACTGTCCATTCTTAGCTTGCCACCCTAGCTTTTTCAGCCATACATGCCATTCTCCTAAAAGCTTTTTTATTATACAGGTATATACCGTACATCCCCACACCAGCCATCTAAATGCATAATTTGTGTGAAATGAAAGTAAATCAACCAAACTGTCGTGCAAGTCTTAAATGTAGAACGTTTTATAGTGGAAGTGGCCCAAGCATGAAAGAGCTACAACATAATGCTAATCAAAAGAGATTTTAAGAGCTTTGTACTCTCTGGCTCTTTGGCAGTGAATCTGGGTTCCTTTCATCCAGAGAAACAGGTGTTTCTTGATCATTTGGTTACTTCAACAGACAGAAGCTGTATAAAGTTAGAATTTCTAAGAACTGCTCTTGTTAAAGGCCTTGTTAAAAAAAAGAAACAAACCCTAAACCTTAGAATTACAGCAAATGTATATTCCATGGGTAGGCAACCTGAGGCCCAGGGGCTGGATCCGGTGCCTTCTAAATCTGGCCCGCGAACGGTCCACGAATCAGCGTGTTTTTACATGAGTAGAATGTGTGCTTTTATTTAAAATGGATCTCTGGGTTAATTTTGGGGCATAGGAATTCATTCATCCCCCCCCCCCCCCGCACATAAGGTCTGAGGGACAGTGGACTGGCCCCCTGCTGAAAAGTTTGCTGACCCATGGTATATTCAAAGTACTTAATTCACAGGGTTTGTACTGCCATGGATTAAAGCATTCATATACTGAATCATGGGAAGCCAAGAGTAAGAATATGGTGAAAGATTAAAATTGGGGTTCTTGATTTATACTAAGTTTTATGAAGTGGGTTGTGAAGCAAAAATAACATGGGCAGCTTCTTTCTCTCATCAGATTGGGATGAGAGAATTGAGGAATGGATTTTTTGATGAGAAATAAAAATAGAGTTCAGCATTGATAAACTTAAGGCTGTATGAAATCTGTATATGATACTGAGGCCTAAGTATTCCTTGCCATGAATTACTGATCTTTGTTTTTAAGAGAAGCTGCCAGGCCATTAGGCCTGAAAGGCTTTCTGGCAAGAGTTTAGGGTTCCCCATCACTTCTTCTATTCAGTTTTTGTCCAAATGGAATTGGGTCCAATTTAAATATCCATTAAATGTTTCACATTTGGCTGGGCAATAGAAGATGACCAGACGTTTCTGTATTGTACATGGGCTCAAAGGTCCTGAAGACATCTGCTTTAACTCTTAAAAGTAAGTTTCTATATGCCTTGAAAATTGGATGGCATTAGGTCTTCAATGTGCGAACAATAAGATATACAATTTTAGATCTTGTGAATTGGGTCTCTCTGAATCCATATAATGAGTGATGGGCTTGCTCATAATTGTGAACATATGAAGCTAAGCAGGCTGGAGTTCTTGATCGTGCCAGGTAGCTGAAAAGCTTAGCTTGTGTAAAACTTCAATTCTCTCCCTCCCCCTGACCTTTTAGCTTGTCAGGAATTATTTCTTGGGTATACAGCCTCAAGGAAGGTGAGCCTGTGAAGACTAAAATCAATAAGAAAAGTCATTTGATTTTAAGTAGGCATATAAAAGTTTGCCATGTATAGATTGTTGTTCTATCTCATCGAAGGAAATGTAACTACTCAGAAATGGCTATGGTAGCATTCGAGAAGTTGCTTTATATACAATAGCCACTAAGAACTACCATTTCCATGAATTTTTTATGCACTGTTTTGTAATTGAGTTTAAGTAGCTATGTAAATTAGATGAAGCTGTTGAGCTCATTGTACATTTCCAGCATGCCCTGTTAAAGCCAAATGTGACAATTTTTCTATATAGAAGACACTTCTGTTCAGGAAAACAGAAAGGAAAGTGCCTGTACACATTCAAGATGCTGATGATGCTGATGATGATTAACCTAGCACCATATGAACACTTCACAAAAAATAGATAACAGGTCCCTAGTTGGACTTACAATCTAAAATAAACATAGGGAAGCAATGGAGGAAGGGAAATGGAGGCATGGGTAGATGAGATCTGCTACAGAAGATGTGCTACACATGCATTTATTAGCACGCAAATATTTCAGTACATGCACTGAAACCCACTTAGCAGCTTGTGTACAAAAAGATATACACTTGGTTGTTTGCGTGGTCTTACATAGGAGTACTGTGACTAGGAACTATTCATTTGAAATAGCCTTTGATGCTGAACAAGTTGCCCAATCCTCCTTTGTTCAGAGCTACTTACAGGAGAAGCAGCTCCTCACACCACAGTATATTGCCTCTTCATGTACTTCTAGCCTTGGCTTATTCCAAACTGAAATGTTCTGCAACTCAAATGTTGTGAACTGCCCTGAAATCCATGGGTATAGCAGAATACAAATTTAATAAATAATAATTATTATTACTGCTTGCTAAAACAACTATATTCTGGTTCAGGCTCACTGCTGACTTATGGGGCTGTGACTTATGCCTCATTAACAGATTCTCATACTTTTTAGGGTAACCCTCTTATGGTAATAACAGCAGAATTAGGAGGGAATTGAATATATTATTCACTTAAATTGTACAGATCCCTATGAGATGGTGAGCTTAAGTGCAGGGCTGTATGTACTGTCATGTTAATGAACATACTGTTCTAAGCTAGCCAAAAAACTATACCAAGAAAATTCTGAATTCAACAACCTATGTCCGTTATGTATGTTTACTGATGCTACATCATTTTGCTTCTGCTAGTCAAAGGAAGAAGCAACCAGATATGACACCGAGGCAGCCCCCATGGGCACCTGGAAATCCTGCTAAGCCGCTTCTGGTTTAAAAATGACATAAAACCTTGGAAGCCAGTCTTAAACCATAAGGGATAATTCAGCATCTAACCATTTCTTTTATTTATATTTTAAATGCTGAAATTCTTAGGAGGATGAATTGTATACATAGTGGATCCCATGTTCAAATACTTGTGAAAGGGGCTGGCTATATTTACTGGTGATAAAGGAGAAGAGAAGATTCAGGAGAAGATACTGTACTCCCTCTGCCTTTCTCTTTAATAATGCTTCTGCTGCAGTAGCGCTGACCAGCAGAGATAAAATTGCATGGAGTGGTGGTTGAGATACTGTTTTCTTTCTTTCCCTTTGTACTGAGTTGTAATGGGGGGCGGGTGGACTTTCAGCTCTGGCCTTGTTGAGAGGTGAAGCTGGGGACTTTTTTGCAGCAGAGATCTCTCAATGCCCCACCTACCTTCCTTCAGTGAGAAAGTATTGTGCAGCCCACTGCCTTGATTCACTTCCTTCCTAGATTTGTACAGTCAATAATATGGCACAACTCTTAGCTTCTTTTAGGCAATGCATCTTTTCTTATGGGGGGTAGGGGACATAGACAAGAATTGCTATGGACCATGCATGTGTGTTCTTTCTGCCCCTATCTTCCCCACAGCAGGATGCCAATGTAAAATATTTTAGAGTAGAACTTGTCTCAAAGCCACTGTTCCTTCTGTCTTAAATGATTTGCCTAATGGACAGCACTCTGGCAATTATTTCCATATAATAATGTTATGTTGGAGCCATGTTTCTTAGAAGTGCTTATCTCCTCCCATTTAGCCAGTTTCTGTTGATTATAATGGAGCTGTAGTGAATATAGCCTTTATTTAATAAGTTGGCTGAGGGTGGGTAACCTCAGGCCCAGGTGCCAAAAGTTGCCCTCAGACCTCTATCTAGCCTTCAGGTCTGTGCCAATGCAGTGCCTCCTCCCCAGGTCACCACCCCTCACTGGCCTTGCACTTCATCTTCCTATAGTGGTTTTGTGTCCTTGAACTGCAACCATACCTCTTGGTTGCTTGGATGGATGGATGGAGAGGGTTGTTTGTCTGACCACACAGGTAGGTGTCCCTTGCATTGAAAAACACCCCCCCCCAGTCTAGGCTATCAGGAATTCCATTCAGACGAATACAGGTGCCCCCCCCCTTACATGGGGGTTACGTTCTGGGCCCCCACGCACATAAGCATGGAAATACAGATTATTAACCCTTTAATAGGCTAGCACCCCGTGTTGGCTGGTACAGTACCAAGATGTAGTAGGCACTATATTATATGCAGCTGGCTACTTCCCCTACCCTCATTTGAATAGCCTGTTGTAGTGGCAGTAAGTAGACACAATAAACCAGACTGGCAACCTGTAGTTTATCCATGTTGCTGAGGGCTGGCTTGTTTTAGTTGTCTTGTACTGCTGACGGGTATGTATAGATTGAACAGCTTAGCAAACTTCAGTCCTGCTCATATATGGCAGGCTCATATATGCTTGGCAGGGGGTTGGACTCGATGGCCCTTGTGGTCTCTTCCAACTCTGATTCTATGATTCTATGAGCAGTAATTGCAGTAAGAAGTGTGAGTCGATGCTGGAATTGTATGTGGCAAATGCAGATTTAAAACTTTCTTCAGTTAGGAAGTTAATGGGTAGTCTGGCATGTCACTGTTTCTTGGCCTCTGCAGATTTTAGAACTATGCTTGTCCAATTCAGTTTTGTTAGTGTGGGAAAGAGACCTAAGTAGTCTCATGCAGTCTGGAAGTCTTTGCTCAGGGCTGTTAAAAAGGCCTAATCATGCGACCTTGCTGGGTGGGAAGGAGGTGGCTTCCCTGTAGGCTCACTTTTTCTTCTGATGGTATGTGGTGTGTATAGAAGTAGGTGGTATGTATAGAACAAGCAGTATTTTCAATCCCTAAATCTTATCATGCAGAATAGTGCCTGAAGGCAAGCTAGAAGGCCTGGGCAATTAGCCCTAATACCGCCTATTAGCATGGTAAAATCTGCAGTGCCAGTTAGCCTCCTTCGTTCAAAATGCTAATTAACTATCCCTTTATTCATTGGAAGAAAGAACTAAAGCAATAGATATCCTCATGCACTGTTTCAGACTGAAGTGGTTAACTTATGGCTAACATTTGAATCAGTTTCAGCACTTAAGTTGAAATTTAGGTATGGCTGTGTCAATAAATTCTTCCTTCTTGGCAATTAGGTATATTTTAATTTAGTCAATCATGTAATAGGCTTATGTTACAAAATGAATATGGATTTTGAATTTGATTTTTGTAAATTTTTTTCGGTTTTGGAATAAAGTTTTAAAAAAATTCTTCATTCTTGGCATTTGGTTACTTGACTGTAATGCGTACTTGTAACTGTGGTATGCAAGACACTCTGAACTATCATATTTCAGTGCATTGTATATCCAGCCAACTGAAGGTTAGCTCAGGGAGACAATCTGTGACCTTAACCAAGTTCTTAACCTGAATATTTGAACTTTTCTGAAATGGTGATGTGGACAGTACTCAGAAAAGTCTTGGAGCAAATTTGGCCAATTATTTCCTGACCACCTTTAAAAGGAATTCTGATATGACTGAAATGTTAATAACAGAACATCAGAGGGTGAACATACTGATCAGCGTCTGTTCTTGGTTTTCCTGCTGATCCCCCCCCCCCCAATTCTGTGTCATGCAGGTGGAGGAGGAAACCGAAAAGGCAAGAGTAAAAAATGGCGCCAAATGCTACAGTTCCCACACATCAGCCAATGTGAAGATCTTCGGCATACTTTGGGTAAGGAGCATGCTTGCATTGGGGAGATGCTGTCTTCCCTGCTTTCTTGTGTATGGCGTGGAAGTGGCTGGGTTACAAAGAAGCCTTGAGTACTTGGCATAAGATCTTATACATTCACCCTATTGTAAGCTATGCTTGTTCATATGATTGCCTGATGATGCAGGATTTTGTGGCGGTAGCATTGTCATTACCAAACACTCCTGTGCAATTATTTTGCCTTAGTATTGCATCACCATGACCCTCTGGCAGCATTGTGAGAGGTTCTAGTTCAGTAATAGAGCATATACTTTATATGCATTAAGTCCCAGATGCAGTCTTGGGTATCTGAACTGGGAACTGCCTCTGCTTGAGATGTTGTAGAGTAGCTGCTACTCAAGAGCAGGCAGTATTGGGCTAGATGGACCAGTCATCAGACTTGGTACAAGGTATCTTCATAAGTTCAGGGATGCCTTTCTCCTCTTGCAAAGTTTACCCAATCTCATTTTAAGCAGCTACTTTACTGCTCTCCTTAATTCCACTTGCTTTCCCCTGAGAATCAGTTTTTATTCCAGCTGTGTCAAAATCCAAGCAGTCTCCTCTCCCACTTCTATTGGCTTAATCATTCCTGGGGAACTCCAGCCATTTCTTCCCTGATCCCTTTGAAGTGCTTATGAAGTATTGGGGAAAACTGCATGTCAGTTTAGAGCAGGGGTCAGCAACCTTTTTCAGCCATGGGCCATTCCACCATCCATCAGACCATGTGGTGGGGCAGACTATTTTTTTGGGGGGGGGAATGAACAAATTCCTATGCCCCACAAATAACCCAGAGATTCATTTTAAATAAAAGCACACATTATACTCATGTAAAAACACCAGGCAGGCCCCACAAATAACCCAGAGATGCATTTTCAATAAAAGGGCACATTCTACTCATGTAAAAACACACTGATTCCCGGACCGTCGGCGGGCCGGACTGAGAAGGCGATTGGGCCGCATCCGGCTCCCAGGCCTTAGGTTGCCTACCCCTGCTTTAGAGCCTGTATTCCTGCTCCAAGTTGGCCTGCTTGCTTCTTTTCTTCCACCTATTAACTGTACAGCTCTTCATCTCTAATTATAGTGAACAAAAAATGCTCATTGAGAAGGCTGTGAGCAGTTAGATGTGGTATGGGAAAACTTGAACTGTTGCCTGGCAAGTTGAAATCATGCAGTCTTCTAGCTTAAGCTTGGTTTCTGAATTGCAATTAAAGCAATTTCTTCTTAAATGCTAGCTGGGGCCTCTTTCACTATCAGGATGCCAGCCCACAGACCTATCCAAGGGGAAAGTTGTTGACTTTCTCTGTAGAGCATCCCTTCAAATCAGGCCTGGGGCGCTTGCAATTCTCCAGATGTTTCTGCTCTTTGACTGTTGACCATGCTGACCAGGGCTAATGGAAGTTGGAGAGGCACATGTTCTCCAGACAGGCTTCAAATTACTGGTGACAAAGGAATTCTTGGGAGTGACAAAATTGTGAAAATAGCCCAAGGTGCAGAAAAGAATGCTGCACAGAGTTTCTTGTTACTGACAGGACTTGCTCAGCCTGGCTGCATTAGAAGCTCTTTGCTATCGGGTGTATGGTAGCTGTACAGATTTCCTTGCAGTTGACAACAGTGGTTCTTGTTCCCAAGATCATGTGCCTTGATACAGAAGTACCATTAATTATTTAAAAAGAGGCCTTTTATAGATGACTTGAATGCTACTCTAAATCAAGATTTATCTGTTAGATTTGGATTTCTTTTGGTGGTGATTATTTCTGGAAGCCCAGCCAGATGGGCGGGGTATAAATAAATTATTATTATTATTATTATTATTATTATTATTATTATTATGGAATAATGGTATAAATTATTTTCTAGCACTATAGATTCTTTAAAGAAGAACTGGCAATTTGAATAGGTCTTTTGTGGTACTGTTTTTTTGTGGGGGGGTTTTGTAGAAGGATGTTCCTTAATTCTAATAAACATTCAATAGTAACATTGTTACTTTTCAAATTTATAACATCAGGTTATGGGTTTACCATAAAAGGTTACTGAGATGAGTGAGAGAAACTCATTCCATTAAACACTTGATGATTTGCTTACACCCTGGTCATGCGGATTTCTGGGCTACTATTCATAAGACTCTGAATACTGATTTCTGGATTTCATTCAGGCTATTGGCCCATCAAACTCAGCATTTTCTAGACTACACAGACTTAGCAGCTCTTTGGGGTTTCACTTTCCCAACTCTGCCTGGAGATATCGGGGATTGAACCTGGAACCCCCTGCGTGAAAAACATGTGCTTTACCACTGCACTATGGTCCTTTCCCTGAAAGAGCTTAATGTGACCCTTCAGCTCAATGTCCTTTTCAGTTTCTCTCCCTGTATACTTCCCCCTCCCCCTTGTTGATCCAAGCTGGACTATGTCAGGGTTTCCTTGTGTTGTCCACAATAATGCCCAGTTGTGAAGTGGTTTCACTTTAATATTCCATTTCCTTACAATGTTCATTATCTTGTGTTCGACTGAAGATAAAAATCACTGCTGGTTTTCTGCCAGTATTCTAGTGCTGACTCTTGAAACTTGCATTCTTCCTTTATAGCCTAGCCATTTGTCCACTTTGAACTCAGTTGGCCTGGCTTTGTTTGGATAACATTTTTCTCTTTCACTATCTTTGCTCTGGGAAAAGTCCCTGTTATTTCCCTGTCCTCCTTCTATCTCCTTATAGTGTCTAGTTTGCAGCTTGCTAGAACGTTCTTCTGTCATAGTTTGAACAAAATAACTTTGGACATGGTACATTGACTAGGGAGCTGCTGGTTGTCTGGTGTATTGTGTGTGTCTGTAAAAACTGGCTGTTCTTAGTAACTGTATGAAGAAGTCCTATTACAGGGGAGTCTGTGGCCCTCTAGATGCTATTAAATTATGGTTTCCATCAACCCTGGCCATTCGTGTTGCTGACTTGGGCTTCTGGGAGTTAAGGTCCAACATTAGTTGGATGGTAGGTTCTCCATCCCTGCCTATGGACTTTCTTTCTCTTTGAAAGAATGGGGGCAACTTGAGATTCCCTACTCTTTTATACTTCTTGTGTGTTAATTTCCTTTCCTCCCTCCCATTATGGAGACCTTGGACCAGGTTGGTTTAACACAGAGCTGCCTGCCTAGAGCAAAGCTCTTGCCTCTACATGGCCGGGGTAGAAAATAATTTTTCTGCAAAAAGTGTCTATTATCCAGCAGAGCTATGAAGAATCCTCTAATCCTGCCAGGTTCTGACCCCTTCACCTTCCTTCATTCAATACACTCATTTCCTGCAAGAGAAGGAAATGGTGCAGTTTGCATATGGCCCCTTCCCCCCCTCTCCACACTTTCTGCATTGGCTTTGTTTTCTTTGACTGTATTCTTACATCAGGAAACCACAGCTTCCTTAGAGCAACTGCTGCACAGAAGAGAACACTTACAACATGCTCCGTAAGAGAGTTGGGGTGGGGTGATTTACAGAAGAACGGCTTCCTGGGAAGTGATGATTAAACTAATTCCACCACAGTGGGTGGGGCCGTGGGCATAGCCGGGGGGGGGCAGTGAGGGGCAGTTGCCCCCCATCAATAAAAATCAATAAAAATACATAGCTAACTGAGGTTCTGCCCCCCTAACAAAAGGCCTGCCCCCCCCCCCGAAATCCTGGCTACACCTATGGGTGGAGCTACAAAGTACTGCCAGGTTCGTTCAAAATATTGCCAGCTGTGGAAGATAAACAAACCCATAAACTGCAAGAAGCATCATCACAGTTCAGGGACACCAATCAGCCAGGCTAAAGCACTCCAGGACAGTGTGGAGCAGGGATGAGGAAGGGGCATGACATGGGGAGAATCTCAAGGGCAGGGTAGAGGCTTGGTAGGCTGTATTGGCACCTGTGCTTGAGGTTCCTCACCTCCATCATAGGGATGGAAGCATAGCTGGCCTGTTTCTTTCTTGCAAAGTTACAAGGTCCTGGATTTCTGCACACGCCTCTTGATCTGAGCATGAATCTTGATTAGAAGGAGAATTGGGGGCCCTGGAAAGGGATCATTAGCTACACTAGTCAGCCTGTACCCCACAGCCATAACCTACCTCTCCATAACCATTGTGGTTTTTCTGTGTGCTTCAAGAAATTAATAATTAAAGGATTCTGCGAACCCAAAGCACTTGCCTACAGATGGAGACTGCCTACTGCTTCTCCACATGATATTGCTGTTCTGGCCTCGCTGCCTTCTATTAGCCTCTGCTCATTAATTCTGCCATATCTCTGCATCTTGTGTGAACTAATCGTTCAGTTATACCCAATACAGCTGAATTAAGTTACCCCGAGGAGGCTGACCTGTTGCTTCGCTGTTGACGTCACTTCTCTAGCTTTGTCCCCTTCAGATTAGAAGACATGCCCAGATCAGGGGAAGAGGGCGGAATCCTTTTAACATGATTTAATAATGTCGTTCCTCCTGTGGTGAGAAAGAGAGAGTAAAATTGTTGATCATTGTCTTTCTGTATGAATAATTGAAAGCAATAAAATGTAAATTTCAAAAATAATGTCACTCCTCTTCTCCCTACTCCCTCCAATTAAGTCAGCGATGTGAAGGAGAGGGAACAACACCTCTGGTGTATAGACTTCAGTTTGAGAGTATAAAATCAAGCCATGAAAAATTAACCTAAATTTTGGGACTTGATATGTCTGACTTGTAGTTGTGCCAAGTAACTCCTCTGGTGGACAAGCTGACCTGTCTTTATTATTATAGCCAAAATGGGGAGTGGGGGGACACACCCTCATCCACTCGAACAAACCTATGACGCCCCAAAAGGCAAAAACATGAAAAGAAGCAAGCCTTAAGCTGGTGCCTGATAAGATCTCCCCTCCTCTTCTGAACAAGTGTTAAATAGTCTGTACTTTGATTTAAAATACCAGCAGCACCTTCCTAGGGATCAATGAGTTGTGGTATGAGTTGTGGTGATTCTGTCACATAGAAAAAGAAAAAAAAGGTTTATTGATATCCTGCTAGAGAAGATATGCAGCTGTGGATGTTTCCATCCTGCTGCAAAGAGATTTAATATCCCCTTGTATAGATGCGGGGAACCTGGGGCTTTCCAGATATTGCTGGGCCACAACTTCCATAATTCCTGGTACCGGCCATGCTGGCTGTGGCTGATGGGGGTTTGGTGTCCAACATCATCAGGAGGGTGACAAGTTCCCCATTCCTGCCATACGAGTTACCAGATATATTGCTTGGAAATTCCAGAGGCCTTTCTCCTGGGCATAGTCGGCCAATTGGTGCCAAAGAAGGACAGAACTTTTTTTATGTACGCCACAACAGCAGCAAGAATACTCATTGCAAAGTATTGGAAGACACAAGATCTACCCACTCTGGAAGAATGGCAGATGAAGCTGATGGACTATATGGAACTGGCAGAAATGACTGGCAGAATCCGAGACCAGGGAGAAGAGTCGGTGGAAGAAGATTGGAAGAAATTCAAAGACTACCTACAGAAATATTGTAAAATTAATGAATGTTAGAATGATGTTGGATAGAAATTAAGTGGTTTCCAGCTGTAATGCTTTAAGGGAATATGAAAAATGGGTTGTTAATAGGTAAAAATCTAATGTTACTATTTTAAGACCAAAGATTAGGATAAACAAAGAGGGTAAGGATTTGCTGAACCAACAAATTGAACTGGAATACAAAAAATGGAGGTATGAGGAGGTCAGGGAAACAAGCTAAGGAAAAATAAGTAATGGAAAAATTGAGTGGTTTTTAATCATTTTTATTTTGTATTTTGTATTTTTCCTTTTTTTCATTTTTTTTGGTCATTTTTATATTGTAACATTTGGAAAATCTCAATAAATATCTTATATATATATAAAAAAGAAATTCACTCTCTGCTCCATGATTCAGCTGTGGCCATTCAGGTTCCTAAACTGATAAGCAGTTGAGTGACTTTGCAAAAGCAGTTCCGTGCAGTGGCCAGAAGGAAATGTCAGTTACTCAAGAGAGCACTTAAATTCTTGAAGATAAAGATTTAACATGAAGATCTTATGGCTAGGAATTAAAATGAGTCAGACACACAGGTTATCTGCTCCATTGAATAGCTTTCAGGACTTGGAATGGACCCTTCTCCTAATCTTTGATTGCTAAAGTGGTTGCTTCAGATCAGATCAAGTAAATTCTTTTGAAAATGGATTTAGTGTCCTCCTCTCTTAAATGTTCCCTGATTGTGGTATGGGTTAGTAGCCGTTGACTAATGCTTCTTTTCTTTCCAGAGCGGGACTACCACAGTTTGTGTGAGAAGCAGCCCATTGGTCGTTTGCTTTTCAGACTGTTTTGTGAAACACGGCTTGAGCTTATGCGCTGCGTCAAGTTCCTGGATGCTGTGGTAAGCACACCTATGTGAGAACCCCTTCCTGGGGGTTAAGCATGGGAGCTGATTAACTGTAAGTTTTGAAGGAAGGGATCCTGGCATGTGGCCTATTGCAAATCCGAGTTTATGGAGGTGGCTTTATTCTTACCTCATTACTTTCACATTATTCATATTCTGCTCATAGTGGAGTCTGGAATAGGTGTGGTGGTTCTTGGACTATACAAGAATATGTGCTTGATTTGCATCATTTCTGCATTTTTATTCTTGGAAGAGGTATGTAGAATAATTGAATATTGCTTTCTTATCCTCATTCTTACATAGGCAGAATATGAAGTAACCCCTGATGAAAAACTAAAAGAGTGTGGACAGCTCCTGATTGAGACGTATTTGACCCCTAAGGTGAGATTTGCATTAGCTAAAAAGAGGGAAAGTTGCCTTAATGAGAGCTGCACTTGCCCTAGACTAAGCTGGGTCAAGGATATGCCTAAAATATTACCAACAGGGAGTAAACATTGGTACCTAGGCCTGGCATTAGCTCCCAGCAGGTGTGGGGGGCCGAGAACCTCCTAGGACTTACACCAGGTTTAATTTTAAGTGCCTGGCACTCCAAGAGCTAATACCAAGAAGAAGAAGCATCCGCCATGCCCCACAGGCTCTCCCCATAATAGAGCAATACTATGTCTGGAGCCAGAGGCATTTGGGAGGAAAGGTAGTAGTGGCGGCATCTGTCCAGCACTTGTCCTTTGACTGCCAGGTACTCGGAAGAAACAAATTATTTGTGCCAGCACTGCTGCCTCCCCAAAGTGCTAACCTGACCCCCCAGCAAGCTTGGCATTATTACAATCTTTTTAAATTTTAAGGGCCTGGTGATGAAGGAGAAGAACAAGGCCGGGCAGCTGCCATAGCCACACCATGCCACTTTCCCCTGGTGCTGTCCACCCCTGCCACTCTGTAAGCTCACTTGGGGTCACCCCAGGATGGTGCTTTGGAGGGGCCCAGAGGCACCTTGCCCAGGACCTCCTTCAAACCTGGTGCTGAATTTGACTCTACCAGTCCATTAGTAGTACCTTCTCCATGGTGATGCCCCAAATTTGGAACAGCTTCTTTCATGAGGGGCACTTGGTGCTAACTTCATTGACATTCCAGGGTCAGACTCTGGCCTTCCTGGTTTCTCCAGACATTTATGAATACTTAGTTGCTGCAGTAATGAATATGTAATTATTGTGGTTGGATCTGATTATCTGTTCTCACTATTCATTGTTTTCTTGTATTGTTGGTTGGCTTAATAATGTTGTTACCTGCTCTGGGATTTATGGGAAGGGCAGGATATAAATTCATAGGTATTAAAAACAACAGAACTCTGATTTTCCTGTCTGATCCTATCTATTCTCAGGGTGTGGATCATGTGCCTGAAGTGCCCTTGGAGCTAGTAAATCTGTGTTCTAAGAGACTGGAGCAGGAACCGGGTAAAGAGCTCTTTAAGGAATCTACCAAGTGAGTGGGGGGATTGGGAGGAATTTGTTTCATAATATGCACAATTCCCAGAACAGTGGTCACTGATTATCTAGTAGGGGCTAACTTTGCATACAGCCTGTTGCATCTGTAAGTGGGTTGTCACCAGCAAGCCTTGGAATTCATTGCTTGGAATTCATGTACTGTTTATTTCCTTGCTGTAGGAGAGCCAGTGGGTGCCATGTTGTGTATAGGCGGCTTATAAGGCTTAATAAATATTAATATTTGAGTTGCTAGATGGCTTACCCTGCTCTTGATGGTGAATAGAAAAGGAGTCACCCCAGCCTGTTGTGATGCTCCTTTTGGCTTGTATTCTATCTCCCTTGGGAACAATGTACTTTCATTAGAAGTCCCAGGGCATAGTCTGAAGGCACATGATGCAGCAGCCTTTGCTGAAGCCAGGCAGGTATTATCTGGTCAATACCTAGATGGAAGACTGGCTGCCTGAGAGCCATATGTATACCATCTTGATTTCAGTAGAAGAAAGGCAGGGTTTAAATAAGAAAGACCTACCTTTAAAACATCTCTCACTACCTTGGCAGCAAATATCAGACCAGGCTTGGATGATTGCAGATAACATTGTGGTGGCACTTTGTACTGATGGTAGTGGTGGTGCTTGGAAGCTGTGGCAGTATCAAAATGAATTTTCTTAAAAGTGAGCCTTGTCTAGAGTTCCCTGTCTTTGTGCTCTTCATCTTGCTGCATTTGCCCATATAATTCAGATTTCTGGCCCCAGGTCTTGCTGCTGCAGCTGTGCAAAAAGCTCTGGCAGTGACCTACGTGGCCATGGTGTATTAACAAAGAGCCTCTGATCTGGAGCCCTGCTTTCTCTGGCAGCCTCTGAAAAGGGAAGTAACCATCATATTCCTTCCTATTGCTCTCCAGATTGGATAGTATGTTGCCTGAGCCTTCTCAATGTCTGCTGTCTCTGGCAGTCTCCTCGCCTTATGATCCAAGAGCTTGTCAAATCCCTTGAAGCGTCTCAAGCTTTAAAACTTGATGTTCATTTCAGCTTTTTTTTCTCCCAGAGGTGCCTCATGTTCTGTTCTCTTTATTTTGTGGCATAGGGAAACCTCACTGTTTCTGATGGGTTCCGCTTCCTTCCTCTAGGCTCATCCATGACTACCTTAGTGTGGCACCTTTTGCTGACTACCTTGACAGCATCTACTTCAACCGTTTCCTGCAATGGAAATACCTGGAAAGGTAAAGCTCCACTTTGCTATGGGATCAGAGATAGGTGTAGCTTTGCTTTTCAACCTAATACCCTTTTGCACATTGTAAAGAACACATTTCATGCCCTTGATACTTTCACTGATAAGTGAAAGAGAAAATGCTAGCCGGTGACTCCTGGTCATATAGTGAGAACAAGTCCTCATCAAGATCAGTTTTTGCTTTTCATTTTGTCAGCCTTGAAACTTGCTAACCATGTAGTCTTAATCCATGCTATATTCTAGTTCATCAAGCTTGTGTGTATACTATGCCTTGCATAAACTGCAGAACAACGGGCTGAATCCAGCACTTTCCATGTGTGAGTGAAACATGTATGCTTGTGTAGTGAGACTTCACTTTCCTCTGCTCTTTCTTGACTCCTCTCCTTTGCAGGCCCCCAGAATCTGCTCCAGAGGGTTGACAGAAGTCTGCTCACACCATGTTGGATTCTGCCCAAAAGCAGTTTTACACTGAGTGCATGGGGGAACAGGATAACCTTTTTAGTGGACTACTTTCAGTTCATTCTCGTTTCCTCTGTTCTCTTCTTAGGCGGCATGTGACCAAGAACACTTTCCGCCAGTATCGCGTACTAGGAAAGGGAGGCTTTGGAGAGGTATGTAGTCTGAGCAATGCAGAGAAGGTAGCCCCACGTCTGCTTTCAAGAATCTATAGAGCATGGCATATTTTTCTCTCACAGAATGAGTCCTATATGAAGGGACTCTTGGTCACCTAAGATGCTGATATCTAGAAATATTAGCTGAATGTTGGGTGGCATGTTGCTGACTGCTGTGTTAAGTATCTTTTATGCTCCCAAGTTTTACATGCAGCACTTCACAAGCAGGAGAATACTAGGAGTGATTCAACACGACTGAGTCCTTCAACCATTCATTTTGGATTTGATTCTGAGCTCTGAGTTTGTCACCTTCTTGTTGCAGCAACATGACAGGGAACCAATTTTTCCAGTGAAAGTTGGGGCTTTCATGGTGTGCCGCAATAAACCATTTACTTAATCTCTATGGTACCACATCACTTTTGCTTTCAGTGAGAGTAATGATTTTGGGATCCAATAACCCCCTTATCAGAACTTATATACTCCAAGAGTTACCTGCCCTATTGTCATTTATTTGGGGTTTTTTTTCTTCCCTCAAGGTGTGTGCTTGCCAGGTGCGGGCCACCGGGAAGATGTACGCCTGCAAGAAGCTTGAGAAAAAGCGGATAAAAAAGCGGAAGGGGGAAGCCATGGCCTTGAATGAGAAGCAAATACTGGAGAAAGTGAACAGTAGGTTTGTAGTAAGTACATAGGAACTGCTTTACTTCTGCACTGAGGCTGAGACAGAATGTGGCCATGTCTTTGACTCTCTCACCCTGGTGTAGCAATCTTGACTAATTCAGGAGAGGACTGCAATATGTGGAATCTTACCCAGATGGCAAGAAAAGCATAAGGCTGTTGGACTTACATTTCTGGGCCATAAGTCTGCATTACTGCATTTGCAGACTAGGATCTGGCTGTATGGAGATCCCTTTAGTAATAACCAGCTCATACAGGTTCTTCACTTACCGGGGATGTTGTGTGGAAGATGCAGGGAATCAGTCTTTTTCATACAATATTATGCAGAAAACTTTCTCTCTTAAGGTTTAATGCATGACCACAAATGTGCCATAGCTGCTTTTCCATGGCTTTGTCTCACACTGCTACTGCAGCACTTGAAAATTATGGTCATATGAGCAGGGCCAGTTTTGTGGGCCTTTCCCACTCAGTTGTCTGCCTCTTTTAGCCAGGCAACTATCAGGAGGGAGGAACCTACACAGTTGACTTTGCTCACATAATGCTGGGCTGTCAAAATATTGCTATTGTATGGCATGAAACAATGGGAAACCCGTCTATGAAAGGATTGTGATGATATAATAAAAGTACATTACTCTGGGGTCTGGCTGGATTTGACTGTCTCACTGAAGGGGACGAGAGTAATAAGGGAATAGTGCTTCATTTAGTGCATTTCCCCCAGCCTGGTAGCCTCCATATTTTTTCAACTACAACTCCCATCAGCTCTTTGCTAATCAGGAATGCTGGGAATTATAGCCCAAAATATTTGAAGGGTACTGAGTCGGGGAAGGCTGCTCCAATGGCTGTAAAGTGCCCTGGCATCAGTTGTAGCTCTGCCATTCTTTGTTCTCTCCATCTGCAACTCACTATCATGTCGAGTCCCATCGCTATTAACCCTACTCCCTCCATACTTTTCAGCTCCTCCTCACCTCTTACCCAAAAAGCTTCATGCAAAGTTAACTCTTCCTCTACGGGATACATAAATTATCCTGCATCTTGCTTTGAGCGTCTATTTTGTTGTGTATAGCTGGTGCAGAATTGTGCCAGTTGTGTGTAGGTGCTATGCTGTGCTTGGCTGTTCTGCTTTTCTAGTGGTTGACTTGGCTTGCTTGTGTTGTAGGTGAGTCTGGCCTATGCATATGAAACAAAAGACGCCTTGTGCTTGGTCCTGACTCTCATGAATGGAGGGGACCTGAAGTTCCACATTTACCACATGGGAGAAGCCGGTTTTGAGGAGCCACGGGCTGTTTTCTACGCTGCTGAAATCTGCTGTGGCTTGGAAGACCTCCACCATGAGAGGATAGTGTACAGGTGAGAACAGTCTTTTCTCCCAGGTGTAGCTGGGGTTCACACTGGGGTTTTATGTTAACAAGGATTTGTGCAGTATCTTAAGCACTGCTACTATATTGTAAAAGCAGTTGTTCAGAATTTAGTGAGGAAACCTCTGAGGCAGGACTAGTTTCCCAGAACTCACCAGCACAGGTTTTCATTCTCCTTCCAAGCTGAGAATCCAAAACATATCAGACTCTCATTAATGCCCAAGTGGAAGAAAGAAGGGGGAAAAATTTGTACTGGGAAAGTGGCCCTGCCTCACAAATTTCCCATATGTGAAAGGTATGGCTATATAGTTCATATTTTCCTGTGATATTGGCATCACTAATTCTTGCTTATATGTTTTATGGTGCTTCATCTCTGCTAGTCCTGGAGAAGCAACCCATTGAGGTTTATGTCTTACACAATCTATTTTCCTCCATCAGGGACCTGAAGCCAGAAAATATATTGTTGGATGACCATGGTGAGTAAATGTCTGTTCTAAACACTCTGGCTTCACTGCTATCTGCAGTTTTTATATCAGATTTTGTTCTGGGTTGAGGGAAATCTGCAAACTGCACACTTGCATGACTCACTTTCCTTTGATAAGGTCACATCCGCATTTCTGACCTGGGCCTCGCAGTTTATGTTCCGGAGGGACAGACGATAAAAGGTCGGGTGGGAACAGTTGGCTACATGGGTGAGTATGCAAGAAATGCCCTGTTGAATTGACCGGGTTCAACATGGAGACCATGAAATGCAGCAGCCAAGGACTCTGGGTAAAAGCAATATCTTGTCAAAGTTTGTAGTTCAGAACAATGGTGGGTGCTATTGTAGTATGTTGGAAATCCAGTGAAACTTAAACCCTAGGTTCAACATTCTGGTAAGATACTAGTCTCCTAAGAAGTTAAACTATCAGTTAAATCTTTAAGTTTGACTCAGAAAGTGCATTTATCTTCATTGCTGTGTAATCCATTTCACTACTTCTATTTTGGCAATACCTTACTTGATCCTAAGCATTCCTTCTCTTCAATTACATTTGGACCCTAAGTTTTGTAGGAAATTAGATGGAGGTGAATTAATTCTTTTTACAGTGCTTATAAAACAAACAAGCTCCTATTGTTTCTGCAAAGCTGTAATTTTGTACTTTGCAGTTAGCTTTGGGACTAACATTTTCCTGGTGTCCAAAGAGCAGCAGTCTAGATAACAAAATTGTGCAAGAATTGGCACCCCTTTCAAGGTGTCAGAACAAGGATGCTTTAGATTGGGTAGAACTGGCAAAGTAAGCAGAGTTCAGTGTTGCTTTTGACTTGTGGTGCCATGTTCTGTACAAATTATTTCCTGTTACTGCAAGCCAAAAACCTGGTGGTGGTTAAAGTACAGTATTGGTATGGTGCCAGTTAGCCTACGTTCACTTAATTAGTATATTTTGGTAGATGTTCTACAGACATTGACTCTTCCTTGCATTGTTTGGCTGGAGGAGGAAAAAAGATGGTATTTGAGGGCAGTGTGGAAGGATGAAGGGAGGAATTAAACATCATGCTCTGTTGAACTTTCCATCTGCACAACCTTTTAAGTTTGCCAGATGGACCAACCTCCTCTGTTCTGGGGGTTCTCCCATCTCCTCCTCCCACCAAGATTGAAGAATGCTTGGGCAGGGACAAAACTAGGCTTTATTTCACCCAGGTCAAAGACCCAGTTTGGCACACGCACATGCATTTGCTCGCGCATGCGCACACACACACACACAGAGGAAGCCTCAGTGGCGCCCCTCTGGAGGCTTCACCTGGGGCGAAAACCTGGCTAGCCGCCACCACCACGCCATAGCTACAGCTCTGGATTTTTTTGGGGGGGGGAGCACTTTCACCCAGTGGAAGACCTTGCACAGGGCTTCTGCTTATGGGGAATCATTAGGTGAATCCTGTCAAGGACTAAGGTATATTACAAAGGTGTACATGATGAGATGGCTCCTCTTTGTGGCACATCACTGAACCCTGGCTTGGGGACTGTGTTAAGCATTCCCTTTCCTGCCTGCTGCTTCTTCTTAAAGCAGTTACAAGTACTGTACTTTACACTGCCACTACATTAAACATGAGATTTGGAATTGCACTTGGCAACACTAGCGCAAGTCTGACCAGTTCTATTGAGCTCATAGCTAGCTGCCTGAACATTGGTCCACCTAGCTCAATATTATCTATGTTGATGGGCAGTGGCTCACTAGAGTTAGTTTTTTCCAGCTGTACTTGGAGATACTAGGATGTGAATCTGGGACCTGTTGTGTGCAAACTGTGTTCGCCTTCACTGAGCTACAAACTTTCCCTTAACACTCAGCACCATGCATTTGAAGAATATCCACAGGCCTGTTCAAATGGTTCTTACTTTTGCAGCTCCTGAAGTTGTGAAGAATGAGCGGTACACATTCAGCCCTGACTGGTGGGCCTTAGGATGCTTGCTATATGAGATGATTGAGGGCCAGTCTCCATTTCAGCAGCGGAGGAAGAAGATTAAGCGCGAAGAAGTAGAACGCCTGGTGAAGGATGTGCAGGAAGAGTACTCTGAGAAGTTCTCACCTGCTTCCCGTTCTCTCTGCTCCATGGTACATATATTGTCTCATCCTTAAGCTAGTTACCCTCCTTTTAGCATTTAAAAGGGGTGCCTGCTCACCTCTAAGTGGGCTCTGGGTACGTTGAGAAAGCTGTACCTGCTCACTGGAAACTAACTTCAGAGTAGTGCAGTACACCATAACTTTTGTTTTGCTACTAGATCTCATTTTGTGTGTATGACTTCTCCAGAGCCAGAGGCAGCCAGGAAATCAAGGCAGTGAACCTTTGTGAAATGAACAAAAATTGTAAAAATACTTCTCTTCAGGGCAGTTGTAGCTTGGTAGCAGTTTAGTGTCAGACTCAGAAAACGTCATCTCATCTGTACTCACTAGTTCTTCATTCCTCTTCAACCTGGCTCCTGGAACATTTGTATTTTCAATAAGAGTAGGGTATGGTGCAGTATGGCCTAGCTGCAACTGTGACATGAATCTAGATCCCTTCCTAGATTACCTACCTACCTGGCATCAAGCAGTTTAATATTTTAAGCTTTTCCTTGTCCCATCCTGTTAATTTATTCTCTCAGTTAGCTTATTGGAGCTTAAGCAATTGAAGGAAACCTCAATCATAACTAGTGCAGAGGGTTTCATTCAAGTAGGAGGTCTCTGAAGTGTCAGTTACCCATTAAATACACATCAATAGTTTCAAAAATCCCTTCTCGTTTTTGAGTAAATGTAAAAAGATTGGTAGAAGAACTAAGGGTCGGGTATGAAATCATGTGAGTGCTGTGTCCCAGTCATCAATCTTGTTGCATACATAACAGTCTCAGATGTTTGGAAGAATTAGCAAGCCTTATTTACTTCTTTCCTCCACACTATAACTCACTTTACATAGCTAAGAGTTTTTGCATCTTGCAAGAGGCTTGAATAAGCAATGGTTGGGAGGGAGGTTGCTTGCTCATGTAAGAAACTTTTATGTCCTTCAATATGCAGATTGATGTTTAAAATAATGCATGCTTCCTGTGATTATCCAGGATACCCTAGAATGCAACTATTGGACTAGACCCTTCCCCTCCAGCGGCCTTCTTTTGTCTATCAGTGTACAAGATATATTCATTCTGTATTGTAACTTCTGTGGATTGTTGTCTTAAAGCCATGGGATTTCTGACTGGCTAGTGGAAGACGGGGTATAAGTCTCAGAAATAAAGCAACAGGGATCCTTCTTGCTGTTTACTGAGCAAATAAGGGCATAATATTAAAACAAATCCTCCCAGATTATTTTGATGTCTTTTTACTTTAGAGTTGTCATATGTGGGGATTTAGAAGGCCATTTTATTCAGTTATTCATAACCAGCAACTTAAGCTGTGTTTCGGGTTCAGTTGAAAAGAACCCCATTCTACCAATAATGGTTCAAGTTCTGTTCCAGAATATTGTTCAGAAATAACATTTTAAGCAATTTTCAGCTTAGGTCTGTTGCCCTTTGTAGCTAAAGCCTTCTGGCAGTACAGAGGCTTTGGTGTGACACCCTGTGCTATGTTACAGCTCCTGTGTAAAGACCCACTGGAACGGCTGGGATGTCGAGGTGCTGGTGCTCAGGAAGTGAAAGAGCACCCTCTCTTTAAACACTTGAATTTCAAGCGGTTGGAAGCCGGGATGCTCGACCCACCATTCAAACCCGATGTGAGTTCAGAATGCACGTGTGTAGCAGAGTCTTCCTCGTACCACCTGTTGGTTGTGTTCAGGTGTAGGAGAATAGCCCTTTCATTACTCTCCTTTTTCTGCATTCTTCTTAGCCCCAGGCTATTTATTGCAAGGATGTATTGGACATTGAACAATTCTCTACGGTCAAGGGGGTAGAGCTGGAGCCCACCGACCATGACTTCTACCATAAGTTTGCAACAGGAAGCGTCCCTATTCCCTGGCAGAATGAGGTAGGTGCTCTTCTACGCTTCAGGAGAATTTCTGCTTCTGATGGGAAGACACGCTGAGTCATCTGCACTTGGGGGTGGGGTGCAAAGCTGTTCCATAACTGACTGGCTGAGGTATTGTATAAGTAGCTAATTTGGGACAAGTGTCATGGAGACACCCTGTCAATGAGGACCTGAGGAGGGAAGACCAATAGTGAGCTCGTCATCTTTTTATTCTCCCCTAGATGATAGACACAGAGTGTTTCAAAGAGCTGAATGTTTTTGGTTCAGATGGAGCCATACCGCCTGATCTGGACTGGAAGGGACAGCAACCCATCCAGCCCAAAAAGGGTCTCCTCCAACGTCTCTTCAGCAGACAGGTAACTTGCCTGAAATGTGGGAAGCAGGTTTGTCTTGACATGGGGATCAGAAACCAGTTCTGGAATGCTCTCTGCCCTCTCTTGGCACTGCACAGGGCTGGCCCATCCATGGGGCAAAATGAAGGAATTTTCTTGGGAAGCATTGTCTGATGATGGGGCAGTAAATGAGTGCCTCCTGCTTGCTTCATCTGCCCTTCTTTCTCTGCCCCCACTTCCCAGGCTTTCCATGTTTTGCTGTTCCTTACATGGTGGCAGCCTGCTCAGCGTCTCCCTCCTCTGCCTTGCATTTAGGAAGGGTAGGGGAGTCCTTCCTCCGAGCAACCCAGGAGAGTGCCTGCACCACTGCCACTTTCCTGGGGTGGTCTTTTAACATTATTTAAAAGTTTAAGCGCAGCGGTGGTATAGGCACTTTCCTATGCCACCTCTCTCAGTATGTCTTGCTCTGAGGAAGGACCTCCTTGTTTTCCTGAGGCAGAGAGGAGGTGGAGGCATGCTGCTACTGCTACTGCTGCTACTGCATTAGCACCAGCAAAACATTAAAAGAGAGAGAAGAGGAGAAGAGAAGAGGTGTGGAGGAGGGGTGAAGGTGTAAGAAGAGAGGTTAGCAGCTTTCCTCAAGTGGTACCATGTCTTATGCCAGTCCTAGCACCACTGATCTTTCTGTATCTATACACCTCAGACCCATTAGCAGGCCAGCTGCTGTAGTGGCACTCAAGCTCAGCTAGTTCAGTTTACTAACATAAACTCCATAAACTATGTGACTTCCCACTTCCAGGGCAACTTTCTTTCTGAATAACCAGAAGGACATCTTTGGGTTTGGTACCCAAGAGGCCCTAGCTTTGTATGTGTGATACTTAACATGGATTTGTGGGTGGCTGGAAGCATAGTCTAATAATTCTTGGCTTTAGACAGGCTTGCTCCTTTTGGCTCTGGACAAATAGTTGGAAAGCAATGTAGTCCCCCATGTACCCAAATGCCTCTTGTCATGGCCAGTCCGGCCTGCCTGTTTCCCATCCCAAAACTTCTAAGACAGCTGTGGGAGAGAAACACTTGATAAAGTGTCATTTGTTCTTCTCAGAAACTAGTCCCTGGACCCCCTTATGTCTTCATGATTTAGAAATATAGCTTCTTGCACAGCACATGTGTTTGTGGTGCTTTTTGCTTAGAAAAAAGTGTTCACTCCCAGTGCTAGGAACCTGACCTTATTGTGGTGTGTTGTGTGAATGAGAGCCCATTTAAATTGGCATCTTCCCTCCTTTCTGTGGGCTCATCATTTTCCAGTATCCCTCACCTTGGCAGTTCCTCTGGGTCTTGCTCTGGCTGCTCTGTTTGGTGGTAGTTATCCCTGTAGGCCAGGAGAGGCCTTAGGAGAGGGCATGGCTATTTCTGGCCGGGCTCTCACAGCATGTTTTCTCTTTCCAGAGGTGAGCAACCTCTTCTCTGCTGCTCTGCTCAGGAAAATGACTACCTGGTGCCCCAAACTCCCCTGGCGGACATGACAAGACAAGGGGATGAGGACTCTACCTCTTCAGTGCCTCCCTCTCCTTCCCCCTCTCCCCCCTCTCCAAAATACGCTGTTTGTTCATTAATAGTTCTTCAAGCCACTAATCCTGCTTCCTGCAAAGCATCGTGAATGTCTTGCCTTGTTCCCTTGCCATGGAAGCAGCTGGATTATTATTTAAACATCCCTTTTCTCCAGCTCCCATGCCTTCTTTATGTGGCCTTGCTATTAAGAATGGAAGTTTTCTCTCTCTCCCTCACGTACCCAAGAACCCCGCACACTTTTTGAGAGCTTGCTGATGTTCTAGACATGTCCTGCTTTCTACAGTTAGGCCATGCTCTTATTGCAGTTGTTCCATTGAAGTAATGGTTCATCTTTCTGTGTTTATCTGTTTCCTGCTGTGGTTTTACTAGGCCTACGTAAGACCCCACTGTTGTCCTGGGCTCACTAACATAGAATAATTTCTCTTCCTGCTTCTGTACTTGGCCATGGCCAAGTACAATTAGATTCCTCACAGCCCATAAATAGGCATTGAAAGGGTATGGAAAAAAGGCACAGTCTGGTTGTGAATAAGGGAGTGTGGTAGGAGGTCCAGCATGATATTCTCTCTCTCCCTCTCTAGTCCTGCAGGTTGGCTGCCAGAGAGCACTGACTGCAAGCAGCTCCACCAGCAGATTTGGTTTTGGTGCTGAGCCCCAAAGTTCTTTTCTAAGCAATGGTTTCTTTTTCTGTGGGACTGGGAATAGAATCCTGTGGCATGTCTGCGTGTTGAATAATAACTGTACTCACTCTGTGCTTGCTGTGTGCTCTCCCTTTTCCCCTTGCTTTCCCCCACCCTTCCCTCCTCCTCCTGCCGCCTCCTCCTTCCTTCATTCTCCAGGACTGTTGTGGGAACTGCAGTGAAAGTGAAGAGGAACCCACTCGCCTATAGGTCCTGCCAGCCTATTATTTCTATGAGCCTGGCCAAGCAGCGAGCTGACTCAACAAAAGAGATGGTACTGGCTTAGCACTGGCTTGGCTTACAACCCAGCGCACATGCTAGCTGTATGAGTGTGGGATCATCGTTTCAGGGTGGCAGCAGACTCCACCCTACAGAGGAAATGCTCCAGGACGGGGGAAAGTAGACACCTCTGCAAAGGTCTTCAGTGTACTGCCAAGGGATCATCCTGCCACACCTTTTCCATAGCGGAGAGATGATGGCAGGAACTAGTGAAACATTCCAGGGCTGGCCCTGATCCTGGCCTTTGGCCTCCCATCTGCTCACCTGCTGGAGTTTGTTTTATATATTTATATTGATATATCTATGAATGTATGTATATAGCATATGTACATTTTTAATTGTTGGGGATGGAGGTCCTTCTGTATCTCTCTCTCTTCCTTACCCCAGCGTCCTTGCTTCACCCTCGTGAACACTGTGCACCAGTAACTTCTAAGAAACAAGTGGGCAGCTCTGTTCCCCAAGCAATGGATCCTTTTAATGTTCCCTGTGGAATATTCACCAGTCTGTTCTGCTGGTGAAAATGGGTAGAAGGAGAAGCTCAGGAATGGCAGCTGCAATGCAAGAGCAGCCTCCACTGGCATATCTAGTCTGCAGGGACACAATTGGGATAACCTGTGTGTGCCCAGGACTTCCCCCAGATGACTTGCTTTGGTCCCTTAATGCACAATGAGAGTGATGGAGAGATGCTAAGGCTTGTAGACATGTCAAGATAATACCTGCAGGTTTTTCTGAGATGACAGGCTGTGGGTTTTTGGTTGGTTGGTTTGTTTTTAACATGGTTAATTGAAGTAAGGAAGTTTTCAAACACTAGAGTATAATTACAGTTGACTCTCAACTTACACAAGGATTTCATTCCGGGGATATCGCATAAAGCCAAAATGAAGTATAATCAAAACAACCCTTTAAAAACAGTAAAAGGCATGTCTCAGCACTCTCCAACCACCTCTACATTCTATCTGAAGGCTGCACACTCTCTCCCAAGGTTGCTACAGACTCCCCGCACCTCCAAACAATCTCCCAGGGTGGGTGCAATGGTTGGTGGGATTGCCAATGTTTCCTCTCCACCACCTTCTGACATTTATCCCTGCTGCCCCCTTTTCTTTGGCCAAGCACATAAAGCTGTGATCACACAAGTTAAATGGAAGCTGGTGGCAGCATACTGGTTTCTAGCTTTAATTTCTTTCTTGAAACTCCAATAAGGCCAGTATGAGTTGACAAGGAAAGCTGGGGAGGATTTGTCATTTACCTCGGGAACCTATAAAAGTTGAGTCTGTATTTTTATTTATTTTCTGGACCACTGTGCCCTATTTTTCTCCCCCAAGAAATGATGTGATTCTGTTGTTTGTCCTAGTAATGTTTTCTAAAGAGTTCACCCGCCAACTGTGCCAATGTGGGAGCATGCATGGATTCGAGCCTAAAATCTTGAGCCCTCTGCACTTTTTTCAAAGGGTTAAACTTCTTGAAAAGTGAGAGGTCTCTAATAAAACCTCCTGGTGTCTTCATTTTTAATGTAAAGCAGGTGCTAGTTCTCTGAATTTGGAACAGCAGCATTGAAAGTGTAGGGTTCACCCTTTTCCCTTGCACAATTTTCCTAATCACATCGCACCTCAAAGCTGCTTGTTAGCCTTAGAGTAGAAAAATAGCAGCTTTGTCCAGGTGAAGCTTGGCTCTTTTGGTGAAGAGCTCAGAAAACATTAGGAGATTCAAGTGTAGATGTTTTCTGTCTGGTGTAACTAGGCTGAAAGTCCTAGTCATCTTTCTCCATAGGAATCTCTTCTACAGTCTTCCATGGCTGGGAGCTCAAGGCACCCACAGAGCTGCATTTGTGCCTTCATGAAGCTCTGATAAGTAGACCTATTTATTGCCTGGACTAAAGATTTCCAATCTCAAATAATTCCCCTTATTCTATATCTAGTGCGCACTTCTTCAGTCTCCCAGCAGTTATTTCTAACCTGGAGATTGTGTGTGTGTGTGTGTGTGTGTGTGTGTGAGAGAGAGAGAGAGAGAGAGAGAGAGAGAGAGAGAGAGAGAGATCTGCCTTGCTCCTGGGCAGTTAACCTCATCTGCCAGTTCACCTATGGTATCTCATGCTAGTGTTGCACTGTTCTTGATAATATTGGAACTATTTTGAACTTGTTTGCTAACTGTATGTCCTGATGATTCATTGCTGTGGTACAGAAGTGGATGCAGTGAACACATTGCCAGGGGCTGGGCAGTTTCATGCTGATGCTCCTGAATGTGGAGCATCAGTCAGCATGTCCCTGAATTAGAAAAGAGCAGCTTCTCTTCATTGTTTTCTGTGTGGCAAATAGATCTTTTGTTACTGCCTTCCATCCTTGTCTTCTCTACACACTCTCACGTGCCTCTTGCAGCCTGTCAGTTAACATCCAGCTAGCAATTCAGTGAGCCTTTCTCATTCCTTTCCTTAGAAACTCCAGTTGAACGTGATATTTTATTTACAGACTTCTTCATTGTGTCTTTTCCCTGTCTTCCCTATCTTTTGATTTTATTCTGCCTCTTTCAAATACTTTTGAAAAATATTTCTGATCATCTGAAAATTTGTCTGAGAATATCATTAGTCACTTCATCCCACATAATATCTTAGAGCTGATGTACATTTGTAGACGCAACCTGAAAGGTAGAGTTTAAAAATGGAAAGTGGACTGCAACTGTAAATAGAACATGGGCAGGTTTCAGTGCAATAAATATGGATGTCAGTCCCAGTTCCAGATGTTACTGCAGGGAATCCATGTTTTTTAAACTCCTGTGTGCTGTTCACAGTTGACAGGGAAACCTGTAGTTCTGTCATTTAAACTTGAGTCCTTTTTGTAATGTTTAAGCGTGACATCCCTAAGACTTGTTATAGGTACATAATGCAAAAGACTAATAAAAAGGACAGTTTCCCTTAGGTGTAAGATTATATGATTTAATAAAATCTGCTACTTATTGCCAGTAGAAAATGTTATCTTAATATTTTACATTTAATCAAATTTGGGAATATAGAATATTCCCTCCTTAACAAAAATACACACCCCTTTTTTAAAAAAGAAATAAAACTTCATGTTCCATCAGTATTATAAATATATATTTAAGTGTAGTTATTGGTGTTAAAACACATTGGCAAATTTTGTGTTCTGGTTTTTGAATTGAAGTAGTGGAGAGAAAGAAATGTAAGTTTCAAGTATCTTTTCTTCATCAAATCTGGAAGAAGGAGTTAATTGTCTCCAATTATCTGTATGGTGGTAGGTGCCTGTTAGGAAGTTGCCTTGCATCAGGTCAGATTATGGTCCATCTAGACCAGTATTGTCTACTCTGATTGACTAGTGACTTTCTTAGGTTCTCAGGCAGAGAAAGTTGTCCCCAAACTTCCCAGCACCTGCTACTCAGTTGTTTTTCATGAGACCTGCTAGATAATGGGCCTGGGGCTTCCAGCATACCAATTAGAAACAGATCTTCCCTTGTTGGCAGCCTCTCTAACTAATTAGGAATCTTCCCCCCCCCCCTGTATTTTAAAAGCTTGCTTGATTAGCAGTGCAATTCTAATCACGTCTACTCAGAAGTAAGTCCTATTTAATGGAGCTTATTCCCAGGTAAGCAGGGTGAAGATTGCAGCCTAAATCAAGGCCTAGGGTAGAATTCAGGGTTGCACTATGGTGAATGTCTCATCAGTGCAAGTATTGTAGCTTGTGAGACAGAACAATTCCACCTCTTGTCCCGCACACCATTGCTGCTGTGGGGGTTCTCCCAACTCCCAAGCCAATTTTGAGGAGCATGGGAGGAGGGCAGAGGGGAAAGCCCTGTTATGCAAACCAGAACCCTCATGCAGGACTTATGCTTATGGGACTCATGAGGTGACTTTCACCCCTAGTTTTATGTGTTAAGAACTGAGTGTTCCTCCTTTTATTCCAGCTCCAAATTCAAAACTATGGCTGTATCCATATACTTCTAAGGTCAGGAGCATCTGCGCTCAGTTCTATGAGCACTTCAGAATTGTCCTTTGTGTCTGCCAAAACCCTGGTCTGACTTGCTGGCCTGGGTCTGTTCTCCATTCTCCCTGCGTCTTGAGGATAGGCTTCTGCCTTGACTCTTTCTTCCACCCCATCCCTGTTAAATTTTAAGTTTGTACCTTTGCTTGTTTCTCTTCTGTCTTAACAGTTCTGTGCTACAGTCTGTTAGCAATTCTTCTCTAGCCTAACTCCTGTCTGATTTGTCTTTCCATAGCGGCAGTGAACTTATGTATGAAAGATATAAAATTGTGATATTATAAAATGTATATGCTGGAGATACGCCCACTAAAAGAGTTGGAAATTGGACATGCTACTATCTACTGTCGTTGCCTAGGCAAGAGTGTTTCTGGAATTGATTGTTTTTTAGGGGGGTGTCTCCTTCTCCCCTCACCCAATGGAAATCCAGGAATAAAAGGACCTCCTTCAAAATTACAGCTGTGTGTCTCTTTCATAACTGCAATAGCACTCAGAAACATGATTTGTGAATATGTCTCAAAATGTACTATTTCGACTTTCATCCCACAGTATTTGTTATAGAAATGCATCACCTCCAGGGTTTTCTAGTGTATATGCCATCTTAACTGAGATGTAGCTGTTATCAGGGGGTCTGATATCTTTCCTTCATCTGTAAGATATAACTTCACAGATATGTATGTGTGAAATGCACAAAAGTTCAACTGCCACATTTTATGCGACCGCACATATTTTAGAAGCTGTAGATTAAAGATAGCACTGAATGTGCTTGGCATTGCTGAAGCATAGAACACATTAGAACAGTTTTACACAGTGTTGCGATTCCAGTGCAAGTTGGCATCTGCACTACCCCCTCCCCCCCTCAAATATTTAGCCTTGTAGGACTTCATGAGCCCTGGGCCCCTTCAGTAAGCACACTATTGCATTTCCTATGAAAAATGGCAGGGTGGAAGTAGTTTTGCTATTGGCAGTGGGCCAGGAAGAGAAGTCATAGTGCTTGTGGAGGAATAACTTGTTGCTGGCCTTCCCTCATCTTTTAAACAACAGATGTGCTGGAGAAGAGCAGTGTACACTATTCAGAAAATTGTGGCGGGGAGAGGGGAAATGACAGGCTATTATTGAGGGGTTAGCCTAGTAATTTATTTTTTTTACCTTCCCCTCTTTTTAAGGCACTGAATGGAGTAAGTTTGATAGAGTATCAATTTATTGTTGTGTATTAAAATTAGGGCTGGCTTAACTTTCCTTAAAACCCTAATGCCTTAAAATTCAATAAATAGTATGGATAGAAGAAAGCATCCCTGCTGTTCGTGAAGCACTTAACCCGGAGGCTTCTGAATGTCTCAGATTCACATAAAATACTTAAACAGTAAAAATATAAAAGGATATACTCTAGAATATGCAAATTAGAAAACCCAAATCAAGCTGGTTTAAAAAGAGTGTGCCATTTGTTTCTACGACTCAAAGGCCTTCCTAAGAAAGACGGTATCTCTGGAGATTTGAATAGTTAAAGAGACAAGAGGGATGCATATTTAAAATCAGGGATTCCTTCAACTACTATGGGACCCAGACCCTTTGATTTGGGACTTGAACCAGAAGACACAGACACCCAGGGCAAATATTACAAAATATATGCAGCCTTCTCTCTGCTGACAACAGCTATTGGGAACAGTCACAGTTTGCACTAGTGAAAACTTTTCAGAGGCAGCCCTATGTAGAACACATTTCAGTAACCTAATCCAGAGATTATTATGGCATGTATCACGGTGGCTAAATTGTAACTGCCCTGATTGTGCCAGTACCAAAGTACAGGAGGCAGCAAGCTTACTCTTGGAAGCCTGAGCTGACCTTGAATAGGGTAAGCATCTAATCAATGTCAGATCAATTACTCACAACCAGTCTGTCTTTGAGCTGAGCTTTGATTTCTTAGCCCTACCATCAGGGATGTGTGGGAATCTGTTGCTCAACCACAAGGGGAATCCCCATAGCTGACCCAATATATTTTAGCACCTGAGGCGAACCACAAAGTGGTGCCCCTCCTCACCAGGCAAGAAGCATGACATCAGGAACAAGGGGAGGAGGGAATAAAGAACAACGTTGGGATTCGCTGCCCTTGTGGTCGCTTCTTTGAGCCTCTGGTGGGCTGGCCCTGAGCAGCCCCTGAATCCTTTGTAATGCAATGCAGGCAGGCCCACTTGCTGTAGCCAAGGACTTGCATGTGC